TGATCCAATGTTTCATATAAACTAAGAGAATCAATATCTTTAGCATCACATCAAAATTGTTTTTCCTCACTCTCAAAAATTTTCCAACAACAACCCAGCTTGTATAATCATGTTTCGAGCAATAACACCACAATCACTCAAAACTCTAACATTCAATTGCTTTTGTTAGCTACACTAGCATCATAATAGGGGCCAAGGCACAAATTAACAAAGCATGCGCGGTTCAGAAGGCCTAACCAAATTTAATTTGAACCCTGAATTGTTTGCAAGAGATGCTCAATTCTATACTTCATGACTGGTTGACCATGCCGGGTCTTCTTGAACATCTTCTCTCTTTCAGCTTTTCTACGTGCTTCGGCCTTTTCCCTTTCTTCATTCTTTGCTTTAATAAATGCCTCCCTCTCAGTTCTTGCCTTCTCTTTCTCTTCGTGCTGCTTCTCATATCTCATATAATTTTTTCAAACTGTATGAACCTTTTTTCTTGTTATTATTCTTTTTGATGATTTCACTACTTTCTCCAGTTTCATTATTATCCTGTAACCTTGAAGCAGTTAGTGACTAGTTCAAATCTTGCATGCATGTAAACCTTGACTCCTCGAGCGCATTTGGAAGACAATAACTTAATTTAAGATTTATAGCTGTAATTCTAAAGCCAGAAATATTACCTCTCCAACTATTTGACAAAATCAAACTAATTAACTATGAAAGTTGTTATAACAATCCATTTCAATTTGGAAACCAGCCCAAGACCCAGTAATCTTTAGTCATAAATCCAAATACATTATAATAATAGGATTTATTACAATCCAAATTCAAGCGGATAACAATTTCCCTGATCACATGCTTACAAATAGGATTTATGATGTTGCTAAATGTGCTATGAAAACAGAAACAATAGTTGGATATAAATGTGGACAAATTAATGTTCCATACCTCTAGGTTTGTCACAACTGAGGAGGTTTCAGTCTGCTGATTTTGTTGCCTTAGCTTTTTCTTAAACTTGCTCACGTACTTTGCATTCTTATAGAACTCTCTTTGCTTTTCTGGTAGGAAACAGAGATATTTTGCAATAAAAAAAGGTGCAACACCAACCCATATAAAATTAATTGAATAACAGAAACAAGAATTCCCTGTCAGATTCCCTGTCACCTAACCACATTCTTTGTTGAACAAAAAAGGCTTTTAAACAAAGAATAAGGACATTAAGACAGTACTTTATTCTTCTTTGATTAAGAAAGAGGCAGGAAAATCTTGGGTTAATACAATATGTCCACCATCCATATTGGTTGCATGCAACTAAGAGGCTAAGACCTTTGTCCACGCTAAAAAAAATTGGTCTTATGAGTTACTTTGCTTTGGCCGATTTTATTTGGTCATCATTTTCTGATATAAACTTCCATAACATCTGAATCACTCTTCAAAATGAGTTGCTAAAAGTAGAGCTATGTAAGCTACATTTTGACAAGCCTGGAAAATACATCCGTCGTGCAAAAATCATTTAAGTACAGATTCACCCTTTCTTCCTGCCATGAAAAACCATATAAATTCAACAAAGATTAAGCGAGCAAGATGATACATTTATACAAACAAAATTTCACAGGTCACGTTCAAGACAAAATCTGCAATTTTTTATATTAAAAGTTTTTTCCCCCTTAAACCAGAAGAAACATTGCCAACTATGATTCCATTGCAGAACGAACCTGTATTTGAAACGTTTCAACTAACCCAAAAAGGGTCAATAACCAATCATACCATTTCAGCGTCACAATTTTGAAATATTACTAAGATTTAATCCGCAGCAACTATAAAGGAAAAAAAAAAAAAAAGTTCGGAGCACCCTATTAAAAAAAAAAAAAGTTCGAGCACCCTATTCAATTAAAGACTCAGGCAAGAAGCAAAGCTTGAAACTTGCACGCCAAATTAAGCATCCTATTCCAGCAAACTAAATTTGAGCTCAATCCAACATTCCATTTCTTACTGAAAGTACCACTGATTTTTTTAAAATCCTTATTACCAATTAGAGCAGAAAAAAAAAATGAAAAAACGAAAAATAGAAAGAGGAGAAGAATTTTATACTTATTAGAGCGGGATTGTACTTGTTTCTGGTGGATTTGGCATTAGCGAATGCTTCAAGGGAAAGAGCAGGCCCTCCTAATCTCATCATGTTCTTCTTCTTCTTCATGCTGATAGATGCTGAGCTGTTGATCTTCGTCTTGTTTTCCTCATCCTTTCCTAAGCTCCTATTCTTCATTGGTCCTAAGAAGTTATCTTAATTTTTTCGGCAATTGATCGATCAAATAAAGGAAACAGGGTCGATTTTGGAACCCTAATTTCGCCCGGTAACTAAACAAAGAGACGAGAAAGACGAGGAACGGTGAACCAACTCTCCAGGGCCCACAAATGATTTAATTTATTTTCACTGAAGTCACCTAGTCCACCACAACGACATCGTAGAGACAAATTCTGCCCCCGTATCCGACCTGTCGTTCAATGACCGGGACAAGAATGTCCTTTCTGAAATGTAAAACTGATTTCCTTCGAGACAAAAAGACGTACTCCACGTTAATCAGTTTGAAAGAAGATAGAAATTGCGCTGTAAAGGCGACCTGTCGTTTAAGACTGGGAAAAAAGGACACGTGCTATAAACATGCAAAGGTATAGATGTTCTAGTTACGTGATTTTATACGAAAGGAACAAAAAGTTTGTTGTAAAATTCTGCTATGAAACAGAGGAGTTTTTCTCAACCATTACTCCAATATCAGGATTCAAAGTATTTATAAAGTGAAATATTAAATTATTTGTAAATTTTCAAATTATGAGATTAGTTTTCTTCTTTAAAAAAAAAAAAAAAAAAAGAGGAAAAAAAAAAAAAAAAAAAAAAAAGAGTATCGAGAAATTTAATGTATTTTAGGATTGTATATCTATATACAGTTTGTAACATACGTACAATATTAATTTCTTAACTTTGTACCATTTAGGATTAATTACTTCTTGTTTTGGATTTAGAAATAACAGAAAATGTATTTTTCTTCTTTCTATGTCTTTTTCGATTTTGTTTTGGTTTGTTTTAACTTGAAAAAGAAAGATTGAGGATTCAAGAAAACGAGTAGCAGAAACTATATATTGGAACCTTTTATGATGTGGAAGATTATGAATTGTCATTAATTAGGACATATTTGGAATATTACACATGAAAAATATTTTACAAAATAAAAAGACAAAAAATGCAGTTATATATTTTACATCATATAAATAATAAAGTCAATTAAAATATCTCACTTGCTCAAAACATCCATTCTACTTTGCAAATAAGCCTTGCAGAGGATTCACTTTTGTGTTGGCAAATTGCAGCATCATAGAATTTCTATTAATTATGCATTTTTCACCTTAATTTTTTGTTCAAAAATGACAAGAACCCTTTTTAAAGTTTTCCTCGCCTTAAAAGAAACTTGAATTTAGTTAATTAAATTGATTTGATTCGCAAACGGAACTGGTGTTTGTTTACTATAATTAATTTATTCGAGAATGAAATTATCAATAATTAATGGAACCCATACAATCATTTAAGTATATAATAAAAATGCTACAAAAGTGTATAATTGGACACAACCCACCTTTGACAATCAAGCATGTGAATGCAAATTAACTCATTCTAGCTCATTAATTAATTAAGCGGTCACACATATCTTGAGTTCACTTGATTCAGCTGCGGCTTTGTCCATGTTGGCTACTGATCGTTCAGCTTCTTCCTCTGTCTGGTTAGAATTGTCATCATCTTTGCACATTTGACAAGGCTCACTTGCTAGCTCTTGTGACTTTGTTTCAGGCAAAATCTCATTCTTTTTCTTCTTGTAAATCAAGTACAATTCTTTTTCTTCTTGTAAATCAAGTACAATATCATCTGAGCTATTCCAAACCCGAACCCGAAAACATTTGGCGTCTGAATTATATATATACAAGCATTAATAACATATATAGATAATCATTGATTAAGAAGTTCTAATTAATTAGTGACTTACAGCAATATAATAATCTTCCACAGCAAGGCCATATCCCAACCAGGAAGCAGCACAGAGGGTCAAAAAGAATGATAATGAGAAGGGCATGTACTCTACACTCTTTGTTCTTATAACAAGCCTCTGAAATTATAAGATTAATTAATTTTCAGACATTAGCATCAATTAATTAGTACTAGAATAAGATATTATAACAAGCAAACTTTAGTTAAACATATAAAAGGATCAAATTTAATTGTGAAAAATAATCAAATTTCAAATTATGTTTCAATCTCCGGTGTTCAAAGCAACATCAATTAATCCATATTTGCGTCGAGTACGTTCACAAAAGGGACAAAACGCTTACTACTGAGCGTTTAAAGAAACTCTATAACAAAGGTTTAAACTTAAGACCTTTAATTAAAGGAGAATTGATTCTTATCATTTCATCTCATCGTCTCCGTCTGTGAATTATTTATTATTTAACCAATTAAAGAAGTTAAGCCATATATACCTTTATATTAAAATTTATTGACACTAACTTTGACATGGTTGTGAACGAAAAGCCAGAAAACTGATGTACCTAACAATTACAATGGGCTGGTGAAGTTAACTAATTGGTAGCTAAGCATCCTATTGTTCTCCCCGCATACAGATAAAACCTTGACTAGACTTTTCTCAGGAAACGTTCGAAAAACGCGTGAACCCAAACCAAGCTTAATTTACACTTCCGCGCTGACTTGACTAGTTGACTTAGCATCAACATAAGTATAATCTAATATATATTGTAGTCTTGATTTTTTGCTCTTCATTTCAGGAGATAACAAAGAAGAAGAAAAAGAAGAGGAAGAAGATCGGAGGGCGGATAAGATGGGGAAACTTGTTTGCTCTGAATTGTGTAATGACAATAATGTTTTCGATTCAAAGGGACTTCTCATGGCAGTCGTCATTGTTCTCGCCATCTTAGCCACCTGTATGCCTCCACGGCGCCGTTATGTGGCCATCTGTAGCCCTCCACCGCGCTATTTAGTGTTCCAGTGAGTCGTCTGAGGCTGTCTTTCTCAGCTAAAATAATGTTTCAAGCTTACCAAATGTTGTTTTTGTTTTCATTTGTACTGTTAGTTATACCATTTCAATTCAGTGATTTTGCTACGAAGAGTTTAATGAACAGATAGAAGCAATGTTGTGATGAGATTTTTTCCCATTTCCTCCTTTAATTTCCTATCTCAATAGCTCTAGTGATGAGATTTCTATCTGCTTATGTAAGAAACAATTTCGTAACATGAATTCACAATTATGTGGATCTTATTGAGGAATAACTGATCCAATGTTTCATATAAACTAAGAGAATCAATATCTTTAGCATCACATCAAAATTGTTTTTCCTCACTCTCAAAAATTTTCCAACAACAACCCAGCTATTTCATTGACTAATGGGTGACTTCATTGATATTTATTGAGAGTAGTAAAAGTTGAACCTTTAATTGTATACTAACGCGTTTGTTCTTAAATATTTGTCACATTTAGAATTTCAAGTTTTTTAAAAAATCATTAAATTTTTCTAAGTTATAATAAATTATTTAGTAAATTAACTATATTACTCTTAATTTAATATATTCAAACACTAAATTTTTTAGAAATTGCAGCAATAATTATTGCTTATATACAAAAGGTAAACCTAGAAAAAATAATTTATTAATTACTCATTGAAACCATATACGTGATAAGTATTTTGAAATATGGTACTTTCTCAAATGTAACAAGAATTTATGAACATATTCCACCATTTAAGCACAATTTATGAACAGATTCCACCATTTGTGCTTAAGTTCCTTCTCCAAAATGGAATATTGGGATAAGTATATGCAGCTTGTCTCTTCATTGTAGACCACAATGATTTTTAACTGTAATTAAATCATTTCTTCGCTACTTTGGCAAATTTTTTAACCATTTGAGATTATATATGAGTTATATAATCGGGTTAACGTTTCTTATTCAGTAAGGCAAATCTACTTTATAATTTGAGAGGCGGCGAGATTTTTAAATTTTTCAAAATTTAATTTTTTTTTTTCTAAATTTTATATGTACCTTTAAAAATATCCATATTGGTTTCCCAATTTTACTTTCATTTTTTTAAGAATTTTTTGACCTTAAACTCTAATTAATTCTGCCCCTCCTATATAAAATTTGAACTTAATATAATAGAATATAACTCTTATTTCTCCTAAACTTCCCTCGCAACCTCCTGAAAGCAACATAATAAATTACAAACATGTATCTGATATTATCATATTTTAATTTCACGTATAATTGTAGCAGTAAACTGCATGCATTCACCTAATAATTTTTTATAAAAGAATCTTAAGCTATTGCCAGTGGGCCAAGCCAAGCCAAGCCCAATTACATAGGGCGAAAGATCGGCTCGTGGCTGGCACTGCAAAGGCAGCTCGAGCCATTCCCTGACGTGAAGCAAATGATTGAGAGCAAAAGAAGACAAAAAAGGAAGGCTATGATCAAACTCAAAAGTGTAATTTCTCCGTTAAACGTCTGGCAAGGGTTGGAGTTTGCACGTGAGAGACGGACTTACAAAGACCCCACTAGCCGTTACATTTTGAACGCTTTTCTCTCCAATACGGGCTCTCCACAGGGTAACTTGGTCAATTTATATAGGAGAGAAACTATTCCTCACAATACATTTTTCTAGCGATTGGACTGGTAATTACATTCTATTACAGTTCTTCAATCATAGCATAAATGTATATATTACATGTCTAGTCAATATAATTTATTATATATTTAAAAAATATTAAAATATAAAATTTTATTTTTCTATTCCATTGTTTATTGGATTTTGATTAAAATAAAAAAAGAAAACAACTAAAGAAAATTAGAAAATAAAAGCATATATTTAATTCTTATATGTTGCTAATTAATTAGAAAATAAATCAAATAAATTTTTTTTTTCTTTTTTCTATCAAAACAAAATAATATCAATAAGAAACCTATTTACTTAGCTGTTATGTATATTGCTTACTGTAACCACTAACCACTACCAGCAAAGCAATTTCCCGTCTAAATAAATATATAAGAAAAAGGCAAAACTTTAATTTGAGTAGAAAAAATCAAAATAAATGATTTCATATTCAATCAGTTCTTCATGAAAACGTTGCCAACAAGCAAATCCACCATTGTCGTTTGTCATTTTCTCCACCAACTCCAAGAAAATAGGTACTAGCTAACTCAACTTTTTTCTTTTCGTTACATTATCTTTGACCAATTTTCACCCATTTCAAGATTAAAATTCTAATTATATTGCTGTTATTTTAATTAATTATTAGAGAATCAAAATGAGAGTGGTGTAGATTTTATCTCTGAAAATATCATTGTTTTATAAAATTTATTGTTAATTTTTCATGATAGCCAAAAAAAAAAAAAAAAATACAGAAAAAAAAAAAGAAAAAACGAAAACTAGAAAGAGGAGAAGAATTTTATACTTATTAGAGCGGGATTGTACTTGTTTCTGGTGGATTTGGCATTAGCGAATGCTTCAAGGGAAAGAGCAGGCCCTCCTAATCTCATCATGTTCTTCTTCTTCTTCTTCATGCTGATAGATGCTGAGCTGTTGATCTTCTTCTTGTTTTCCTCATCCTTTCCTAAGCTCCGATTCTTCATTGGTCCTAAGAAGTTATCTTAATTTTTTCGGCAATTGATCGATCAAATAAAGGAAACAGGGTCGATTTTGGAACCCTAATTTCGCCCAGTAACTAAACAAAGAGACGAGAAAGACGAGGAACGGTGAACCAACTCTGCCCACAAATGATTTAATTAATTTTCACTGAAGTCACTTAGTCCACCACAACGACATCGTAGAACAAATTCTGACCCGGTATCCGACCTGTCGTTCAATGACCGGGACAAGAATGTCCTTTCAGAAATGTAAAACTGATTTCCTTCGAGACAAAAAGACGTACTCCACGTTAATCAGTTTGAAAGAAGATAGAGATTCCGCTGTAAAGGCGACCTGTCGTTTAAGACTGGGAAAAAAGGACGTGCTATAAACATGCAAAGGTATAGATGTTCTAGTTACGTGATTTTATACGAAAGGAACAAAAAGTTTGTTGTAAAATTCTGCTATGAAACAGAGGAGTTTTTCTCAACCATTACTCCAATATCAGGATTCAAAGTATTTATAAAGTGAAATATTAAGTGAAATACTTTATAAATTTTCAAATATGGAGATTAGTTTCTTCTTAAAAAAAAAAAAAAAAAAAAAAAAGAGTATCGAGGAAAGTCCTAATGTATTTTAGGATTGTATAATCTATATAGAGTTGTGTAACATACGTAAAAAAAAAAAAAAAAAAAAAAAAGAGTATCGAGAAATTTAATGTATTTTAGGATTGTATATCTATATACAGTTTGTAACATACGTACAATATTAATTTCTTAACTTTGTACCATTTAGGATTAATTACTTCTTGTTTTGGATTTAGAAATAACAGAAAATGTATTTTTCTTCTTTCTATGTCTTTTTCGATTTTGTTTTGGTTTGTTTTAACTTGAAAAAGAAAGATTGAGGATTCAAGAAAACGAGTAGCAGAAACTATATATTGGAACCTTTTATGATGTGGAAGATTATGAATTGTCATTAATTAGGACATATTTGGAATATTACACATGAAAAATATTTTACAAAATAAAAAGACAAAAAATGCAGTTATATATTTTACATCATATAAATAATAAAGTCAATTAAAATATCTCACTTGCTCAAAACATCCATTCTACTTTGCAAATAAGCCTTGCAGAGGATTCACTTTTGTGTTGGCAAATTGCAGCATCATAGAATTTCTATTAATTATGCATTTTTCACCTTAATTTTTTGTTCAAAAATGACAAGAACCCTTTTTAAAGTTTTCCTCGCCTTAAAAGAAACTTGAATTTAGTTAATTAAATTGATTTGATTCGCAAACGGAACTGGTGTTTGTTTACTATAATTAATTTATTCGAGAATGAAATTATCAATAATTAATGGAACCCATACAATCATTTAAGTATATAATAAAAATGCTACAAAAGTGTATAATTGGACACAACCCACCTTTGACAATCAAGCATGTGAATGCAAATTAACTCATTCTAGCTCATTAATTAATTAAGCGGTCACACATATCTTGAGTTCACTTGATTCAGCTGCGGCTTTGTCCATGTTGGCTACTGATCGTTCAGCTTCTTCCTCTGTCTGGTTAGAATTGTCATCATCTTTGCACATTTGACAAGGCTCACTTGCTAGCTCTTGTGACTTTGTTTCAGGCAAAATCTCATTCTTTTTCTTCTTGTAAATCAAGTACAATATCATCTGAGCTATTCCAAACCCGAACCCGAAAACATTTGGCGTCTGAATTATATATATACAAGCATTAATAACATATATAGATAATCATTGATTAAGAAGTTCTAATTAATTAGTGACTTACAGCAATATAATAATCTTCCACAGCAAGGCCATATCCCAACCAGGAAGTAGCACAGAGGGTCAAAAAGAATGATAATGAGAAGGGCATGTACTCTACACTCTTTGTTCTTATAACAAGCCTCTGAAATTATAAGATTAATTAATTTTCAGACAATTTTGGTCTGTATTAGCATTAATTAATTAGTACTAGAATAAGATATTATAACACATACCATGATACTGAGAGGAGCAGCAAAAACACTAACAGAGAAAACAGCACAGATCCATCCAACTACGTTCACTCTTTGAGAGCCATGAGACAAAAAGGTTGTCAATACAACGATCAATAGATAAGCGATTGTGTTGAACAATACAAGTATCTTCAACGTATAAATCTGCAGTCAAATGATAATATATACAAATATTAGTCTAAATTAATGATAAAAAAACCGATATTTATATATGCTATATCAGTATATGCATTACCCTGGAGCTCTTGTTGGCATATATCATGTAAATGATAAGGTATAAGGCTTCAATGACGCAGCCAACAGAGTTGATCGTAATAAGCATAAAGCCATCTGCTTTGAGAGTGCCATAGTAAAGCGTCAACATTGCACTAAATAGAGCTACTGAATAGGGTATGGATTGGAAGCCTTCAGTTGATTTTTTCTTGAAAATTCTGTAAAATGTTGGCCTGAACACAATGCAATGAAAACGATAAATTAATAAAAATACATAGTTGAGGAGAAAGAACTGAGTTATATTATATATATGCAATTGTAACTTACAATGGAGCCAAATATACAAAGAAGGAAATCGCATTGCCTGAAGATGTGAAATGTAAATGGAAATCATTAATTGATTAGAGGGTAATTAATGAATTAATTAATGGCAGAGATTAGAGAATTACCAAGAAGACCAAAGACAAGAACTAGATGAGAACTGTGCAGTGCCATTCTGGGTTTCAAGCTAATGATAATGGGAGGCCAATTAGTATAATATAATAGAAGAGCGAGCTAGGTAGCTAGCTTAAGTAGCAAGAATATATGAATTGTGTGAAACAAGTTGCATCCTTAATCCTTATATAGGGGTATAAAGCAGACGCTGAATAGGAGATGACTTGGCAACAGCATTTTAGACATTTTTGTAATGAGCTAAAGCACAAACCGTTCCCGGATATTTTGTAAGCTAACTACAAATATGCATATGCCGCGTTTTTCATTTCTCAGAAACTCTAAGCTAATCACTTGCTTTTTAGCTTCAACCAGCTTAATTTATATACATAGCCAAACCGTTCAGACTCACCCTATTTCTTTTCACTTGTTCTATATTTTGCTATTGCCAATTTGCCATTAACTCTGCAAAGTTCAAGAATTGGAAAAAAGGAAAGGAAAAGGGAGTTTCTTGTCCAAGAATTATTGAATTATAAGGAGAATCCAAATTTATTTCATTGACTAATGGGTGACTTCATTGATATTTATTGAGAGTAGTAAAAGTTGAACCTTTAATTGTATACTAACGCGTTTGTTCTTAAATATTTGTCACATTTAGAATTTCAAGTTTTTTAAAAAATCATTAAATTTTTCTAAGTTATAATAAATTATTTAGTAAATTAACTATATTACTCTTAATTTAATATATTCAAACACTAAATTTTTTAGAAATTGCAGCAATAATTATTGCTTATATACAAAAGGTAAACCTAGAAAAAATAATTTATTAATTACTCATTGAAACCATATACGTGATAAGTATTTTGAAATATGGTACTTTCTCAAATGTAACAAGAATTTATGAACATATTCCACCATTTAAGCACAATTTATGAACAGATTCCACCATTTGTGCTTAAGTTCCTTCTCCAAAATGGAATATTGGGATAAGTATATGCAGCTTGTCTCTTCATTGTAGACCACAATGATTTTTAACTGTAATTAAATCATTTCTTCGCTACTTTGGCAAATTTTTTAACCATTTGAGATTATATATGAGTTATATAATCGGGTTAACGTTTCTTATTCAGTAAGGCAAATCTACTTTATAATTTGAGAGGCGGCGAGATTTTTAAATTTTTCAAAATTTAATTTTTTTTTTTCTAAATTTTATATGTACCTTTAAAAATATCCATATTGGTTTCCCAATTTTACTTTCATTTTTTTAAGAATTTTTTGACCTTAAACTCTAATTAATTCTGCCCCTCCTATATAAAATTTGAACTTAATATAATAGAATATAACTCTTATTTCTCCTAAACTTCCCTCGCAACCTCCTGAAAGCAACATAATAAATTACAAACATGTATCTGATATTATCATATTTTAATTTCACGTATAATTGTAGCAGTAAACTGCATGCATTCACCTAATAATTTTTTATAAAAGAATCTTAAGCTATTGCCAGTGGGCCAAGCCAAGCCAAGCCCAATTACATAGGGCGAAAGATCGGCTCGTGGCTGGCACTGCAAAGGCAGCTCGAGCCATTCCCTGACGTGAAGCAAATGATTGAGAGCAAAAGAAGACAAAAAAGGAAGGCTATGATCAAACTCAAAAGTGTAATTTCTCCGTTAAACGTCTGGCAAGGGTTGGAGTTTGCACGTGAGAGACGGACTTACAAAGACCCCACTAGCCGTTACATTTTGAACGCTTTTCTCTCCAATACGGGCTCTCCACAGGGTAACTTGGTCAATTTATATAGGAGAGAAACTATTCCTCACAATACATTTTTCTAGCGATTGGACTGGTAATTACATTCTATTACAGTTCTTCAATCATAGCATAAATGTATATATTACATGTCTAGTCAATATAATTTATTATATATTTAAAAAATATTAAAATATAAAATTTTATTTTTCTATTCCATTGTTTATTGGATTTTGATTAAAATAAAAAAAGAAAACAACTAAAGAAAATTAGAAAATAAAAGCATATATTTAATTCTTATATGTTGCTAATTAATTAGAAAATAAATCAAATAAATTTTTTTTTTCTTTTTTCTATCAAAACAAAATAATATCAATAAGAAACCTATTTACTTAGCTGTTATGTATATTGCTTACTGTAACCACTAACCACTACCAGCAAAGCAATTTCCCGTCTAAATAAATATATAAGAAAAAGGCAAAACTTTAATTTGAGTAGAAAAAATCAAAATAAATGATTTCATATTCAATCAGTTCTTCATGAAAACGTTGCCAACAAGCAAATCCACCATTGTCGTTTGTCATTTTCTCCACCAACTCCAAGAAAATAGGTACTAGCTAACTCAACTTTTTTCTTTTCGTTACATTATCTTTGACCAATTTTCACCCATTTCAAGATTAAAATTCTAATTATATTGCTGTTATTTTAATTAATTATTAGAGAATCAAAATGAGAGTGGTGTAGATTTTATCTCTGAAAATATCATTGTTTTATAAAATTTATTGTTAATTTTTCATGATAGCCAAAAAAAAAAAAAAAAATACTAATTTTTCATGATAGCCAAAAAAAAAAAAAAAAAAATACAGCAAAAAAAAAAAAAAAAAATACACAACTCTCATACACGCGTCGATAGATAAAAGAAATCTAAAAATAGAAACAACTGTCGTTAACTAATATATGACCAAAAGGCAGCAGCATAGGAAATAATGAACATAATGTATACTATATATAGTTTCATTCGTCACTGTCTATCAAAAAATGTCTAAAATGATATAACCAAATAACCTTTTTAAGGCTTTTTCCAAAATTGGGATTGGTCTTTCTGTTAAGGGCTACTCTTCCTTCATTTTCATTTTTATTTGTCCGCTTAACTAGAAGATCGATGGCCTGGTCATTCCTGTGCAATTGCTTAGAGCTAGAGAAAACTCCAAATTCCAAAAAAAAAAAAAAAAAAAAAAAAATCAGTATTACTTTGGACTTTAATTAAGTAATATTAGTAAAAAAAAAAAAAAAAAAAAAAAAAACCTCAATCAGTATACTTTGACTTAATTAGTAATATTAGTAATTTTTTATACCATTTGACCGCTAAAATATAAGGAATAAGACAAAGAGAAAATTAGTTTTTTTTTTTCTAATGTAACGGAAATATTTATAGGGTAGTAAATCTTTTTTAGACGAAAATGAGAGGCGTAATTCCTTTCTTAAAGCTTAAAGATTTTGCGCTTTTTTTTTTTGGAGATTGTATGCTTTGATGGGCCTATAATTGTGCAATTTGATTGAGCCTGCTTTCAGTTGTTGAATGGTTCATGGCCCAATCAAACGGCCCGTCACTCTCTAAGTTTATGTCAAATGGGCCATTATTGATGTCTGATAGGCTGATAGTGACAGCTAGCTATAGATTTTCTTTTAAACAGGTTTAAAAAAAAAATTTAAGACGAAAAGCTTGACATTAGATAATTCATTAATTAGGAAAGAGAGACGAGACGTTTCTGGTGACTTTGTAGTTAACTAGTGGTGGTTGGCTGATGAAAGTTGGTTTCGACGCTTTCCCTAATAAATTCAATAAAAAGTATCAAATGGAAATAATTTTTAAAATATTTTTATTATAATTGATTTAATTCATAAATAAATATAAATATCCAGTATAGATTTATATTTATAAAGTTATAATTAATTATATATATATTTTTAAATTATTGTCACTTTATTTGTTTCTCAATAAATGGACAAACATATCTTATTTTTAAAAAGTTATTTATATTTATTTGTTTCCTTCACGGGATTATGAGAATCACCTTCAAAGCTTCCAACAACTCGATTGTTTAATCTCTCTCTATAAATCCAGTTTGCTAAATAGTAATACAGGCCATATGCTAGACGCTGTTCTCTTCAGTGCTTTGTCTCTATAAACATGAATAACCAAGTAGAAGTAGGAAGCAATGTGAAGGTGGTGATGGAGGACTCTAGGAGAATAAAGTCGTATCAGATAATCCTACGGATTTTAGGGTTTCTCCTTACATTAACAGCTTCCATAGTGGAGGGTATTGATAAGGAGACAGCTATTGTTCCTGTAACCATTGTCGAAACTCTACCACCTTTACAAGTTCCTCTTACTGCTAAGTGGCAATATGTATCTGCTTTCGTGTAAGCCTCCTTACGTCTTCTTCTTCTTCATCTTCTTCAATTATCTATTGTCTTAACATTTCTATTCAGAAATTAGGTCAAAAGATGAAATGAAAATACATTTTCTTATCCATGTTTTAGGTACCTCCTGGTGTCAAACACCATAGCTTGTTCATATGCAGCAGGATCTTTAATATATACAATGGTTGCTGCCCGGAGCAAAAAAATGGATAACGGAACAGGAACCTTAGTGATAATAATCCTAGACATGGCCATAACGGGGTTGCTACTCTCTGCCAATGGAGCTGCAATTGGTATAGCAGTGATTGGTCGTTTTGGAAACTCGCATTTGAACTGGAAGAAGGTATGCCATGTGTACAGTGATTTCTGCCACCAATTAACTGCAGCAGCTGCACTATCTCTTCTTGCTGCGTTTGTGTTTTTTGGGCTAGTAGCGGTTGCTGTTTCCAACCTCCACAAAAGATTAATGGCCTCCACATGATAGAGACTAGACAGTTTATGTTAGGTGTATTAATTTAATAGTATATTTATATTTATTATTATAGGATACTGATATGATGTTCGTCGTTCTTGCCAAGTAAATCCTTTCTGTTTATCTTGTAATAAATAAAAATAAGCTGCTCTAGCTAGTTCTACTGTGATTCTTGATCAATGCTTTTCTTTGTGCTAGCTAGTACTTGTAAATTTCATGCCAGATAACTCACACTTTATACATATATAAAGTACAAATTTGAGAAATTTGATTTTTCTTTAACATTCAAATGCAATAGTTCTCTGCTGCTCTGTACATATCTTACATTCAAAATTTTCTGATACAAGAGAAAAAGAAAGCTAGCCTAGCTATTTTTCATATCTATAAAAGCTACAGACAACAGTAAAAGCTCTAGCTTCCAAAACTACATACAGTAGTCAAATACAAACAAAATATGCAGACAGATTATTATACACACTTTGTATACTTCTCAATAAGCTAAGATAACAATAATATAATTGTGAGGGGATGGCCGCACTGCAGAATCTTGATGACAAAACGTTCAATTGTTTCAACGGTCAATCTTAGCAAAGCGTCCCTTAATTCTTGTTCTGCTTTCTGCCCGAACCTTCCGCGATTCGTACCTGATATGCTTGTCATACCTATTGATTTTTTTTGACAAAAGGAACGTTAGCTTTACAATCATAAGTTCTATCATGTGCAGGCATGAGCAAATCAAACTTATACCTTCTCGTCTTCCTTTTCTCTTTGTACCGGGAGATTGCAGAGTCTCTCTCCTGGCTGTTTAACTCATGTGATCCAATTTTTGGAACTCTAGTTGCTCCATGACTGCCATTGACAAGCTTATCAAGAACAATAAAATTTTCTTCTAAATCGCTTCTCGCTGCTGTACAAGGAACAGAAACTTGAACTCCAGCCTCACCAGGATCACTAATCCACTGAAATACATTTTCCTGCAAAAAAAACGAGAATACATTATTACATTTCATATCAGAAGCTCTCTGCAGAATGATCGGCAAATTAAGCAGGAAAGAAGCATTACCTCACATCCTGTATGCATGTTTTGTAGCTGCCTATTTTGTCCTTCTGCTGATGACTGGAATACATTAATAGGTTCAGTGTGTGGATTTTTCCAATTTGAATCAGGTTCTGACCTTGCTAGTTCACGAAGCTGACCAAGTATTTCTTCCTTGTGTCGACCACAAACAGCATTACGATTCTGATTTAAGAATTATTTCTCAACCAGGTCAAAATCACAATAGTCTATGGGCAATTTCAACAATATTTTATCACCTGACAACTCTCAGGAGAATGGGAAAGATAATTGCAGGCGTGAGCATACTCAAGTAATTTTATGTGAAACGAGTCACTAATACAAAATACTAAAGAAGTGTAATAGCTGATCATTAAATTTAGCAGATTCCATTCCATCTAATAAGTAAATCGTAGCAAATCTCAGGAACAAGCTTTTCTGTTTTGTCAAATGCCTACCTTGGAGTCAAAGCCAAAGATGCAACTGCAATATGTCTATCACAAACAAAACTTCTGTCAAAATAAAACAAAAACAAACAATGATCCTAAAACTGAATCAAGATCTGCACCACTGATACTAAAACTGAATCAAGATCTGCACTAATGATTCAACATATTAGGAGTTAACAGGAATTAGTTGAGTCAATTGTAATATGTGTCAAGCTTGGCTTGGCTCATATAAATATGGGTTGTTCTTCCAGCTTTTATAGGTCCTTTCTGATGAAATATGTTCTATAGTTGCTATAGCAATTGGGATATTTGTAGTGCTGGTAGTCATCTTGGTTTGCTACTAAAAAGAAAAGATAAAAAAAATAGGGCATTGCAAGGGAGAGCTAGGAATGATAAGCTTCATGATTTTGGAAGTGGCATGTCAGAGGCTGAGGAATTACTTGATCTTATAGTTTTCATGTTTGAAGGCTACTCTTATAACTTGCAACTTGAGGAATTACTACTCTTCTAATTTGTCATTTTGATTCTTGTTCAAAAGGGAGGTAATTGTTAGGAGTTAATTTTTGTAATGTGGCGAGCTTAGCTCATATAAATAGGCTATTGGATAGATACAATTGTAATTTTTGACAAATCAATATACCTTCAATATTCTGTTTTCCTCTCTCTTTCTGCAATCTTTCTTGTATTTTCTGTCTTCCCTCTATTTTCTCTCCCCTCCCAATCACTCTGATTAGGTTGGTTCCTAACACAACACTATGACAGCAGGAAAATAACATTTTAATAAATATGGTAGCAAATGCACACAAACATATCAATCTATGATTCAAAGTGTTAGTGAGACTAATTTTCTTTTTTATTTTTGAAATAAAGAAAAAAAAAGAAGAAAAACAAAGTGTAGGCATATCTGGAACCTTTATAGGTTATAGTTGATAAAAAAATAAGCTGAATATAACACAAGTAGTTACTCTCACGAATAATATCTTAAGAACCAAAAATAATAAGCTGAAATTTGCCATCTTAGGTTAAAACACGCAAAGAAATGCCAATAAAAACTTGCCTTAGGCAGAGGAGGGACTTCTAAGGCCTGGAAATTTTGACCTGAACCGCTCAAACCTATCAAATCATCAATGCTAACAGCAGGACTCTCCCAGACCAATAAATCTGAATACCCATCTCCAAAACCAGATCCATCAAGCCCAGAACCCACCAAACCACTGTCTTCATTCAAAAACAGTGCTTTCTTATCACCAATATCTTCAAATCCCCAAATACTAACCAACTCACTAACAGAACGACACCCACTAAACCCTTCAATTGGCCTCCGATTATGCACGGAAGACACAGAAAGACTGTGCCTTTCCCAGTCACAGTTTTGGCACAAAACAGAGTGCTCTGTTTCGCAGAAGATTGAAGCAGGGGACGCATCGCAGGCATCACATAGCAGAGAGCGAGTGTGCTTTGAGAAGAGCTTGTTAGTTTCATGAACTTCGCGGTCACATGAGATACAAAGCTTGGCTGAGTCAGCTCTACAATAGAGAAGAGCTGTGTTGACATTACAGTAATCACAGAGTCGGCTCTCACCCATTTGTGGCTGTGAGCTATTTACCTCTAATCCTTTCATCAAGAAAATCTCTGGTGCTGTGGTGGACTGGTGGTTCGTTTTATTCAAAACGAAATAAACAAAACCAATTTTAACTCTAAGTCTAATAGATACACAAAGGATGAGAAAATCTTATCATTTCCTGTTTCTTGTTTTGCAAGAAGTATCTTGAAAGGCATTTCTGGATTTTTTTTTTGGCTTCAAAAGAATTGACATGATCTTTATTCGCTTTTTACTTTCTAAAAATCTTTTTCCCTTTTTTTTTTTCTTTTTCTTTTAAGTAGAATAGAGGAGGGTTCTGTATCAAAATCAATTATTAAATGAACTGGGACCAGGTAGTGAAGAACATTACAGGGAATACAATTCTCAAGCCTAGAAAAGGACGAGTTGTTGAATTTTACACCGCTTCTCGCCTTCTCCGCTGGAGTGTCCTCGTTGGTATTTTCATGCAGTAATATATAAATATATATATATATTTTTTACTGAAATAATAGTCTATAATGTTAATTTTAAATGTTTTAAACTAGTTAATTATTTTTTAACGTGAATTATCCGATATGATTTTTGATAATGTAGAGCAACAAGTATCTTTCTTGGCTACTTTCATGTCAACGACAGACTTTATCAATACTTGATTTATTTTTTCTCACCAAACCATTAAATTAATTTAGTTTATTTTAAATTTTAAAATTTTTGATTTATCTTTAAATTTAAGTTGATCTAATTTTCAATTTTAATAAAAATAATTGAATAAAAATCTAAAAACTTTATGGAACCTCATCCAACTAAACTAAATGCAAAGCTTAGGACATTATCCTCACGAAACTGTAACAAAATTATAACCACACAATATTACGTCATATGTATCCCACCAGTTTGACTTTACCATGGCGGCGCATTGTCAATGTCCCCATTAAAATCCTATTCATAGATATAATATAAAAATGCAAAAAAATATAGTTAGTTAACAAAAATGAAAAAAATGAAGTAATAAGCATTTCCATTTATAAACTAGCATTTCCATTTATAAACTAAGAATTGTTATTTATGTTAATTTTAATAATTTAATACCTCAAACTCTAAATATTAATATAAATGTTACAAACTATTAATCAAAACACTAAAAATTAATTGCCCAACATAAATTTTCCCCTTCAAACCCTATTCCTACACCCTCCCACGATGCAAACAATTTTCATCTCCTCGATGTGAAATCAAAATACCACCACCTCGCCCGTCAAATTCCAATTTCTAGCTCCGCCCGTCAGCATGAGTCAAAAAATAGAGGAATGAATTGGTGATGCCAACAAGTAATATTTCAAATAGGAGAATAAGCAATCCCCTTTCTTTCATTATTACTAACTCTTCTGAGGCTGTCACGTATAATACGAATACAAGAATTTACGAAAATGAAAACTATGCCTGTAACAAGGTTAGCTGTGTAAGCAGCATCTAACATGCATTGATGATTAGTTAAAACCTCCATTAGTGATCATCTGGCGTTGAAATTCTTCGGGTGTTGTATGAATTGCATTGACTGCACTTTAGTCCAACTATGTGAAATGCGGTTTTGCTAGTTTCATTGCAATCATTGCATAGGATTGAAACCTGCATAATAATATTCATCAATGAGACTCGGATTGTTGCTTTAAGTAATTTGCTTACAAACACAAGTGGGCATAATTTACCCATCGTCCTTGAATTTATCACTTGTGTATATTAATATGCCAATTTCAATTTGTAACAAAATAACAGATTGAATATCAATTTATTTAATAATATAAACCTTGAAATCAGATTTATACAAACTTATGCCGTGGCCATATAGTTGTTTAAAATGACTTTTTTTTTTTATCTCATGTTATTCGTATTATCTTGTCATTAAAACTTGTAAAATCTGATAACAATATTTGCATTATTATATAGACTGATATTCAGGGTGTCTATATTACAAATTGAAATTTATGCATATTAACTACACCAGTGACAAATTCAGGGACCATGGGTTTTTACCCATTGCACATTTATCTATATATGTACCTAGCATCCATAAGTATAATTATGAAAATAGAATCAAAATTTTGTGCACATACCAAACCAAAGATGAGGATAGGTGTATTCCAATAGCATTATAAAGTACCCTAAGCAATGTGTTTTTTTTTTTTTGGTTCATATTAGTCGCAAATACTATTAACCTAGGAAGACTTCTGGGAAAAGCTTTTGGGGGATTAATAGGTGACAACACTTTAGGAAACTTATTCCCTATAACCAAGGATGCAACTTTTCACAATGGCTTATAGAATACATTATATCCAACCTTGATCACTATTAGGACTTATGGACAATGGTGGAGAAACATGCATAGGCATTCCGCTCTTAAGAATAAAATGAAAAGGAAGGTTCCACTCATTCAAAATGGGACACTCTAAATAAAGCTTATTGGCCTTTAGAAGCCCTGGAATATGATAATTTGCAATGACAATTAATTGAAATGTGTGCTCATGTGAATGAATAGCAGAGAGGTGTCATTAGATGTAGCAACTGAATTAAAAGGGAAGTATAAATGAAAAAACTACCTCATATTGGTATTCCTCAGGCATTTGAATAGCTTCAATCTGTCAAAAGAAACCTCACAATGTCATTGCAGAATCACTACTTTACATATGAAAACAAAAATTCACAAGTAATTATAACAAGAAAAAACGACTACAAAATTAATGTTGAAACTAAAGCTATCAAGAGCTCCTTCACTATGTCAAGCTAGTCTAGGCAAAGAGGGCGACTGTAAGTAGGAACATGGTCATGTACAACCAAGCCCATAAGACAACTAGAAGCATGATTGACGAACAGCAATTCAGAATCAATTCTATTTGCTATTTAGGATGACTTTTGGCATTCTATGTCATCCATTGTCTATTTTACTTGCATTTAATGGTCTGCCTCAGATTAGTTCAAGAATGTATTTGAAAAACATAAATAAAGAAATGTACCTATTAACTTGATACAGCCTGTGTTCCAAATTGTAACTCACAATATACCAACAGTTCTCAAATCACAATATTAAAATGCCTGATATGAAAACACAGCTTAAGGGTTTTTGGCATGACATAAACAGGAAAATAAAGAAATACGACTACCATCCAAATCTGTAATAGTTTGTTACTAAATAACTTAATACTTAAGATGCCTCCAAATTTAAACTGGCAGATAGAGACAGCTACCACTCAATGCATGTTATCACTGACTTGATATAAATTCAAACTTCAATTCCAATTTTGCATTATTCTTAAGCTTAAGAGGGGTAAATTTTTCATACCTCCTGGTCTAGCGTTCTCCAATAATGTGACACATCCATCACAGTCTTGGAGCATATTGGACAGCGATACCTGGATAATAGATTCAACACATTGCATTCAATCTGTAGCACATGGACTTGTCAAAACTCAATGAAACAAAATAAGCACTGTAACATTTATTAGAAATTTACTGATTTTGTTCAGCCATCTGTTTAAAGCAATCCATGTGCATGGTGTGTCCACACTTCAGAACAGCTGCGCCTTTAACCGAGTCAAAAAGATACTGTTGGCACAACACAAGTTTTTTATAAGACAGAACTCTGCCTAATATTTTAAAAATTACAATGACCAAATTACAAACCTCATAACAGACTGGGCAGTAATTCTTCATGGAGTTCTCAAGGCATAAGTGATTCTCACGCAGTTCCACTTGATAGCAAGAACCTATATTGTTAAAATCATTAGAGAAGTGAATGCACATACACATATATTTAGTTTTTGGTGGTAGTATGACACAGCATCCTTCTTTATGATGTACAGAACTGTTCAGTTTAGGGTGTTAGAATTCTCTGCTTTGATCCCTTTATCATAAAGACCTATAATAGTCCATCAATCATAGAAGATATTCCAGACTTCCTAAAAACTCTCTATTTTCCTTCATTTGAACATCTGTAATGTCAGAATAGTAATTCTATGTATTCACATGTCTTTGAATACAATATTTCATAAAAGCAGAACCTGTGTAAGCCTCACAGACTGAAACACATTTATATGCATTTGGGAGTACTACAAGCACAAAACAGTTGAGTATGATGGCTCAATGGCTCATGAAGCAACTCTCAGGTTTGAAGACTGTATGTAGACCAGATATTACTCTGGAGATGATTGTATAGTAAATTTCAACGTGATAAACCAGCAAATGCAGATTCATAACCAAAAAGAAGAAAGAAACAATACATCCGCAACCCAATATCTGACATTAAGAAGAATAATCAGCAGTAACGGCAGGAGGAGAACTCTGTATTTATAACCCAATAACTCAAAATTGAAACTACAATAACTATTGTAATGGTTGAAATCAAAATGGGCAGTATTCCTTCCTCCACTGCAGTCTATGAATTTCATTGCAAAAACTCAGTTAAAAACAAACTGAAGCTACATACGTATTACTAAAAAACTGGGCCATTGAACCACGAGTAATCTGATCCTAACTCCTTGAAGTCTGCCATTAGAATTTTATGTAGTGAATATCCAATTTAATTACATCAGGTGAAAGAATATATAATTGCTTTTAGAATCCCTATATTGATGCATGTTATCCGAATCCTCCACCCAAAAAAAAAAAACTCAATTATCAGTAATGACCTTTCCATAAAGTTACTGCAATGTTAAAATATAGATTAGATTATAAGTCTTGAAAATGAAGCTCTCTTAATAAAGATGGCAGAAAGCAGAGGAAACATCAGATTCACACCATAAAGAACTAAGAACGTAACAATTTGTGAGACTACATACCACATTTCTCGCAGTGGAAGAATTTATCTCTACCTCCAACTCTAAATATCACATTTCAGATCAAATTAAAAATTTGATAGACAAAAAACACACAGCCCTAACAAATGAAAGTACATAAGAAATAAATGATTCTGCTGCTAACCTACAAATTCCGCATCCTTCACAGTGAAATTGCCCTTTGGTTGTCTGCAGTGAATGCAAGCATTAGGTATTACCACAATTAAATCGTTGCATTCCCAATATTCATCTAAATGATTAATTAATTAAACTTTTCTTACATCATCATCATAAAATTTGCATGTATCGCAAAAGTATTCACCCATCTTGACTCCACACTTCGTGCAAACTTGAGCAACCTGATATGTACCAAGGATAAGGAAAATATCCATCATTTTCTTCTTATTAGTAAAAAAGGAAGAAGAATAAGGCAACAAAAGCAAATTGCACCTGCTGCTCAGTGTTGCAAAGTGAACAGATAACCTGTAACATCAATTATACAACCGAAATTAAAGCAGGCATGAAAGTACACCAAAAATAATCTTCGTAAATATATTGACAAAGAGAACACAATAAAATGGAACATACTTGTTTAATATCATGCCTAACAATTTCATGCCGATCCTTAGGATTGCTCAACGCGCTCTGAAACGCACAAGCAAGGAACAAAATACATCACAAAAGCTATTTCCCAAAAGCATAGTAAGAATATGAGCAAGTAGAGATTTCCCAGAAGCATAAACAAGTATATGAACAAGCATATTACGGTGGCTTCGTTATGACAGTGACGGCAGGTAAAGATTTCCTGACAACATGGAGCTCGGATTTTGCATCTTCTACGGTAATGTTCGCATCTATAACAATCAAATTTGAAAAAAAGAAAAATCAAGCGTCCGCGAACACAATAAAATCAAAAGAAACAATTTGTAGATAGTGAGGAGAATTTTAACGGTACCCAAATTCCAGCTTTCCAATATCCTCTCCTCTCGGAGGCGGGGAAGCTTCTTCCTCCGCCATTGATTGTCCTTTGTTGTAGTATTAGGTAAGGGATGACAAGGAAAAGCGAGACGATGAAATTGAAGGAAGAGAAGGCGAGTTAGCGAAAACGAAAGAGGAGCATATTCTTCTGCATCTCCAAGGATTAGCTTTCGCCGTACGGGGCCCACAATGCTGCCACAGTCAGTTTTGGGCCTTTTGGCCCATATACCAATTTTCCAGGGCCATTAAAGGTTAAACGACCAATCGTAATTTGTTGGGAGAAAACGACGGAGAAAAGCAAAAACGTAACGTTTGAGGTTCAAAAGAGTCATATTATCAATAAAATAGGGTTTAAAAATATATCCGCCAAGCGCGAAACAGAAGACCAGTCCCAATAGAATAGGGTTTTCTTTGTTTTTTCTTTTCTCTTTCTATATTTAAGCCGTTTTAAACCCTACTTTTGTATTTCGTCACTATTAAGCAACAAAGCAGCAAAGAAGTATTTTATGTCAAAACAATGCCAGAAAATAAAGAAGCAAACAAGAGAGAAGTAGTGATCATAAACGACGATGAAGACGAAAAGCCAAATATTGAAGTTACTGGCAATGAGCGACATCATATTAAGTCCAGTAGATCCGAAAACCGAGAAATTGTACTTGCACTGAAGGCTAAACCTTCTCCGGTGAAATCTGCTACCCATAAGTCGTTGAAAGTCAAATTGGGAAGTTGCAGTAAGGTTGTCAGCGCCAGTGAACAGGAGAACATTGTGCGTAAAGAGAGTAGCAGCACGCCAGATTATGCCTGTGGGGGTGATCGAGATGAAGACAGATATGGTGACTGGGCAAAGGACTTTGCAATGGAGCTTTTACAGGAGCAACCAACAAAATCAATGAAAGAAGGCGAGATTGAAATGTTAGATAATAAGTATTATACGGAAAAATGGCTTGACTGGGAACTGCTACCTTAGCTCTTAGAACCTGTAAATATTTTTTGGTATGGAAATAAGATGATAGTATATTTTTACTCTTGAAAATTGAAAGGTTTTATTTGGGCATGGAAACGAAAATGTGTACATATTATAAACAGGCAACAGAACATGTTCTAATCAAGAAACAAAATCGACACTTCAAACCTATGTTGCATGGAAACGGAAACGTGAAAGCGCCGAAAACGAAGGTACTTTTTTATTTAAAGTGCGAAATTTCTAAAACATGGGGAAACAAAGCGCGAAGATGATATTTAAGTCTGAAAAGTCGAAGATGATTAGCGCGAAGATTATTTAAGTCTGAAAAGGCGAAGGGCCAAGTGCAGACGATATTTAAGTCTGAAAGGGCGAAGACGATATTTAAGCATTTTTTTTTTTTTCATTTAAGCACGAAGACCCTTTTTTTTTTTTTTTTAAATCTTAAATCTAAAAGCGCGAAGACGATATTCCAAACTGTGTATTATCTCTCGGTTCTTTTTTTTAATGGCAGAAGTTTTTTTTTTTTTTTAAATATAGGAAATAGAAATGCGGAGAAACGTTTTTTAAAAGCATAGGAAACGCGGAAAAACGTGTAAACATGAAATATCTCAATTATAAATTTTTGTCTAACTCAACTAATTCAGTTGGGCCCATTTTGCATATGATGACCTGACAAAATGGCTAAGATCAGAAAAAGACTAAATGGAATATTCATTTCCGAATTTTATAAATTCAACTATAGACACAAACAGTTTTTAGGACTATTAATTTTTATATGTAAAGTATTGATATTACATATAATCAGTACAGCTTTCAAACAAGGAATTTTACTTTTTGCAATTATATATTTACAATTATCCAGTAAATATTTAATCAATTTAATTTCACAAAATAAAACATTTGATACCTCTGAAATATTTTTTAGTGGATCAAATTAATTTTACAAGTAAAATAATTTTTACAAATTAAAGTATTTAATAAATATAATTTCCAAATTTCATAACTTGAAAGGTTAAATCCACACAATTAAACGCATAAAGATTAAAGGCATTTTTACGTATTTAAGTATGTACGTCCACAGAAAATTGTAGTTCAATCTGTCCAAATCAACACAGGCCAAAAAAGATGAGCAACAAACACTTTTAACTGTAAAGAACTTCAATACTTGAAAATTTTTCCATTTAGGCAATAAAATAACAAAACTGTGAAAGTTTTCAAACACTGTTAATATAATTAACTCTTTTCAATACTATTGCTAACTTTTTTTTTTTTTTTTTTTTTTTTCTTATAAAAACTAAAAAAGTTTAAAAAAAAATAAAAAAAAAGTAACTTAAAATTGGTCTGGCTCTAATTCCAAACTACCGATCGAAATTAGAACCGACCATTCTGAAATTGCATTAAAGAAGCTTCGATGTCATATTTTTTCAGCATGTCAACAACATGTCAACGTTATTACACAAAGGTTTGAAAAAAACAGAAGGGAATTTTTTTTTTTTTTTTTTTTTATTCATGCTATAAAACTAAAAAAGTTTAAAAATAAAAATAAAAAAAGAACTTAAAATTGTCTGGCTCTAATTCCAAACTACGATCGAAATAGAACCGACCATTCTGAAATTGCATAAAGAAGCTTCGATTCATATTTTTCACATGTCAACGTTTTTACTACAAGGTGAAAAAAACCAGAACGGAAAACAGTTCCCGAGTAGATAGTCTAATTTTGCTTATAAGAGATTGAATACAACAGGAAAACAACAAAAGCAATTAGAAATTGCAAATGCAACCCTCATATATGAATGCCATATAAAATGTGAAACTGGACTAGTATCACTAAGTAAACAAAAAATTTGCCACCATGATGCTGTCTACAGTTGTAGTAAAGAAGCATGCTTCCCAAGTATCAAACCTTCCAAGAGTTCAGTGAAATGTCAGGATTAGAAATCTCGAGGCAGCTGCAATAATACACTCCTTGCATATCAAAGGATGACACATGAGCATGAATTTGGCTTTTTCATCTCGTCTAGGTTCTTATCTGCAGCGCAACAAACAGTAAAGCCAAAGTAAGTATAAGTTGGAGGCAGTCGAGCAAATAGAATTTTGAAAACTGAACATGGAAGCAGCTATCTTCAGTTCTTTAGAATTGCCTTCAAGTGGCTCTACCAAATTCCTCCTCTCCCTACTCTCAAGGCAAAGAGATGCTAGGTAATTTAAACAGTAAACAACATTGGAAATTAGGTGTAGAATTGAGAAATTCTGGGACTGGAGTAGCTTAAAACATTATTGACATTGAGGTGACTACTTAAGTTTTCATGAAATCAATGCTCAGTTCAGCATCACTAGCATTTATCACCAAATCCAAGTTTTGCTCAAGGTCAAATAAAGTGGTCCAAGCATTCAAGAAAGATTCCACAAATTGCATTAAGACATGAAAATCAAGAAACAAAGTAAGTGAAATTGTATGAACCCATCTTCTTTTTTGCTGCAGGAGGCTGTACTACCACATGCATGGTGATAACTCCACCAGGAAGGTCACCATAGGTTATTCTGGAATCAGCAAGTGTCTTGTTATTCTCCAACACTTTACCAGCGTGTATCACTTTTAAATCATTTATCGACTTGGGCCATACTGTTTTATCTGTAAATCCAAAGGCTCCATTACAATCCAGACATGATATAGCGCAAGAGAGTACACGAAATTGCAATATGAAGTGGCTAGTTTTCTGAATACAAACATTCAACAAGATCAATCAAACAAGAAATAAAGTGATGCTAAAATTTGCTACGTTATCCATCAAATCAACCACTAACAGATTGACCTAATGACCACAGTGTGTTAGCCTGGAAAAATAAGAAATAAGCCAAAGCCAGCAGTATTACATCACAGGCTAGTTATGATTGAGATCATTAACAGTAGAACATATACACACAGAACAAAGATATTAATATTAGAGATATCAAGGAGACATTTGGTTTTGAACCCCTAACCTCCTTTACCTCAAGATGTTGTAACCGGGGTTGGTGCCATGATGGCTAGAAACAGAGCAAATATAATAATATACAAGCCCAATAAATTTAATCCTTCGAACCTTTGCAGTTAAAAAGCAATTGCAAATTTTACTAATCACAAATGCAAAACATTTACATTAAAGTGAAAAGGGGAATAGAAAGATCTAGTTAAATAACCTTGGGGCCACTCTGTAACCAGCCTTTGCTTTAGAGTTCCAACAGTCATAGAGGATGCATAAGTACTATGCCCTATATCTGTTCCATCATAAATGCGGAATTTAAGCTCAATCCGCTCCTCTCCTTCAGCCATAACAACGTTTCTGCTCTTCCACTCAGCTCAGAATTCCCAAACAATACCAAATCAGTAGAAGAAAAATCAGTCTCTGACCACTCACCTGCAAAAAAACACACAATATCTTGATTTAAAGTCAAGGTTTTCATACATCACTCTGTACCCAGTTATTCATATCGCTGACAATGAGATGATAAACCTCAGTTAAGTTTAGCTGTGCAAAATTGTGGCAAACTAAAAAAAAGCATGAGAATTAACCAAAATTTTCATGAGAAGCAAGTTGAAGTTGATTTTCCAAAATTTTTATGTCAGCCAAAGTCAATAGCAGAAATCTAAACATTATGAAACTTTGTTGCACTAACCTCCGTGAATTGGCTAAAAAAATTGCTGGGTATGAGAACATGCAAATACAGTACATCAGAATCAACTGTCAGAGAACCAATCCAATCAAGTAACCATGTCATATGATCCAAGGGGTTCTCCGTGTAACAGCTCTAATCTTGCCGCTTGTTTCTGCAATCAAATGCATAACATTGATTTAAAGAAATTAATAAACAAGCAAACGAAATACAAAGATCCACAACCATGGACTTAGATTAACAGAAGTGTCTATAACATTAGCATGCACAACAATCTTTAACAAAAAAATTTAAAGAAAGGAATCAAGAGAAATAAAAAACCCTAGGAATTCAAAATATGAACGCAATAAATTACCAAAAAAAAGAAAAAAAAAAGTTGTCTTCTCTATCCGTTGTTTTCTTTGCCACGAAATGAATAGAACATAACCAAGAGAAATCAAATTAAAATCCAAGCGCAAAAATCTTATGAAGAAGACGAGGGATCAAAGTAAACAACAGCTAAGAGAGACAGGAAATGATTGGTAAGTACCTTATCAAGATCAAGAATCCATGAAAGGAAGAAAGATTACTAGATCAGTGAAGAACCTCAAGAGAAACGATCGAACAGATCCCTTTCGAGTTCTCAGTTACAGTGTCGGTGCTTCAATTGAGGGAGAGAATCGTTCTCTGATAGTTAATTTGCCTTCACGATCCTTTTCTTTTCTTTTCGTTTGTCTCTCGTTCGCCATTGAAAATCTGAGTCTTCGGATAATAACCTGTGGTTATTGGCTGCATTTCTCGTTTTCAAAATCTAGTCAAAGTTCTTTATTGAGCCCAATGAAATCTCTACACGTATGTTCAAGCACGATTCACACTCCCAGTATTTGACTAAATTACCCTCATATAATATACTGAGCGGTTCAAGTAACGCCGCGGCGAAAAATAGTTGAGTAAATTAACTGTTCTGGTTGATGGGTGATTATTCGATCGCAAAGTTACAGAAAACACCAGAAGAAAAAGCGGTTGATAATCCGACGGTCCATATTGCGCGTAGACTAGAAACTTCCCATAGTGAGTCGTTACTGTTAGTTATGTGAACACCAGAAGAAGAGAAATCACAGGGGAAAATAATTCCAGAAAATGATTTTATAGGTAAATAATTTTATAGTGATCAAAATTCTAACTCTACAAAGATTTTCCATTAAAAAATTATAAGGATTTCTTTGTTAGAATTTTTAAAAAAATCTGATTTTTTAAAAAGAGAAAGCAGTAGAAATGGGATGAAAAATAATGAATTAAGTAACATTGAAGTCGAAATATTAATAGTAATAAATAATTAATATTTTGAATAGAGGCAGGGTTAACTGATTTTGAAAGGCAAGTAAAGGTTCCACAAAATTAATTTCCATCGACAAAGACTTATGTCCTAATATGCAAAAGATCTAGTCGACATAAAATGGGATATGGAAAAGAAGAATTCAATTCTTTTTAATTTTTTGAAGGGCATGTTTTAGATCTTGCATTGACCTTGCTTTTTCTTTAATGCTTTGGCCACAGCAACCTTTTCAACCGAAAAAACACTATATCATGTTTCTCTGTCACGATCGGTCTTATTCATGTCGAATCGGTACACCAAATGGTTAAATGCGTTCATTAGACATTGTTTATACTATTATCGATCTATTAAAATCAGAATAAGAGTGTCAAACCACTGATACCAAATAGCCGGATAAGTTACATCTATTTATTCCATCTATGCATATACCATATGTGTTGTTATTAGCTCAATTATAAAAAGCTTTTGGTTAACCTTGTGTATATCATTCGAGGATTATTGGCTATCCATTGTAAATTATATGCTAATTAAATAATGTAGTTTTGATCATTACCAAAATGCAATATTTGTTTTAACGAAATTCAGCAAGGAACACGTGTACGGTTGAGATTTTTTCTTTTTCATATAATGATTGGACCTCTTTTTTCTTTTTGCATTCAATATGCATTGGAGGGAATATATACATATATATACTTTAAAGAATAAGATTACATTTATACGAGAAACCTTTATTTTCTTTTTACCTTCAGTGGATTGATCAGAATCCATTTCCGAGAAAAGGAAGAACCACTAGGATGGAATCTGAATTATCATAAATGGTGTGGGTATATAGAATCTATATATGAAATTCTGCAATGGTTAATTAACTAAGAATTCTTTCTAATACTTCTACCGAAATATGCATGATTTTAAAATTCAAATGATAGAGTATATTTCAAGAACAAGGAAGCTAAAAATAAATCTTTTCATATAATTCTTCCAACATTGGTTTGAAAAGTTGTATAATCTCCAACCAAGTTTAAAAATAGAAGCAAAAATGATTACATTCTGGCTAAAATGATTTCTGTTCATGTGCAGAGGATAGCAGAATCCTCTGTTTGGGTTGAAAGTTTCAATTATTACACCATTAGAATAATATTTAGTTTCTAGTGTTAGGGCTATATAAACAGACAACTTTAGCATTTTACGATTCCCATGAGTCAGGACTCCACCTAAAATGATTTTGCGCCTTTCCCATTCTTTCTTGCTTTATTAGAATTGTATCTTTGTGCTATTGAAGAATCTTCTTCATATATATATATTTGTGTATAAGGTTTTCATTTAGTCTGTCCATCGATATCAATAAAAGAATGAAATATCTTTGATGTTTGTGGCACATTCAAGAATTGTTTCAATCCTGCAGAAAAATCAAACAAGAAACACTAAATATCCACCGTCAATCACATGAATAAAACAAGTGGGACTAGAAAGGTTTGGTCTGGGGTGGGAGGGACCAACCTTCAATTCCAAAAATCTCAGTGCTTGTTGTTCTCAAGCTGTCCATATCATTCATTAGGGTTCAAGATTTCTTGTCTTACTGTCATTTGCAGTTTAGGGTTTTTGGTTGCAACAACAATTTTCAATACCTCTGTCACTAAAATGAACATAAAAAATCCTGCTATTTTGTGTTCAACAAAATACATTTATTAACTTTTAGGCTTAAATTTAATAAATTCTCACTCCAGCCTTTTGCAGATCAGATTAGGATGGAAATGCATATATACTATTCATCATGATATAAATAAAGAAAGAAAGAAATGTGAGGTTTTGCTGATAATCTTCAATAATATACAAGTTTGGTTCTGTGCATGAAATTTTTCCATGTGTAAGTTAGAAGAAGGATATGTATAAACAATGAGAATGAAGATGCTATTTGGCTAAGTATAGCTTCAATCTTTTATTGTCTTAATGTTCATAATCATGCCACAAGGCTTGCTTCAAGTTTCTGTTAGACTAGAAAACACTATCACAGAAGAAAAAGAGCAAAAAAGGAAGGGAATGTAATACCTTTCTTTATCCAAGATAAAGCAGACGAATCGATAGCAATACAAACAAGAAAAGTTAAGAATCTTGCTTTCATACTTTCTGCATATGGTGGAATACAATAGGAAGTTCAAAAGTTTAACACCTCAAAATTCATTCCCTCCTTCCCAAATTGTTCTCTCCTTTTTCCTCTTTTGGTAGGGCCCCTTCAAGAATTTATTTCTTAATACATGGTGCTTATTTAATTTGAGGAATTTATCATAGTGTATTTGAAAATTTCTACCAGAAAATTCTACATGCGATCGATATTCTTCTTTAAGGAATTGAATTATAAGTTGTTGCTTTTCTTTTCTCTGTGGATTATATTTTAATCTTAGATATTGATTCTTGCCTTGGAATGTATATGGTAGAAGAAAATGGTGCAATGTCGAAATTCTGTATTGAACAAACAGAAAAAACTAGTGTTATGTATGTATGTAATTATAAAGATAATTAATTTCATTAACAAAAGGGGAAACATATTACACACTAGCTAATGAAAGTTAAGAAACACTTAACACAAACAACTACACATACTAACTCAGTACAATAGCACACTAGACTACTAAATCAAGCCAATTTTTATTACTTGACAGTGAACTATAAGTAGTAAAATTTAAGATAAAGTCTGATATGGCTTGAGCATTTGAACGAGATTGCCACTTAGGTGGAGGGACATGATTTCATTGGTAGAACCCATGAGCTTTCCACCGATAAAAACAGCTGGTACAGGCGCAGAACAACCCATCCTCAGGAGAGCTCTTTCCATTTCCCTGCCTTCAGGGTCTTGGTCAATCTCATAAACGAGAGGGTCAACTCCAATTCCTTGAAATAGTATTTTCACTGCATAACACATGCAACAGGAGCTCTTGCTGAATATCACTACTCCTTTCTCGGAGGCCAATCCCATCACCTTTTCCATGTTAACGATTTCTTGAAGAAAATGTTTCCTTAAATATCTAATATGGAAATGAGTCCTTTACCTTTTATTTTTCTTTCTTTCTTTTTCCTCGGAGTTTACTCAGAACCTCAAGACCATCAGACCGAATTCTGCTCTTATTCGATCCAATGGTACTGTAAATATGGAAGGGGCTTGAAAGGAACTGGGGTGGCTCGAGAGAAAAGGAATTTTAAAGCTCAAGGTTGTTTGAACTTATGCCCTATAATGCTCGACTATTTATAGGGACAATATCCTGAGTAGTATAGGACTTCTTTGTTTGAATAAGAACATTCAAAAGTAGAGTAACTTTACTACTTAGATGCCCAAGTTGATGAAAGTTACTTTTAAAGAAAGTGACTACAGTGTGCTCTAAACAAGTTGAAAAAAAAAAAAAAAAAAAAAAAAAAAAAAAAAGCTTAGAGTAACTTTACTACTCTAAGATGCCCAAGTTGATGAAAGTTACTTTTTGAAAGAAAGTGACTACAGTGTGCTCTAAACAAGTTTGAAAAAAAAAAAAAATAAAAAAAAAAAAAAAAAAAAACACAGCCTTCTTAAAAAAAAAAAAAAAAAAAAAAAAAAAAAAAAACACAGCCTTCTTGTGTATTCAATTTATCTCTCTGATTTTTCTAGTGGTGTAAGGCTAACAGACTGTAAACTGTGACACCCATTTGATATTATGACTATTTTCCTTACTTTTTTGCAAGATTGAAGGAGTAAAGCAATGTTTTTGGCGGTGTTACATCTTATAGACCAGTTATGCAGATTTTATGACAAGGCAAACAAAAAAAAACTAGAAAGAATTTCTCGAAGGCTAGTCAATTTTTAGTAGATTCCCACAATCATCTTCTTTGAATCCTAATGTTGAAAGATTAGGAATGAGATGGCTTTCGGTGCCTGTGATTCTTTGTGTTGCGCCCACCAACTTGTGCAGGATTCCTTCTTGCTAGCACACAAGCATGTGATAGATGTGAGTACCCGTTCTATAAAGTACTTCTGCAAACTACAAACGGTGCCCTCTCACATGTGTGGCTGAACAAGCTAAGCTCTTACACGTGCACATTCGAAATGCAAGTTCTTACAATGTTGCTGATTGCTCCTTGTTTGGACAGGCTCTCCCTCTCTCTCTCTCTCTCTCTGAAAGCATCAGATCAAGCATTCTTGATTGTACAATTAATCATCTAGCGGTATGTACTATATATATATAAACATCTGCATAACAAACAAACTTATGGTTTAAGCAACTTATCCATTTCTTTATGTGCATATATTAAATTAATGTACAAACCAATTATATTATATGTGTGTGTGTGTGTGTGTGTCATATTCGCATTAGCTTGTCTATATATACGATTAAAAAGCTGCATATAGGAAAAGTTTTTGGCTCTTAGGATATGGAAGAATACATATGAGAGGCGTAAAAAGTTCAAGAATCGCCTTTTTGCACTTTCCCTAAATTAATTAACGAATATGCAAAAGGCTTAATTACCATTGAAAATGCTTAGAAGCTTGTAATAAGGCCATGTGGGTGACAGAATCTAAAGATAAAGAACCCATCAACCGCTAAATATACCTTTTCCTTAGACGTCCAAAAAGCCTATATGGAAAGCCGGGGAAAAAAAAAAAAAAAGGAAATTAGAAAAAAGGCGCGAATTCCATCCTCGGCTGTTTCCTACGAGTTGATGGTTGTGCAGAGGAATTTCTGCTGACTGTTGCAATTTTCAGGTATCACTTTAAGAAATAGATGAAATTTTTCAGTTGGAATATTTTTAACCACTTACCGCCAAAGTGAAGTATTGTAGAAAACTTTAATTTATTCTGCATGTTAGACTAGTTCTAGTCATTTTAGCAATGGTTACACTCTGACCCATTTATTTTCTTGTTCCACATCTTCCTTCTTATTTCAAAATATATATTTAAATTAAAATTTTGATATTATTTCTGCTAGTATTCTTAATTAAAAAGGAATTGACCTCGGATTCTGTAAATCATGATATTTAAGAATTGAGCATATATTTCAATTTAATGCCTGTTTAATCTTAATCTACAGACAAACACGAACTAAGTAATAATTAACTCATCCAGAAAGATTAAATCTGCACATATGTTATGGAAACTCTTTGATTAGCCTGTCTTAGCATACAGTGTAGTCAGGGAACTTCAAAGGGCAGAAAAAAAAAAAAAAAAAAAAGGCAGAAAAAAAAAAAAAAAAAACAAGGGAAAAGCTGAAAGGCTCTTAATACAACATGTCTCAACACTGTATTAAGCTATATATAAACATATATATATATCATATATATAATATATATATATATTAGATATCATAGTACTACAACCAAAAAAACTTGAGCTAGTACTATAGGTTATTATTGCAGAGCCAGCTAGTAATATAGCATATATAGATATTCATAGTACTACAACAAAAACTTGAGTAGTACTATAGGTTATTATTTGCAGAGAGCTCAGCTAGTAATATACTAGTAGCTAGAACCAGATAGCTTTAGCATCTATAAGCATTTGCTTCAATGAGCCATCCAAATGAAGGGATAAGACATCTTTCGCTGAACCTACATATTTTCCACCAATAAAAACAGCAGGGACTGAAGGATTACATCCTAGGCCTCTTAAAGCCCACTCCATTTCTCTCCCATTGGCGTCGCGATCGAGCTCATGAATCGCAGGGCTCGCACCAAGCTCATAAAAAAGTGTCTTGATACTGTGGCACATGCAACATGAACTCTTAGTAAAGATGACTGCAGCCCTAGTTGATGCCAAGTCTCTCACCCTATCCATTTCTTGAACTGATCACTAACAAATCAAGAAAACAAAAGATAGTTTCTTTTGCTATACAGTCAAGTTCTTTGGCTAAAAGAAAGGGGGAAAAAAAAAAGAAGAAACTATGGCTAATGTTTCTTGGCAAAAGTCTGTAATAGGAAAGCTTATTTGTTTGTGTTGGGATGAGCTACGGTGGAGTATGAAGATTCATCAGGCCTTATTTATAAGGGTGTGGTGAGTGTGGTGGGGATTGCATTGTTTAATCGTTTACGGGAAAAAAAAATATAAAATGTAGATAATTAAATAAAACAATTAATGTTCTTTGCAGATATTTGTTTGGATAAGAAAAATGCCTCTCATGATTTGTTTGACAGTGACTCTTTGTGCTATGAACAAGTTGCATATTATATGTAAAACACATTCAAATAATCAAATCTCTCGAGAATGTCCGTACAGGCTGATTAACAGTTTTGGAATAAGAACAATTACTTCATTAAGTATTTAATTACCAGAAGGAGTTTATTATATATATGTATATATATAACTTTCGGCTCCGGGAGGTGGCATCTTGGAGGAGATTAATTAAATATACATTCAAGATAATGATATATCTAAAATAGTTTCTTCATTTGGCATGCAATTAGATGGATGCGAATATATAATTGATACACTTTTTCTTTATATCAGAACGATAATAATCTTCCAACATGAAGAATTTTAAGAACTTTATTCTCGTATAAATTTTCTATGTTAAATGTATAATGGAATGTCAAAGGCCTGGCAACTCTCTCGACCATTCAATTCCTTTACTTGCTATAAATATATATATATATAGTTACACAATTATCTTTTGGTATAAAATTAATCTCATTTCGAAGTTTATATGTTTCTTTCTATAAATATTTTTTCACAAATCCATCTGCAAACTTCATAGAGGTCGTACGTTAAATGTTAGAATTGAATTGTGTCTTATCGTTTTAATTAACTTGAAAATAAATATTGCCAGTTTTATTTAATTATTTTCATTAAGGAGTAGAAATAGGACTAAAGAGATTGCATATACGACGCATTTGATGAATATATCAAGAGCTTTTCTTGCGATATTTGCATGTCAAATTGGGTCAACTGTCATTGTAGCATCTGTTGGCTGATGTGGAATGAGTTAGAGTTTATCCAATTTTTTTTCCCATTTTAATTTTCCCTATCCATATTATTGGTCCCCATTATCATTTCCATCATGGCACACAAAATTCGTCACAGGGATTTTTTTTTTCCAAGCAAAAAAGAATTAAAATATAACAAACCTAGAGGAGGAACATTCCTTTTCTAGTTATTGCATTAACACTATTTCAAATGACATAGGTTTATGAAGTCAAGAAATGTAACTGTACAGTATAGATTGTTTGTTTTTCTGTTCTGAAATCTGAGATCATCCATCTACAAGAAAATCAAGATTATATTCTGAGATTTCCTTTCCCTTTCAAATTGAAATTAAGGTAGTATTAACTTTTTACTACACACACACACATACACACACACACATATATATATATATATTTCTCATCTCTGGATGATAATTTTGTGGGTGTGTGGATAACGAATGGCCTTAGGAAAAAGGGAAAGGCCAACACACAAGAAAGACAGTTGGAGGAATAAAAGCAGTTAATCGAATCTTATTATATATAGTGAATAAGTGCATCTTCTTGCTTGTTCTGCCTCATCTCAAAAAATGTTCAAGAATCCTTATATTGAATATCAGCGTCTTGAGAATATGCAGTATTCCTTGTTCTTCATGCATATGTCGGCCAATTTCGGTAGAGCTGATGATGACACGCAATTATTTCTACCTTTATGCATGGTGAACGTGTACATCTACCATTTGCCGTCACTTTGCTCTGTACATCCACTTGCAATTTTCCCACTTTTTCATTTTGTATTTCTTTATTTCTGTGTTTGTAGCTGGGGAATGATGGTCAGGCCTGAGTTGTTACGGATAATTTCCGTTTCTAAACTGGTTTAGCAACGGATCTTGTTCATTTAGAAACGGAAAATTGCATTCTATTCAGATTTTTTCCCTTCTAGTGCGGTGCCTGCCTCTTAACCCAAAATTTTCTTGAAATTTATTTTATAAGTTGGGCGTTCTTTTTTTTTTTTTTTTTTTTTGATTTTCTTTTTTTTATTTTTTTTTTTAACTTCATCAATTTTTAATTGGTGGAAATATTTTTTTTTTTTTTTTTTTTTTTTAACTTCATCATTTTAATTGTGGAAATATTTTGTTGCTCTCTAATATTATTACAAATCACAAGTTACTGATATAAATAGAAATAATTATTTCATTAATTCTATAAGCAGCACTGCTTACCGTTAGGTTAGAAGATCATTTAAATATATTTACTTGGACATTATACATATTATTAAATCAATCTTATTTTTCTTTCTTGATAATTTTCTTAGGTGAAAAAAAGAATGAAAGAAAGCTTCCATATATGATTGAAGGTTTGTGCATTAGAGGTAGCCCCATTATTTGGAGCAGATTGAAACGGAAACCTCAGAGTGGGCACAAAGAAATTGACTCAGAGTTTGGTGGAATAAGTAGAGAAAGATGGATTGACATAGCAGTGAGATACTAAGACAGTCAAGGTATACCAGCCAAAACGTCTTCCTCTGACTTTTCACTATAAGGTATCAATTATGTTAGCACAATGTCCAGTTCTTCGTCAATGTGTTGTAGAGATATTCATTTTGGAAGTTGAAAGATTCCAAAGCTTCCATTGATGTGGCTTCTTGTGATTAAAGAGACCAATACTTCTTCAACACTTGCAGAGAGGTGTCCGATTTTGATGTTTAAATTAAAAACTTAAAAGTCTTGTTTTGATGTTTATGATTTATTATAAATAATTTTAATTTGTAAATAAATTATATCCCCACTCCAAAAAATTATTAAAGCCCATTGAAGCTCTTGGTCTCGGGCTTTTTCGTGGAATACACACACAACGAGCGCGTTAAGCATTAATTAAGGGACAAAAGAACTAATTATTAAACGACATGTCAGTAGATTTTTTTTTTTTTTTTTTTGGGACAAAAGAACTAATCTATTAGAAACGAGCATGTCAGTAGATTTGTTTTTTATTTTTTGTGTGTGGTTGAATAAAATCCTAAATGAAACTACAGGTCAGTTAAGTGTAGCAAAGTCCCTCCTTAATCCAACCAAGCGCTATGACAAGCAGCTGCCAAAGCCACTGACTCCCTCCCGCCTCTTGACCCATCTCGCAATCTTAGGACTGCAGAATAACAGAATTCCGAAGCCAGTCCTATTGACACAAAAATAGGGAAACCTGACCTGGAGGGATTGGGAGAAATTGACAATCGTTGTCCGCGTTCGTGAGAACCAACTGCAGTGGAATTGAGCAGATCGGTGCCTGGAGAAGAGTATAGAGGATAGCAATGAATATATAGAGAATGAAGACATCGGATTAACAGTGATCCTATGGTAGGTTCAGACCCAATCATAAATTAAGGAAAATAAATCTTTAAATCACAGAAAATCTTCTCTTCAATCTTGACGCAGTAGAGGTACTTTTACTTCCATGTTTACTACGTATGGTGAATTCCAAGTTATTTAGAAAAGATGGGCCTATGTGTAATTAGGTTTGTAGAATCTCTAATAGAGCCCCAGATGCCGAATAGCCCTGAATCCTGTGGTGGCATGAAACCCATCATTGTGTTGCCATATGGAGCCATCCTCAAAATAGATTCCGAGGACCGGATGCTTATCATGATCTTAGAGAGAATGAGAGGCAAAATCTAAAATTTGCCGTCGTGTATCGAGGCCAGAAAGGGCAGAAAACCTAAAAGGATTAAAAATGTGAAAAAATTTAGTCAATATAGAACGAAACGACAATCGAAGAGTGAGGTTTCAGCTAATGGCGCGGGATCATCGCGCCAAAGTTTTGGGCTTAATTGTACAATAAAATTTAAAGGCCCATTTAGCTCAGGATACTTCGTTGAGCCGCCGCCTAAGCTTTGTTGATTCCACGCGGAAAACCCTAAAACGCAAAGATTTCTCGCCGTGCTCAGTCCTCTCTGAGGTTCGCTCTTTCCCTTTCAATTTCACCCTCATCATTGCATGCCTCATTATTCTCCATTACGTTTTGTTCCGCCACTTTGGATATAGGTGTTTTTTTTTTTTTTTTTGTGTGTGTGAATTATCCTAATAACTACAGGTCATTTAAGTGTAGCAAAGTCCTCTTATCCAACCAAGCGCTATTGCAAGCGCTGCCCAAAGCCACTACTCTCTCTTTGACCCATCTCCTAATCTTTAGGAACTGCAGAATCGAATTCGAAGCAGTCTATTGACACAAATTGACTGACCTGGAGGGGATTGGAGAAAATGACATCGTTGTCGCGTTCGGAGAACCAACTGCAGTGGAATTGAGAGATCGGTGCCTGGAGAAGAGTATAGAGGATAGCAAGAATATAAGAGAAGAAGACATCGGATTACAGTGATCCTATGAGGTTGACCCACAAAATAAGGAAAATAAATCTTTAAATCAGAAAATCTTCTCTTCAAGCTTGACGCCAGTAGAGGTATTTACTTCCATTTACAGTTGAATTCAATTATTAGAAAAAGTGCCTATGTTAATTAGGTTGTAAATCTATAAGCCCAATGCCAATAGGCTGAACTGTGTGCATAAACCATCATTTTGCCATAGGAGCCATCCTTAATCCGACGGTCTTCTTACTTAGAGAATGAAGGCAAAATCTAAATTTGCCGTCGTGATCGGCCAGAAAGGCAGAAAGTAAAATTAAATATTGTGAAAAAATTAGTAATATAAAAATAAAATAGTAGTTTCAGCTATGCGCGATTCATAGCCAATTTTGGGCTTAATTGTACATAAAATTTAAAGGCCCATTTAGCCCAGGGATATTCGTTGAGCGCCCGCTAAGCTTTGTTGATTTCACGCGGAAACCCTAAACGCAAAGATCTTCTCCGTGGCTCAGTCCTCTCTGAGGTTCGCTCTTTCTCTTTCATTTCCTCATTCTTTTGCTGCTATTTTCTCCTTCATTTTTCCATTTGATATGGTGAGAAAGCTGACAGAAAGAATAAGTGAAGACGTATATTTTTATTTTTCCTTTTCCTTTTTATCTATATATAGGTGGCATGTGTATTTTGCTTAGTCACTGTTATTTAGCTTTTCAAATTGATTATTGATTTAGAGTTTAATTTGATTTCTTATTGACTTGGCATGGTGGAAATTGGCTAGTAGAACATATTTGAACTCATTTTCTTCTTTGAAATTACTGGATTGCATGTGTTGTTTGCTTGCATAATATAAGAACTTACGCTAGTTTCTTACTTTCTGTTGGTTGGATCACCTTTTGGGTAAATAAAGTTAAGGATATGCTATTCCGTGTCTTGCTATGCTGATATGATGATGGTCAAGCATGTCCTTATACTTGCCAAGCAGAAGAAATTAGTTATTGATGCTCATGTCCTTTGTGTAAATTTGTTTTGTTCCTACGAGATCGATCCGGGCGTGTCTGATGCTTTGTGAGTGATAACTAGTTCAGTGTCAAAAAAACTGTTGTAGAATCGATGCTAGATGAAAGGCAGCTGGTACTGAGAAGTTGAAAGTCAATATAACATGTTTGCCTTTCTTGAAGCACTTAGTTTCATTATATGGATTAAATGTTTGAAATGCCTTCTTCTTTAGTTATTTGATTTTATTTCTTCCGTCCTTTTGCCTCTTTCTATTCTTCTCAAACATGCTGATTTCGGGAGGTATATAGGCCCTAAGTTATTCCTATCTTGATTCAGGTTTTCAAGTAATGGACACACTGGAGGAAATAGAGGAGAAACCATCCAGCGGCTTCCAAGAAAAGCAAGAAACTCGTGATGAAATGCTATCTAGGCATAGGTAAAAAAATTTGTTTTTGATCTATATAATCATTGCTTCTTCACCTAATTATATGAGCAGCTTCCTTTGTCTGAATTAGTTTGATACTACATTGGAGAATCTGCCTGTTCCATGGTAACTAGATATATTCTTTAATTTTCGATAGCATCCTAATGAGGTTAATTGGAAAATCCTTCTAATACCTGTTCCAACAGTCAAGACTGTTCGTGAAAGCAACTTTATGGCTGACTCTTTTACCAAGCAGGGTATACAGAGAAAAAGAAGGCTGCATTGTTGGTTTTAGGCTTGTCTTAATCTTGCTTATCCTCCACTTTTTAGCAGGAGGTGATGAAGGATTTTGTTTCATACTTAGCAACTCTTCTTTTTGCTGTCTGTTCATGGTGAGAAGTATGGCTTTTTTTTTTTTTGAATGCAGTGATCTAGGTCAGATTGATTTAGCTGAAGGCTTCAATTGAAGATGTGCTTGATATGCTTTGTGTTGATTGACCTGTTGTCTTTTTGGTTTATGTCTCTTGCTATTTAATTTTGCTGATATTATGATTTATGGTTTGCTGCTGCCTGCTGTATTTCTGGTTTATCTGAAAAAGTTCCAGCTGTTATGAACTTTTATCTTGTGTACTGGCCTTCTCCACTCTTTCTATCTGCAGTTAAGCTTCACTGGTATTTTAATTAAAAGACCCTGCTTAGCCAAAAAAAAAATGTTGTTTTTGAATGTTCTTCAAGGTTTGCATTTCATTATCCATTTGGAGAGATGCTTTAGTTTGTTTTTTTATTAAATCATATATTTAATTTGGATAGATTCTTATTGAGGCTTGTGTTTTAAAAATTATGCATGCAGGAAGGAGATAGCACAGCTGCAGAACAAAGAAATTGAACTGAAAAAGGCTGCAGCAAAAGGCAGCAAGGCTGAACAAAAAGCTAAGAAGAAGCAGGTTGAAGAGCAGATATCTGAGCTTTCGACTAAACTAAAAGAAAAGCATGCTGAAGAACTTGCTTCATTAGGATATAGCACCAGCAACGTGAATGAGAAAAGCAATCTTGACAATTTGGTGAAGGCCATTGCTGGTGTTTCTGTTACCAACGAACCAGAAAATGCCAGGATCAGCAAGAGTGCAAAGAGGCGGGGAAAAAGAGCTCAGCAAGAAGCAGAAAGAGAGCAAAGAATTCAAGAAGAGCAGAGCAACCTTGTAAGTGATCGGATGATTGAAAATGAGAAATTGAAAGAAAAGCTTGAACCCCTTGGCTTGACAGTTAATGAAATAAAGCCAGATGGACACTGCCTCTACCGAGCCATTGAAGATCAGCTAGCTCTCCTTTCTGGAGGTGCTTCTCCCTATACTTACCAAGACCTTCGCAAAATGGTGGCTGCTTACATGAGAGAACATGCATCAGAGCTCCTTCCGTTTTTCCTGTCAGAAAATATAATAGGAGGAGACTCTGGTAACTCACTAACTGATGTATTTGAAAGTTACTGCAAAGAAGTGGAGTCTACATCTGCCTGGGGTGGACAACTCGAGCTTGGCGCTTTAACTCACTGTCTCAAGAAATCTATAAAGATATTTTCAGGATCCTTCCCGGATGTGGAGATGGGGAAAGAGTACAAATCAGATGGTGGTTCTGGTTCATCTGATGGAAGCATATTGCTATCATATCACAAACATGCATTTGGCCTCGGGGAGCATTATAACTCAGTGGTGCCAAATTGATCAGGCGGGAACCATTATAACTCCTTCAAACAGTTACATTTTGCAATGCAGGTTCACTATTCTGTGCTGTTGTGAGAGATAAAGACAATTTGGAGCATTATGAAATAGTTGCTTCTTCTCTTATGATATTATTAGTTTGATGAAAAGAGAGCTCTTTCTATCAACGCAGGGGAAGAAAATTTAAATATTAAAGCTGCACTTGCTGAAAATTTTCAGGTAAGAATCCGAAATGCTAGAGAATACGTGCAACGCAATGGTTATGTTCACCCATTTTAGCTGTTGAATACAAATTGAAGAATCAAGATTTTGTTGCCTTTTATATAAATATACAGTTTCTGATAAATGATAATATAAGATTTTAGCGGTTGTAAGTAATTTTATGTGATGTAGATAAAATTACATTGATGCCCAGATTCATTCATGTTCATGTCGACCCAAAATGTAGTGGTTATAAGATTTTACTCGAGCCAGTTCTATGCTTCTTGAGAGCCTAAAGGCATTGGGGTTTGAATCGTATGATTATCGCAGCTAAAGTAATTGGCTTATTGCATACTACAAGTTTGGAGCGATTCTGAAGAAATTTTGGGCTTATGACATCCTGGATTTCCTTTATCTTTTCTCGTGCGGGCCTGGGATGCGGATTTCCTTAGGGGAATGTTTGGACTAAATAAGTAAAGATTTTGAAATTAATGAAATTTTGTAAAATTCATGGAAAGTCTAAAATTTTAAATTTATGGATATGTAAGCTTATATAGTTTGATATAAAAATCCATTAATTTTAACCCCTTTTTTGGGTAAACAAACAACAATTTAAGAATTTCTCATGAATTAAAATGAGAGGGTATAATTTCTTATGTGAGATTTTAAAATCTATGACAATGAGGAGTTGTAGGAATTTTGTAATTTTTGTAATAAATTTATGGATTGTTAAAAAAGTTCTTCACTCAAATTAACATTTTGACGATCATTGTTACAGATCTCCGAAATATGAGAATTATTATTTTCTTGTTGCCAACTTCAAAAGCTTCTTTAGAACAAATAGAAGAAAAAGCAAAAGAAACCACGCAAGAGATCTTTACCTCAGTCCTATAAATTTGTATTAATTTCAAAATACAAATACAATTTCCGATAAGGACATATTATTGGGATTACACCTTGTCGTTATATTAAAAAAAAAAAAAAAAAAAAAGAAATAAGTAATAAAATTACGACACTTCCCTCAACTGAAGCTTAATTATCCATGAGATGGATGACACAAGTGGGAAAGTGACAGAAATAAAATGATCACATCATGCATAAAGACGACATGTATGGAATAGTTATAACCTAACCACGTGCTCGACCAAAGTTAGAAAACAACTGCTCAAAGATAAAATATATGCTCATATCCACCCACTCCCTGCTACGAATTTCTTGACATTGAAATTTCTTCTTTCAATTATTTATATATTACCATTTAATCACAATTAAATCTTAAATATCTCAGATTTCGGGAATATATAATCTAGATTTCGAGCAATCTTAATTTGCGTTGTGTGTTCCAGTTGTTTTTGTATCAAAATTATATAAAAAAAAAAAGCTAAACATGCAATTTGAGTTGTGACTAAGGAACCTTAACCCAATCCATGCAATGCAATGCAAATATGTTATGCGAGGAACCGACGTCGATTGCCCGCTCTGCTTTATATCCTTGTTCTAGATAGATATAGATATGTATATATCCCTACTCCCCAAAGTTAAATTCCTCTTTCACAACTTTACCTATTCTTTCTCCTTTTTCTTGTCTCTTTGTATCGAACTTTCTCGATATCATATTTAAATATCTATCGGATATCATTTCGCATCAAATAATTAATTTTTTTTTTTGAATTAATATAAGAATCTTCACACTCAAATCAGTATAAAATTCTGTCAATAATAATAAATATCTAGGTTTTAAATCTCTAATTTTATAACTAAACTTTCTATAAAATATAATCCGTTTTTGGATATTTTACGATCTTAATTAGAAGTGATATGAATATTCATAGACAAGACAATAATTAAGGTTTTATAAAACCCTAGAAACAAAGCATAAATAAAGATGAAGTGGCCCTTGGCGTTGTCATGAGCCGTTTAACATATATAAGGAGATCGTACGTGTGTGTACGTACTTTTTTTTTTATTATTATTTTCTGGGTGTATAAGTAACAGGAAAGAAAGGAAGACGACAAATATCTCTATCTGATATATATGCTTCCCTATGATTCCTTCCAGACACATGAATAAGTTCTACATTCTTCTCATCACTCTCTCGCCAGATAAAGAAGAAAAGATATGCTGCCTTTTATTCTCATGTACGTGATTCAACTTGGTGACGCCTCAGAAGGGTTGAAGATAAAAATACACTATTGATTGAAAGATTTCGTTTTAGGAGTCTTGATCCTGCATTAATTCTCAAGAATATATTTCAGTTCTTTTTCAAATGCAGAATATTAGATTTTCTTAATTACCACCTGACTTAATTATTTTCACTAATTAAAGAAAAAGTCCTGCACTCGTATAATGAAGTTCTTGATCACCAATTATGTTTCAAGAACGTGTTTAAATCTCTCTTCTTGATTTTGTGATTCAACTAAGCTACGTATACGTGGTTTCGTCATTGTCAATGGCTGTAAAGTTAATTTACGAAATCACATGTTCAATACTTAATTATTTTATGAATTAAATAGGAAAATCTAGAAAGAAAATTAACTTTAAGAATCCTGGATGTTGCTGTTAGTGCATCATTTAGTGTTATTAATTAAGTGTTAACATATACTTAATTAGTAATTAAATGGAGATACTAAAAGCAAAGAAAAGGCATGTAGCCGTATATTCGAGTGCTTAATTTTAAGGCAGTGCTTGATTAGCAGTTTTATTACTGTTAATAAAGAGTATTAACCCAGTAATTAATTAAAGGAAAAATAGATTTTTTTTTTTTTTTTTTATATCAGAGAAATTCTAGATGGGTCGTCTCTGTCTCTTGGAGAAAAATATATATCCGTACAATGAAGGGCAAAGCATCTTTGCTTTCCAAAATTCACCTTTCGGTTTTTCTTGGAAGCGAATCTCTTATTGTGCCATTTTAAACATAAAAAAACAAAAAAAAAAGCTATCAATTGGATAAACCCAAATTCTCTTTGCACCTCTACAGATATGCTTCTTTCTTACATTGTTTTCTTTTCCCTTTGTGGTGAAAACTCAAGACAACACCAATTTGTGCGATAATAAATTTGTGGTTGAGTGAATTTTGGAAAAAAAAAAAAAAAAAAGTCTCTTCAATTTCTTACAGGAGCTTCATAAATTCTGAGAGATCTCTAGAAGACACAAGTCAAAAATTGAAATTTCCCAATTTCACTACAGATTGGATAGCAAATTGGATTTCTCTCTTCACTTATCAGCTACAAGAAGCTTTCCTGAATTTTTTATTTTTTTTAAAAATCGATTATGACATTATTGATGTTTTGCAGAGTTCCTTTTAAACTTCGACTCACACTTTGTACTAAAAAAAATTATAGTTAATTGCTATTTAGTCAAATGTATGTGTTTCAAAATCGCAAATGCTGACCAGGTTCTAGTAAATTTAATAAATTTAATAACAATAATAATAATAATAATAATAATAATAATAATAGGGTTCTAGTAAGAATATGGATGTTCTTTTACTAGAAAAAAATCACTAGTCTTTTTTATAATAAAATCATATGTTTTAATGTTTATATTGAGACTAATATTTAAATAAAATCCTTTTAATAATAGATTCATTTCTGATAATACTAATAGCCAAGCCCAAACCCATCTGTATAATCTATTAGCAGATGATGAAAGAATATCTGTTAGAAAAGAATATTTGCAAATAATATTGTATCCCTATTAAAGTGGGATTTGATTTTCAAATTAGGCTAGTTTACATCAATAAAAAATATTTGTTGCAGTAACATTGTTTTAGTCTTTTATGGTATCAGAGCTCCAAGACAAACGTCTCTTGATCCTTTTCCTTTCTTCTTTTTCTTCTCTTCCACAATGAGTGATAATTAATGAATAATAGGGTCTAAGGTAAGAATATGGATGTTCTTTTACTAAAGCAAAAAATCAGCGTGAGGTGCTTTTTATATAATGAAAATGCATATGTTTTAATGTTTATATTGAGTACAATATTTAACATAAAAATCCTTTTCATAATAGATTCATTTCTGATAATACTCCATAGCCATAGCCTCAAACCCCATCTGTATAAATCTATTAGCAGATGATGAAAGAATATCTGTTAGAAAAGAAATATATGCAATAATATGTACCCTATAAAGTGGGATTTGATTTTCAAAAAATTAGGCTAGTTACTATCAAAAAAAATGATTTTTGCAGTAACATTGTTTTAAGGTCCTTTAATGGTAATCAGAGCTCCACAGACAAAGTCTCTTGATCCTTTTCCTTTCTTCTGTTTCTTCTCTTGCCATGAGTGAATAACATATAAACTACAATTAGTAAACATTTAATGTAGGCTGCATCAAGGCTCCTCTAAAGCTCAACAGATCACACAATTAACCTTGCTGTGGAACTTCAGTAGCAAAGCTGTTAAAATAGGTTATGATCTTCTTGGCCCATATATGAATGGCGCGATCCTTGCCATGGGCTCCCACTATTTCTGGAACTTCCATCTTCCATCCAAGAATATAGTCATGTTGGATTAAGGCAAATCAATGCTTCTCCCATCAATGCTTTCGAATGTGTGCTCTCTCCACTTCTCTTTTCATTGGTGCTCTCTCACCTTCTCTTATTCCTTTCATTGCAACAGCCAAAACATCCAAACAAGCATGGGATATTCTTGAGACTACCTATGCCAAACCTTCTAGCAGCAGAATCAAACAAATCAAAGCTCAACTTAAAAGCATCACAAAAGGTAGTTCAACAGTTATAGAATACATGCAGGCAATTCAGATGAAAACTGATGAACTAGCAATGTTAGACTCACCTATGTCTAAGGAAGACATCACTGATCGTATTTTAGAAGGTTTGGAAGATGCTTACAAAGAAATCATACAGGCTATCAATGTTCGTGATTCTGCTATACCCTTTGATGAGTTATATGAAAAACTCATAACTTTTGAGGCAACTCTTCCTTCTGCTACACCAACATATTTTTCATCCACTGCAAATTATTCACAAAGAACTCAAAATAAGAATAGTAACAATCACCGGAAACAGCCTTTCAATCACCAAGCCAATCAACAAAGAAGCCAGCTATATAATCAAGGAAATCAGAACAACAGAGGTTCTCAGTATCCCACCAATCATAATCTCCATGGGCCGAATAATCAGCAATCTGGTCGTAAACCTTACCTTGGCCGTTGTCAAATATGTGCTACTCAAGGTCATTCAGCTAAACGGTGTCCTTCCTTTCGAGCTGTTCCAGTTGCAAGTCATCCACAAGCCAATTTTTCTGCAGTTTCTTCTTTTTCATCAACCCCATGGCTGCTGGATTCTGGTGCTAATCAGCATATTACTGCTGACCTCAATAATTTGTCTTTACACAGCCCGTACACGGGAATGGAAATTTGGTCTTTACCCTCAATAATTTGTCTTTACACAGCCCGTACACGGGAATGGAGGATGTGATGATTGGAGATGGTTCAGGTTTGAGTATCAGTCACACTGGTAGTGCTACTCTACAAACAACAATTAAAGAACTTTCTTTAGAAAATGTTCTTTGTGTTCCGCAAATGAAAAAGAATCTCATTTATGTTTATCAATTCTGCGTGAGTAATAATGTTTCAGTGGAATTCTCACCTTATTTCTTTCTTGTGAAGGACCTCTTGACGGGGAACCTACTTCTAAGTGGCACGCCTAAGGATGGAGTTTATGAGTGGCCTACATCAACTCCTTTGTTGGCTTTTTCATCCACCGTTGCTTCTGCCATTGATTGGCATTCTCATCTAGGTCATCCTGCATTATTCACATTCAAAAATATTATTTCTAATAATTCTATTCCATTACATTCCAATTCAGTCCAGTATATTTCTCAATGTAATTCATGTTTGGTTAATAAAAGTCATAAATTGCCTTTCTCTATTTCTACGCTTCAGTCTACTCAACCATTAGAAATTATTTTCTCTGATGTGTGGACATCTCCTGTAATTTCTACTGCTGGTTTTAAATACTATGTCATTTTTGTTGATCATTACACTCGTTATACGTGGCTTTATCATTTAAAACAGAAATCTGAAGTGCAATCAGTCTTCATTAGATTTAAAGCTCTTGTAGAAAACTTCTTTGATAGACAAATAAAAACTTTGTATTCTGATAATGGTGGTGAGTACGTTGCCTTAGCCTCATTTTTATCTACCAATGGTATTTCTTTTAAAACTACTCCGCCACACACACCCGAGCATAATGGCATTTCTGAAAGAAAACACCGCCATATTATCGAAACAGGTTTAACTTTATTATCTCGTGCTTCCATGCCTATTTCTTATTGGCCATATGCTTTTTCTACAGCAGTTTATCTTATTAATAGAATGCCTTCGAAAGTTTTGAATATTTCAAATCCATATTTCTGTCTTTTTGGTTCTAATCCAAACTATATGAAACTCAGGATCTATGGTTGTTTGTGCTATCCTTGGCTCAAACCTTATACACATAATAAATTGGAACATAAGTCTAAGCCATGTGTTTTTATTGGTTATTCATCTTCTCATAGAATGCCGTTGCGGAAAGTTTTGGGAAATATTTCAAATCCATATTTCTGTCTTTTTGGTTCTAATCCAAACTATATGAAACTCAGGATCTATGGTTGTTTGTGCTATCCTTGGCTCAAACCTTATACACATAATAAATTGGAACATAAGTCTAAGCCATGTGTTTTTATTGGTTATTCATCTTCTCAGAGTGCATATCAGTGTTTACATCTCAAAAGTTCCAAAATTTATACCTCTCGTCATGTTCAGTTTCTTGAAACTGTTTTCCCCTTTGCTACTTCCTTCAAGTCAGTGTCTTCGTCGTCGTCTCCAATTTCCGCATGAATAAATTCATCCAATGCTGCTACTTTTTCAAAAATTCCCATGCCACTCATTACTACGCCTATGGTACCTGCTACACCTAGACAAGAAGGTTCCACTGCTTAGAGACTTCTTCACAGCACAGACATGTCAGCTGCTATTTATGCTGAGGTTCCAGCTCATGTGCCTAATCTTGATGTTACAGTTGGTGTTGCAGCTCTTGTCCCTAATGCTGCTGTTCCTCCTCCTGTGTCTCACACTCAAGAGCAACATTTTGATGTTAGTATTCATCAACCAACAGTAATAAGTAGTCATCATATGGTCACATGAAGCAAAAATAATATTCATAAACCCATACAAAAGCTTAGTCTTTCTTGTGAGTTCACATCAAGCACTGACACTGAACCTCGCACAATTTCACAAGCATTCACAGATCCTAAGTGGAGGAAAGCCTGTTCTGAAGAATTTGATGCTTTGGTGAGTAATGGGACTTGGAAATTAGTTCCTCCTACTGATTCTCAATGGGACTGAAATGTTAGTTCCTCTACTGATTCCAGATATCCTGGTTGGGCTGCAAGTGGGTGGTTTTTCGATCAAGCGTAATTCAAGATGGACGGTTTTATACGATATATATGCCTGGTTAGTGGGCAAACAGGCTTTCATCAGGGTCCATTGCTGCGACTTTCATCGAAACATTTAGTTCGGTTGTTAATACCAATAACTATTCGACTAGTTCTGTTATGTATAAGGCAGTTACTTTAATGGGTTGGGAACTACGTCAACTCGATTGTTAGCCCATGCTTTTTACAAAGGGCCATCTGACAGATAGATGTATTATGGCCCAACCAATAAGGGTTTTCCAAAGTATATAGATACAACCCATTAATGTTTTGTCATTACAGAAAGAATCTATGGGTTGAAACAGGCGCCTAGGGCTTAGGTATCAACTCTACGTCAACATCTACTGGATACAGAGTTCTGTGTTCATTCCTATTCAGGAATGCGTTCTAGTATAAAGCATCATTCAAAAGTATTTTGCTTTCTTATGTGTATGTTGATGAAATCAATAATCACGTAGTTGTACAAGGCTTATTCCAACGATTATATCACTGCTTTTGGCACGGAAGGTTTCTCTATCAAGATTGGGCTCAACCTGCACTACTTTCTGGGTATTAAAAGTTATACGCCATAATATATTAACTATTGTCAATATATAAACGTCAATAAATATTATAAGAGCTATCTGTGTCGCATGACACATAGAGCATGTAAAAGTCAGTAATCCCACACCAGGAATGGCAAGCAATACTCACCCATATTGATCGCTCACACAGGTTACTGAAATGTGTCCTGATCCCGCGCAGAAATATTAGAAGATAGTTATAAAGTGAAAGCACCTCTTTTTTTTAAAAAATATTTAACTCTGACTCGTCAGATCTTGCCATTCTTTGTCAATCCAATACTCTCAAGTTTTAATCAATGCAACCCACAACAGAAATTGGCAGCACAAAGCGACTTTTGCGGTATTGATTGGAACCGTTGAAAATTGATGGACTTCCAGCCTGTTTAAAAGAAATTCGCCACTCTGTTTGCATACTTCCTCTGGATGTAGACTTGGGGAGGAAGAAATCGTGATGGGCTACATTCGACTTCGGGTGAGCATTTGTTGTGTGATTTTGTTGCAAACTTTGGATCGTTTCGTGGATGCTCTAAGAAACAGAGAAATCAGTTGCGCGATATGTCGCGTGGAAAAGCTGGAAATAATAAATCAGTGGATGGCACACAAAATGCAGCTGAACGCTCAAAAATTGGGTAATTGCACTTCTCTTCTTGAGTTGCTCATGTTCGAAAATTGAAGAAATCGCCCTGTGATTTAATTGCAACAATGTTGGAGCGACATCAAAAGCTGAGCTCTATTCCGGTATTTCCACTCTCGTGAAGCATGTAGCGATCTGGTTTTCCCAACTTTATTTCAATCTGCCGGCTAAGAGGAGGAACACAGATGAATAATCACTGTAGTTATTGAGTTTATGTATTCCTATGATGAAATAATGGGGTTGACACTGTGAATATCGCACAATATTGTTTCAACTGCACTCTTATTCTTCAAAAATTGGAGCATTGGAGACTTGGTCCTATGCACTGTTGGCTTATAGATGAAGTCGCCAGAACTACTTTGTAATTGACGCTATCTTAGTTGGCGAGAGCAGGTCTGGTAACGTTTTAGAGAAGTGTAAATAAAGATTCTGGTGGGGTTGTCTGCTATAGATCTTGGCACATACACGCTGCCGCCTCCAGCCCATCCATATGTTATCTATTCAGCAGACATGTATGAAGCATAATCTGTTTAGGACAGAAATATTTGCAATTAGCAGATGATGAAAGAATATCTGTTAGGAAAGAATATTTGCAAATAATATTGTATCCCTATTAAAGTGGGATTTGATTTTCAAATTAGGCTTAGCAATATGCTAGCAATCTGTATAAATACATATAGTTTACATCAATAAAAAACATAGGTTGCAGTAACATTGTTTTAGTCTTTTAAATACAGTCGTCTGTCAATTTTTTAAATTGTAAATAAAAGAATGAAAAAAATCTAGAATGGTCACTGCTGTTAGGACACAAATGTCCTTAGGAATCTATAGATTTTCCTATGGTGACAGTTTGCTTGCCAATTAATTAATAAAAAAGAAATGTCTATATCAAGTAAGTAATCATCAAGAGCGTATGTTAAGGGAATCAAAATTTGTGACACACGTTTACATTTTATTTTGTTTCAGCAGCCGATATTCTGCATATCACAAACAAAGTCATTTTTCTTTTTCTTTTCTTTTCTTTTCTTTTAAAAAATAGATAAATTTTCTTTTTTAAAAACAAAAATCCAAATTCCACCACCATAAATACATCTCAAAGGGCATCAACTCTCTCATCAACTAGCAAAATTCAAAGCCTTCTACTACTACTACTACTTCTTCTTCTCTCAGCAAAATATTTTATCTGCAACTGAAAGGTTGAAAGCCAAGCCATGGAGGGAGTGACAAGATTGGTTGGAGATAGGCCACTGGTGATCTTTAGCAAGAGCACATGTGACATGTGTCACTCTATCAAGACATTGTTACATGGATTTGGTGCAAACCCTACAATTTATGAGGTGGATCAAATTGCAAATGGGCAGCAAATTGAAAGAGCATTGCAGCAATTAGGATGTCAGAACTTACCCGCTGTGTTCATAGGAGGTGAGTGTGTGGGTGGTGATAGGCAGGTGATGAGCCTTTTGCTCAAGAACCAGTTGGGACCATTGCTGAAGAGGGCTGGAGCCATTTGGGTCTGGAATGACTAGTCCTTCTTAATCATCACCAACCCTAGCTACTTTTACTATATATAAATGCATTAACATACAATAATAATAATAATATATAGCATGCATAAATTGTGTATCGAGAGCAAGGTTTAGATGTACTTTTATGGAGAGAAGTACTTTTAACTTGTGACATATGAAGTTTGTTTTAGCCTTATATTTAAACTGTGTTGACCATATTGAAGCTTTGTTTTTAGCCTTTATATACTTATTATATATATATATATATAATAGTATATAAATAGGAGTAACATTAAGGTATGGCTAATCCTTTTATGTTTAGCTAATAGCTAAGTTTCTTGCCTTCTTGGCTTTATTTAATTAACTTGTACTTTATATATTTTATATATAATACTTATATATATACTAATATAATATATATATATAATTAGTAATATATATAATATTGATAATACTGATTTTGCCTTGCATTGATAAATAATATTAAGTGGCCCTTTCTATTAATACTTTATTTTTATGATTCAATGAGTCAAGTAGGCTAATACATACAATTAAATGCTCTACTATAATGAACAATCCCTGCATTTATATATTCCTGGCATTTCCATTAACTATTAATTATTTACGTCTATTCTCTGTATCGGATTGTGCTATTATTTTTTGTTGCAACTGGATATATTGTAATACCTATTTTGCTGATGATAAATAAATTAGTGGCCCTTATTAATATTTATTTATGATGCAATGGTCAAGTAGCTAAAATAAATTAAATTGCTTCTGATATAATGAACAATCCCTGCTATATATATTCTGCATTTTCATTAACTATTAATTATTTACGTCTATTCTCTGTATCGATATGTGCTATTATTTTTGTGAAGGCAATGGAGAAGTTAGCAGCGAATGGTACATTTTAAAATTCAAATTAGATACATTTAAAAAAAAAAAATTGCAATTATGTTCTCCAATTGCATTAATTCAGAAACAATTTATAATTTAGATATGGTAATTCGAGCTTAACTTATACTAACAAATAAACTCCTGGAGTTTAATGAGTAAACGTCATTAAGTTTAGGAACTTAAAAATATATTTTGTCTAAATTTTTTGTAGTCTAGATGTTTTTTCTTTTAATTGAGTAGGAGGTATTCCCTTTTCTTTTTGGTATAAACTAATCTCCTTCAAGTCAAGTCGCGTTTTAACTCTTTCAATAAGTGCACTTTTCGCCGGCAATCAAATTGATCTTTTCATTCTTATAGGAATTATAGACAACTTATGTTACTTTAGCCAACATTTTAAAATTTGAATATATTAACTAATTTCTTTTTTATTTTCATCACATCATATATAATTTTATCTAATTAATTTCACCATTGTCTATACTAAAAAATTATTCTAAGTTCAAATCAGAAGGTTTGATTGCTAATCTTACCTACCTCATTGATTGTGAATAATTTTGGAATATGGAAGGGGCACATAATAAGAAACCAATGTGACTTTAGAATATAATTTACTCACTTTCTTAGATTAATTGAATAATGAAATTAAATAATACTTATTTCGAAATAAATTAATTAAATACTTAAAGAAAAGATCAACAATAGTGTTGGGTAAACCCAGTCTACAGTGAAGGGAAGCTTATTTGAAAGTTAAAACTCAAAAAATCTGTTTGACAAGAACAATATATGAAACTTTAAAGAAATGTATAGTAAGAAATGAGCAATTAGAAAAGCACGTGATGATGAAAAAGAAGAAAATAACGGCTTCATAATCTAAAACAAATAGAGAAAGATGCCTCTCTAATCACTGATATTGAAATTCTTGTTGATAACGATGGTGAAGCCAACCAGATTTAGAGAATATAATTTTTTTTTTCTTTATCTTTAATTCATTATCAGAATATTTATGATAACAGACAAATGATTCTGTTGTGTGCTTTCGTTGAAACTACTCAATATTAATTGCTTAGATATTATATATATATATATATATATTTCTATAATTTGGAAAATTACGTACTAACCTCTATCATCATCAACTTGTTTTTCTTTTTCTGGTTTTCCTGCGAGTTAAGGAATTGAAACTTATATGAAATAGTTAGTGTATGGGTAATATAATATATATACCAAACGGAGTTTGGATTAACGTTAACAGTTCAAATCCTTTTTGATGTTGGATTGATGAAAATTAATTCCCAGTTGGAGTGGGATAAAAAGATTGATTTGTATAAAAAGAAAAACATGCAATACTTTTATTTATTGTTTTGTTTTACATTAGACAAGCACAAACTAAACAAAGAGAAGATGCCAAAGAATAAAGGAAAAGGAGGCAAGAAGTGCAAGAAGGGAAAGAAGTCGAACGAGGAGAAGGATGATAAGCGAGAGCTGATATTCAGAGAGGACGGTCAAGAGTACGCTCAAGTTCTCCGTATGTTAGGCAATGGCCGACTGGAAGCCGTGTGTGATGATGGCATCAAGCGGCTCTGTCACATTCGAGGCAAAATGAACAAGAAGGTCTGGATAAACGCTGATGATATCGTTCTTGTTGGCCTTAGGGATTACCAGGATGATAAAGCTGACGTCATCCTAAAATATCTGCCTGATGAGGCTCGTCTCTTGAAGGCTTACGGCGAGTTGTCTGATAACGTCAAGTTGAACGCTGGGATTGATGATGAGGATGCCGATGCTGGCGACGATTACTTCAAGTTTGGGATTGAAGATGATGAACAGAATATTGACAAGATTTAAAGGGTGTCTTTCTTTCTTTCTTTTTTTTTTTTAATGTAGTTTGTTAGTTAATATTAATATTAATAGATTATTGGTTGATTTTAGATTTTCTTTTCTTTTTTCCAATATACTTTTGTTTTGATAAAATTTCAATTATTATAGATTTAAAACTAATTAATAGTTTTTACAAAGAGGAGGTATTGTTTGATATCATGTGTGTAGAATGTTTTTACTCTTTTCTTCAAAATAAAAAAAAAATATTTAAGAACAATTTAAAATTAATGCTTATATTTAAATATATTAAAAATTTTGAAAAGAAAATAAAAGAGAGGAAAATTTTGAAAAAACTGCTTGCGTATTGGAATATAGTCGACCATGACTCAATTAAAAATTATTGTATTTGAATATATATATAGAGAAAGAAAATAAAATTATTTTCCCTCTACTAATTTGTAATTTACCTTTTTGTCCTTGAAAATTTTCAAAGAAAAACAAGTCTTCTTATTTTCTTTCTTATCATATTTTCCCAATATCCAAACGCAGCATATAGCCTATTGTAGAGTGACTAAGGTCCACGTGGGTACCCCCCTTTGTTGTTCCTGCTAGGCTATGGCTTGAAAAACATCACTTTGAACTCTAAATTTGCACTCTTTAGTCTGCCTTTGAAGGCTGGCCACAGAGAACATCAATCATTTCAGCCGAAGCAAAGAATGGTTAAGATCAACGATCAACGAAATTTCTTTTGTAGTTTGGGAAAAAAAGGGCGGCTGCCATGAAATTGATGGTTAAAATTAGCCCCCACCAACTTTTAACTTTGAAACTAAATCTAATAATTACCTATTTTCCAACATGTGTCGTTGACTAAAAACTCTTTAACCTTTAATTAAATGGGTAATTAGGGATCCTAATTAATTTAATTCGTAGCTAGTCTTGGACTCTTTTGGGAAATTCATATTAGCCGCTCGATAATCCACCAGTGGATGCCTACACATAAAAAAATGTACGCTTTTCCATGAAAAAAATAGAATAATTAACGTGATGATAATAATATAATAATTAATTAATTAGCACTAACCTCCCTCTCCCTGTGTTTTGTGATCATGAGCATATTTTTTGAGTATCTTGTGCACACTGTCGAGAAGAAGAAATAGATAATTTTCAGTGGGCTTCAAAGGTATATCTTCAACTGCTTCTTTTCTTGTACGGATTTTGTAATCTTGCCTGCAACTAAGGGCCAGATTGCCTCTTAAAAGGGCATTGTTATTTCCTTCAAAAGTTCAAAAAAAAAAAAAAAAAAAATTTTTTATGAGTTATCTTGTGCCACAACACTGTCGAGAAGCAAAGCAAATAGTCATCATTCTCAGTGGGGCTTCAAAGGTATATTCTTCACGACTGCCTTCTTTTCTTGATACGGATTTTGACATTCTTGCTGCCAAACTAAGGGCCAGATTGCCTCTTTAAAAGGGCATTTGGTTATTTCTCCTTTCAAAAAGTTCAAAAAAAAAAAATAAAAACAAAGAAAAAAAAAAAAAAAAAAAAAAGAAAAAGAAAAAGAAAAAATCTTTGTCTCTTAGAGCTTTCGGTTTTCTTGAACTGGGGTTAAGGCGAATCTTGCCATAGGCAAGAAACAAGAAAGTGCTTCCCAATTGGATAAACCCTATTCTTTCTCCGACTCAGCAGATGCTCAAAAATAGATAGAAAACACAGGTTCTCTTCTCCCTGATGTTGAAAACAGCAGGAAAATATTATTTGAAAATGCAAAAAAGGAAAAATTCCAATTAGCCAGAATTACTACCTTGATTTAGCCAGATGAGCAGCTAAGCTACCTTAGAAACGTGCATTAGCTTCTTATGGTAAGCCGCAATGGAATGTAATAAAATATAATGAAACGTATTTCTATTATGTTGTATAATGTCTATGATGTCTATATTACCATTAGAAATGCTTTTATTACAATACATTAATTACTATATGATTTTAATAAATAACTACAAGCAATAACATAACATGGGACATTTTACAAGATAATAATGTCCTACTATGCAACTTAATATTCAAAAAAAAAAAAAAAAAAAAAAAAAAAAAAAGAAGCAAAGAAAAAAGAATTGAAAAAAAAAAAAAAAAAAAAAAAAAAAAAGGAAAGAAAGAAAAAGAATGTAGATAGACAAGTCTTGGTCAAGCAATCATGAAAGCTAATAAGGGGATCTGTTGACACGTCTCTAAAACAGTTTATTCTTTTCATTCTTGATATTCTATTCTGGAATTGCACTGTCCAATGTCCACTTCTCTAAAATCTCCTGTATAAATAGACCTCATAGTTGTTAAACTTCCTCACAGCCAGAACAAGAAATACTCTCAACAAATTCCATAAAATATATACTGATATTGTCAATTTTTAGTCTTTCAATTAGCAGCAATGGAAATGGTGAACAGCATGGTTAAGGAAAAGCCAGTAGTGATATTCAGCAAGAGTTCTTGTTGCATGAGTCACTCTATTAAGTCATTAATTTGTGGATTTGGAGCAAACCCAACAGTTTATGAGCTTGACAGAATCCCAAATGGCCAACAAATTGAAAGGGCACTGGTGCAGCAACTTGGGTGTCAACCAAGTGTACCAGCTGTTTTTATAGGCCAAAAGTTTGTTGGTGGTGAAAAACAGGTTATGAGCCTTCATGTCCAAAACCAGCTCATTCCATGGCTTATGGATGCTGGTGCTATATGGATTTAGTTTCAACACATCTACTGATGCTAAACAAGCTTAAATAAGTTTTTTTTTTTCCTTTCTTTTTCCCCTCTAGCTTTGTCTGGTTTTGGTTACTTAAACCAGCTCAAAATCTCTGTTCACTTGTGCTTTTTTGCATCGGCAGGATTATACTCATTTTCTGTAACTTATAAGTCATGAGCCTGTATTTTAATTCACTTTCAGTTGTAATATCATTTATAATGATACACTAAAACTACCACTACCTATATCCTCAACTGAATGTTAAAACTCTGTTTATCATTACAGTAGACTGTATAAACTTAAATTTTACAGGAGACATTAAGAAAAGAGCTGCTCTGCAAAATTTTAGAGTATAGATGTCAGAAAAAACCATTGAACTCTTCCTTTTGGATTTGCATACTTAATTGAGAAATTTAACAAACTGCAGGAAAATTCAGATTTCTCCATACTCTTGATAAGTGATGCATCAAATGACTGCAACTGTGAAACACGTGTTACTTGCAAATTTGTTCGAATGCTCACATCAAGCACAAACTGACAAACAACAAAATGAAGCTGCATCAATCCATGGGAATTCTGCTATCTGAATCTCAACTTGCCTGTCAGAGAATAATATATGTTTTGAGTGCCAGCTAAAGGAACGGAGGCTAAACTAATCTTTCGAAAGTTCAAAAAAGTCGCATCGTCTTTTTAAGGCCGGATAAGTCACATTCTTTTGGATTCTGATATTTATTTCTCTACGATAATTGGAAGGACAATTGTTAGAGAATTGTCTCTGTTCTCCACCAAGAAAATGCAACTCACCTACCTTCCTAGCATTGGAATTTCATCCAGTTGCATCATATCTAGAAAAGGCATTGGAAAATTCGTCCACCAATCAATCAATTATGCAATGATATACACATTAGGATTGAAAATCCATAAATAGATTAAATCAATCAAACCCCACCTTATGTTTATTGGTGAAAACAAAGACAGACTTGATTTCTGGAGCTGAAATCTGCTATGTTCAAGAAAAGATGAAATTTTGAAGAAGCATTCAGAGCAGCTTCAGAACAGCTGTAGTATCACTAGAACAAACTTGAAACTTTAACAAAATAACCAGAAACAGAAGTATAGAACTATTACAAAGCATACACTAATCCAATCATTTTAAGACCAAATTACAAGTGTTAAAACATTCTCATCATGATCAATAAATAGTGACCTTGCATTGCAGAACAAGAATTACATGTAAATCCACTGCCTTCATGCAATCAGCCATTGTTGTTCATATTTTCATGATCACGGAAAAATTGACTTGACTGACACTAAATGAAAAATGCCCCAAAATTACAATCATAACAAAAGAACAATAACAGAGCATAACAAGCAATCCAACAAAAATCAGAAAGTAAATTTTTTTCAGTGCTTTTATTATTGATTGAAGTAAGTTGTGAAATAAATAGAGAAGATCTTGAAAAATCTACACAAATTTATATTTCCATCATCCCTGAAAAGCAATGCAGAAGGTAATTTTTCACTTTTGAATGAAGTCTTTCAGAATGTCACTTCTCTGCTCTAGCTTTGCATTTCTTCGCCAATTCGCAACTGCCCTCGATACAGTCGCATTTGCCTCCCGTATCTCCTCAACAGAGAACTTGTGCTCCACTATTCCCAAAGGTCCAGGCTGCAGTACCTTAACCACAGTTTCCATCTCTTGCTCAAGCTGCCTGTGCAATAGAAAACAGTAAGTAATCTAAAGCAAAGAGAGAGAATAACATAAAAGAAAGGGTAAATTATTATTTAGTCCCTCAGGTTTTACATAATTAACCAACTAATCTCAAGTTTTGTGCAAATATCTAGCTAGTCCCTCAGGTTTAACTCCGTTTAATTAAAAAGTCCTTCCGTCCGAAAAGTTGATTTTTTTCCGTTAATTGAAGACTAAAAGACTAAAATACCCCTCCCTCGCTGACGTGGACTAGTATGAAGCGATAAGGGAAAATTATTATTTAGTCCCTCAGTTTTTACATAATTATCTAACTAATCCCAAGTTTTGCGCAAATATCTAACTAGTCCCTCAAATATCTAACTAGTCCCTCAGTAAACTCCGTCTAATTAAAAAGGTCATTTCCGTCCGAAAAGTGATTTTTTTCCAATAAACCTCAAATATAAACAAAGTATTTTAGACCAAATTTAGATAAATATTTTAGAACAAACTTATTTTCTCTAATCTTTGAACAAAGTATTATGGAACAAAGACAGTATAATAAAAAGGATAAAAAAAAATTTTGATGTTCTAATTTAAAATATTATTAAAATTAAGTGAATCATGGAAAGTAAATACACTTCTTCAAAAAAGTAAAATAGCCTCATTTTTCTTTTTACCCCAAAATTATCATCATATTCTTTTTTAGGAAAAAAAGTAATAAACATAAATTTTCAATATTTTATTCATATTATAATATTGCAAATTTACAAGAGAACAACATTACATATTATCATTGATTGAAATCTAGAAAAAAAAAAAAACAAGTATTTTATCTATTCATAAATTTTAGTATTTCAGGCTTACTACGGGCCTCGGGGGTCTTAAGCTTACCTGGGCCCTAGTGCCGGTCCGGCCCACGGAAACGGGTCGTGACAGTAAGAGAGGAGATGTTATATGATTTTGAAAAATTATAAAAATAATTATTAAATTTAATATAAATAAGGGTAAAATTGAAAAAAAAATTAATTACTCATTAATATTCTAAAAAAAAAGATATTTGCAGAGAAAACACAGGCTCTAAAACAATAGTTATTTATAGATAAAAAAGTAATTATTATTGTCACCTATATTATTATAATTTCACAACTTTGAATATGAATATTAATATTTAATGTAAGGTTATCTGTGTATTTTTAATCCAAGGTTCATCTGTGCAAAACGAACTAGGTATATCATTTATGGCATGGAAAGGAATAAAAGGGGGAAAAAAGAAACTAGGGTATCATTAATCGCTTCAATACTGGTCCACTGTCAGCTAGGAAGGCGTATTTTAATCTTTTAGTCTTCAGATTAATGAAAAAAAATCCAAACTTTTGCGGCGGAAAGAACCTTTTAATTAGACGAGTTAAACCTTGAAGGGACTAGCTAGAATTTTGCACAAAACTTAGAATTAATTGGTTTAAAGGGGTATTTTAATCTTTTAGTCTTCAATTAATGGAAAAAAAATCAACTTTTCGGACGGAAAGACCTTTTAATTAGACGGAGTTAAACCTGAAGGACTAGCTAGATATTTGCACAAAACTTAGAATTAATTGGTTAATTATGTAAAACCTGAGGGACTAAATAATAATTTACCCTAAAAGAAAAAATAGTACATACAAGTAATACAAATAAAAAGAAAAAACCATTTTTAACAAAATTAAACAAAAACAGTTAAATTAATAGATCTACAAATATTCTCCGTTAAGATTCCTCCAGACTAAGCCCTACAACAAATCGATAGTAACCACCAACTTATAATTCTGTTATTACAGTGTATAATCTATACTTGCTGAAGAGGGAAAAGGGCATTCAATTTCTTAATTAGCATTAAACAAATTTAAAGAGAAAACCCCAATTGGCAAAAACTAAACACGAGTAAGAAGTGCCATAGGCAAAAATTTTTACCTGAAGATTCTTGAAAACGGCAACGCATTCCCCAGTCCAGAGAAAGATATGCGCATCTCGCTCGTCTCTTTGTAGTCGCTATTCCAGATTCGACGATAACAAGGGAGGGGAAGACAAGGGCTGTGTTCAGTGTTGAGCCCAGAGGCAGAACTAGATGTTTGCTTCAATGTTGGAAAGTGGCCTTACGGAAACGACGATGTTCTTGGCTTCTCAAAAAGGCAAGGCAAATACAGTGGAAACTTTTTATAAAGAAAAAAAAAAACAAAAATACAAACCGCCCATACCGAAAACGAACCCGGAACTTCTGAGTCTTGAGACCGGACCCACAAACTTTTAGGGATTTTTTTTTTATATATAATCATTATGTTCGGTGATTAATAATATTGATTATTAAATAAAATTTTAATAGCCGGTTATTAAATATAAAATTGTCATTAAAAATTTGTACATGTATATTTTCTTATTCTTCCATTTTATTAGTGTTTTTTAGTATTGCGACATGTCTTTCTTCTTTTTTTTTTCTCATTGCTTTTTATTTTGTTTTGAAATAACAAAGAAAAATAAAATAAATTTTTTAGATTTTTTTAAAAGAAGAGATGAAAAAATGAGAAGAAAGAAAAAGAACTTCTAAAAAGAAAGAAATGGATTGAATGTACCTATCTATCACAAATTTTGATGTTATGCCTAATTGTTCTAACTCTAAGTCAGAGCTAAAAAACACCATTTATGAAATGTTTAATGTATAATATTCTAAAAAAAATCTTCATAAATGCCTTTTTAGAATACAAAGTCTGATCGAGTGCCAGCCTTCAATAGTTCCATGAATGAAAAACAAAAAATTATGTCAAAGGAGCAATCTCACTAAACATGGCAACTCAAATTCTAACACTCCAAATTCCAAAAGCCCACCAAGCTGACATTAGACATACAATTAGAAGACTTAAATCACACTACACTTGCTATACTATACACTCTTTTTTAAAAATAAAGTTACTATCGTTGTACACACAATAATTGATTTACAGTCAGGAAACTGAGTGACGCCTTCTTTTCTGAAAGAAGAATCTTGTTTCTGAATTAGCTTTTCCTCCTATAGGCTTGAGACCATTAATTCTGAATAAAGAATTGAGCTTGCTTAATTTTTTTGTGAATGATTTGAATATCTTATTTGCCGGATGAGACTTTACAAGTTCTTGTTTCATAGACACATGGTCTTTTTCAAGATCAGTAAGTCTCATTCTCATTCTCGCAACTTCAAGCTTCAATTCTCTGTTCTCTCTTCTAACAGATGCATAGTTATCTCTAGGGGAGATAGCCCCACTTCCTGCTCCGCTGCTTGATCTTTGAGGGAACTGACCATTTATTGCCCCAAAAAAGAATTGATTGTGCCCTCCATTCATGGCATTTCGTAGCCTTATCTGCTCAAAGTACAGCACTTGTACTGCCATCTGCACCGGCAGCCTTTCATTTTGTGCAGCATGGCTGCAGGCTTCCTGTGATAATTTTTGACAGTCTATAGTCTTGCATAGTCTGTACCTCTCAGAGTCTTTAATGTTTGGATGAACCTGTAAATAGAAGCCTAAGATCATTTTATACTTGATGCTGAAATAGTAATTAACAAGATTTTTAACAGTATCCTAATGATATTGCTAAATATTAATAAGAAGATGAAGTTGCTAACCTTTAGGAAGATGTCCGCAGCTCTGTACAATCCATCACTGACTATACGAGCGTGGTCTGGAAGTAGTTCTGCTAGTGCTATGAACTTTGATGGCATCAAGTTTGAGTCTAGTGCAACTTCTGCAAGATAGGTGTCTAGTAATTTTGATACCTTAAGGATTGAGCTTTGCTTAGGAGATCCAGGACTGTCAAAATCATAAACCATCTCACTCTCATCGCGCAAGTGATTGTCCTCTTCATCATCCTCATCCAAGTTGAGAAACATGGAAAATATTCTCAATATTGAATCTGTATCATACATAGTGCTATGGGTATTTCCATGTGAATTTGCAGGAATTAGAATGTCTTCAAGAATTGCTTGATCTAGTTGAAGACCGATCCTTCTTTCTAAATCAGATCTACAAGAAGTAGTTGCTGATGCTGCTATTGCTGTTTTCAACAAACTCGAAAGAAAAGCCATTGGAACAGTACTTTTTCTTGATTGGGTCGGTAGTAAGCTAACAATTGCTTCAACAATGACCCTTTGTTTCTTCTGCAACTCCAAATCTAAAAGACTTCCTTTAACCAAATGAGGATCTCTTACAACTAGGCCTTGAAGAGAATTATGAGCATAATTTATCAAAATTTTGCTGATCATATCCTGTTTTAGACCCTTAGATTTCACTGCAGATAAAACTCGTTGGAAGAAATCAAGATTTAGCACTGTAAGTGATTTGCCCCACCAATCTGATGGTGTTTCTGGTTCTATATTTGCTTGTTTTGCTGGGAAGTTATGGTCAAGCTTTAGTAAGCCAGAAGTGAGCTGCTCTTTGCATGCATTGCTTGCAATTGCATTTATAAGTCTACTTATCAGGTTTATCTCTTCTGAAATAGGCAAGAGTGCTTCGCAGCGATGAAGGACAGATATTGAACTTGATATGTTTGGTAGAACCATCTCCTTTAGATAAGATTCAGCTCTGGCTTCCAGATTTTTTTCTGCAAAATCTTCTGTCATTTCTAGGAAATGTGCTGCGCATAATAGCATAGCAACATTTGATACTGTAATTTCCACATTTACACCATAGCAGAACTTTGCTGCTAACTCAAAGGCTTCTGCTCCACCTGGAACTGCAGCTATATTTATGCGTGAAACTTTTGAATCTTTTGCTTCCAACAACAATTTCCGGATTCTTCCGCTCCGAGAAACTAGTGGAAACTGCAAAAACCATATAATTAAAGTTCTTCTCTTTCTTTAAAACATATATTCATTTGCTTACACACATATCTTCTCAAGAAATAGATTCTGCATACCTTGTGAAGTGCAAAGCTAGATGCTCCAATTTCAACCGTGAGATCACTAGAAACGTCAGAAATCGGCCTGCAAGATGGTAGAATGATTGAAGTGGAACTGGAAAGGGACAAGAAAATTCCAAAATAAAAAAGGAAATAATTGATGCATACATGTTAGTTAGAGCCAATAATTTAGAGACCATATAAGAAGTCCTACTGCAGAACTCAACTCCCATTTTTGAAACCATTGATTTCAAAACAAGATTCACTTAAAAAGAAGTACTCTCTGTCCATAAACCACACAATAAACTTTAAAAGGCTACGTAGTTGCTTCTGCTACAAACCATAAGACATACCATCTCCAACATATGGACAATGTGATCCTTCTTGATTTTCTGAATTGACAAGGATGGCCCAGATAGAAAAATGGCAACTCAATTATTACAAAATGAGTGGCCAAACAGTAAGTTAGGCAATAAGGCAATATTTCCTAACTGTAAAAAGCTCTACTGAATGTTGCAGAAAACAAGTTATGGTTTCTGCAATGAGAACATTTTTAAAATTTTACTGAGATATAAAGACATTTAGACAAGAAATGATAATCTAATCTAACCATTGGATCAGATGAGAAGATTGTTGACCAACAAGGCACTTAATCTACTGGGCATGCTCAAATCAGATGAACTGTTGTTACTTATCAGTAGATATTTCAGGGCTTATAGAGAGTAAAAAACACTTTGAATTATTGACCCGCAAAACGTTGATAATACACGATAATAATGCATATAATGAGGCTCATGCTATTGTCCTTCAAGTGGAAATTTTGCTTTGTCAGGATCATAAAGATTGATTTGTCATACTCTGTGCTTTGTCTTTTGAAGGGGTGTGATGAAATGTAGTTTTCTTGTATTAATTAGGAGTTAGCTGTGACTGAAGATGATCAGATAACAACCCATAAAATTGCTTGGACCTACCAAAATTGCTAGCTGTTGGGTACTTTGAGGAAAACCTAATAAATTCCTTGAATAAATAGACCTTTTTTTTGAAAAAAAAAAAAACCAATATTTTCCCACCATCAGATTCTTCTATTGGCAAATCAAATCTAAAGTTTGAAATCAGTTAAAAAATAAGTCAAAACCATGATTTAAGCTCCTATCTATTTCAAGAAATTCACTTTCCTGTACTTTGCTATTCAAATTCTAAAAAAGAATTTGTATTGTATTGACTTTTCTTGCCAAAATTAAAAAATTCTACTGTTTTGCAAAACTATAACCACATTTTCACAATTTTACTGCTAAATATAATAAGTCTCTTATAATTATAGAACTTCAGACATCATATTCTAGAATGCACAATTAAAAATCACAAGAACACCAGAATACATATTAACAGTCATTACTTCAAATTCTTCTTAAATTCCTCTTTCCTTCTTTAATCTTTTATTCCAGGCAATACATTAGCTAACTATTTCAAGTTTATATTTTTTTTCAAATTCTTTTTTTCCCAAAAACCCAGGATCAATTTTTTTTTCCCCACAGTAAATTGAAAAACAAGCACAAAATCATACGATTTCATTGATCTAAATGCAGAATTCAATCACTAATTTCCATTCTTGAACTAGCTAGACTTGTATATGTATAACCCAGAAGCAGAAAATTACCATTCAGTGGCATGCCTTATACTTGAACTTGGACGAAATGATCTTTTCCCTGAAATGCTTGGCTTCAATTCAGCAACAGTAACAACACCCATCTCTTCCAAATTCTCAGTCTTAGATTATTCCCTCAGAAAGTGCTGCTCCACCACCAGCACCACCAACAACAACAACCAACCCACTAAAAAGTGTCTCTCTTAGGAAAAAGAATGTAACTGTTCTTTATTCTTTTTGTAACAACCCAAAACAAGATTTTATTATTCAGCTGCTGACATTTGGTTGTTTAAGGACACATGTCTTTCTCTTTTCTTCTTTTTTCCATGTAGAATAAGAAAGATAGGAAAGAAAGAGTGAGGGTAAAGTCACATGAACCCATGCAATGCAAGATTACTTTGTAATATAACTTTAATCGAGTGTTTATAGTGTGGCTTAATCTAAAGTCAAGAGTATATGCTCTTTTCGGTGAAAGGAAGTGAGAGGCGAGAATACTGTTTTTTTTTTTTTTTTTTATAAGAAAAGATAAGAAAACCAGAAAAAGATGAGCGGTAAAGTCACAGAACTCCCATTGCAAATGCCAAAGATTACTTTGTAATATAAACTTAATCAGTGTTTTATGTGTGCTTAAATCTAAAGTCAAGAGTATATTGCTCTTTCGGTGAAAGGAAGGTGAGAGCGAGAATACTGATTTTTTTTTTATTTTTCACTTTACTGAACTTTTTTTTTTTTTTTTTTTTTCCTTTACGGTGTTTGCGTTCTGAGAAAATTGTTGCAGGATTCCTGAAGAATTGCACTGCTTTTAGGAGATGTAATCATGGCTAGTGAAAGCTACCCACAAAAAGATTAGCTTAATTTAATTCTGTATTATGTGTAAAGCATAGTTAAAGTTGAGATTAGGAGTATGAGTTGGATTACATGTTATGATGACAACCACAGTACCTCAACTTAATCTCTGCTTTAATATCAGAAATTAATTTAATTGTAGCTTATTTTAGTCTAAGAAAGGTTGCAACCACGTAGGCTTTTGGGAGAAAGTTTATTCATTGATATTCCATTTATGGACCACCCACATCCTAAAAATTTAATCTAAATATTTTGTTAAAAAAATAAAAAAAGAGAGGATAATATTATAAAAAAACGTATAAAATATTTTTATAAAGTTATAATACACATATTTACTATTAAATTATATTTTGATATGTTTTTAAAAAGATATCATAATATATAAAATATAGGTAAGAGAAAATAAAATTAAAACAGATTGAATGTACTAAAGCAGAAATTATAAAAAGTAGGTGGCAATTTAAATGGAGACATAATAGTGAATTAAATGGCTAAATAATATAAGTACATGTTACAACAGTTACACTCAAACATAATGTAGAAGTCATAATTAGCAGGTTTGCTATTGGAAATATGACTGTTGGATTAATCATAGCTTAAGATTGCACGATCAGATGGTAATGATGAACCCATCAATTCATGCTTTTTCGCTGCGGCCGGATGGGCTGGTAGGTTATAATCACCCCTATTTATAAGTTAAATCAAATGACCAATCCAATGGTTAATATTTATTGATTGAGATGATAAATTACTTTATTTAAAGTAAAAATATAAATTCAATTTGAATAAGCACAATTTGTTAGAAAAATTAAAAATTTTTATATTTTATTATCTAAGATGGATTATAGTTCTGATTATAAAAAAATTATAATTATTAATTAATAGGCTAATGGCCTAATTGATTGTTAATTGCAGGCAAAGGAAGGGCTTGGATTTGTTTTCTAAGTTTTTGTAATCCCTAAAATTGAAACAGTTGGCAAATGAGAAGATGTTATTGATATTTGCAAATGTATGACCTAAAATTTGGGACTGAAATTGTCTGATTGAGAAACAGCAAATGCCCATGTTTTGTGGCCATGCCCAATTTTTTTGACAAGATGTTTATACTATTCTCCAAATTTGCAATTTCTTTGTTATTTTCCACTTTCATTTGACATATGAAAGATACAACAGAGTAAAAATGTACTCTACTTTATTTACATCGGTAACAAAGTGTTTTTCTTTTTTTTACCTTTTCTAGGAATACAAAGAGCTTTTAGTTCAATTTTTAATTTCTAATTTATAATTTCGCCCCTGTTATGAAAATATAAATTATAATTTTTGAAAAGAAATAATGAGACGGCCACTTGAAGAATTAATTATGAGACATGCCTGAAAAAAGGTAGCATAATTTGAGTAGCTATGTTATTAGCTATCTCGTCCCATTGGCATGGGGATATTGTAAATATAAGGTATTGTGGACCAAACAAAGATTGGCCTATAACTAGATGGTGACGGTAGCTTTAGCTTATACATAATACATTGGGAATCTTACTATATTATTCTAATAATTTGAAAAAAAAAAGATTATATTAATTTCAAAATCCTTTTAAATGTTTGATTTTATTATAAGTTGATGGGTGAGGAGGCATGGATTTGGAGCAGGGAAAAGAGTCACATAGCAAAAAGACTCAGGGAAAAAGAGTGTTTGAATGATTAGGGCAGGTGAGGAAAGGGTTTGTGGTTACAAACTTACAATTATGATGTACTCTACTGTACACAGAACATGTGAGCCCTATCCCTCCCTTCTTTTCTCTTCTGTTCTGTTCTTTACCCTTCTTAAGTTTTGATGTCTGCTCAGGAATTAACATTGCTAATCGTGCGGGTTCAGAGATTAAATTACACTAATTATCAAACTGTCCCTTAACCACTCACCCATCACCATTACTGTCATTTCTTCTTCTTCTTTTGTTCTCATCTTTTCTTTTCTTTTTTTTTTGGAATTTCTTCATTAGGAATAAAGGAAGGAAAGAAATAAACTAGGATAAGAGAATTTATACTTGCCATAATCTTTTTCAATTAAAAGAAAAAAATAAGAGTAAAGGGGTTGGAATTTCTCAGATTAGGGTTACATGTAGGCCCGTGCCTCTGTTTGAGTTAGACCATTAGTCCAATCCAAGGCCTTTTCACTTCACATCCGGGCCTTATAATAATGGGCCTTACTTAAATGTCCCATCACAAACCTGTATGAGTGTGACCCAAAGAGGTTAAAGGAGAGTAATCCCTAATTGAATGATTGAATGATGTTATTGACTATTTTGTTCAGTTATGACTCATCTTTATGTTAAAAAAAAAAATAAAATTGTTTTTTAGAATGCGACCTCTGTAAACAGAAGGAGTTACAACTCACAACTCACTGTAGAGATTTCTAAATTTTAAATATCGATATCTCTAATAGAGTTGAATTTAAATTCATTATTACATCGACTCTATTTAACTATATCTTTATTTATATATTTTGTCCATAAAAATATAAAAAAAACTTATCGAATTGGGTAGGTATGGTTTTTAATGTCATTGAACTGATGGATGAATAGTGAAAATTCCTCCTAACCTTTTCTCTTTATTCAAGTTAATTTGTAGGTAAGCTAGAAAGATTTTTTTTTTTTTTTTTTTTTTTTAACCTTTTCTCTTTATTCGAAGTTAATTTGTAGGTAAGCTAGAAAGATTTTTTTTTTTTTTTTTTTTTTTTTATCTTTATTTAAAAAAGAGAACGCTTTTGATTTCTTCTAAAGTTTAAAAGTAAAACTTGTAAGCATAAGATTTTGCCTTTTTGTATAACTTTTTTTTTTTTTTTTTTTTTTTATCTTTATTAAAAGAACGCTTTTGATTTCTCTAAAGTTTAAAAGTAAAACTTGTAGCATAAGATTTTTGCCTTTTTGGTATAACCACAGTAAGGTTGGCTGTTGCTAGAATACTGTATTTTGGCGTTTGAGATGAAAATTTTCTAGCCGGGTAGACTTTTAGAAATCTATCACAAAATTTTTATTTTATGTTTTCGTTCGACCTTGCCAACCGGAGCTTTGCTTGAGATAATTATTTTTTAATTTAAAATTATATATCATTTACAAATAATACTCCTTCCATCTTTCTTTTACTCATATCAAATTAGTCTTATTTTTTTTTTTAAATAATAAAATTTTATTCTATTCCTATCTAATGTTCATTTTCATCAACAAATATATTGTTATTACTAGTAATCAAGTCTTGAAATGAAGACCTGATTAAATCATGCAACTTCTATATTTTCACATTAGCAAAAAAAACCAATTAAAAAATACAAGCAAAGGAATCTATTTAAGCTTGCTTCCTCTATTCAATTCATGCTTTTATGTAGAGATGACTGCTACAGGCACAATTAGTCAAGGTTATCTGAATTCAGAATTCACATAAAAGTTATAATCTTAAACTCCACAGAAATCTTTGCTAAAATAAAGGCAGGAATCCTGAAGTTTCAACCATTGTCACATGACTAAAAACAATGCAAAATAATAGACATAATTTACAGTTAAAGGACATCTCTGTCTTTCCACTAAACATGAAGAGCTTATACTTGATGACACCTTGGGGTCAACATCATATGGCTTCATGCCTACTTGTAGTCTTCAAAGTATTCTCCATAAATGCCCTCAAAAAAAAGAGGCAAAATAACACCTTTTGATCCCTCTGAAATCAACTAGATAAGCTCGCAATTACAAAACTGGAAGTTTGTCCTGAATTTTTAGGAGAGAAAGTGAAAGATGGGCTGACTAATAAGTGGGGATTTGACTAATCTTTCCATCACAAAAATTACCAGAATCAGTATAAAGAAGACTTTAAATTTGAGAAAATGGTGTAGGCTAGCCTGTTACACTGAGATTATTTGGAAGCTTTGCAGAGAAGTTCATATGGTGACTGCTACTGAAGCTTATTTGAGAGCATATTGATGAGTACAGATAGATAATTGGTCCTATTATGAACTAAACCAGATTGGATGATAAACCTTTACGCAGACTAATGAAAATTCCGGACAAACTATAATTTACTAAGCTCTATAAACAGAAAACCAAATGAGGAGTGGTGAATCTGATGTCTACTGAATGGTGATTTTAGGGTTTTAAATCAACTAGAACGACGGACCTCACCACCTTGTCTTGTGCTTCTGCCACTGGTTAAAGGAACAGAACTCTGACCTGATAGTTGCAAATCAGAAAGTGGAACAGACCCAGTCTGGGAGAAAATCAACCCAACTGAACTGCTTGATGTGTTTCCAGACGAAGGAATTCTGCTCAAGTAACTATCCTTTTTTGTTGCTCCAATCAGTTCAGGTCGCAATTCAGAGGAAGGGGATGAAGGGGCCAGGGTAGCCAGCAAAGACCCAACATATGGAGCAACTGGCATATCAATAAGAGAGGATGCTGATGGACTATATCTCATCATTGGATGATCAAATTTGCACGTGGAACCAAATTTGCAGTGCCCATTTCGCATATAGAAGGTGCAATGTTGCACTCCCTGTTTAAAACAAAATGCTTCATTATTTAACAATAGTCTGAAAGGAAGATTATAACATGCATGGATATTACATTTCAGCATCATAGATCATTGGGTGCAGGGAATAAACAAGTTACTCGAACAGAAAAGATTTGGCAAGATTGAATCAGGGTAACTGGAGATTTGACAAGATTGAATCATGAACTGGCAGGATGCATATATTATGCAAATAGTTATATGACAAGTCACAAAAAGTAGCTACTAGCTAGTTAGTTCCAGCCCATTATGCTTCTCTACTTGCCCGTTACAATAATGAAAATAAGACATAATGATCGACAACATGTAAGTTAGCACATAATCGCAGAAAAACAGTTCTCATATCAAACAAAATAATTAAAAATAAAAAAAACCATAAGTTTTACTAAAAGAGAGAAAGTTGAACATGAATGTATTTATAATTAAAAATATAAGAAAATAAATTGGCACCTTAAAATCAGAAATGCAAAGTGCTCAGAGCATTATCTCAAATTTCACGTTTTGCAGGCATCATCAGAAACCCACTATACCCAATCAAGTGTAGAAGAAAAAGAAATTAAAATTCGCAGAGCACCTTTTCTTTGGCAAGGAAGAGGGCTCCACCGCCTCTCTAGAGGGATGGGGGTTTGAGTTTTCATTTGGTTTGGACTGAATTATTTTGACTTCTTTTGCATTTTGGTCCTCTTTGGGTTGGGAATTTGAGATTTATATGTATAGAAAGAAGAAAATGCATAAATTCACATACTGGACGTAAAGGAAGACCGAGTGGGCTGAGGACACAATTTGTTCTTGGCACAATCCGATCCCGAGGGTGATGATATCTACAAGATGATCCAAATTTACAGTCTCCAGTCCTCAGGTAGTACTGGCATTCAGGTTCGCCAGGTCTCTCTGGAAAAGTTAGCTCCTTTTGAGTACCGCTTGATAGGCCAGCAACAGAAGAGGGTGACGGGTAGGTTCCGACAAGTGCAGGTGTTGAAGAAGATACATATAAAGAAGTTCCTCCAACTGCTGGCTGTGCACCAGGAGACATAACAGGGCTTACAGGTGCCTGAACCAAACAACACAAGCCAGCATAAGAAATGCATACAATTTTGCAACAACTCAAAGCAAATAAAGCTGTAATATTACCGAGTAATGACTCCAACCCGGAATTGGAACCACTCCAGGGGAAAACAACACAGGACCATAAGCCCCTTGCACATATGAACCAGGTAACAGCTGAGGCCTCACCCTCAAGCTGGTGGATGCACCCCCATATGGTTCAGGTATAGGAATTGAAGGTGACTGCACCGGCTGATAAAACTGGGGTGCAGATTCTGGCATAGATGTGCCAGCTGGTGGAGGATGATGGAATTTACAAGTTATGCCAAATTTGCACTGCCCCGTTTTCAAATAGTAGGAGCATTCTTTCTCACCCTGTAATGATAGAAAATACATCCAAAATAAATAAATAAATAAATTTTCTTATAGGTGCCTTGACAGTTTAGTAAATATGAATTTTAATATTGATCTCGTGCACATGTTGAAGGAAAATAAAGAGGAGAATTTGTACCGGTCGTAATGGGTATCCATGTATATTTAGTGGAACATGGCTCAAGGATCCACCTCCATGTTTCGGATGGTGGAACTTGCAAGAAGCACCAAATTTACAGGTTCCAGTCTTCAAATAAAACTGCAAAGAGAAAAAAATAATACAAGTGGCAGACATTCTTTCCAGAGCATCGATAGTGAAAAAAGAGACCGATTATCTTAGTAATTATTTTAATTCCAAGTACATTTGCACCCCAATTAATATTATACCTGACAAAGGGGTTCCCCCGCTCGTTCTGGGTACTCCCCGGTAGCTCTTACAGCCGCCTCAACCTAAGAAACATTCCAAATAAAGAAGATACGAGAAAACATTTGTTCGCATTAGTTGCAAGCTAATAAAAACAAAAACAAAAATAAAGGTGATCCCAACAATGGATTTTTGCGTTATATTTCATTGAATAAGACAAGAATTCAACTTCACAGAGTCCAGAAAAATACAATCTAAACCATGAACTTCCAAAGATTCTGCTCTCTTCTTTTTCTTGTTTCCCATAAACCAAAAAAACTTGATTATGGAAAAATCAATGAACACCCCCCCCCCCCCCCCCAAACTTGATTATGAAAAAATCCAATGAACACCCCCCCCCCCCCCCCCCCCTCCCTCTCTCTTCTTTCAACTTAGACCAAAGTCCAATGCATAACTGGCACAATAATCATATGCTTTGTCAACACAGATTCCACATTCTATTCATTCTACTGTAGCTCTAGCACAGTATAATAACTTGCTCATTGCATATAAAATTATATGCAAAACGGAAAACCCACAACGAAAGACCACCAGCAACTGGTGATAATACAGTTAAAATACAAGTGATTAAGGGGTTACCGCAGCGCGATTACGAGGGTGGTTATAACGGCACCTGGCACCATACCCACAACATCCAGTTCGCATATAGTACACACAGTCAGGCACGCCGGACCGCTCCGGATACGATTCGCTGCTAGCCAGTCCCAATCGCCACATCGATTCTACATTCAACGAAACCATAGAATCAAAAGAAAACCCTAACCCTCACTTCACATTTCCAAAACCCTAGAAATCAAATAAAAAAAGGAGAGCTGCACAATCCAAACCCAAATAAAAATATCAAATGCGAGCGAAATTAAACCAAATTTAAATGAAAAGTAAAAACAGCAACAGACCTTCTAGCCCGGTCTCGCCGGCCGCAGGGTTCCATTGGGGTTGCTGACCCGATTGGGACCCATTCCTTGCTTGGTTTCGACCGTAAAACTCCATCAAAACGGGGTTTTCTTGTTTTGGGGAGAGGAGGAGAGAGGATTCTGTACACTTTACAAGGAACTAACAACAAAACGTTACAGTTACAGAATGTTCTAGAAGGATCGGCGGAGCTCGATCGAGTGAAGCTAGTACAGTAGTCTAAGCGAAGAAGAGATTTGATTTTTGAGATGCTTTAGCAGTATGGAGCTTCTGCTTTCTCTCTCTCTCTCCAACCCCTTTTTTCTCTCTCTAACACTGTACGGGTCTGGCTTTGGTCCTTTTTACCTTTTTTTTTTTTTTTGGTCCTTTTTTCCTTTTTTTTTTTTTTGTTTTGTTTTCTCGCTCCTGAACTCTCCCTCTCTCTCTCCCTCTCTCTCCCCCTTTATTTTTCCAATTTTGAAATATTTTATATTTTATTTATTTATTTTTGGGATGTGTCTGTTTGTTTCCGTACCCGCCAAAACCACCTCCGGAAGGGGTAATTTTTCGCGGAAAATGTTTAAAGACGCGGTTTGGGCCTAAGCAGGTAACCGACACTACAGTTTCCTGTAATTACCAGAGTAGCCTTGTACGGCGTAGGGATCAATGGAATAGACAAATTGCATTTATGTATTTATGTTTTATGTCTTTGGTCTGTGTTTTAGCAGTGGAGTGTTGGCCATTCGTTGCAAGCTAGAAGCTATAAGCTACTTTAAGCTTCCTCATTTTGGACTGTGGTATTTTTGTAATAAATTTGACTGAAATGCGCTTGTTACTACTAATGTGGCTTCTAATTATCAAATAATTAGATATTGTGTGCTTGGCTTTTATTGTCTATTGTGAAATTTTGTTTTATAGAGGTATTATCTCTTTTCTGTGTGACAATTTTGTAATTTAATGGAAAAAGAAAAGCATTGAACGTCTTATTTTGTCTTGTCCTAATGCTAAAGATGTGTGATTTGAAATTATTTGAATTATTATATCTCATCTAATTACAATCTATAGCTTTTTAAATTTTGGTTAGAGGCTATTTTAGTTGCTTTAGTGCAAATAGGGGAATGAGAATTTGCTTTCTTAAAACTGCATCAATTCATGCACATGCCATTTAAAAAAAAAAAAAAATAAGCCAAACCCTCAATTTGTCAACCAATTCAAATTGCACCTTTCACCTTTTGATCTAATTATACTATAAAATTAAATTAAGGTGAAGTTTACGATTTATTTGAATTATTGCATCGAATATGAAATGCGTCATTTTAACTTTGAATTTGGGTTAGGTAAATTCAAATTAAGACAGTAAATATATTTTACTTTAATGTTACTTTTTTTAATGATAACCCTAACTCTAATTTGATTTTAGAGTGACATTAGACTGAAAATTTGAAAATTGGAATGCTTGAGAGGTAAAGGTCCACCTCCTTTGCCTTCTCATTGCTTAGTTATTTTTTATTTATTTATTTTTTTTTTTAAAAAAAGAAGAAGCATATGTTTGGTTTGATTTAGAGGTTATCACTTACCCTTCTCATTAAATACCCGCTTAAAAGTTGAAACTTGACTTTTAACTCCCCCTGAGTTTTATTAAGTCTATATTCAAAGAAAAAAAAAATTGAATCCGGACTAAACTTTATTATTCCAATCTCACAAGATATATATGAGTATTAGAAAATCTACCTCAGCGGCTATATCAACCCACGATTCGCCTCTAATCTGGTTCATACATAAATGTGGTGCAATGGTAAATTTTATGAGTTCTAAATCAATTAATTTATATCATTTTGAAATATGTGACATTCAATTTACATCCATTATATTAAGATTACATTTTAAATTTGGTCACATTAATTTTGAAATATGTGACATTCAATTTACATCCATTATATTAAGATTACATTCTAAATTTGGTCACATGTGAATTTATAATGGAACGAATTACCTTTTGCGATTCGGTTTTAAATGTAGAGTATTATAAGTAATTAATTAGACACTCATTAAAATAGCATTTTAGGCCAATCATTTCTAGAATATTTTTTTTTTTAGAAATGCAATTGTGTCTAGGTTTAATTGTCTTATAAAAATAAATGATTCAAGAATTAAAATTTATCCATAGATTGTTATGATAATAGTACAATTCATTTATGCAATACAATTAAAATTTCATTGATAACTTTATCCATGGATTTAAATGGTACTTTTTGGGCGAGAAACAAATAGTTCAATAAATAAAATTTCAAGAATTAATTTACCAATGAGACGGATAAATTTAATATTACGGTTGAATTTGAAGGATTAAATAGTTATTTATCTTGAAAAATTATTATAACGGTAAATACCAGTACATAAAATTTCAACTACCCATATTCTAATTAAAAAATTATTAAAGTAGTACTTTCTCACTCCCCCATCCTTTCCGCTGTAATGAATACAGTTGTGTATGTGGTACAGGCGTCCACCGTTTCTTCCTGACTTCCCTTTTCAGAAGACTCAGAAAGGAAGCAAGTGTATTCTAAACCGGTTTACGGAAAACATCAGCCCGTGTTCGGTTTAGACCAACCAATTTTACCAAACAACATCTTATCAGTTCCGCGCGTTCACCCTTCATCAGTCTTTTACAGCCTCTGTAGACTGTAGCTCTCTTCCCCGTCTTTCCGTTCTTGAGCTCCTAAACTTACAGGACACCATGACCAGCTTAACGACGAGCTTAACAGTTGCCAATCCCAATCAATGTCCAGTACAACAGCATTTTCGCTTTCAATTTAGAAGAAGTTCTTTGCTCCTTAGACCGTAATTCTAAACCGGGGTTTACGGAAAACAATCAATGCCCGTGTTTCGGTTTAGACCAACCATTTTACCAAACAAACACAATCTTATTTCAGTTCCGCGCGTTCAGAACCTTGCCATGCAGTCTTTAAAGCAGGGCCTCTGTAGGACTGTAGCTCTCTTCCCCGTGCTTTCCCGTTCTTCGATTTCTAGGACACCAATGAACGCATCTTTAACGACGAGTAGCTTAACAGATTGCCAATCCCAATCCATGTCCAGTACAACAAGCATATTTCGCTCTTCAGATTATAGAAGAAGTTCTTTGCTTCTTAAGACGCAGATCCGCAGAGACCGCAAGAAATCTGAGAATCGTTTTGGCATGGCTGTGCGTATGATTTTCCGTTACGGAAAACTTTTGAAGAAAAAGGTCCCCCCCCGTGTTTAGTACATGAATTTACATCCATTATATTAAGATTACATTCTAAATTTGGTCACATGTGAATTTATAATGGAACGAATTACCTTTTGCGATTCGGTTTTAAATGTAGAGTATTATAAGTAATTAATTAGACACTCATTAAAATAGCATTTTAGGCCAATCATTTCTAGAATATTTTTTTTTTTAGAAATGCAATTGTGTCTAGGTTTAATTGTCTTATAAAAATAAATGATTCAAGAATTAAAATTTATCCATAGATTGTTATGATAATAGTACAATTCATTTATGCAATACAATTAAAATTTCATTGATAACTTTATCCATGGATTTAAATGGTACTTTTTGGGCGAGAAACAAATAGTTCAATAAATAAAATTTCAAGAATTAATTTACCAATGAGACGGATAAATTTAATATTACGGTTGAATTTGAAGGATTAAATAGTTATTTATCTTGAAAAATTATTATAACGGTAAATACCAGTACATAAAATTTCAACTACCCATATTCTAATTAAAAAATTATTAAAGTAGTACTTTCTCACTCCCCCATCCTTTCCGCTGTAATGAATACAGTTGTGTATGTGGTACAGGCGTCCACCGTTTCTTCCTGACTTCCCTTTTCAGAAGACTCAGAAAGGAAGCAAGTGTATTCTAAACCGGTTTACGGAAAACATCAGCCCGTGTTCGGTTTAGACCAACCAATTTTACCAAACAACATCTTATCAGTTCCGCGCGTTCACCCTTCATCAGTCTTTTACAGCCTCTGTAGACTGTAGCTCTCTTCCCCGTCTTTCCGTTCTTGAGCTCCTAAACTTACAGGACACCATGACCAGCTTAACGACGAGCTTAACAGTTGCCAATCCCAATCAATGTCCAGTACAACAGCATTTTCGCTTTCAATTTAGAAGAAGTTCTTTGCTCCTTAGACCTCCGCAGAGACGCAGAAATCTGAGAATCGTTTGCATGGCTGTGCGTATGATTTCCGTTACGGAAAACTTTTTGAGAGTCGTTTTATACAGTATTATAATTAGCATCGCTCATAGTCTTGAACCTAAGTGCTTTTATATATATATATATAATCTGAGATGAATTGCAGGAGCCTTATTTGATAACAAAGCTGGAATCTGCAGAGAAGACGTGGAAAGAATTATCGGTACGCTCTTCTATTTGATATTTAGGTACTGTGGAGTTTCGATTTTTTTGAAGCATGAAATTTTTGTGGTATTGCTTTCGTATGTGTGTTGGGGGTGAAGTTCAGTAAGTTCAGGATTGGTTCTAGACTGTAGTTGAACCAAATCTGGGCTATAACTTGTACAAACTAGTTTTTGGTGGGTTTGGCTTGTAATTTTTGAGAAGGCACGTTGAATGTCTGATATCGCATCTGATGTTAGTGTGTTACCACCATATTTATTTACTTGTATAAATATTTAGTTTTAACTCACACAAGATAAATTGCAGGTCAAGCTGGCTGATCCAGATGTCGTCTCAAATCCAAGCGAATATCAAAAGCTGGCACAATCTGTGGCTGAGCTTGATGAAGTATTGAAGTTCATCTTTCTTTTTCCCTTTTCAAGTTTTCCTCGAAACACTTTGTCGCAGTTGATTATATTTTCTTTTGCTGAACTACGGTTTTCTGTTGTAATTGGGAAACTAGGTTGTGTCGACTTACAGGAGATTCAAGGAGTGTGAGAAGCAGTTAGTAGAGACCAAAGGTTTAGCCTCAGTTTGCTTCTTCTGTTAAACTCTTTCTGTTCTGTTTGTCTGAACTTTGAGATAAATTCCTTCTTCTGTTAAACTCTTTCTGTTCTGTTCTTTGGTCTGAATTTTTTCACATCCTTTTTCTTCCTGCGATGTGACAGCTTTAGCAAAAGAGGAAGGAAATGACGAAGATATGGCTGAGATGATAGCATATGAAATCGAATCTTTATCCAATGAACTTAAAGAGCTCGAGGAGAAGCTTAAGGTGTCATTTTCATGTTCTAACTTATTCCAATCTTACCAAGTTATGTTTGCTGTTTGCTTGACCTAATGCTTTGGCCTCTTGCTGACATTTTATATTGCTTCAATGTATTCAACCAACTGCTTATCTTATTTCAATTCCACAATCCCGAGGCCAAATTAGTTCTTTTGTGAAATTGTTCATTAATATTAAGCATTGTTGTTGTAGAGGAATTGCCATTTTCATCTCCTCTTACTCGACATTGAATTATGACCTGTTTTTTCATTTATATCATATTTGCCATTTGACAGGTACTACTGCTACCCAGTGATCCTCTTGATGCAAGAAATATAATGCTTGAAGGTTGTTATACCCTTTTCCTCTTCATAAAATTCACTACATCTATCTCATTGTTTGTGGGTTATCTGCTGCACAGAAAGAGGCGACGATGCTCTGCATATAATATGTATTTTCTTAAATGGGATTTTTATTGCATCCTTTTGAATTCTTTTATGTGGGAATTCTGATATTACCTTAAAAGTTTCTACAACTAAAGTAGGGATACATTTGACCTTAGATTTCTTGAATCCTGTTTACTTTCGTTGTACTAATCCTTTGTTTGGAATTTTGTGAATTGCCTTCCTATGATTTACTTTTATAATTTAATGGTTTCGTGTTGCTTGTTATGCTACAAACATCGTCAGTATGGCATTGAAAAGAATTGAACATAGATGCATGTGCTACTGATGGTGCCCATACTGTTCTATTTCACTCATGTTATTGATTTAATTAGTTGGCTCATTTGCAGTAAGGGCAGGTACTGGTGGCGATGAGGCTGGAATCTGGGCTGGTGATCTTGTAGGTACATGCTCCTCTTGTCCTGCCAAATCTGTCATGTCTTTGTTTTGAGCTCTCATGCTCTAACTTTTCACTTTACACACCTGTGTGTATCAGATGCTTAAAATGTGTATGGGAATACGACTGAAGGAAAATAAAAGAAATAAAAGGGAAAAAAGAAGAAGACACAGAAGAACATACCTGTGGTGAGCATGGATATGCATTCAACACCTGACTGAAATTTGGGCAACATAAGCTCCAATTTATACAATTTCTGAAATCAGAGAGAAAACTTATTTATCTGCGGATGAAAAAAAAAAAATAATAGAGCAAACCTGAAAATTGTGGTTGAAATATTTAGCTAAAATTGCTCGACATGCTTAAGAAAGTATATGAGAAAATTTCTGAGTGATGTTTTCTAAGGTTTTATCTGGCTCAAAAAAAATCTCTTGCCACATAACGTGATGCTTGGTGTCGTAATTCACACCGTTCCCCGCTTAATGAAAAATGTTGCATTATCCAAGCCATCTTTCTAAATGGAGTAAAGGTGCTGTGTGTTCAGTGAGCTGGATAATATTTTCCTTCTAATTTCAAAATATGCTGGAATTTTAAATTTGTGAAGTGGTTCATTGTGAATTTGTATGTAAACTGTTTATCTGTTAAAGGCTCAGATTATTGTTAGTCAATACGTTATAGATTTGTCCCTGAAAAAGAAAAAAAAAAGGGTATAGGTTAGATGTAGAGCTTACTATTGAGGGAATGAGTTCTACACGTTTTCACTTTTTTATCTTCTCATCTTCTCTCTTGTATTTTTTGGTAAATAAATGGCTGGAGATGTATGCAAAAATGGTCCTTTTTGCTTCAAAAGCAGTCATTATTTTGATATTTTATTTGAATCTGAATGCTTCCTGACGCAGATTTACTTCTTTTTTCCCCTTCTCAATTCTTAGATCCGTCTGTATCAGAGATATAGTGAAAGAAACTCTTGGAAATACTCTTTAATCTCAAGTTCTGAGGTAGGCCTCAATGATATATTCAGACACACAACTGTATGTTTGATGCTGTTTGTGTTTTGACTGCAAAGTCCTTTCACTAATTAAGGCCGAAAAAGGCGGATTCAAAACCTGTGTGATGGAGATAAAAGGCAATCGTGTTTATAGCAAATTAAAATATGAGTCTGGTGTTCATCGAGTTCAACGTGTTCCTCAAACAGAAGCACAGGGGCGCGTGCATACTTCTACTGCAACTGTGGCTATCATGCCTGAGGTAGAGTATATTTCACTGATAGATTAGGCATACCTCTTCTAGATCTAGGATGTGAAAGTTTGATTTCATGTTGTTTTCTGTTTTATGTGAAAAATGCCAAGGTATGGATCTGGATAACCCTTTGAGCTTTGTGGACCCTTGTTTAAACTAGGTTATCATGCCCCACAGATATTACCAGAATATCAAGTTCTGCTTGAATTTTAAAATATTTGATGGGTATGGTGGACATTTTCTACTTGAAATGTTTGATTGGTGATTAATATATTTTGTTGAACTTCTTAATAGATGCTGTTGCCTCATCACATTAAGGTCTTTGATATAGATCTAGAACTTTAATTCCCTTTTGCTAAAGATGCCTGATGTTGAGTCTGATGGTCTGATCATAGTATGATTGATCTTGATAAATGTCATATGGAATGATGCATCACTTAGATCTCCTTAGCACTATCTATATCAGATCTCTTTTACATCCTCTTTGCTCAGTGCATGGCATTCTCATGCTTATGCTTTGTAGTAAATTTAGGCAGATGAAGTTGAGGTGGTAATTGACCCGAAGGATATCGAACTTACAACAGCTAGGTCTGGGGGTGCTGGAGGTATGTAACAGCTGGTTTTAGCTCATATATTAACATAATGAGTTAGTTCTTCTCTCTCTCTCTCTCTCTCTCTCTCTCCCCACCTTTCCATGGGCATGCCCAGGAAAAAGGAAGAAAGATATCTCTTTAAACATTTTTGCGCATGATACAGGGCAAAATGTCAACAAGGTTGAAACAGCAGTCGATCTCTTCCACAAACCAACAGGAATCCGCATCTTTTGTACTGAAGAAAGAACACAACTTAAGAATAAGAACCGTGCTCTCCAGCTTCTACGAGCAAAACTGTAAGTACTTAATCGCTCAATGTATCTTTTGATTAGTCTGGCAATCTTGATGATTTCAAGTCACACAAAATTCTCCTTTTTACAATAATGTTCTGCAATCCTTCATTCTTGAATTTCATCATAGCAAAAGTGAATTCTTGAACTTTTGTTCGAAAAGAGCAAAGTTAAATGTAAACTGAAGTATCTATTTGTCCTTCCATGTTCAAGTGTACTTTTTTCACTACTGATCTTAATCAACTCTTATATTATTGGACTAGGATATGAACTGAACTCCTCAATATTCCTTCTTTTCTGGTAAATTAATGATAAAACATGACCCTACAGGTATGAAATGAAAGTAAGGGAGCAGCAAGAGTCAATTAGGAATCAAAGAAAACTACAGGTATATATTGCTTTTAAGGTCATAGAAGATCCATGTGAGATTGCATGATTGTAGGAGCAAATATCATGGATTTTAACCTTTTGTTTTACGTAGTGTCTTTGTTTTCGCTGTTGGTTTTCAATTCGAAGGGAATCATTATAGTTATAATCATAATCATGGATTGTTAATCATGGATTGTCACTAATGTTCTCGGTGGCTGTCCTATCTCTCATCTTTATTTTCTGCTGATTAACTGCATGTTTAATAGAAGCATAGTTGAATGTAGTGGAACATAATTATTATTCAAGAAAAAGTTTAATGTAATCATTGGTTGAAAATTTATTTCATTATATTATATTTTGCTTCTCCAAAACAACCTTCTAGAATCAACTATGTATTCTTTCCATTTTCGCATAGGCATGATGTGATTTTAGTGGTCGAACTGGCATGGAATATACATCTCAAATGATTCTTAGACGTTGGACTAAAATATGGTTTTTGTCATATTCTAAAAAATGCAGGTTGGCACAGGTGCTCGTGCAGAAAAGATTCGGACATACAATTACAAGGTGTTCTATCATCCTCATCCTATCCTTACTAACGACTCTTTAAGTTTTGATTATCAAATTGCTTAATGGTTTAAAACTTGAAATAAGCTGTTTAGTGAGTTGAGTTTAGTCTTAATAACTGTATGTTTTCAGAAGGTTATAACATTTATTGTTTTGTTTAATTAGGATAATAGAGTCACTGACCACAGGTTAAAGATGAACTTTGAGCTCACTTCTTTTCTTGATGGTGACATAGAGAATGCAGTGCAGGTACTTAGTATTATTTTCTTACTTTTAATTATTTTCTTTCTCCCGTGCCTCTGAGGTGCTTGCTTCTTGCAGGCATGTTCTGCTATGGAGCAGAAGGAACTTCTGGAGGAACTTGCAGAGTCTGTAGGCGTCCCAGCTGGCTGATTCACGTCATTTTGTCTGTGTGATTGAGACATTCACGGCGTAATCTTAAAAGCCCTTTAGAGGAATTGATACAACACTAAGCAATACGGAGGACACAATATTTGTTGCCACTGTGGTGGTGTTTGCTACATTGTCATTTTTCCATAGCAACATTCTTAAGATGGAAAATTAAATCTGTAAATCTGTATTCATATTACATCTTACTTGAAACCAAATATATTGGAACTATCTTTTCCAGTATTATATGATTATTATATCCCCACCCTCGTACCGTTTCATTGTAAGAAGCATCAACAAAGCAAAAAGCTAGTGATATAAAGTATGAGATAATTCCCATCTTTATCATGATTTTTCTAATTAATTAGATTTTATTTGGTTAAAAAATTAATTAAATTCAATTACAAATTAGCAGGGATTTTTACTAAAATAAAATAATAAAAAAATCTTTCTCTGTTTTGTTTGATTATAGCTATTTTATTAATTTTATTAATGTTTCATCAGGTTACCTAAACTCAGTCGATTGGTTTATCTATGTATGAATCAAACGTGAAAAGTACTATTTTATTTTTTTAAAAGTAAGAATTTTTAAGAACTTCTTTTGGGTGGGCATATCCGCACATGGACCTTCATCCTATCTTGAAAAGCAGAAAGGTAGAAAGGACAGTTGTCAAGAGGAGAACGACTTCCAGTGTCAAAAACTGTCCCCAAAACTCCACATGTAAGTCATGACTCATCGTTACGCTCCTCACAAATGGCAAAATTTCTAAAAGCTCAGCTGTCTTCTCCACCGAACCAGCCTCTTTTTATTACGAGTGCCAAACTTTCTTCACTCTCTTATTTTCTTCCACGCCAATCTGTTTCTTCTCCTATGCTCAAAACACTTATCCGTTTTTCGTTCAGGAGCCACGCAACTACCACTTCGTCTTCGTTAATAGCAAGAGACTGCATTTGTCCAAGGCCTTTCTCGAAGTTTTACCCTCGCTTTGTTGGTCGTTTTCACACGCACAGAGTCGTCTCCATGGCTGAACGTCCAGTTGAAACGACGTCGTCTTCTCACAAGTACACCAATCGTCTCGCTACTGAACACAGTCCTTATCTCCTCCAACACGCCCATAATCCGGTAAATTGCTTTGCCCTTATCTTCTTTCTTTGAAATCTAAAGTCTTTATTTTGTAATTCTTTATTTGTTTTGATGAATTGAAGGTCAATTGGTATCCGTGGGGTGAAGAAGCTTTCGCTGAAGCGCGTAGGAGAGACGTGCCAATCTTCTTATCGAGTACTTTATATCTTATCTTCCTTAATCTTATCTCAATTTGCGAAATTGATGGCTAATGTGAGTCGTTTTTTGGTTATTTGGTTATCTGATGCTTTCTCTGTGAAGTTGGATACAGCACCTGTCATTGGTGAGTTTCTTCGTCAGTTTTTGGGAAGTTGATTGACACCTATTAAGAATTTGATTATTCAGTTGATGGATAGTACTTGTGTGAATAAGGTGTCATGTTATGGAGGTGGAGTCTTTTGAGGATGAGGGAGTTGCAAAATTGTTGAATGACTGGTTCGTTAGTATTAAGGTGAGTTCACATTTGTTCGACATATGCTTTTTTAACTTTCTAGTAAGTACGTTTCGTTGTTGAGAAATACAGTTGTCATTGTAAACCATTATAAACATGTCAGTCCTGCAGGTGGATCGAGAGGAACGACCGGATGTTGATAAGGTAAGTTTGCATTTTGCTTGCTGCTGGCTGCTGTAGAAACATTGGTGATTATTTTTTTGAGAAGTCAACTTCAAGCTTAAAGTCAATTATTTGATAATGCCTTAAAAAGAAGGCAACGAGTTTCTTTGCTGTTGCCCTTTTTGAAGATCGATGGACTTGGAAACTGGGTTACATTAAACAAGTGAAGCAGAGGACAACACCTATACTATACATTTTATGTTTTTTTTGGACTTTATGTGATTCAATGTTCTCCAGTAGTGTTTCACATTTTTCTCCCTTTTTCCCCTAGTGAACTGAGCAAATGGTTTATCTTTGTAGGTTTATATGACATTCGTGCAAGCATTATATGGTGGTGGAGGATGGCCGCTAAGCGTCTTCCTTTCACCTGATTTGAAACCTTTGATGGGTGGGACTTACTTCCCCCCGGATGATAATTATGGAAGACCAGGATTTAAGACTATACTTAGGTGAGCACATATTGATTCTCATCTCCCTGTTGCTGCTCCATTTTTCCTTTGTTCGTGTATTTTTTTTAATTTATTTTTCAAAGTTTTTGGCATTGCTGTTTGGGTGTCCATTGACTGCACAACATGTTATATTTCAGTGAAACGCACCACCAACTTAAAATATGTTTTTATTGAGTTGTCAAACATTACGACTTACTGCTTTAGGCTCGGTTTGGTCAGTCTTGTTTCACTTTTGTTTCAGAAAGGTGAAAGATGCTTGGGACAACAAGAGGGATATGCTTGTCAAGAGCGGAGTCTTGGCCATTGAGCAGCTGTCTGAAGCATTATCAGCAAGTGCAAATACAAATAAATTGCCAGATGGGCTTTCACAAAATGCTTTACGCTTATGTTCAGAACAAGTATGACCTTGTTAACTGTTCTAGTTTGTGTTACTTTGAATTAAATGATATTTGAGTTTGAACTTCTGAGTCATCTGATTGGAAAACAAAAGGAATGAGATTTTTGGCCCTTCCTTTCTAATTGTTTTCTTATTATTATAATCATTGTTGGAGAGCTTGTGCATTTTTACTGTTTGATAATTGATGGACTTCTGCAACTTTAGTCTGTTTCTGGCATCGGAATCTGGCTCAAATCTAGATTTACTGCTATCTGTTAGATAGCATTTGTGCTTATCCATCTTTTCCAGATTTCAAAGATTATTTTTCTTCCTTAATTGGCCATTATTTGTTATCTTCAAAAATTATGTTCGTTTTGAGGATTTGTATGCATTGGTGAGGATGTCTTGTAGATTTTCGTTGATTCATAGCTTTACAGCCATTTTATGCCTTCTCTGATGTTTTCTATTTCGTTTCTCTTGCAGCTTTCTAAGAGTTACGATTCCAGGTATGGTGGTTTTGGATCTGCCCCAAAGTTTCCTAGACCAGTTGAGATTCAACTGATGCTCTACCACTCAAAGAAGTTAGAGGATGCTGGAAAATTGAGTAAAGCAAATGAAGGCTTGAAGATGGTTTTATTTAGTTTGCAATGCATGGCAAAGGGAGGCATTCATGATCATGTTGGAGGTGGCTTTCATAGATATAGTGTGGATGAGAGATGGCATGGTCAGTATATTCTTAGAAAAATGTCAGTTTATGAATATCCCTTGTGAAGTTCCAAAAAGAGGGGTTGATCAATCTAGGCTATTGGCTTTGTGCTGTAAAATTTACCCTGCTGTGGAGGTGCTTAATATGTTTGAGTTGTTTCCATTATTTGCAGTTCCTCATTTTGAGAAAATGCTGTATGATCAAGGGCAACTTGCTAATGTTTACTTGGATGCCTTTTCCATTGCCAATGATGTCTTATATTCATTCGTATCGCGGGATATTCTTGATTATTTAAGGAGAGACATGATGGGAACAGAGGGTGAAATATTTTCAGCAGAGGATGCTGATAGTGCTGAGACTGAAGGTTCTAGAACAAAAAAGGAAGGAGCTTTCTACATATGGACCAGTGAAGAGGTTTACTTTCTTTTGAGAATACTTTCATTTCATTTTGGTTAGATTGATTTATCATGTTTTTAATATAAGACACTAACACAGCGTGTCTTTCGGTTTTCCATTTATGATGGGATACTTGTGTCTGCAACTTTTGTCAATGACATTTAGGAAATCTGATCTGCTATGTGATTTTCAGTGTCTTTATGAATTGAATTTTTGTGTATCTTTAGGTAAACAAAGTAGTATGTTTTTCAAGTATGACCTTTCCTTCTATGGATGTTACATGTTACCCCTGGAGCGTTCTGTATAAATTTGTCTGCAATCTAGACTACCATCAACTACTTGATGAGTACTGCACAATTACGAAATTCCTGCCTTGACCTCTTCTACGTATTTGAAAAAGCTCAGAATATTTTTTTGCCAGTGACTGTTGGACAGTTAACAGCATGATTCACTGTCTGATAGGATTTACAGCAATAGTAACAATTGAATGATGAGAATGTGAAGTAATGTGCATCTTTGATTCGAGAGTGAGTTGTCTTGACATTTACAGAATGAGATCTAATATTTGCAACCTCTTTGTTTAAATAGTTCCGTCAGAATTTTGCTGCAAATTCCTCTGATGTCCAGGCAACTCTTATTTTTCATGAAATCCCCTTTTTCTTTTTCCAATTTTTTAAGGATGTTTTGAGAGATCTAGTTGCACCCTACAGAATGTATTTATTTACTTCTGCTAACTCTGGTTCTACTTTGTTTATCTTTCTCTCTTTAAGATTGATAACATCCTTGGAGAGCATGCAACACTTTTTAAGGATCATTATTACATAAAGCCTCTGGGGAACTGTGACCTTTCTAGGATGAGTGATCCTCACAATGAATTTAAGGGAAAAACTGTGCTCATTGAGTTAAATGATGTCTCAGCATTGGCATCAAAACATGGCTTGCCCATTGAAAAATATCTTGATATATTGGGTGAATGTAAGCAAAAGCTTTTTCAAGTGAGATCAAGACGGCCGAGGCCACATTTGGATGATAAGGTACTTCCTGACTTGAGAGATCTTTATTTTATTATATTTTTTTCCTGTTATAAATTTAATGGACCGGTGCTTGCTAGGTAATTGTATCATGGAATGGGCTTGCAATTTCATCTTTCGCAAGAGCTTCTAAGGTTCTCAAGGGAGAAAATGAGAGCACTAAATACCACTTTCCTGTTGTTGGCTCTGATGTAAGATCTACCATCTTTTTCTGGAATATTACACTATGAAGAAAGTGTTAAATGCTTATGGTTTGATAACACTAATTTAAAGCCATTGCATATGCATATCCCAGTACTTGTAGGCATGCTGACTCAGTTAAGCATTTCCATCTTGTTTCTAGATTTAAAGCAGTGTTAAGCAAAAAATTGGTAAGTACTTTCAGTGTGCTGAATCAGTGGGATAATTTGTATGTGCATATAATGTTTGATGCAATCCAAGTATGAGGAGTTTCAAATATGCAAAGAAGTCATCCATCTTATTTTAAAAACGTTGAACTAAGGCCTGTTTTCGACAAGTTGCATTTTGTCACTTTATCGTGAGGCCATATTGTTAGATGGGGAGAATATACTTGTCCTACATGATAGACATTGCCTGCATTGGCTTTTTGTCATTTCTCTAGAAAAGGGCTTGGTGCCATTGGTGCATGTAAAAAGTTGGAACTTAATGGGATGATACGTGATATATGTGATAAATGTCCATATTGCACGAAAATTCTGGGTGCTCAATTTTGCAAATTCCAGCCCAGGGAGTACCTTGAAGTTGCAGAGAAGGCAGCAACATTCATCAGAAAACATCTTTACAATGAGCAAACACGCAGGCTTCAGCACAGCTTTAGGAATGGTCCTTCCAAAGCACCTGGGTTTTTAGATGATTATGCTTTCCTTATTTCTGGGCTGCTCGACCTTTATGAGTTTGGTGGTGGAATATACTGGTTAGTGTGGGCAACCGAACTGCAGAATACCCAGGTAAAGACTATCTAAATTCAATTCTCCTCCTCACCCACCCCACTTTGCCTCCCTTCTCCCTCCCCCAAGTGAAAATTTATTCAAAAACACCTTTCCAGGATGAATTATTTCTTGATAAAGAGGGAGGAGGCTATTTTAATACCCCAGGTGAAGACCCTTCAGTCCTTCTCCGAGTAAAGGAGGATCATGATGGAGCAGAGCCCTCGGGAAATTCAGTTTCTGCAATTAATCTCGTTAGATTGTCCTCTATGGTGACTGGTAGTAAATCTGATTATTATAGGCAGACTGCAGAGCATCTTCTGGTAAATACTGCTTTACTGAAAAGGATTCTTGAAGTCGAAATATTATTTAAGCTTACAAAAGCTCCTGAACTTGCATAATATTTTGTTGTATGGTGATTCAGGCAGTTTTTGAGAGAAGACTAAATGAAATGGCTATGGCAGTACCTTTGATGTGTTGTGCGGCAGACATGTTCTCTGTGCCTCATCAGAAGCAAGTTGTCTTAGTTGGCCACAAGCCATCCTCGGAGTTTGACAATATGTTGGCTGCTGCTCATGCATCATATGATCCCAACAGAAGAGTAAGTAAAGGGATTTCAATAGCAAGCCCCTGATCCTGAATTCCTCTTTCCATCTATTTTGCCTTGTTAGTTTTCTACAGTACGATGTCTTTATGTAAGAAAATTTATTGCAGGTAATTCATATAGATCCCACCAACAATGAGGAAATGGAATTTTGGGATGATAATAATAGCAACGTAGCACTCATGGCAAGGAATAATTTTTCTGCAGATAACGTGGTAGCTTTAGTCTGTCAAAACTTCACCTGCAGTCCTCCAGTCACTGACCCTAAATCTCTTGAAGCTTTGCTTTCCAAGAAACCTGTTGCTGTATAGAACTTGGCTGGTACAGAATTTCAATGGAAACCATTGGCAGATGTTTATGAACATGATCTTCGGTAGGATATAGTGTTAATGGTTAGGTCACCATCATGATTTGTACTCGAGGTGTTATTTATGTAGACTTGATCACATCAGATGTTCCAGGTGAACGGTTGACCCTATGTAGGTTGGTGGTTTTGTATTATGCAGGAATGTTTTAATTACTCTTGATAAATGTTTCTATATAAACATGTTTCGAAGGGTTGAATTGAGCCTTAAATGAGGAAGATACTTTTGTAATGTATTTTTAGAAATAAAACGTTCAATAACAATGAGCTAATAAAGTTGTCCCTGAGCTCTTGCAAGATTTGTAGCATTGCAATCTGTGTTAGTATTACGAAGGAGGGGTTCTTTTTTCTTTATTCTCTTTTCTGTTTTGTTCAAAAGTTAAAGTTCTCTCTTTGTTCGTCAATATATTTTGATAGTCTCATGCTCTGACTAAGGACGAGAATATAAATTTTCGGACATGGTCAATTTAAGAATTTATCAGAGGCTAAGTTTTTTTGGTTGCCATTTAATAACAAGACTTGCTGCTTGCTTGAAAAAAATTTTAAAAAGCAGTTGTTTATTGAGACTCAACTAATCAACCACTCATTTAGGAATTACGTCGCCTGGCAGAATGGGCTCGGGCCCATTTCTCGACTCTCGTGTTCATCCCCAATTAGTTGCACAAGCAAATCTAGAAACCCTTGTTATGGAAGGGTTTAGATATAACGAACGCTCGCGAGCACAATACAAACACGAGCTTTCTTGTCCCCAAAGTCCATCATGGAAGTCACTCGGATTGTCCCTGCTTTCCGATTGTACTGTCAAGCACTCTCCTTCCAATTCATTTCCAGAAAACCCTTTTCAATCAGATCCTCGTGTGTCCTAAAGACCCAATTTCTCTCTCTTCGGAGCGAGCAAATTCCTAAAGCTATAGCCACCAAAATCTCAACCGATGAGGACTCCTTCACCGTCCAATACCTCGTACGTTCATGCGGGTTGTCTTTGGAAGCTGCAATTTCAGCTTCAGAAAAAATACAGTTACAATCTCCAGAAAAGCCAGACTCTGTTATTGCGCTTTTGCGAAACAGCGGTTTCTCCGAATCCCAGATCTCAAGTCTTGTCAAGAAACGGCCTCCTCTCCTTTTAGCTGATCCTGTGAATACCCTTTTGCCCAAAATTGAATTCTTTCACTCTATCGGGGTTTCCAGCTCTGACCTTGCACGAACTCTTTCATCAAACCCGACCCTTTTGACTAGAAGCTTAAATAATCAAATAGTACCCTCTTATAACTTCCTCAAAAGTATATTGCTTTCTGATGAAAAGATTGTTTCTGCTTTCAGGCGCAGTACTTGGATATTTCTACAGGACTATTCAAAGATTCTTTTACCAAATATTATGCTTTTAAGAGAATTAGGTGTTCCACAATCTTGTATTTCACTGTTGCTCGCCCATTTCCCTGAGGCAGTGATGCAGAGGCATGAGGAGTTCAGTAACAGTGTAAAAGAGGTTAAGGAAATGGGATTTGATGTTGAGAAATCAACTTTTGTATTGGCTGTGCATGCGATTTCCGGTGAAGGCAATAGGTCATTATGGAACAGGTGTTTTGAGGTTTATAGGAGGTGGGGTTGGTCTCACGATGATATTTTTGCAGCATTTAAAAAACACCCGAATTGCATGATGCTATCAGAGAAAAAAATCATGAAAGCAATGGAATTTTTGGTGAATAAGATGGGTTGGCCCTCGAAGGCGTTTGTTCAATCACCAAGTTTATTATTTTTCAGCTTAGAGAAGAGAATTATCCCTAGATGTAGGGTTATTAAAGTTTTGGCATCTAAGGAATTGGTAAAAGACGATTTGAGTTTATCTAGTGTATTGCTTCCATTGGAGAAGCATTTTTTGAAACGGTTTGTGGCCAAATTTGAGGAGGAAGTACCTCAATTGTCGCGTGTGTATGAAGGAAAGGTGAACCCAGATGAAGTATAATTTGAAGCGTATAAAATTGGTAAGATCAAGCAGAAGGTTAACACCGATCTCTCTGTTTTTTTTTTTTTTTTTTTTTTTTTTTTTTTAAAAAAACTAATTGGTAGCACCTATATTTTTTGTTTCTGCACAATGGCAATTTTTCTTTTTTTTTTTTTTTTTTTTTTTTTTTTTTCTGAGCGAGCTAGAAAGTTCATTTTATAGTTGAGAGTTCTGGGTTATCTAAAAACTAACTGGTAGCACCTATATTTTTGTTCTGCAAATGGCAATTTTCTACGTTTTTAAGAGCACCGATTGTTCAGTGTAGTTCTATTGTGAATGATTTTTTATGTGCTTTGATTATTGAATTGGCTTTCTGTGTTGTTCTTTCTCCACTACACTCTATATTTGCATATGCTTTTTTTTTTTTTTTGGGTGGGGGTAAAAGTGACAAAACCTTATTGTAAGAAATTTAAAAAATCACTGCTATTGACATGATTTCATATAAATCTGGATTTTGACCATATAATACATAAATGAATTATAAGAGGAAAAACGTTATGACACGTAAATTTGCCTGAAAACTTAAAAGGCATAAAAAAAGATTTATTATCTCCCTAAAATTATAATTATGAATCTTATAATTTTAAACAGTTATTCACACTATCAATAATATTTCTTTTTAGTGTTCATAATTTTTATATATGTGAAATATTAATTTAATATTTAGTTTACATTTTTAAATTATTTAATAAGAATTTAATTCATCTAATTTGATGAGCGGAGATCGAATATGAAAGAATTTTGTAAGTTGAATTAAAATCCACAAAAGTTGTTTTATGTCGAGTGCAAGAGAGAGATTATGTAACAATCTTCGGGCTAAAAAGATAGCGTCTAAATTGGGCCTCAAAGCGAATCCAATGAGGTACCGGCTTGTTGGTCCAATCCATGAGAGAGAGCACACCCGCTGCTCTGATAAGCCAGCCATAAGACTTGCGTTTGCTGCAAGCTTGCATAGATCGAACCCACCGTGACAAGTCCGGCGGTAGGATACTACACAACAAACAATGCTACCCCATCAAGGAAATGGCAAGCCAGTAAGGGCCCACTTGCCTCACCAGATTACGAGGCACAATTCGTCCGAACTATCTTTAATGCCCTCACATGAGTCAGAGGCCCGCGTTACCGAGCCCGGCTGACGATTCGGCATCCAAGTCGAATTATAAACAACCTGTTATCCTTTTATATTTCGATGTGGGATTGATTGACATGCATGCCCTGTGGTTCACAAACAGCGCCATTCGAATCACACCCGAACCCGGCCCGAGAGAAATTTTGATGCTGACGTTAAAACGGTTAAATTTTGGGGTCCGTATTGGCAAGACCAACGCAACTTACATCTAGCTTGCATCGATTAGCGCTATTCGCAGTTGTATCCAACTGCAGTAGCAGCGCAAAGAGTTGCTGGCCTTTCTCCCACTTCGAATGCATATTTTCATTAGTGTGTTTATGGCTCTTTCAAGAGAAGCTTAGGGTTTTAGATTGAGGCTTGCTCAATGGTGGAGACACGGAGAAAGCCTTTGGTCCTTTCTTCGACCAAATTCCTCGTGGATTCCATACTGAGTTCGTCCAAACTTAGTGAACGGGATCGACTCGGCGAAAATAGGCTTCCCGGAAATGACGTGTCACCAAGTTTAAAGTTACCAGCAGGAATTCTCCGGTTATCGAAGGATAAAATTGGAGTTTCGGGCTTCAAACTAACTTCTCTTGACGATTCTGCTTTGGTCGGTCTTTCGACGGCTGTTCTCAAGAGATTGGGAATTACTTCTGGTTCGCTGGTAAGCTTTCCCTTACTATAATGTGTTTTTTATTAAATGGTGCTGTTTGGTTGATAGGAAAGTTCTGATGCTGAATTTTTGTCACTGGGACCTTAGATAATATAATATTCACTCTATTGAACTCCTCTCGTTATTTGCTGTAGTTGAACGGGAAATGTTTCAAAATTAACCTCCTTTTTGTTGTTATCGACGAAATGGCGGATTCACAATTAATTTTGTTTTAGCTTTGAAATTTTTTCCTGCTTCTTTTTTCAATGGGAAAGACAAAAATCGGCCTCAAAGAGGTTGGTGTTGGTCGCTTTTCAAGTTCATAGAATGAAATGTAAATTGTTGCTATTGTTAATATTTGAATTACCGACTGCAGACTGCCATGCTGAACGAGCTTAATTACACAGCAACATAATACATCTTATATTCTTGTGTGCTAAAAAATTATATATATATATTTCCACTCTCCTTGAAAACCCAACAGCCCGATGTCTTATTTTCTGTTTTCCTCCCCCACTAATCTCACAGGTGCTTATCATGAATATTGAGACAACGGTGCACAGGATTGCTCAAGTTGTCATTCTAGATCCTCCCAGAAATAATGAACATAGATTTGGTGTTAAAGGACCAACTTCCAATTCACCCCATACGATGCTTGTCTTTCCTTCTTATAAACTTCCTTCGGATGAGATGCCTTTGTTAGACCGGGAAATTGCGTATCTTTCTCCTCTATTAGCTTTTAACCTTGACTTGCATGTATCTTGTTTAAAATCACTTGTTCACCAAGGGAATGAAACTTTAGCATCTCTTTTTGACCCTAATGTGGATGCTGAGACTTGTAGAGAAGTTAGCGATGGTTCGTTAATCAGTGTAGGGCTCAAACCCTTGTCTCAAGTGCTAAAATATGCTTCACACTTGAGGGTTTCTTTCGTTAAGATTCCGGAATGTGGTACTCTGGAATCTTTGAAAGGAAGTTCATCAATTGAAGCTGAAGCTCGCCAAGAAATGATTGATTTGGCATTACACAGCTACTTTGAAGTTGATAGGTTTCTAGCAAGAGGCGATGTTTTCAATATCTTCATACATTGGAATTGCAAATCAGAAATTTGTATCCCTTGCAGCCAAAGGTCACAAAATAGAAGTGATAATATTATCTACTTCAAGGTAAATTTTCATAAATTATTCCTTGGTGGCACCAAATGCTCAGGGATTGTTGTAGCATGCCAGGCTCTCATTCAAAGGTTGGTGTCCTCAGGTTATGGCTATGGAGCCACCAGATGAAGCCATTCTTCGAGTCAATTGCACTCAAACAGCCCTTGTGCTTGGAGGGAATGCCCCTTCAGCTCTTCCTCCAGATCTGCTGATTGATGGTCCCAAAGGTTTTGCCCCTTTTCAAGGGGACACAATAAAAATCTTGGCCTCCATACTTGCACCACCTTTGTGCCCTTCAGCTCTCTCTTCAAAATTCAGAGTTTCTGTCCTCCTATATGGTCCAGCAGGTTTTCTTCTTGCTTTATACTTTGCTGTTAGCATCGTTATTCTTCATTTAATCCCTTCTTACAAGACTTTTTATTATGACACAACATGATCTGCAGTGCAGATTTAACTACCAAAGACAGCTTATTTGATTATGACTTTTCGCAGGATGTGGGAAGAGAACTGTAGTTAGATACATTTCTCGTCGCTTAGGCCTTCACGTTGTGGAATTCAGCTGTCATAATCTTATGGCATCCTCTGACAGAAGGACAACTGTTGCACTAGCTCAAGCTTTCAACACAGCTCAAAGGTGAAGCAGTTGAATGTTGGTTGTGGTTTATGCAAGTCGTTCCATGATTTTAAAGCTATGGCATAATTGAGTTTGATATATGATGGCAGTACTAAATCATTAGGACATCTTGTTGCATGTTTTAATCTTTCATCATTAGCTTTTTTCACGTAATATCCTCTATAAAAAGAATCAAGAAAGGGAAGAAGTTAAATCATTTGTTGTCAGTTTCCATGTTGAGTAAATATTCCATGTTTATGTGCCATTGCTCTTTGAAATTTTTTTTTCTCATGCCATGATCTGATGACAGATATTCACCCACAATACTTCTTCTCCGCCATTTTGACGTCTTTCGAAATTTGATGTTGCATGAGGGTTCACCAAATGATCAAATTGGTCTCACCTCAGAAGTTGCATCGGTTATTAGGGAATTCACCGAACCAGTTGCTGAAGATGATGACAATTACTCAGATGAAATATCAAATGGTGATCTTGTAAGATGTAATTTTGGGTGTAGGAGCATTCTTTTTTCTTTTCAATATGACTATGGTAAAGAGACGAACAAAATTTTGGGCTAACCGTCCATCTTTCTTTTCTTTGTCCTCTAAAACGTATTGGGATACTCCTAGATAAATTGTAAAAATACTCATAGTAGTCTCCACACTCGAGCACTATTACTGCTGAAGTTTACAATTTTAAGATGTTAATGCAATTTCCCTACATAGGAGGGCAAAAAAAAGAATTATGCGCTAGTTACTTGAACAACAAAACTTTGCAATGTTAGGCTTTATCAGGGATGGTTACTCTTATATCTTATTGCTGCAGCCCATCAAGGATACTGGAAAAATTAAGCATCAGGTATTGCTAGTTGCAGCAGCTGAGAGTTCTGAGGGTCTACCACCAACTGTAAGGCGTTGCTTCAGCCACGAAATAAGTATGGGTCCTCTCACTGAAGAGCAAAGGGTTGAAATGGTGTCCCAGTTACTGCAAAGTGGTTCTGAGCTCCTCTCTGATGTATGTCAACAAATTAAATTTCCTTTTGCTTTTCCATAATTTTGATGATTAGTCGCTGTAACTCAAAAATAAATTTGGTGACTTCACCTGTGGGATCAAAACTTGGGTTATATTTTTCCTATACTTTCATTTGGCCATTTGTAACAATAGAACTCAATACTTTATTCTTCTATAAGAAGCCATTGGTGGTCCTACTAGTCTCAAGCAATGTTAATCGAAAGTTAGTTTCTTCTTTATACAAAATGTGCATTCATTGTGACTACACTCTGCAGTTCTGGGTGTTCGTTGTGATTATTCAAAACTGTACATCTTTGATATGTTTTTTGGCATGTTAATTTAATAAATTAGGACATTTCATGGACTGTAATGTCTGTCCATTTGAGTAGCTTGGTTGATTATTCCAATGTCTATGAGTAAGTGAGTAGGAGTTCTCTGAGTAGAAGATGTGCTTTATTGCGATGATTCAGGTCAATAAGGATACATGCATATTAATGTAGCATCTTGTTCTACGTCACAAATGATTTTTTTTTTTTTTTTCTCAAGTCATGATTTTGAATCTGATGGGTTTTGATAGTTGCTTCTTGCAGACTCGGCTAGAAGATACTGTGAAGAACGTTGTTGGACAGACTTCAGGTTTCATGCCCAGGGATTTGTGTGCATTAATTGCTGATGCTGGTGCAAGCTTAATCCAGAAAGGCAATATTCATGTTGGTGAACCTGAGGTTAAGAACATGGATAGTTCTTTTGGAGACAAAGTAGTACAGAACCATGAACCAAGGACAGCTTTACCTCAGGTTTTGGGGAAAGAACATTTGCCTAAAGCCTTGGAGCGGTCTAAGAAGAGGAATGCCTCGGCATTGGGTACTCCAAAGGTTAGTTAGCTCATGGATGGTCCATAAAACCATAATGTTGCATACTGCAAAAAATGTCAAGCAGAGAGTTGCATTCTGCAAGGGTGTTATCTTTTCATTTTGCAGAACTTTTATTTACATGGTGAAGTACAGCCTTTTAATGGTAATCCTTTCTTTGGAATGTTTCATTGTGGACAATTTTTTAAGTCTGAACTTTTCTACTACAGGTTCCTAATGTAAAATGGGAAGATGTTGGTGGCCTTGAGGATGTGAAGAAATCAATTTTGGATACTGTTCAGGTGGGCCTCTTCTGCTTATACTTGTTTCAAACTCACATTGCACTTGAGCATCTTTGAACTATATTAGCTTATAAGACCAGGATAGACTGCAACACCTGCTGTATCGACCACCACCAAAACAAACACCCCCCCCCCCCCCCCATATATTGTTTCAAACTCACATGCACTTGAGCATCTTTGAACTACTATTGCTTTAAGGACCCAGGATAGAGGGGGGGGGGGGGGGGGGGGGGGGGGGGGGGGGGGGGGGGGGGCTCTGCAACACCTGCCTGCCTATCGACCACCACCAAAACAAACACCCCCCCCCCCCCCCCAAAAACCCCAATACCAACCCAATTAAACAACCCTCTCATCTGTCTCATTGAGTTAAGCTGGACTTCAGCCCCCCCCCCCCCCCCAAAACCCCCAATACCAACCCAATAAACACCCTCTCATCTGTCTCCTTGAGTTAAGCTGACTTCCAGTTGGTTATTCATGCTTTTTGTATTATTTCTAATTAGCACATTCCTCAGTTTTTCTCTTTGCTTGTACATACTGCAGAATTTCAGCCTAATTTTAAAACTAGGACATCGTGTTCTTATTTGTTTATGTTTGATTTCCTTGTTCCCTTCAATGCCAGCTTTGACAAGAATGAAATAGGAATTGATATATCTTCTATATATGTTCTGTAACTGGAATCTTGAAGAGTAATGGGGATGAAGAAATTACCTGAATGAAGGAATGAAGTCCGCTAGTTAGTAATATTGGGTCCTTGTTTGTTCATTCAGATATAACATAATTTAAAATGGTTAGGGCATTATATTAGTTTGATCATCTCTTGGTTAATATATTCAGCACATATTTCTATGTCATTTAATCTGTTAAAATCCTATAGGAAATTGTGATTTCAATATGCAATGATTAACTTGTACTCTTATTGGATCTAATTCATTATACCCATTCTTCATATCTCCAGTTACCTCTCCTGCATAAGGATTTGTTTTCATCTGGGTTGCGTAAGCGCTCTGGTGTTCTGCTATATGGTCCTCCAGGAACAGGAAAAGTGAGTTCTGAGCTAGCAAATTGTTATGACGTTTTCTCACTTTTTCATATCCCATTAAATATCTGAAAGAAAGAAGTTACTTCAGAACCTTTTTTCTTCTTATTTTGGTTTTGAATCTCAGACTTTGTTGGCAAAAGCTGTTGCAACAGAATGTTCCTTAAATTTTCTAAGTGTAAAAGGGCCTGAACTGATCAACATGTATATAGGAGAATCAGAGAAAAATGTCCGTGACATTTTCCAGAAGGTGAGAATTTTATTCCCTTTTGAATAAATTCCCTCTAAAATGTATACATGACTTATGTTTCAGAACCCTTTTTTTTGGCAAACTTTTCATAAAATGCCTTCTTTATAGGCAAGATCAGCACGCCCATGTGTAATATTCTTTGATGAACTTGATTCACTCGCCCCAGCTCGGGGTGCCTCAGGAGATTCTGGCGGTGTTATGGACAGAGTAGTTTCTCAGGTGGGGATAAATGTGCATTCATTTAATTTACGATTATTGTTTGGCAAAATAAATAAATTCACCCCGCTGAACTTTGTTATTTTAACCTTATGGAGCCTTCTTTGACCTATCGAACACTCAACTTATTAAACACTTTAACTTGCAAAATCATTTTGTTGAACATTTCAACTTGCAAAATTAGATCAATTAAACATTTATTAGATAGTTTAAAAATGTGAAAACTATTGTTCCAAAACTTGTCCTAATCATATATCAAATTAATATTTTGCCTATAAAAGCCAAACACCCTAAAAATTATTGTTATTAGTATGAAAAGGTGTATAATGTTATTAAAATTTATAATTTTAGGGGGTATAATAGATGTCCCTCAAAGTTAAGAGTGCCATAAGGTTAAAGTAGATAAATTTAGGGGGTGGATTTATGTATTTAGCCATTATTATTTCCAATGACTTGACTAATGGTTGCATAATGTCGCAATTGTTCCTCAGTAGATGCTTGCAGAGATTGATGGCCTAAATGATTCTACACAAGTAATGTACTACTGGCCTCTTTTAGTAGAATAGATTTTCTTTTCCCTTCCTGTTTCTCTAACATATAAAATGCCTCTTGATTCTCTCTGGTTCTTAGGACCTATTTATCATAGGGGCAAGCAACCGACCTGATCTAATTGACCCAGCACTCCTCCGGCCTGGCCGATTTGATAAACTGCTGTATGTTGGAGTTAATTCTGATGCATCTTACAGGGAGCGGTTAGTGCCTTCACATTTTTTACCTATTTGTTACTAATTTTTCATGTACTTTTTCATTCTCACCTCACCCACGTTCCTGAACTTCCTAGGGTCCTTAAGGCACTTACCCGTAAGTTCACATTGCATCAAGATGTCTCGCTTTACTCAATAGCAAAGAAATGCCCTCCAAACTTCACTGGTGCAGACATGTATGCTTTATGTGCAGATGCTTGGTTTCACGCTGCAAAGCGCAAGGTGGGTCAATTTCAATGCATTTGATGGAAGCATGGTTACTGGGTTACTACCTGTTCAGTTTGTCTGACTGTAATGAGCAATCGTGTGATCTTTAACATGGCAAAGTGCATTATCTTCTTGACTAGCAGCATAATTTTAATTCTTTTTTACTCCTTTTGTTTAGTCTTGTACCATTATGATGAAATGATGTGTGGCTAAAGAGAAGCTTGCAGTTTTAATGCTTTTCTCTTCTGGACAGGTTTTGAGTTCGGATTCAGAGTCATCTTCAACTGTTCATGCAGCTGACTCAGTGATTGTTGAATATGATGATTTTGTGAAGGTATGCAGTTGATGGTAGAATAATGAGTTTCGTTTAGTAGAAGATGACAATGATGGTTTCTAGTGGTGGTAGTAGCAGTAGTTTTTTATTTCTCTAATCAACTCAAAAATCTACATAAACGTTTCCAATTAAGTAACAACTGAATGCCGCCTCCTAACACAGGTCTTGATGGAGCTGTCTCCCTCCCTCTCCATGGCAGAACTCAAGAAATACGAGTTGCTACGGGATCAGTTCGAAGGATCTTCAAAATGAGTTGTTGGTGAGTCGCAGTAAGATTATTTATCATGTAATAGTAGTGGTCTGCAACTGCAACCATTTATCCAGTAAAATAAATTTTGGTTTATACAATAAAATTGAACCACAATGTACCGACAAAATAACTCCATACTTAGTGTTTTAATTGCCCAGGATCTGTAAAATCTTTAGTGGGACTACTGGTTGGCATACAACGTGGTAGCTTAATACAGCTGTGACTTGGTATTTAGAGTGTCATGGTGATTGAAGCAATTAAATTACAGATATTCATATAAACACATTTTCTTGTCAATATTATGGACATCAGGCTATTTGAAATATTTATATTTTCTTTATATCATAGACTTGAAATCATTCAATTAAAAAAAATTATATGCGAAGCCCTTCCAAAGTTTCGTACATTGACAATTCTCGGAGGCCAATGATGATTAATTCTTTTAACCGTCTAATTATATTGAATTTCATAAAATTAAATTTTATAACAATATTAAACATAAAAATTATAAAATTCTGTGTAATTTTTTTTTATATTAAATTTTTATTAGGCATTGCTATTAAATTAAATTAGATAAAAGTACGAATAATTAACTTTTTCAGAAGACCTTAAAAGGTAGAGTTAGAGAGAGCAGTGACATGGTCAATGCTTTTTATTAGTTACTAAAAGATTAGAAAAAGGAAAGAATAATTAAGAATATTGGAGAATCTACGCTATGAAGAAATGCATGTACGGTTAAATTGAAGAGCATAGGTAGAGTATATTCTGCCTGTAGGAAAAGGTATATCCTTCCTGGACGAAGGAAACCTTCGGCTGTACAATATTAGATATCTGTAATGACAGTTGACTTCAAATAAACACATTCATAACAGCTATTCTGTTTATTTCAGACTCTAAATTAAATGTTGCATAACTCCAGGATTGGAATTGATTAATTGTCAAATATTTAATGTGATTTATGGTTTATGTTTAATAAATTAACAGAAACCATAGTCTTTTATCTATTTATTTATTTTTTTTCATTTTTTGATGTTTTTGCCTTTTCTTAATCTTATTAACAGAAAAAAAAAATATATTACTTTCCTCTAAGGCTCGCAAAATTAGAATCTTTTGAAATTAAATAAAATATGAATAAATGAATTGAGAAATTATATTATTTACTGTGAAATAAAAAAATTCCATTTCGGCATGTAAAATAATTTTTGAAGAACGTAACATAAAATGACAAAATTCCTTGATAATAACGTTGACAAGTGATGAGTGTACATATGTAGCAGTACAAGTTTAGAAGAAGGAAAATGTCAAAAGAGTAATTAGCAACTACAAAAGTTTTGTTGCCACTTCCAATTCAGTGCCAAAAGATGCACATATCATTTGATTGGCCACATGTTCCTTCTTACCCCGACACAAATTTTATGTGGTGGTAATTAATTTTTTTTTTCCAACACACGATTTATTCAAAATAAAAATTAAAAAGCTATCCAATTAAAATTTACTGTTACCAATTTGTAACAAAGTTTAGTTTAAAGATTACCGCGGATTGAAGTGATTAGTGAAATTAATTCGAGTACATGTTTGATTTCTGAAAAATAGTAAAAATTTTTACGTTCTATTAGCTTTGTTAAAAAAACAAAAAATTTTACATTTTACGACTGGCTATCTGAGTAAAATGGATTTGCAAATTATTACTCACGTTCTCATAAATTCAATCATGTACATTAAAAAAAATTAACTTTTACTTTATTCATTAAATATTTTGATTAATGAAATTGCACTTATTGTGTCCTAAAGTGCCAAAAGATTTTTTGCATAAAATATATAAAGCATCGTAAATCTAATTATATATAGGAATTTGATTTGAGATATTATAATTAATGGGCAATGTTTATAATTTACAAGGTCAATAATTCGATTTATAGAAAAATATAATTCCAAGCATCAAAATCGAATTAATATCATGTTCAAAAATACTTTAAAATACTGGGAGAAAAATATAATAATAATAATAATTATAATAATAAATTCATGCTAGTACATATATGTGTAATAATATGCATATAGTACCAGTGAAGTGTTATAATGGCTTTAATGATACTGACATTTAAAAAAAAAAAAAGGAAAGGTAAAAATCAGAATGCATTATTGCTCTTTAATTCAAACTTACAAATGCAAAAGTGGGCCACTGAGTCCTTTAATTTTCTTTTTTGGTTGAATTCCTTTTCATTTAAAATTCCATATTATCCTATCTATTCATTAGAATGAAATTTAAACACTTACTCAATAGATATGATTTATTTTATATTTTATATATTATATTTAGGGAACTTTATCCATTTTTCTATTCAATAATGTCAGAATAATTACAAATATATTAGAGCAAAATTAAAATAATGCAAGAGCTTCCTAATCATCTTAATTTTGCTATAATACATTACTTTGTTTAATTAAACAAGTAATTAAAGTTGAACAGTTACTGTAAAGTGACGTGTTTTGGTGGGAGGGACTTTTCTGTAATTCCACAAAGGAAGTCAGGGCTGTGATTAGCATTGAATAATGGATAAGGTGTTAACTCACTCACGCCGATATCATAATCATCATCCCAAATATCCTTTTTGACCTTTTTTAAGTCTTGTTTTAAACAAGCAAATATACATGCATACATACATATATACTCCACGTGTTGCAATTAGTCATCAACTCAGATTTGATGGAATAATTAATACAAAATATTCTGCAACTAAATTTAAATTAAATGCTAATCTTATTGTCAACTGTGATAATAATTTTGGTGAAAATCCTATACCCTCGATTTATTTGAAAATAAATTTTTAGAGTACTAAATTTAAAATATATATTCTCTCCGTCTTAGAATATAAGTCGCTTTAGAGTAATTATTTTATCTCAAAATATAACACGTTTTGAATATTTTAAAGAATAATAAATAAATTTTTTTAATTTTACCCTTATTTATATTTAACACAATAATTATTTTCATAAATGATATTTGGTTTTGAGTTAAAAAGTAATTTGATCAAATAAATTGTTCCCTTAACCCATGTAATTGTTCCCTTAATCCATGTGTAAAATCTTAAAAGACTTATTTTTGGGACGGAGGGAGTGTTGAATTAATACAATTATTATTGGTATGAGTTCTTGGATCTGTTAAGTTTTAAAATTTTTATCTTTTTATAAAAATTAAGAAAATCACCGTGTCACCTTAATTCTAGAAAAAAAAAAGGATAATTGACTATATTATCATTTAATTAATGTTTATTTAATTGAAAAATAATAATAATAAATCTAAATAAGAGTAAAATTATAATAAATTAATTAAATGCTACTTTAATTTTCTAAAAGTTTCATATAAATTTTAAAAAAAAGTTAGAAATTATCAAATTTAATGGAACAAAAAGAATATATTTGAGTGACAAATTCTTCTCATACAAAAACCGAAATTCAAATTTTATTTTGACTAATTTACATTTTATTACTCCAAAATAAACAATTTATGTCATTATCAATTGCTTTTTTAATAATATGATATCATGGATTAATGTTATGCATAATATTAAAATTACACGTGATATTTAATTAAAAAAATAACTCCTATAGATATTAAAAATTAAATAAAAATATTCCATGTAAATATTCACAACATTAAACCTTAATTAATTCTCAATAAGACGAAGAAGAAACCAACTCTTTGGATTTTATTTTTTGTCCTAATAAACCTTGAAGTTGACAAAAATAATCTTAAAAGCAAAACAAATTTGCCTTGTCCTCCTATCAATCATAGCCACACAAACAAAAGGGCATTTTGGTCAGAAAATATAGGTGTTTGTTTGGGTCAAACAAAGGAGATGGTTTTGGTTTGGTAGAGTTATTTTTCTTACCAAACAGAACGGTAACTCACTTTTATTTATAGAATTTCCATAATTATTGAAAGGAATTCCAATTGAGGATTTGGAATTATCCATCCAAATACCTAAATAAATATATTTAAATTATTAACTTTTAAAGAAAGAAACAACGAAGAAAATGATGTCGGGTAAGATTTAACATGTTGGATTCCGCCACCTGACAAGCATGAAGCGCCCAAGGTTTAGGAGGGCTCTTCCCACGCTCTCTTCAAATAAGCCTTTCGCGCACGCGCTTCAACATTTACTTACTAATGTTTTTGATGGTGATTATTATTTTTCAAACAAGATATTTAATTATATGAGTATATTTAATACAAGTATTAGAATACCAGAGCAGAAATACATATATTGTTGCCAATAATATTTATTTGGGATTTTTTTAAGTTAAAAAAAATTATTTGGGATTAATCATGTAATGATCGAGAACTGTTTTCTAGTTTAAGGCTTTAAATTATATATGGTATAAATTTAATGATTTAAAATTTTTTATAAATGCAGTTATTTTATTACATGCTATCTATAATTTATTATATTATTTGTTATCTCATCATTTTGATTCCAAAAATGGTTAGGGAAGCTGATATAGTGTAACAAGAATGGAGATCCCTTTTTGTCGACATTTAAAGATTTCTCATTTAATTAGCTAACCAAAATATAAATTATAAACTTCCAATTTAGCAAATATAGTACATGTTTTATTTATTTTTACATTTTAAATTACTAATGTCTATCATTAAATCATTAATTCATGAATCTATTAAGATTTTACTGAGTTTTATGATACATTCTTTTCATTGTTTAACTAATGATTATAGTCTAAATAACGAGTTATGCAATGCATATTTTTAAATGTTAGTGTTCAAAAACTTAAAAGCAAAAAAGTTATTTTATTATAGGAGCTCTTATAATGATTTTTTCTCAATCAATGTTAATGAAAATAAAATTATTAAAACAATTTTACCATAAAGTACCATATTGAGAAATTTATATTTAATAAATATTTCAAGTGGTAAATTCTAACAAAGAACCCAATTTCATATTATTATATATTTTTGGTAAACCTGAAAAATAGAAATTTAAGAATTGAGTTTTAAACACTCAATAATACAAGTGTCAAAATTAAAATATTTTATTTAAAACTAAAACAAATTTCAAGTTAAAAATATTGGCTTATAATTTTAAAAGCAAATTATAATTTAATTGAGATTTTTACATGGTATATATGTAAGCACTATAAATGACTAAAACATTGAAAAATTAAAAATTAATTTTTTCGGTATTATTAAATATCATCCCAGTTAATTTTATATCTCGATGATCAATTATTTTCTTTTAAACTAGTCACATGTCCATGTATCGTGTAATTTGTGCAACTTTATTATGTTACTTTTAAGAATTCAAATACTATTTTCATTTCATAGTACTTGTTATATTTGAGAAAATAGGTTGTTCCAAAATATTTGTCACATTTGTGGTTTTAAGGATAATAAATATCTTTTTTCCATGTAAACAAATAATTATTACTTCAATTTAATAGTTTTCTTATAGAATTAGTATTGAATTAAGTGTAATATAGTCAATTTACTCAATAATTTATTATAATTTAGATAAATTTAATCATTTAGGAGACATGAAATTCCAAATATGACAAGTATTATGAAACAGAGGCAGTAATATTATATAAATTTATTGAACAATATTACTAATTTCATTAACTATGAGAAAAGAAAATTTACTGTTTTTATTATTTGAAAAAACATTAATGATATTACTAATTATTTAATTAATTATTAAAAAATAAATAACATTAAATACTGCTAATGACATGAATAATAATTTTAACTGAATCAATAACTAAATTTTTAAAAATAATTTCTTTTGTCGCCTCAATATTTTAATAATTTAACATTATAGTACGGATGTAAGCGAATTTGCTTCAATTTTTATATAGATAGTTAGATATTAATTAAAAAAAAAGTGAACTTTTAAATTTAAAATATCATAAAAAAATATTAAGGTAGTAATATTTTTAATTACGCAAGTAATTAATAGTTAGTATCTTATCAGAAATATTTTATTTGTCTGCTTTATTATAATAATAATATTATGAAAATGATTGGCTTGGATCTGAATCTTAGATATGGATGGAAATTAAGTTTGAGGAGTGAAAATATTTATTGTTGGATAATGCCTTAATATCAGTAACAGCAGTTAATTAATCTGAATAAAATAAGGAAGCAAATCGCAGTCTGAAGAACACGCGCTATTAGCCGCCATGTATTAACCGTGAGTTATAGTGTATATGCGTAAGTTTCAGACAAGCTTTGTCAGTAAAATAAAATAACGACGGAGCGGAAGGCCAAAACGCACCAAAAAATTACAAAAAAAAAAAAAGAAAAAAAAAATTTTCTCCATTTCCTTCCTGGTTAGATCGGTCCGTTGCTTTGGGGACTTAAAAATAATAATAAAATTAAGTGGAACGAGTTTTATTATTCGAAGGAGAAAATAAAAAGAAAGGGAAAAATAAAATAAAAAATAACGGGGAAAAAAAACGCGGCTGCTCTATGCACCAAAAAACCAGAGAGAGAAGAGACTCTTTCTGCTAATCGATTCCAGCTATAGAGATCGCACCAAAGCGACCCCAAAACTTCAGGTTCCAAAAATCATTCTGTTTTTGTTAAAGATCCTCTAATTTGAATTGGTTTAGTTTTTGGAATTTAAACATCAATTTTCTAGTCGGTGCCGTGGATTTGGATTTTGTGATCGTGTCTGGTTTTGATCGTTCCATTGGAATCCTCGGTGGGTTTTCGGGTCTGTGAAATGGGTCAGGTCCAGTTCTATGGTTGGATTTGCGGAGGGGGAGGTCTGAGGTTGTGGGCTTGATTGGTTGGTTCTTTTTTGAATTTATTATTTTTGTTCTTTTTTGATGATTTCTTTGGAAAGGAGAGATGCGAGAAAAGAGCTAGGGTTAGGGTTTGGCAGTGGGAGAGAGATGGAGGACACTGAGCTTGAAGAAGGGGAGGCTTGCTCAGACCATAACAACAACGATGGTGATTATGATGCAAGCATGGACCCTGATATTGATCTCTCTTACCTAGTGAGTTTTTCTTTTCTTTTCTTTTTGAAGTTTATTTTGCTTAATTAATTATAAGAACGATAAATATTTTTTTTTGAATTTTATTATTGGCTTTGTTAGATAAGTTGACTTTTCTCCAATTCATGTTGTTTGGGGTGTGTATGTTTTAGATCCGAATTATGGATACTAATGTGATTTTGAGTTTTAAGTTTGATTGGTTGGAATGCAGAGTGTAGTTGGCAATGTCAGATTAATATGCTAATGCCGTTCAACAAAGAGAAGAAAAGTACGTGGTGCTTTTGTATTCTGAATGTATTTGGACATGGGGACAAAGATAATATTAGGAAGTTTTCTTCAGTAGTAGAATTTGTTAGCTGTAGAGCATATTGATAGAGAAATATCTGTGTTTCCGTATTTTGGTTTACTGGGTTCTCGGTGGCACAAGACATTTGTTTAAATGGTTCAGTTAGTTTGAAGTGCTAATTACTAGATGCAATTTTCAAGTTTGAAGGTTGAAGAATTGAGCTTATAATTTCTCCATTCAGGTTCAGTAATGTGCTTGTATAAAGCATGCAAAATAACTACAAGTTTTAAATTGTGGGGTATCTTGGAAACTTGAGCTTTGCATTCAAGCCATGTGAAACTTTGTCATCAAAATATGAATTACAACTTCTTGAACTTGGATTCCAAAAAGTGCACTTGAAAGCTTACGTTTGTAGATTTTTGAATCATCAATGCTTTTGAAGTTATAGCAAAGAGCATACAACATTCAATATAAACCCTTGTTTCCGGTTCTATGTCTTGTATGCTTTCAGTATTTGTCTCTATCATCAGTTCATATCTCTGTACATCTACAAAAATCTTACTCATGATATTTAACTACTAGTTCTTTTTCTTTGAAGGATGAGAAACTTCAGGATGTCTTGGGACACTTTCAGAAAGATTTTGAAGGTGGAGTTTCGGCGGAGAATTTGGGTAAGTCCAAACACACAGCAATATGATTACTGGAAGCCCTGCTCTGATATTGATTATCTAGATGGTTACATTTCAAACAGGGGCCAAGTTTGGTGGTTATGGTTCATTTTTACCTACCTATCAGCGCTCTCCTATTTGGTCTCATCCAAGGACTCCGCCAAAAATTCAGCACCACAATGCACCAAAGTCTCCAAACAATTCCGAAGTGGAGGTATATATATTTTTAATATTGTAATATTGGGCATTATTTATTTGCTTGTTTTGATTTAAAGGATGAAAGTGCAGCTTGATTTTAGTTGATTTAGAAAGTTTCTTTGTTAAGTCTGTTGTATATGTTTCTTATATAGGGTGGCCGGCGTGTCTTAGTATCTTCATCAATTGCACCTCAATCAGTAAAACCTGAACCTGCGTGTGCTACTGTGGTGTCACTGACAGCATCAAAATCATCCTCCTCCTCCATGATTACTTCAGCCAAACAAGAAGTAGGCATGCCATCTACTAATCTTGCTAAGGAACATATTGCAAGATATGAATCGGTAAACAGGAAATCTGCTAATATACCGGACCAAAAAATGCTGAAGGTTCGAATTAAAGTGGGTTCCGGTAATTTGTCGACACAAAAAAATGCTGCAATCTACAGTGGTCTTGGCCTTGATGTGTCACCGTCTTCATCATTGGATGATAGCCCTTCTGGAAGTGAAGGGCTGTCTCATGGTCCTCAAGATTCACCATTTGAATCTCCTGCTCATATTCTTCAGGTGAAATGTCTTCCCACAATTTTGTACTCTTTAATTTTTCCTTAACTATTTTGTTGGAAGTGATCAACTCTGTTTCTTTTATCTTGTGTTCAAGCAGATAATGACTTTCTTTCCAGTGCATGGGGGCATATTGCTATCACCTCTTCCTTGTGATTTGATTCAATTGTCAGAAAGGGAAAAGCTTCATAACGGCGCATTGCCTGCCCTTACCATTGGCCCAGAAAGTTCTGGCATTATAATTAATGGGTTGGAATCTGTGAGAGGTGATGGAAAAGTGTTGGGAGAAAAGAAAATTAAGTCACTGGAGAGGAATGAAGTATCAGCAGAATCAAAAAGTGAAAATAACAGGGATTTTAGGAGCGGTGTTGATGCTTTGCCTAAAAAGGAGTTAGATCTTGACACTTTGGCCTGTGAGGAACTTGTTTCTAACACATTAAAGCTCCCACTCCTCTCCAATTCATATTCTGTTCCTGATGAAACAAAAGGTACAATTAGGGCATCTAATGTACCCAGGGAAGTGTTCAAGGGTGGAGTGAGGGACAAAGGATTTTCTGATGTAATAAAGGAGGAGCTGTTGGGGCCAATGTATACACATGAAGATGCCTGGATTGAGAATTCCAAAGCCACTTCAGCTGGAAAGATCTGGGAAGACAAGAAAGCTAGTTCTTTTGACAGTGTTTCTGTATATCCTAGGAAAGATGGCCATCGAAAGGGAGAAAAGCCTTATGGCTCTGTCAAGAGCGACTCAATTATTTCAAAGGGGATGAAAGCTGTGAGCTCTGAACTGACAGACACTCCCAAGCAGAAGGCTGATCAGAAAGTTATGTCCCATGAACAAGAAGGCACCAAGTTTCATTCTGGAAAGGAGCGTTTATCTTCTGAAGGGAAAAAGAAACTAAAAGGAAATCAAAATCGTGGAAATGTGGTTGCGGAGATGCTAAAAGATGGCTTGGCAGGTGGCTCTTCTTTGGTGACCAAAATTAAGAAGAGCGCCTCTGCAGATGACCATACAACTAAGGGAGAGTTGGAAGACACAAAATCACAGAAGAATACTGGAAAAGCTGGGGATAGGTACAGAGACTTTTTTGGGGATATTGAACTAGATCGAGAAGAAAAACATATGAGTCCACTGGCAATGAGTCATGAAGATAGACAGAAAGAATTTGACTTGGGTGAAAAGAGTGTATGTTTCTCAGAGAGATCAAGTGGTAAGAAAATTGATAAGCTGTCAACATCTGAGGTGCATCCTAAAACAGCTACTGGCATTGGTTCCTGCTCTGAAAATGGGCCCATATCTGATGCTGGTCCTGCTGCAACTATCCCTGCTGCAACACAAGATAACTGGGTCTGTTGTGACAAGTGTCAGACATGGCGGCTTCTTCCGCTTGGTAAAAATCCTAATGACTTACCTGAGAAGTGGCTTTGTAGCATGCTTGACTGGCTGTAAGTTCTCCAACATCATTTAAATCTAATACTTCTGACCATTCATAACTTCAAGAAATAGCTAATCTAGATGGATATTTATAAAATAGGCTGAAAGAATTTTTTTTTTTTTGAATTCCTATAGAAATTTTGTTTTTGAATTCCTATGTCTTTCTCTTCTCTCTCTAAAGTTTGATTTTTTTTTTTTCAATTTTACATGCTTTAGGCCTGGTATGAACCGATGTAGTTTTAGCGAGGCAGAAACAACAAAGGCTGTAATGGCATTGAACCCTGTTCCTCATCCATTGAGTCAAAATAATCTGCAGATCAATCCCAGTGGGGTTATATCCAAAGTAACTTTGGTTGACGATCAGCTGGATCGGACTCACCAAAACTTTGGTTTGCATACCATGCCCACTGGTAAGAAGAAGGCAGGCAATGGTCCTGCTCCATTGTCAAACTCTGTGAAGAAGGGAATACAGTCATCAGTGGCAAATGGAAGCTTGAATGGTGTGAACCAACCTATGGTAGGTGAACCTGATTTTCTAAAATTGTGCAATTCTAGTGACTTGGCTGCAGAAAAACACAAATATAAGCAGAAAGAGAAGCATAAAGCACTTGACAGCTGTTCTGATGGAGGTATTGCATTTGATTTTTCTGCCATGCCTCTCTGAACTTCCCTTTCCCCTCCTTGAGTATGAGATTGACTTTATTGACAAACTTGCTCGCAGGTGATGTTAGGCAATTAAAGATGAAAGGCAAAAGGGATTCTGAGCAAGATTTATTCAGGGCCTCCAAGAAAATGAAAACTGAAGGTTTGCCACAAGATTGGATATCGGATCAAGTTAACATTGAAAAATTAGGTCCTAGCTCAAGTAATGGTTTACCTTCTATGTCATCAGAAAAGAATTTGCCCAAAAAACAGGGCCGCACTGCTTCTAAGGATCAGACGCAAGTTTCTGCCAGAAAATCAAAGGATGAAGTTCTGATGTCCTCAGATGATGTTCCCACAGATATAGGAAAGGGGGATGATAGAGAAGTTGGCAAGAAGAGAAAAGTAAAGGAAAGTCATGATTCTCAACGTAATCCAGGCTCCCTTTCAAATATTCTCCAGGATAGCAGGGCCATAGACAAGGAGGAGTTCAGTGAGAATGAATACAGGAAAAAAAAGAAGGCCAGGGTATCCAGGTCTGATGGGAAAGAGTCCAGCACGAGCAAGGGCAGTGGTAAAACAGACAAAAAAGCTAGTCATAGAAAGAACCGGCAATTAGGGCAAGACATGGGGAGTTCTGTGTCTCAACGAAGCTTGGATGGCGTGGATTCTTTGAAAAGGGATTCTCGATCTCTACCTCCTTCTGTAGCAGCTACTTCTAGCTCTTCTAAGGTTTCTGGTTCCCTCAAAACTAAAGTCAATTTTCACGACACAAAGGGGTCTCCAGTAGAATCAGTTTCTTCATCTCCTCTAAGGGTTTCAATAGCAGGTAAGCTCACATCAAGTCAAAAGAACTTCACTGAGAAAGTTGACAGTACTGATGCTGGTTTTTTTCCCCTAGGTGGTCGGAGAAGATGCTCAGATGGTGAAGATGATGGTGGGAGTGATCGATCTGGGACAGCAAAGAAGGAAAAAATTCTTGATGTGCTTAATCATTTTAATCATGCTTCTGGTGGTAAAGCTAAACAGCAAATTGTGCCTTCTCCTGATGTCAGAAACCATCACTTCGAAAATGGTGGTGCAGATTATTTAGGTCAAGACACTCGGTATCCTAGTAAAACTACCACTTCAGACCGATGTCGTAATGATGATAGACAACATGAAAATCATACTAATGGGTCCCGCCAAAGGAAGTCTGGAAAGGTATCTTCTTCGAGATCTAAAGACAAGAACAAAAATTTAAATTCTGAGTTTGACAATGGTAAAGTTAAGGCTTCTGATTCTGTTAATGAACAACCACCTTCCTACGAAGTGAAACTGAAAGATGGTAAAAATAAGATTGCAGAGAAGTTTGGGGTCAGTTCTGATGAAGGTGAGAATAGATATGTTGATAAAAAGGACTCTGTGGGACCATTGTCTAGTGAGAATAGCAAGAAAGAGGGCCAGTCAAAATTTCGGGAACACAATGGTCCTGATATTAAAGAACATGCTATTTCCAGCCATGATACAAACCCTACTCCAAAGAAGAGTTTGCTGTTAGATGGTGAGGCAACTGGGAGGGGGAAGTCACCATCATTACCTCCCTCTGCTGGGGCTCAGAATGAAATGTCATCTCATTGTCCTCGACCGGTTTCTGGGTCTCACAAAGAAAATGGAGCAAATATTCCAGTTAATGCTTTCGACAATGGTAATACATCTAGAACACCAAAACAAATCAGAAAGGTTGATCATCCAAATGGTCATCAAAACAGTTCAAGAGATCCGCTTTCAAATGGACACAGGAGGGATCTTGATGCCCCAAGTCCAGTTAAAAGGGATTCTTCCGGTCAAGCTGCTACAAATGCTCTGAAAGAAGCTAAAAATCTGAAGCACCTGGCTGATCGACTTAAGGTTTCATTGTTCATGCTTCTTGTTTGTATGTTACTATCCTTCTGGTTTTGTGCTTTCTAAAATTAATTTTTTTGCAGAACTCTGGGTCAAGTCTTGAAAGTACAAGGCTTTACTTCGAGGCAGCTCTCAAGTTTCTTCATGGAGCCTCCCTTTTGGAAACTGGCAGCAGTGAAAATGCCAAAATGGGAGAGATGATTCAGTCAATGCAAGTGTACAGTAGCACTGCAAAACTCTGCGAGTAAGTTAAAATATAAAGTTGTATGGCAACACTTTGTTGTGTCTAGTTAATGTTGCAACTTGTATGTTACTCAAGTAGTCAGAAATGCTTGCATCAAAAACTGGAAAAGGCACTTAAAATACATTGATCTGTTCCTAACTTGTCTGCTGGAATTTGATATTTTAGTTTGATTCCAGAGGCCATAAATGTCATTCATGTCAGAGGTTTTGGTTAGACCTGATTCAGGCTTGTTATGGCTGGTACATCAAAAGCTGTCACTTACATGGCCCTCATGATATTTTTCTCTTTCCTTTGTTGATACTAAATAAATTTCTTCAATGTTGTTATACCACATCTTGCATTTGTTAGTGTTTTGCTCAAGTACTCTAAAGCAAAGATTGCAATCTTCTAAAAATTGGAACCTTCTATGAACACACTTGTCAACCATGTTTTGAAACATGGTTATCTGTCCTGGATTTATCTCTCTCTTTGAAGTTATATAAATAGATTCTAAAGAAAGAAACAAAGATTAAGGGCAACATCGAGGAATATCCAGAAAGGAATTGTTCATGCTGTTGCAGCAATCAGATCATTTGCTGTTGTCCTGCCGCTGTTTTTACCCTAAATTATCTAATACCTAATTTTTCAGGTTTTGCGCCCATGAATATGAAAAATCCAAAGACATGGCTGCTGCCGCCCTGGCTTACAAATGCATGGAGGTGGCATATATGAGGGTGATTTATTCTTCACATTCCAGTGCAAATAAAGATCGAAATGAGTTGCACAAAGCTCTACAAGTGGTTCCTCCAGGTAACTACAAATATTAGTTTTCTTTGCAAGCTGGATGAAATTCTATTTGCTGGAGCCTATTTTATATGCATCGTATCCTTGTGTTAATATTTTATGTTTGGACATTTTTTGCTCCCCAAACATGACAAGGTGGCAAAATAGCCCTTACCTTCTTTGATCATTAGGAGTTGCTAAGTTGCCATGCATAAAAGTTGCCACCTGCATTTGCTAAATACTGAGTTCTTTAATGACGCATTCTTTGTTGGAGGGAAGGGTGAGAAAGGACTATTACAGATCTTTAAGTGTGAAGAACCGCATATTAAGTGTGAGGCCTCAGCTCAAATGTGGACCAATTGTTGGATGCTTGAAGCTTGATGCAATTTGTCAAATGAAAATGGATCTTCTAACATGCTCACATTTTTCTTCTTCATACAAAATAACTATTCATTTCTGTTTGTCCATCTTCTTATTCTTCTTTTATGAAAAGTGGAGGTAGTATTACTGGTTAACCCTACCCCATTCGTACCAATAGGCAGCATAGAGGACGGAGTACTATGCCTAGGAATCAACAAGAAGAAAACTTTGTTAAAATTTTACATTTTCTTTATTTGGATTGGGACTAGGAAGAATGGTTGAGACAACAAGCATTTATTTATACTTTGGATACTCATATGACCGTCGAAAATCATTGAATTGACTAATTCCTAGAAATTAAAGAAGATTGTGCAAGTGTCTTTGTATTATTTGTTTAATGTACCAATATATTGTCTAGTAGTTCTGTATTCCATGCCATGGATACATTTGGCACGTAAGATAGCTTGTTTACTACATTGTTCTTTGGTATGTTTAAGGACCTGCCTGATAACAGTAAATTTTATCATGTATTTTCATGATATGCACAGATGCTTGATCATCTCAATGCTAACTTTTTCTCCTTTCTTTCATCCTAAAAATAATTTTTTTTTAGTTTGGCATTTAGCTTTTCAAATGCTTAATCTTGTTTCATTCTTTATCAGGCGAGTCTCCTTCTTCTTCTGCCTCTGATCTTGATAACTTGAATCACCCAGCAGCAGTGGACAAGGGTTTCCCAGCCAAAGGTATTAGCTCTCCTCAAGTGACTGGAAGCCATGTCATTGCTGCACGAAACCGTCCCAGTTTTCTACGGTTGCTCAATTTTGTAAGTACATTGTTTTTCATTAAGAAACTTCAAGTTGTTATTTGATTATCTTGTTGCATAAATTCTTCCAAAAATAAAACTGTGGATAAGAATTAGACCAAGGAACTTATTATGATTTGGAATTAAATTACTAAGAGAAAACTTTATGATCATGTATGGGTATAAAGAATGCGTAAAGCTGAAATTACCTATTCTTTTGCTTTTCTGATGTCCTTGATGCAAAAACATCATATTTGTTCTTGTGTATCATGTGCTGTGAAAATCAGTTGGCAACATTGATTTGGTGTCAGGCAACCCAGAAACCTCTGTTATTTCATTTTAGAGCATTTAATGCTTGATAGTTTACTTTGCTTCCTAATATGTATCCATATACATATGGGCATCACCAACTGTGATTATTTTGCAGGCTCAGGATGTAAATTTTGCTATGGAAGCCTCCAGAAAATCACGGATTGCCTTTGCGGCAGCTAATGTAAGCTTGGGAGAAACCCAACGCAGAGAGGGTATTTCTTCCATTAAAACAGCTCTTGATTTTAATTTCCACGATGTAGAAGGATTACTACGTCTGATAAGGCTTGCAATTGAAGCCAGTAGCCGCTAAGGAACCCAGTTGTTTGTGGAGATTGTATCAATTTTGGGAGAAAATGAAAGAGAACTATTTTTGGCCCAGATCTCCCTGTTGAAGTATTTGAAACTTCTGTTGTGAGACCTGTTATCACTGTCTCACCAGCTCAGTGTTCTATGTACATGTGTATTATACAGGAGAAAATTCAAATTGAGTATATTTCTTCATCAACTTCAGCTGCTTTCTGAGACAAATGAGGACCATACATGTCAAATCCATTTGAGGATTGCTATTAACGAAATCTGTTTATCAACTTCTAGAGAAATGGTCTGAGGTTGTAAAAAGTGGCAGGTTTTTTGTGGCACTGTAGGATTGTGTTTGAAGAAATAAACTAATAAACATAGACAAACCCAATTATAAATATGTTCGGGGTTGTAGAATTCTGATAGCAGAGTGAGCCATCTTTCTGGCAATTGTTTTTCCCCAGGCGGAGGTCAATATAGCTGTCTCTTAATGCGCTAGTTACAACTTGTTTGGATACATCTTAAGGATGCAAGCTGTAAAATATGTCTATTGACATGACATCTTAGTTCTACAATGAGGCTGCATTAACTTCCTTGGTTCAAGCATTGTGTAAGGATGGCATTGAGGTGGCAGTCTCAGGTCAGTGACCTAGTTTACTATATTGTTACCTTTTCCTTTTCTTCAATTTTCTTATTAGATGATATAGGTTATTTGTCTTGGTTTCTTCTACATGCTATATGTGGACGTTTTATTTATCTCCTTGTTTATTTATTTCTGCAGGTTATCTGATAATTGCAGTTAAGACAATTTTCTCTTTGTTGTTAACATAGAAAAGCAGGAAGAAGTTGGACTAGTTGTGGATTCAGAAATAATTTTGCAGGCATGTTACCAAGTTATTTCCTTTTAAGGTTCGTGTACTATATTAGCTGCAAAAGTTTAATTGGATTGACTACTGTTCTTACATGAATTTGCCTCTCAATGTCTCCTTTTCTCTTTGGCAGTGACTATCGTAATTGTATATATGCAATCAAGTAGAATGCGAGCTTCATTTTTTTTCCCCTTTTTTAGGGTGGGGAGTTAATTCATGCCATATCCGCCAGTTGTGAGGATTTAACCGGTAAAGCTACTGTAACCCATTTCTAATGGAGTTGAACTGATGTTTAAATGAGACATGGTTTTGATGACGTGCTTGTTTAATTTCTGAAGAACTTCATTCCTTCAGCAGCTGCCTGTGCCTTTTATCCTCATTCTGCGTGCTTCCAGAACTCAAGATCAGACTTCCCTCGACTTGTTGAGCATTACTTGCAGTTCTGAAATGATGTGGTGTAACTGTTGATCAGATGATGCGAAAGAGGTGGTTTTGGTTTCAAGTTCAGCCAATCCGGGCAGTTTTGGCAAGCATACCAGCTACTGGATATTGAAGTATTAATCTTGATGAAGTGCTTGTATTTATATTGGCCCCTCAACCCAACTGCTGATATTGCTTTGTTCATATTAATTGTAAAGTTAGCGACACGTTAGATTCTGACCAACCCCTGCCCTTCTCCAGGCCATTCCCACCCCATAAAAAATAAGAAGAAAATCCAACCAACTTACCTCACCTTCACTGTTACTTGTATAAAAGCAGCAACATTTATTTAAAAAAGTTTTGATATTCTTTTTTCTTTTCCTTTTTGTCTGTTTTATTTGAGATTTGCTCACTTTGATGCATGATGTTCAATTCTTTAGATTATCGAGTCTTGGTATCAGCTACTGAAATGCAAGCTGGAAAAAAAAAAATGTAAAATCAAATTATTCAACTTCAAGGTTTATTGTGTAGTTCCATTGAAAATCCCACTACTGTTTAAGTTATCTATATTATAATCTGCACACAAATTTTTTTTTTTTAAAAAAAATTAATATAGTTAAATTATAATTTTTGATTTATTTTTTTTCTGTTATACCATTATATTAATATCTATTAAATTTAAATTATCTATATTATATTATTTTTAAAATTAATTAAACATTTGACCAAATATAGTTTTAGATAAAATGTTAATACTTTAATTTTTTTTATATAGAGATTTAATTAATAATGATGGTAGTTTGACAACCATTATAATTATTATTGATGACGAAATATATTAAATAAGAGTGAAATGATAAACTTCAAATATTATTCACTTAAAAAAAAAAAAAAAACATTAAACTTCAAATATTATTTCACTAAAAAAAAAAAAAAAAAAAAAAAAAAAAAAAGAAAGATGGTATTTATTACGGTTCAATTTTAGAAAGATTAACTTATTTTTTTATTAATAAAAGTGAATTAAACAATTGTAGAAAACATGTCAATACGATTTAAATACCAAATATCATATCTAATTGGCGAATTATTAAAAAATTCATTGTTTAATTAATTGTTAATACTTGTAAACATATATATTTATTATTATATATAACTAATTGGCGTGGGGAGATCACTGTTCCCATAACAGTGATTTTCCCACTTAGTCCCACTTAGTTCATTAATTACATTTTAGCCTATGATGTTTTTTAATCCTTTTATTATTTTTTAATTAAATTCTTACCACAATAGCATTTTATCCACTTAATCCTTTTATAGTTGTTTAATTACATTTCTGTTCAACATTGTTTTTTCACTTAACCCTTTTATTATTCCTTAATTACATTCTTTTCATAATTTAAATAATTATTCATTTAAAATTTCTTAAATTAATTTATTTAATTTATATAAGCAAAACTTAATATGAGTTTTGTATTGCGATTTTTGAATGCTTAATTATAAATAATTTGAATAGTTATTTTCCTAATATATAAAATTGACATACCAAAGTTACTAATGGCTTACTTTTTTCATTAATTTGATTTATTTTCATATTTTTCAATACATTTCTCTCGTGATATGGAAATCATTAGAATTTGAAAATTTTGATACACATATATATGCATACATACAGCTAACATTAAGCGTTATCAATATGTGCATTTATAATAAACAATATCCATAAACATTAATTATTAGATGTCGATGATAATTATTCTCTAGCAAATTAAAGATTAATATTGTAAACATATATAAAGCTCTGCTAATACCATTTTTCAAATAATGTTTATTTATTCTTTTATTACTCCAATCAATAAAATAATAATTTTTGATATCTTATTGAAATCCAAAAATTATAATATCCATATAACTTTATATTTTTTTTTTTTGTCTAAATTGATTCAAATTAAAATTTTAAAAATAAAAAAATTAATAAATTTTAATTTCATATATACAAATTGCCTATTTTCATTTGAGAAATATTATATATTTAATAGATTCACATTAAAAGACTTTTACTTTATATATATTCATGTTAAAACTTTATAAATGGATAAAATATTAATTTTTATTCAAAATAATGAATTGTAAAATTACAATGAGTAACTTACTTAAAGATAATAAACACAACACTAAATTTAACCTTTACTATATATTTATATATTTAGATGTACATATCACTTAGTATAAATGTAAGGAAAAAAAATAAAGTTTCTTATTGTCTATTATATTTTATATACTTATTTTTTAATTAATTATGAATATAAATTGTGTTTGATGATTATTTTAAATAACAAATTAATGATGAAATTAATTTCATCAATAATTTTATTAATTTTTATTTTTATTTTTAAAAATATTTTAAAATTATTATAGGTTGAAAATAAAGTTGTATTGTTAAAAATTTAGTAATAAAGTTGTGCCAAGTAAGACAAAAACGAACATATATAGATTTTTAACTTGAAAAAAAGTATTTGTATTTATGTGATAATAAATATTTAAGTTGTGCAAGTAGACAAAAACGAACCATATATAGATATTATTTTTAACTTGCAAAAAAAGTAATTTGATTATTAGTGATAATAAATATTTTAAACAAAAACTCTACTAGAGTAGCATTATCAAATTGTTGCTTGACACTATTATGCGTATAATATAATATACCATGGTATACGACAACGGTTAAATATAGTATTTCATATATGGGTCTACAAGCTTAAATTATTACTTACCAAAGTCAAAAATAAAATATTAAAGTATCAACACGCTAAAATTTTATTGTTAAAATGTCAAATTTTATATATTATAATAACAAATTTAAAAATTATTATTTATATATATATATAATTTATGAAATGAACTGGCAAATCGCCAGCTCGGTGATGTGTGGTATTTTTTGCTGAAAGTTAAAATTATATTTATATATATATATAATTTATGATAATTAACTGGCAAATCGCGCTCGGTGATGGGTTGGTATTTTTGTGAAAGGAGTTCTAATAATTTTGAATGAAGAAATTATTTCTTTTTAATATTAAATTTTAAATTAGCAGTAACATCTCTTATTGTTACGTGTCTTATGACTTAAATAAGGTTTTAAACAATGAGCGAGCTAGCCGCAAACTCAAACCTACCGACCTGCCCGACCGTCTCACGAGTCATGACCTCGTTTAGGCGCGTAGTTTTGTTTTTCTTTTTCGCCTGTTTCATAGTCTCACGTGCCAACTGGGGCTTTAGTTTGCTGCTCCAATTCTACCCTGTTCGCAGCCATCACCTCCCTCTCCCCTTTCCATCACCCGCCCTCAAATTACCAAACCCTAACCCTAATCCTAACTCTATTTTTGTTTAATATAATTTTTGCAAATTAATTTTTGTCTTGAAACTTGTAATTCTTTACACCGAACTGTAATGCGCTGTTCTCACACACAGAGCTTCAAGACTCCAATCTTCCACTTCGACAATGGAGGCGTTGAAGGGAAATTTAGAAGAAATAGAGATTGGGAGCTCCGTCGAGTCGTTTCAGAAGTTTTTGGATTCGCAGAAGGAGCTCTTTCACAGTCAGATCGATCAACTTCAAAGCATCGTCGTCGCTCAATGCAAACTCACCGGCGTCAATCCTCTCTCTCAAGAAATGGTGCGTTTGTAGTAATTGAGAATTTTAAATATCGAAAATAACTACCGAAAGCTTGAATTACACCCATAGAGCAGAATTGTTTTTAGTTTCGGTTGTTTACGAGCTGCTCTGTTTAGTTTAGAGCCTTAAAGGGCAAGCAATTATTTATTTGTACCAGAAGTTTCTAATTTTGTTCCGTGTTTAATTCAAATCCTGGGGCATTAAGATATTTAATAGGGTTCTTTCTCTATTCTGTTTGTTCTGTTTGTATTTTTGGTTCTTAGGACGGTATATAACATAATGCAACAAGTTATCTATATATAACTACATAAATCATTTTTGTAGTGGTAAATTATGTTTTTTCCAATGCATCATGGATATGGAATTTCTTTGAGCACTACTTCCTAAATTGAATTTTACTATGTATGGTCCACAGGATAGTGATATGATTAGTATTTGAATTCTAACGCCTCTTAAAATCATGCCAAAATGTGAATTAAGATGTTGTTCAAGGTTCTAAAAGCTTCAAACTTGCTTGAGTTGTCTATTGGGCAGAAGCGTCATACGTTTGTTCGAAAGATGCCCTTATTCTTTTGCTTCACGAGAAAATTAATTTTTCCATCTATTATGGATTTAAGATGTTCACTAATACAATCATTTTCTGATTCATCTTCAGGCAGCTGGTGCCATGTCAATAAAAATCGGTAAGTTGTGGATACCAGATTTCTCTATCTGATATATTAACAATATTTAAGGAGTCCTAAATAGGTATTCTTAACTCAGCAACAATAACATATGCATATTGTGTATGTATATTTGCCTTTTTGAGCTATGTTTGATTGGCATTATCAAGTTACTTCAGCTGTTGGTTGGCATACTAGGTTTATCAGTGATGAACATAATATTTCCATTATCATGATCCTAGAATGTAACAATTGAATTAGCTTCAAATTGCATACTGATATACACAGGCATGTATACAATTTCATGGCTGCTTTCTGGGCCAAGTTTTCCTCTGGGAAAACCAAGTGATCTTAGATGCATGCCTTTTTGATCCCTCATAGTGCATTTTCTTTATATTTCTGGACACTGAAAATTGTTAGGAATGATGTGCTGTAGTTGGATTGTATTTGGGCTTAGCTTGTAATTGTCAACACTAGTCCATTAGTTAAGTACTTTCTTATTAAATAGTTTACAGTCAAACAATAATACAAATTCGTAATACTTCTGTATCGATCTCTTCTCTTTTCTCTGTTTCTCTCCTTCCCTCTCTTTCTCTTCTCTTTCCCTTATTTTCCCTATGTTTCTCAGCAAAACAAGCACAAGTTAGGATTGTATTTTCTTCAAGTTCCGACCAAAAATCTATAATCAGACATCTTATGAATTGTGCTACTTTTTCATCATTTTCTAACTTCATTGGTTGATTTGGCAGGAAAAAGACCTAGAGATTTGCTAAATCCTAAGGCCATAAAGTATATGCAAGCTATTTTCTCAATAAAAGATGCAATCAGCAAGAAAGAATGTCATGTGATAAGTGCTCAATTTGGCGTAACAGTCACACAGGTATTTACCTTTTTCATATGTTTTCAAACATCGAAGTTTTTCATCTTTTTTCATGTTAGTCTGCTTTGCACAAAATGTTTTGCCTTCCTTTCCTTTCATAACCTACATGGGACTTATATACCTATGTATCAAGAAACCTGTGAAAGTTTACTTTTATGGTGTAAAATTGACTACAGGTTCGAGATTTCTTTGCTAGTCAGCGTGCAAGAGTGAGGAAACTGGTCCGGTTATCAAGGGAGAAGACATCCAGAACAAATGTATGTAAAGAACCACAAGAAGGGGCTGCAACAAGCTCTGATTCTATGATGCCTATTAACCTGGCTCCATTGAATTCTGTTCACCCAGATCCAGTTCCCATAGGCTCTCTTGGATGCAATCCAGTTCCCTTAAACTCTGTCAGTCCTGATTCGGCTCCCTTAAACTATATTGGGCATGATCCAGCTCCCTTAAACTCTATTGGGCATGATCCAGCTCCCTTAAATGCTATTGGGCATTCCAATGTTGAGGAAGCACCATCTTGCTCAACACAGGATGACTTAATACCTGGCTTACATGATTTAGACAAACATTTTGTTGAAAATATTTTCTATTTGTTGCGAAAGGAAGAAACATTTTCTGGGCAGGTGAAACTGATGGAATGGATCTTGCGAATACGAAATCCCTCAGTGCTAAGTTGGTATTTTTCTAATCATTTTTGTGTGTTTAAGATTTTTATTCTTATCTCTCATGGCTATTTAACTGTTCTGTCATACGTTGCAGGTTTTTAAATAAAGGTGGTGTCATGATTTTGGCTACATGGTTGAGTCAAGCAGCTGCTGAAGAACAAACAAGTGTTCTTCTTGTCACCCTCAAGGCACAAATATGCTCCTTATATCCTTCTTAATGCTCACTAATTTATTTCTCATAACCTGGCTTAAGATTGATTAATTTGCTGCTGTGCAGGTTCTTTGTCATATGCCTTTGCATAAATCTCTTCCTGAACATATGTCAGCCATATTGCACAGTGTTAATAGGCTGCGATTCTACAGAACATCAGGTGTACTTTTGTTCAGAGACTTGTACTTTTTGACTCTTGATCTCTATTTCTCTCTTCCACCGTATTGCTTTATATCCCTTGTGATAATTTTGAATCTCATTTATCTGATTTTAAGATCAGACATATCAAACAGGGCAAGAGTTTTGTTGTCAAGATGGAGTAAAATGTTTGCTAGAAGCTTGAAGAAGCCAAATGGTATAAAATCTTCTGTTGATGAACAGGAGATGATACTGAAGCGGAGGTAAGTCAATTTCCTCACTTATGCTTAAACATTTTTTCCAATTAGCATCTCATTTTTTTAGTCTCTAATTTCGTGCAGTATTGATGAAATTATGGGAAATGAATTATGGCACTCTGATGTTAGTAACCCTGTAAGTTCTTGACAAACTTAATATTTGGTGATATTTATATGATGTTTTCTTATAGTTGTTATTGCCGTACAGGAAAATGCTATTACTCTTTCTGAAAGTTCTGAAAATATCAGGTACATATATATTTTTGTCTGACTTGCTTCAGCCCATTGGATCTTGATTATTTGATGAAATATTGAGCACAAATTTCCTATTTAGGAAAATGGAACCCTCACAAACGTTGAAGCTTTTGCCAGCATCAGAAGATTCAAGTAGGAAGCACATCCTAGGTGTATCTTCATCCCGTATCCTCAAGATTTTAATTCAATTTGTTAATTTTGTTTGGATTGTGAAGTAGTAGCAGTGCATAACACTTAAAGGAAACATCAACCAAAATCATAATTCTTTAGGCAAGGGGTGGAGCCATTTATCAATATATTAAAGGAAACATCAACAGAAATCATAATTCTTTAGGGAAGGGATGGAGCCATTTATTAATATTACCACTCAGTTGCATCAATCTCCAGCTGCAAGGTTATCCTTAGTAAACTTGGCTTTGCCTGGTCATTTGAAGTGTTCAAAAGTCTATTGATGCTCATCATATCATATTATTTGTGTTACAGTTAACATATTCATACTTGGTGTAAAATTGAATGCATTCTACTATTAACTAGAATATTTTCGTTTTTCTCAAAGAAAAAAAAAAGAATACATTTTCTTCCAGCCAGCTCTAAATATTAAAGTTGTGGCCAAAGAAACTTTGATAACGAGATTGGATGTGCTTCTTTTGCTATACAACCTGATAGTGACTATCTAATGTTTTGTCACTGTTATGCAAGAATTACCATTGCTACTTTATTTGATTCATCACCACTTGCATTTTAATATGTAACCTTCACAGTGGGTGCATGAAACTACAAAGAAATTATTTGTTCACATTTCTTGTACAGCAGCTTGTCTGCCTTGTCTAATGTTTACATTTCTTGAGAAGAATTCCATGATGATAAACCAGCTGTGAAAACCGAACTAATATAGTCACATTGTTGGTGACAGTGAATTTGAAGTGTGATTACTTGATGGTTTCAAATCTTATATAAAAAAGTCATTGCATGGAATTTATTCTCATGCAACTTCACTACCTCAGAGGCAAAATCAAGGTTTACAGGGACCTATAATCTTGAATGATCTTACCTGTAATGATTGGTTATCCATTCTGGATATTAATCATTTTGCTGGGTGTATTGTTTATTGATTTCATTAAACAGTTAATTGGAACTTAGCGAGTCATTTTGAATGATACTATTTCCTCTTCCCAAAGCTTACCCTTAAAATTGCCTCTTTAGTGAGTGTAGTGCAGGAGGAACTAGATTCTAATGATTCATCTCCTTTTTGCGTCTCTGGAGGTCATTGGCACTTTTGATGCCCTGTTATTAATTTTCGCAAAGTTTTTGGTCAATTTGGGAATGGACCTTGGAATTAGAGCTCACAATTGAGGCTGTTCATCTTGGAAGTTGGTAAATCTCATTCTGATTCAAAATTTACAGGCTCCCTAAATGATTTATATGCAATTGGATTTTATTCTTTGTATGTTCGGATGTATTACATTCCTTAGCTAGTACCAGATACCAGAGAACGCAGAAAAGTTCAGCTTGTGGAACAGCCAGGGCAGAAAACAGCTGGCAGAAGCCCCCAGGCTACAAAACCTGTTTCTGTCAATCAAGGCCGCCCAATGTCTACTGATGATATCCAAAAGGCAAAAATGCGTGCTTTATTCATGCAAAGCAAGTATGGGAAAACTGGTTCCTCATCTAATGGACCTAATGGTACAAAGACAGAAGGTCTTAATAAGCCTTCAAATACTTCATCTGGTAATTTGTTCCCAGCATCTAAAGTTCCTCTTCGGCCTAAGATTGAGGAACAGAAAAAACCAGTAATAGTTCCCACGGTAATTTCTAATAAGCAAGGTCCTCTTGATCCAAAACATAAAATGGGTTTGAAGGAACCTTTGGGAGAGTTTTGCAGGAGGGTCCAAATACCATGGCAGACACCTCCAGGTAAATCCATCTTTGGTGTTTGTTTGTTGGTTGCTTTAAATATTTGCCGATAATAATAGTTTGGACAGATCTACGGTAATGTTTTACTAATAACAGAAAATATATATTTTTAAATATTTGCGATAATAATAGTTTGTGACAGATCTACGGGTAATGTTTTACTAATAACAGGAAAAATATATATATATATATATATATATATTATTATATATTATTTTTTTTTAAAAAAGGAAATTTTTCAAGAAGGTCCACGGATTTTATGAAATAGAAAGATATCTAATGTGACTAACAGCTGCACATTTTGCGAAGACTTCAGTTTTTGCAAACACAGATGCTGAGATTTTCTGTCTCCCCTATGTGGCCTTCATTTTTAAATATTTGCAAACTTGGAGAGGATTGAAAACAATTTTGAACTCCATAATACTTGGTTATCTTTTCAATTTTTCTGTGACTCTGCCATTTTCAAGAATTATTGTACATTGTCTCATGATGAAATTAATCACTTCGATGACCCTGTGCAGATTCCTGGTTGTTTGAAACTCGTGGGGCACCCCCGCTTCCCATCTTGTTTGTTGCTCAATATAATAATTTTCAGCTGTGGCAAAATTGTTGTGGCAAAATTGTTAAAATGACCCAATTCAATTCTGCACCTACATTAGCATAATGCACTTTGAGTTTTTTTTTTTTTTTTTTTTTTTTTTTTTTTTTTTTTTTTTTTTTTTAAAAAAGTTTTTTCAACAGCCATCTAATTTGAAAAATGGATAAACCTTTAATGCACATTGGTTTTTTTTTTTTTTTTTTTTTTTTTTTAAAAAGTTTTTCAACAGCCATCTAATTTGAAAAATGGATAAACCTTTAAATGCATTGGAGACGCCAATTTACTTGGGCTTGGCTCAAAAAGTGAGCTTCTTGCATATGACTTGTTCTAACTTTTAAGTGCAACGATAAAGAAACCTTCTGGTTTTGGGTTGCTTCTTATGAAACAATGTTGATGTGATGGATGAAAATATCGAGGGTACTATAAGCTAATTTCTTTAACTTGACAATCAATTGTTAGTCTTAACCAGATTAAAATGAAAAAAAAAAAAAAAAAGAAAAAGTCAAATAGATTCAAGCAGTGTATGGGTTTGCAACTAGTGCCCTAATTGGAGATGTAAAATTCCAAGAGAATGCTCCTATGTGATGAAACTGGGATTCATTTTTTTTTTCTTTTGGTCTATCATGGAGTTTGGGTTTTTCCGTACTATACTATTCATTTACTGTATATTACAAGTGACCCTGTTTACCTTAAGCCTGCATGCTCCAGGAATATGATTATGCAATTGGACATTGCTGAGGATTCGTGTATATTATGTGATGTGATGGAATTAGAAGTGATAAATTTTCGCCAGTTGGTGATTGAATACTCATCACTTTGGTGACCGGCATTAGGTGCTTCTTGGGCGTCTTAACTTGAAATTGAACTTACACGTGGCTTTAAATTACGATTAAAAGAAAAGGAAGTGTGATTTTGTCAGTTGGGGCTAAATAGCTGGCTACAGACGTGGGCCAGTGAAGTACCAAGCATTGAATATTGGTCTAAAATTTTTAACTTCCTAACCAATTAACGGAGATCTTTTTTTGGACCCGGAGCATATATGGATAATCAGTCTAATCACCTCTGAACTCTTTGGTTAGTTTATAAGTTGCCATCAGGCAAGCCAAGGGAGGCAAGCGTTGCAGATTAGCTGTGGCTGATCATCGTAGCTCACTTCTTTTCTACCTTTTCTTTAAATATTTTTTAATTTATTTTCCATTTTTTCATATTTGTTTATGTCATTGGCAATGAATATGCCCTGCTCTTTCTGCTAAGTTCTTTCCAAGGGATATGTCACCTGGAGTTCACTGGTCCTGTGAATGACAAACTATTTTGGTTATCTTTTGGCTTTTGTCGTCAACTGCTTGCTGTTTTCCTTCCACACTTTGTTGCCTTATTGTACGCTCTTTTTATTCACATTTCCTTTATGCAGAGATAAAACTCAACAATCATTGGAGAGTCGGCACTGGTGAGAATAGCAAAGAAGTTGATGTTCAGAAAAACAGAAACCGTAGAGAGATTGAGACCATCTATCACACGGTCCAGGAGATACCATTTAATCCCAAGGAACCCTGGGACCTAGAAATGGACTACGATGACACATTGACCCCAGATATTCCAATTGAACAGCCTCCTGATACTGATGGATCAGAAGCACAGCTGCCCAATAATGAAACTGCAGCTGCATCAGTAGCACCCTCCTTACCCCAGATTGGTGGAGGGAGTGCTTCGGAGCCTGATCTTGAGTTGCTTGCCGTGCTGCTCAAAAATCCGGAATTGGTTTTTGCATTGACTTCTGGCCAAGCTGGTAACCTATCAACTGAGGATACTGTGAAGCTGCTTGATGTAATCAAGAGAAGTGGAAATGGTTTAGCAGGTAGTTTAAATGGGTTTAGTGGAAAAGTAGAGGAGAAGGTTGAAGTTTCTCTTCCGTCGCCAACACCTTCAAGTAATCCTGGAACGGTGCGTGACTTAGGCTCATGCTACCACAAATCATTCAAATTTTGTCTTAGTTCCTGGGGGCAGAGTGATTTGCTCCCCTGTAGTTACATAGTGATATAAATACAGGAATGCATGCTTTAAAAATGAAAGAAATGGAAGTCACAAATTTTATCCATCAACAGTCGGGTCAGTTATTATTATTAATTTTTTTTTCCCTCAAAAAAAGGAAGTTAAAATTCGAAGCAAATTATCATGCAATTAGAGGCCTAATCAGTATTAGGACGTGGAGCATTTCTAGAATAGTTGGTGTCAATGGGGGAAGCTGGAGCAAGTGTCTGGTAGGGTTTTATGCTTAATGAAATGTGCTTTTCCTGCCATTAGAGGTCCTGTGAAGAAGATTATGGTTGGTAAATTTCTTATTGTCTTGAGAATGGCGGGCTGGTTCCGTTATGAATTTATATGAAAACTGTTCCTGGATTAACAATATAACTGTCCCACTCGCTAAAGATAATATTTGCAGGAAAACAATTTTGGTAGTATAATTATGTCCTTTCTTGGCTATAATTCACCATTGCTAATATGTACATATATTTTTTCCTCTTTTTAAAATCTTTTAATTTAAAAATTTGCAGAGTGGATGGAGGCCAGAAGTTGCCAAGAATCCCTTTTCAAGGGAAAACAGAGTCCCACAAGTCCAGACCAACATTTACTCTAGCTTACTGCAGCCACAGAGTCATAATCAAGGCAGTGACTTTAGAACATCTCAACGGCAGGCAACCATGCAATTGCTATCCCAGCAACTGCAAGCAGCAATGCCTTCCTTCTCATTACCTCAAACAACTTCCACTATACCAGATAATCGACAGCCTTCTATGCTTCTTCCATTGCACCAGAATTCTTCAATGTTACAAACATCAGCCTCAGAAATGGGCTTACAGAAGTACTCCTCTACAACTGGGCCTTCATTTGCAATGAGTACTCCAGAAAGGCGACCAGTTTCATTTCCAATAGCAACACCAACTCCGGTTGTTCATTCCTCCTCTAGATTATCATCTACGGGAAACATGGGTTCAATGCCTGGTTCCTGGAGAGCTGGACAAGGTTTAGCTTCCAATTCAATATCACAAGTTAAGCAAAACAATTACGAACCACCATCATATAGAGGATCAGTACAGCCCCAGTTACGGGCAGGTGCTCCTAATTGGGAGAGAAATGAGGGGTTTGAATCCTGGAGTCCAGAGAATAGTCCTGTTAGGTCACCGGAGTACATTGCAGGAAGCAACTACCCAGGATCCAGAGTAAATTCAGGGAGGAATTATAATCCTGATAATAGGAACAGGCAACGGAATTATCCAGGGCAACGGGAACTTAATAGGAATGGAAACAGAAGGTGGCATTGAAGGGAGGAAGAAAAACAGAGGGTGAAACATGAGGCTGTAATTGGAAATGTTGGGATGTGGAAATCTTCCTATTTTTATTGAGTTTTGACAAGAAGCATCTAATATTCATGAATTTATACCATCTTCATTCTTTTCCTCTGAAGTCTGAATTCTCTGTCACTCTAAATTTTCTTTTCCTCTGAAATCTCTATCGCTCTAAATTTTGGATGGGCCTGTGTTCCAAACCTCCAACGGCGGGTTTGGGCTATAGACTAACGATGGAACACTATTCCACTACCTGTTGTATTTTTGAAAGTCAACACCTGAAAAAGTTTTTTTTTTTTTTTTTTTTTTTTGATGGGGCCCTGTGGTTCGGCAAAACCTCCAACGGCGGGTTTGGGCCCTAGTAGACTAACGATGGAACACTATTCCACTACCTGTTTTGTATTTTTGAAAGTCCAACACCTGAAAAAGTTTTTTTTTTTTTTTTTTTTTTTCTAGAAAAATTTGATTTCAACTAACATTGTTGTTTATGCGAACAATGTTTAATTTCCTTCTTATAATAGTCGATATAATGATAAATTTGGTTGACAAGATGGAAAAAAAAAAAAAAAAAAGGAGTAAAAAAAAAAAAAAAAAAAGGAGTGAGAGATAAATGATGAGTAAGTTTTTAGTGAACTTAAGAATTTAACATCAGTCTTTCCACTTTTTTTGTCAACTTGAAATTTTTTTTATGCGGGCGAGCAATATGTTTTGAGTTCATGATTCTTTTGACGAAAAAAATTTTAACACCATGAAGGAAAAAATTATTTTATATTATGTATTTTATTATATTATTTTCGACTTGTTTGGCATTTTTACCTCACAATAATTATGATTAAAAAAGAAAAAAATTTAATGAATTTATTAAAAAAAAAAAAAATAGAGAACAATATGCCAGCGCTACATAGGAGACGGGAGAATCCGTTGCCATTGGTGCACATTAACTTGCAGTCTGAAAGCTGCTGTCTTTCTTTTTTGCATCGAAATCCTTTGATTCATTTACAAGCAACTAGTCTTTTATTCGAGCGATTCATTTGTAAGCTACTAGTCTTTTACACGAGTGCATTGCACGCTTGCTGTAATCGTTTTATGTTCATTTTTTTATCTATATATATATATCATAACTTTTGTTTAAATTAAAATAAATATAATATTTATTATATACTTAATTCTATTTTTATATAATAAAATGATCTTAAAATAAAATTCAATCAAATCTTTAGACCTAATTTCATAATTTATAAATACAGATTTTTAACACTTTAATAGATACTCGAAAATAAAATCAAATCATCCCTCAATCTCCAACCCTCTACTCTCAACCTCATGTATCAGACAAAAAGAATATATGCACGTACATAGAGATCCTTGAAACATAAAATGTGACCGAAATAGAAATATATAGTTCTAGTTTTTTTTTTAGCTTCCTAGACATTATTTTCTTTTAAGTCAAACGGATTTAGAATATAAAAGAAAAAAATATCAAGAAAATTAAAAATGTTTAACTATCAATAAGCCATCTATTTATTGCAAGTGAGATATAAATCTTTTGCTAAATTAAAGTAATAGTAGTTACAAATTATTCAATAACGAAAAAGAAAATAAAGAATTATTATTAAGAATAAAGCTCTTTCAAAACTCACCCAACAAAGAAAACATTTCAATGTATATAGATATATAAAAAAGAAAAAACATTTCAAATGTATATAGAATAATAAATATACTCAAATAAAAATATTTATATTAATATTTTTTAAAAATTTAAAGTTTCAATTAATTATTTATCTATCTCATGTTTAATTATGTAAAAATCTATTTGAAAGCTTACTTTTTAAAAAATATATCTAATCAAATATTGAACAATCATAAAAAACAAATATATAAAAATAATATTTTTTTTCTTCTTTTTTAAATCCCTCTCCTAAATTAGAAACATTATATTATATATATTTTTATTTGAAATTTTAATTTTAAAAAATACATCCAATCATATCATACAAGCATTAAAAAAGAATATTAATAAAAAAGTAATATATTTTTTATGCTATATATCTTAAAAAAATAATTAAATATTTAATAATAAAATTATAAAAAATTTTCTAATGTCTCATTAATCATATATATTCATTAAAATAATTTAGCAAAATTATAAAAATTAAAATTTTGGAAATTAATTATATATATGTATTTATTTAAAATATTATTTTTTTGATTCATTGTGAGGCCTGATTGGCCGAAATAATATTACAGGTCATACAATAATCAAATTGGTAATTCACCTAAAAAAACATTTTAATATGTATAGATATATACGTATATTAATAAAATATTATTTTTTTAAAATTAAAATTTTTAACTGTTTACCATCCAGGTTTAATTATGTAAATTTTATTTGAAAATTTACTTTGTAAAAAATTTATCAAATCAAGTCTTACAAACATAAAAAATAAAAACATTAAAAAAATAATATATATTTTTTATCTCTCTCCTAAATAATCTCCTAAATAAAATTATTATATATATTCCTATTTGAAAATTTATTTTTTTAAAAAAAATATACATCAACATAAAAGGAAATTTTTTTTTCTTTTTTTTAATATATCCTAAAAGAATTAAATATTTAATAAATAAACATAAAAATTTTCAATATCTCATTATTATTTTTATTCATTAAAAAAAATAAATTTAATAAAGATAAATAAATTTTTAATTATTTATACCGTATTTTATTTAATTTTTTTATTCATGCAGGAGGGTTGAAACATAAAAATTTTCAAATATCTCATTATTATTTTTATTCATTAAAAAATAAATTTAATAAAGATAAATAAATTTTAATTATTTATACGTATTTATTTAAATTTTTTTATTCATCAGGAGGGTTGACGGGCCGAAATAACAACGTGAGCTACACAATAACCAAATTGGTGAAAAACTTATGGTCGAAAGGATAATCAAATTGGTAAGAAACTTATGGTCAAGAGTATTCGAACTCGAGACCTCTCACTCTTTACATAAGTGAAAAGATAATCAATTGCACATGATTTGCTAAAAAAAAAAAATTATAAATTATATACAATCTACTAATAAATTATAATTTTTTAATTAGCCGTCAAGAATATTTTAGAACATTTTAAATTCTATCAAGAATGATATACAAAATCTCATTAATCTTTTTATTTCCTACAGTACAGATCGTTAAGGGTGATATAGAAATTCGCCCCTATTCTCAATTTTATATATATTACAGACTATCAAACCCAAATAGCAACTTCAAACGCATAAACTACTAACAATGGGACTCAGATTTCTCTACAAATCCCATCTCCTCCCTGCACTCTCTTCGCGCCATAAAACTCTCCATCAAACCCTTCTATTCCAATCCCTTAATTCCCACTTGCACAGCCCTTCCATTGATGTTCCGCTTTACCATATATCTAGAAGGTGGCATTTTGGCCATTCGCATGACCACTCCGACAGCCGCCGCCACCGACCCTCCGGCCAAGAGGGTGAGAAAATATTCCGTTTGGGCCTTGCTTCTGATATTGGCTTAGCTGCTGGAAAAGCTTTGACCGGTTATTTATCAGGAAGCACTGCAATTATAGCTGACGCTGCACATTCAGTCTCCGATGTGGTAATAATTATCATATCACATTTGATTAATCTTCTGTTTTTTCTTTTTTCTTTATCAATGGTTTTCTTTATTGCTTTATTGCAATTAAAGCTTCGAGACCTAGGATCAGACCTATAGCTGAAAAATGTTGGCCTCTGATACTTTGCAGGTTCTTAGTGGAGTTGCTTTATGGTCATTCAAGGCTGGGAATGCTCCTAGAGACAAAGAACATCCATATGGTCACTTATAATTTGTACCTACACGCTACTCCATTTATCTAAACATATGCATATATGGTCTATCTTTCAGTTCAATCCACAAGCATAATTGCCAGGGTGAAATTTTTCATTTTAATGGGGTTGTGTGACTCCCTCTTTGCATTAACACTTAAGTTATTAGGATTTCAGAATTTTATTTGCCCATTATAATTATATAATGAAGTAAAGACAATATAATGTCTTCTTGTTTATTTTTTATACAATTTATGCTCAAAATATGATGATTATTGGCATTTTAAGTTTGTAAGGGTACCTTGTGCCTTTTTTATTAAAGGCATTGACATTACTTATGGCAGAATCTGTTCTATTTAGCTAGGCAGATAGTGTAATTTTAAAAGGAATATTAACAATATAATTCTAAATTCTGGTATTATTTTAGGGCTATTTTGAATTTAAAGGGAGTCCTGATCTAAAAGACATCACTTCAGTGTTTTTTTTTCTATTCCCCTCTTTTGGGCTTATGTGTGATTAGTTATATCTGCAAATAATCGAACTAGTAGGGGAGAAGAATAAAGCTGTATGAGAAAAAAAAGAGTCAGCTTAATTATTCTTTTTCTTTTCTTTCTTAAAATTTTCAGATAGCATATTTCCATATCTTTATATGGTGTCTTGGGTTTTAAATTGTTATTATCTTGGGTGATGCTTTTGCTTCTAGGTTTTGTAATTCGTTTATTTTCCTTTTCTCTGCTCAGGGCATGGGAAATTTGAGTCATTAGGAGCCCTTGGAATTTCTTGCATGCTTTTGGCAACGGCTGGTGGTATTGCTTGGCATGCTCTAGATATTCTCATTGTATGATTTCTTCCCTCTTATTTCCCCATTTGAACTGATATTGTGACGTTGAACTGTTATCCTGATTCAAAAATTAGCTTCCTCAATCTAGACAGCACTAGGAGTTAAAAAAGATTTTTAATCACACTTAATAATTTGCAGGGATTGTTGTCTGTATCTCCTGAAGCAGTAAATCATTCACTGCCTCAGGAACATGTGAATGGTCATCATCATGGTGGACATCATCATGGACTTGACATGGATCATCCCATCCTTGCGTTGAGCATGACCATTGTGTCGATATCGATAAAAGAAGGGTAAATAGTGATTTTGGTGAACAAATCTTTGCTAATTTTGCTATTCCTTTCTTTTTGAAATTGTATTTTTCAGCAAACACTAGTAGCAATCAATCTTTCTGCATGAAATTAATCTTTCCATTTTTCCTGTTTTGGCAATCTCTCTCTCTCTCTCTCTCTCTCTCTCTCTCTCTCTCTCTTGCCTTTACTGCTTACTATTTCACCTTGTGTAGAGCCATCTTTTCTTTTATCTTCCCAACTGGAAAGATTTTTAATCTATGGACCTGCCAGATTATACCATCTCTATGCCTTCTGTACTTAAGGCCAGTCCTTTGCTGCAGATTATAAAGCAGCTCAGTCTATTTTCAATTAGTATTATCACCTAGTCTGGCTGGCCTTTGCTTTATAATGTGTAGATCTCATGTGTCCTTCAGGCTTTACTGGATAACGAAACGAGCTGGGGAAAGGCAAGGCAGTGGACTTATGAAAGCAAATGCATGGCATCATCGTGCAGATGCCATTTCATCTGTTGTTGCACTTATTGGGGTTGGTAAGAAGCTTTTTTGCATGCAATGATCACTTAATTTGGCTAAGTCAACATGAAGCTAATTTTCTTACATAATTGTGATTATTTGGCCTGCTTTGTTCTGTGGGTTATAGTTTAATTCGCTAATAACCGCAAAATTAAAGATTATTGATTTGTGTTCTGTACATTTGCGAACAAGTAATTAGTGAATTTTCCTCTTCAATTTGATATCATACCACATACTACTTCTGAATAAATTCAGATTGTCAAGTTACACCAATAATCTTTGAATCCACTCCCATTCTTAAGTTCTGTGCTGTGTCCATCCTCTTTCTTATAAGTGATGTTTTAGGGAAGGTTAATTAGCGGTAATCAAAGAGTGCTCATCTTTGAAGAAGGTTCTAAGCTGAAACTAATTTATAATCTATTGCAAATCCTGAGCAAAACTGCGATACTGTGATTCGTCTTTGGTGATATCTGCTTCCTATGTCCTTGTTAATGTTTCTCTTGTCTTGTCCTTTCTTTCATTTACTTTTTCATCCTCCAATTAATTTTATTCTCAGTTGAAGTGTTCTTAAATTATTTAATGGTTTTCAATCTTGTAAATGTTAGCTTACCGTTCATGATTTCAGGGGGCTCTATTCTTGGAATTAAGTTTCTGGATCCTCTTGCTGGACTTGTTGTCTCGGGCATGATACTGAAAGCTGGACTGGAAATTGGATACCAGAGGTATTGTGTCAGTTTCTATCGGTATATGCCCTAGTTAATTTCTGTTTCGTACGTACCTCTATTAAGAATTTTGACCATGTATGTGTTCTCCATGAATATTTGAATATGAATAATGGTCATTTTAGGTCTGATTATATGTTGGATTAATCTGTCTTCTGTTGAGACCTCACTGTTCTGCTCAGATGCTTAGTTATATTAGCCGTATTTGTTTGGTGAATTCTCATAGTTTGGCCATGGAATTTCAATTGCAATTAATTTTTGAAATTGGGGTAGAGGATATTGCTGCCAAGAATTCCCTTATTTTTGCGATGGGTCCATTCTTAACATTATTTAATCATCAATCCCCATTAGTGCTTTACTCATCATCAGATAAAATATTTTCTGACAATAAGAGTCTCCTTGTTTGACTTCTTGGTATGGGTAAATAGTGTCTTTGAATTGGTTGATGCTGCAATTCCAGCAGAAGATTTGGATCCTGTAAGGCAAACAATACTTCAAGTTGAAGGTGTCAAGGTTGGTATCAAAATTTTGTTATTTAAACATTTCCTTGCAAAAATTAATAGTTTTACTAATTTATGCTTTCCTTGTTTACTATGATGTGACTTCACTGATGGGCGTCTCAATTCTGCTAACATTGATTGATTGTACTGGAACTCTCTATTTGACTATCTTAAGAAATAAATAAGCTAATGGCAGCAGAATGGCTTTTCCAACTGTTACTGATTAATTTTATGAATCTTTAGAATCATATTCGAAATTTAGCCTGCATTCAGCCTAATTAAAATTTTCAAGACTCTGGTAACAGTATGTAAATGCATGCTTCCACAAATGAATGAAACTCAAAGAGGACACAGCAACAGGCTTGAATGACTATTGTGCTATGAAGTCTTCTATTGGAATAAATTCCCAACTACGAGTTATCTCATTCTTGTGGTCGTGGATGAAACTCACTGAAATAAGTTCCAATTTATTCTCTGGCTAGACAGTGTCATTGTGCTGTGAATTCTTTCTACAAAAACTGGGATATAAGTCTGCCTCCTTCCATCAGGACTCCTGACCAAATAAACAGTTCTGTGAATTTAACTCTTCTATTATCTTGTTAGCAGCCAGTTTGTACCATATCATTCTATTCCATGCTCTTGAACAAGACCTATAGCAAATCACTAACCACTACATCTATAGTATCAAATTTAAGATTGGTTTTGACTTGTTATCGTAAGCCTACCCTGTAATATGCAGTACTGTTGCTATGTCTATGAAGTATCATTGAGTGTTTGGCAGGTCCTTACTGCCTGGTTTTCTTGCTGAAGGACCTTTTGGAATTGTCTGCAGGGATGCCATCGCTTGAGAGGGAGGAGGGCTGGTTCATCTTTACACCTTGATGTACACATTGAGGTTTGCTCACCTTTACATATATATGCCATTTGACTATCAAAATCAGGAGCGATGTCTCTTTGTCAGAGAGTTCAGTTTGATTGAGTGATCCGGGTAAAAGGGCTCAGAGTCAGTTCTTTTGATTTCGCGATTGTGATGGCTATCTAGCACAACTGCTCTCTTCAGCAGACACCGCCATTCTTGGAAGTCCACTGCTAACCGCAGCAGCATTATTCAATACTTTTAGTCAACGCTGTATGTTATGGTGTCCACTTATGTAGCGCTCTGTGCGTGATATCAAAATCCTCAGTGGTCTTAATATGAAGCATACTATTGTTCCTCCATTTCATGCATAAATATAAATAGCTCAATATGTTTGGTCTATACACATTTAATGCCGGATATAGTTCTCCCAGCTTCTTCACTTGATCTTAACACGCTATGAATTGGTCAGATTATTCGTATCTCCTCACCTGATGGGTCCAGATACTCTACACTTATGCCATAACACGGGTTGATAATGACACCATTATAAGTAACCATCGGACATCACTCCTTATTTGACATTCCGGCTATTCAATATAGATCGGTATCAATAACCAATACAGCTAGACGTAATGGCAATGCTATAGTATAACTTATTGCGCCCATCTTACTTGTCTTTATCTTATTTTCGCACTCTAGCTGTTTTAACCTCTTTTAGGCAATTGAATTCATTATTGGTATGGAGGTAGAATGGATCATGGTATAAGACCAGCTCATATTCACGAAAAATTATAATTCTTTAGCCCACTCACTGACATAGCTTCAAGAGGGATTTCCTAATTATTAAAATTTTCAAGACTCTGGTAACAGTAATGTCAAGATTGCACATATTGCTTTCCATTAATTATTTGAGACATAATGATATATTCAATAAGTAGTCGACGAGGACTTGCACACAGGCCTTAGTACATGAACTACTTGTGTGTCATGAGCATTCTATGAAAGTTCTTCGTATGTTGACATGATGGATGATTTTATCCGGCACCATTACAGTGAGTTATCTTACTTTTTATCCATCTTCTTTTAGTGGTTTCAGTCGCCGATGAAACTCACTGAAATAAGTTCCCAATTTAATTCTCTGGCTAGACAGAGTGTCATAGTGGTGCATTGCTTTGTGGTCCGAATTCTTTCGTAAACAAAAACTCATTCGTGGGATGAGTCTCAAGAGTCGGCCTTTCCACTTTCGATCACGGAACTGGCCTGACCAAATAACCACACGCTACTTCTCTTCTGCTGAATTTAACTCTTCTATTATCTTGTTAGCAGCCAGCTTTTGTACCTGCATATCATTCTAAATTTCACCATGCTCTCCTTGACACAAGACCTATAGCAAATCACTAACACACTACAGCTCTATAGTATCAAATTAAGATTGGTTTTGGACTTTTGTTATCCGTAAAGCCTACCGCTGTAATATGCCCAGTACTGTTGCTTGTCTTTAATGAACAGTATTCACTCTAGAGTGTTCTCGGCAGGTCCTTACTGCCTGGTTTTTCTTTGCATGGAACGTGAACGCCTTTCTTGAGATACCTTTGACTCGGGTGCAGGGATGCTCTTAGTTGCGCTGGTGATTGAGGGAGAGGGCGTTTTGTTGTTGTCATCTTTCACCCACCCTTGATGATTACATTGAAGGTGTTATTCGCTCACACCCTTGTACACTAACCCTATATATATATACCCTATTTTATACATTTCTTAATATTATAAATATTAGCATGTCAATATATCTATAGGTATAGTAATATGATGTTTGGGTGGTCATCAGATTTTGTGAGAGGAATTGTGGGTGATAGTTTACATATGTTTGCGCACACTCTGATAATTTAGTCATGATTTCCGAATTGCAGGTTGAAATCCTTTTTCTACGTGTTAGTGCTGGCCCATAGACCTGGTATAGGAATTGGTGGAAGAGTCCCGTGCCTAGGAATATCTCACAATTAAGTTGCACATCCTGAGAATAGCATAGACAAGCTATATCTAATATCAACATAAGAGGTGAATGAACCATATATATTTGTGTATAGATTGAGAATGTGGTTAGACACAGTTTCACCTCTGAATAATTTAGTCATGATTTCCGAATTGCAGGTTGATCCTTTTTCTAGTGTTAGTGCTGCCCATGGAATTGGTGAGAAGGTCCGCCAGGAAATTCACAAGTGCCATCCTGGAATAGCTGAAGTTTTTATACACATAGGTATGAATCCTATTTTCATAATCTTCTAAATCTATCTTGAGACAAACTGCTGTAGAATTTAGATTCACCATATATACTCACCCATTGCATGGAAGGTGTTTTTTGCTTAAAAAATTACACGGAGCTGGGTGATGACCAACAGAAAATATGCAAGGGGGGCCTCCTGTGGCTATGCTGAAAGTTGTCCAATCTGAAAAGAGGTTCTCAGTTGGTTCTCTGTACCTATAAATTTAACTGATGTTAAATTAATCCTTTCATTTTAAGCCTGTGATTTCTTGAGCGCTAACTAATGATTGATTTTGGATATGAGAAATTGCACAACGACCATATACCTTCTTACTCATTGTATACTTATCTCTATGTTTCATTATCATCACTGGATAAGCAAATACTTACTTATCCCGTTTAGAAAATTAGAAATTGACGAGTAGCTATCTAATGCTATCTGGTTCTTTTTTGCAACTTCAATTTCTAAACGCACGCACACCTGATTTCATAATTGTCTTCCTATTAAATTTTCCAAAATGGATGCAGATCCTGCATTTTTAGGCTTTTCTCCCTGCGAAATAGACCTGCATAATAATGTTGAAGAAACTGCAAATGAGAATAGAAATGTTTCTTTGGAAGACAGGGACATTGAAATGATCGTTTCCAATGTTTTCCAGTCAAAATTTCCAGAGGTATTTATTCTTTTTTGTATTTTAAGCTATAAATATGTGTTTCAATTGTGCTCAACGAGACTTTGCAGTCGAATCATTCTTTGAGCTGTTCTCATGATTCTTAAGAAGAATTTGAATGTTTCAGAGAATGGAGGTTGAGCGCATAACACGCCACTGTCTGCAGAGCAAGATGTTAGTTGAAATTGAGGTTTCCATGCCTCCTGAGATATTGATACGGTATATAATCCAACCTGCCCATGATGTCTGTTATTGTTCTATGCAACATTTGCCATTGTTACATGCATGTGTGATAACAAACAGAGATGCAAAGGAGGTGGCGAATGCAGCAGAAAAGGAAATACTCAAGGCAGCCTCTAATATCATGACAGTGCGGATTCAGCTGAGGTTGGGACATCCATTTCCCAAGTTTGTCTATGTCAAAGGGGAGCATCATTACTAAACTAACACTATCTCTCGATTATATTAGCAATTTTTGCATAAATACAACTCTGAATACAATTTGTCTCCTTTCCATTCGGAATGAAGAATGGATATATCAGGTTCTTATACTTGGAATGTGGTGTTACATTTATATAGACTCAAGTTCAAACTTGAATTATGAATTATTGTTTAAAGTAATATATATATATATATATATATATTATATTGTAGCACAACTCTATATTTGCGATAAATAACAACTCTGAATACAATGTGTCTCCTTTCCATCCTTCGGAAATGAAGAATGGATATATCAAGGTTCTTATACTTGGGATGTGGTGTTTACACTTTATATACATCGATCAAGCCTTCAACCCACTTGAATTATGAAAATTATTGTTTTAAAGTCAATATATATATATATATATAGTATATAGTAAGTTATATCCTCCACCAACCAATCTGAGAGGCCAATTTTACTTTTTTATTCTAATTAGGTTTAATATTAGGAAAGGATATATAAATTCAAAAGGATGTTTGCTTTAATCTCCTTACTACATTATCTATCTCATATTGAATGAAGTACATTAATCCAATTCTTTAAAAAAACCAGTAAAATTAGCTAAAATATTTGTATCTCTCTATTAAAATATTAGAGAGCACTTTTGCCCGATATAAGCGTGAATTGGAGAAGAGCGAAGATGATCAAGATAATCTGCACTAGTCTGATTTTTTTTTTGTCGACATTATACTTTTTCCAGACACAACGATATCATGCACAACCTCATTGGCTGGTGTGTCGTTCATTAGCTAACCGTAATCAAAGTAGTATATAACCATACTAAAAAAGGTGACGAACAATGTTTAAAGTAATCCGAAAATCAAAACTATATATATATCTCCCCAATCTGAGCAGCCAATTTTACTTTTATTCTAATAGGTTTAAATTAGGAAGGATATATAAATTCAAAAATGTTGTTTACTCTCTCACATCTACAACAATGAAGAAAATAATCAATTCTTTAAAAAACAGAATTACTAAAATATTAATCTTTAAAAAAACCACCTTGCCCGTATAAGGTGAATTGGAGAAGAGCCAGATGATCAGATAATTGTAGTCTGATTTTTTTTGTCGACATTATACTTTTCCGACAACGATATCATCACATCATTGGCTTTCGTTCAATCACTAACAAAGTAGTATAAAAAAAAAAAAAAATGTTTAAAATCGAAATCAAAACCAAGACCAAAACCGTTTTGGGAGAGAGTTGAGGCATCAGAAGGATCCATTGGTGTTTTCTAATCATAAGGGAAAATAATTCGTTCCCTCATAAAATAGGTAGTTTTACACATCATTGCCCTTTCTTCTCTTTCCCAAATCAAACACAACAAAAAAAAAAAATTTTAACTATAAAAAAAAAAAAAAAGAAAAAGAAATCAAGAGATTGAGAGATGACGACGGACCAGAAGGCAGCTACCGATTAGTACTTCGGACACAAGTATTTCACATCGGCTTGCGCAGCTTGAAGATGAACAAGTAACGTGTCTACCAGTTACGTATATATAAGCTTGGAACTCGTAAGCCAGTGCAATTAGGGTTAGGGTTCGGCGGCGACTTTGTTTTTAAAATTACCATACACCCCTCTCGACCTTTTTGTTTGTGGACTGCTCAGTTTTTTGCTTTAGGTTCATGGGCTTCGCGATAGGCCAATCTTCTTTGGACTAATGCCCCAATTTTGAGTTGGACATTGGTCCACTAGCATAGCACAAAAGAATCTTCCAAGAAAAATGTTTTGGAAAATTTTAATTAATTGAAATTGGCATTCAGGTCTTAGTTTATTATTTAGAATGTTAAATCTAAAAATTAATAATCTTTTTTAAATCAGTAATTATAACAATGCATAGCTTTTTTTTATTATGTAATACCCTAGTAAAATAGAGAAACTTGGGGGAAAAAGGAAAGAAAAATGAAGCTTTTACTTATAAACAAGCTTATTCAAGCAATAGGAAGGGCAATACTCAATAGGCCAGGCCCAAGCCCACATAGTTAATTTTAAAAGAACAAAGGCTTGCAATTCTAGGCATTGCCTAAATGGGTCTTTAGTCTTTTCCCTTCCAGCAGGCCCATTTTCTTGTTTGTGGCTTTGACAAGAAATTTCCAATAGCAGAAGGGTAGGTAATGGGCCTGCTGGAAGGGAAAAGACAAAAGACCCAAGCCCACATAGTTAATTTTTTTTAAAAAAAAATGCAAATTCATACATCCCAAATGGGTTTCTCCATAGCTGATTCCCCAAGTGAAATCTGTTGTTGAAAATGATTCATCATTGGCATTCTCTGTTGTTGTTGCTGCTGGTTCATTGCTTCCATTTCCAGTCTCTGTTGTTGCTGTTGTTCATGCAAATTTACTGGTCTTGACCCTCCAATCCCCATAAAATCACGAGTCATCATATCATGAACACCTTCACCATTACTCCCAACGAATCTTGACGGTCCTGTATTAACAGCTCTTCCATGAATCAAAGTGTTACTGCCACTACTATCTTCATGTTCTATGCCTTTCATAAACCCTGGATTTTGGTCAGTTCCGATGAACATACCACTAAAAATTCCCATATTATTCATGCCTGAGCTAGCCATGGCACTGCTCGTACTATTAGTTTCAAAATATTGTGACATATCTTGTGGGCTCTTTTGCATTGTTTGGTTATTATCATTAAATCCTCCACTGCTCATATTATTGATTCCAACCATGTTTGCTTGATTTTGATGATCAGGCTGCGATAAGAAGTGATGGTGATGATGATCGTATGACGAGGTGGCGCCATGCTGCTGCTGCTGCTGCAGATGACCATAAGATTGTGGAGGTCTTATAGAGGATATTTGCTCAGGACCCGCCGTCATGCTACTTGCAAAGCTTTTTTGCATCATAGGAGAGTTCATGGTACTGTTACTAGCAGTAGCACCCATTTGTGCTGCCTTTTGCAACAATGCTGTTGCTGACATATGAGCTGACCCTGAAATTTGACACCCATTTTTCCCTTCTTGCATATAATTATACCCAGATGAGCTATTTGAGCTTAGCTGCAGACTAGAAGAAGTTGAGGAAATGCTTCTCGGACCGGCGAAGAGAGTACCTGAACTAGAAGAAAACATACCTCCTCCAGCTCCCATGTTCGTGGACTTGAATGGCATTGGCACAAGTTCTTGAGGAAGAGACTTGAGAGGGTTTTTAGGCTCAAAGCTATTGAAATCTGATATTCCAATTGGTGTATTATTGTTTGCATTAGTCGTTAAAGGCAAGGAGGACATAAGATCAGGCATTTGGGTTTGCAAGTTGGATCCTGTATTACCCATTAGTCCTTGCTGGTTTACTTCGTTGTTTTCTTCAGCTAATGCATCGCAAAAAGCTCTATGCGTAATGAAGCTATCTCTTCTGCGCATATATAATATAATTGGTCACACGTAAAAGATTAGGAGATATATAGTATATATATATATATTGGGATAAAACAAAAAGACTAATAATTAAGATCTCCAATTCAGAGCTAGAGATTTGAATGAGTTGATTGTTTGTTCAAACTTCAAAGTATATGCATGTACAAAGGTGTCAAAAAGGAAATATGAAAAGTGTATTAATTTGTCGGCCATTGTCTTGCATATCTTTTAATGTGGAAAGCGACTATGATTATCTACCACAATTTTTTCATTTTTCATTTTTTTTTCATAATTCGTAACTGATGCAACCTGATACAGCAATAACTCATACTTGTGCCAATGTCAGTTTCTGTACCAAGTAGCATTAACTTCTATCTTGTTGTATATACATGTCAAAATTAAAACTTAGAAAATTTGTTTTATATATGCTGTATGTCCATATTGCTTGATAATAATCTTTTGTGAAAATAGTGGTTTAAAAGTTAGATTCTTTTTTTGTCAATTAAAAAAAGGAATTAAACCCTTTTGGCGAATCAATTAAATATATATATATACACACATGGAAAATATAAATGTGATGTGCTAACCTGGAAAATATGGTACCACAATCGCATTTATATTCTCTTGTACCACAAGTCTTTTGATGAGCTTTCCAATCAGATTGCACTGCATATTTTTTGGAGCATTTGTCACATTTCCATTTCTTTTCACCATGTTTTCGGCTAAAATGCTTCTTAATGCCTGTTAAATCTCCCAATGCACGAGCTGGGTTGTGGTGAACACAAGTTGGTTCAGGGCATATGTACACTCTTTTTCTTACCTCTGTGGTAGTTCTCTGCCTGAGCTTCCATGGAAGGTTATGACCTCTCCTATGCAATTGCAGGTTTTGGTCCCTCTGAAACCCTTTGTTGCATATCTCACACACAAACCGATTTGTTGCCATAAGTGTTGTTGGTGATAGAGCAATAACTTCTGCATTAGGATCTGATACATAAAAGATATATATACATATATATATCAAATTATTAATTTTATTTAAAATTTTAAGTAATTACTATATAAGGAAGTACTGTAAGAATTGATCAGTGAAATTTATAATCCATTCTTTTTAATATTTTCTATGTTAAGTAAAATTTATGTCTGTGTATAGCAGAAGACAGTGGGAAACAATAAGAGCAGACAGATAAAAAGTGGAATCAAGAAAACAGTTCAAAGCAATTGTTGCAATCTCAAAGCAATAATTGAACCTTTTGATTCATATACTTAATTAATAATAACTATTCCTTCCAAGAAAGAAAACAATAAGCTTTAGTTCCCCAGTGAAAGATAGAATATGAAGCCAACTTCAGAAATCCACTTTTCTTTACTTCTCTTTTCTTTACTGATCTAAAAGCCAAGAACCCATTTATTTATCTTTTTCTCTTCTCTCCAATAAAATTTATGGTAATAGGAAAAAGATTAATTTACAGTAATTGAGTTTACCTGGAGTTCCTGGTAGATTTCTTTTCTTCTTGACTGTTTGCGGTTGTTGTTCTTGAGAGGTAGAGCCATTGCTGTTAGTAGCAGCAGAATTATTAGAACCATGGAAGTGATTTTGAAGCTGCAGGTGTTGTTCTTGCTGCGTTTCTTGAAGTTGTTGTACTTCATCTCCAGTATTACCTGAAGAAAAGCTACCTTCATCACCTGTGATATTTGACATTCTGAAAGTAAAAAGATTGAGATATAATCACAACAAATTTAGTTTGTCTTTTTTTTTTTCTCAAAGTTCTTTGTTTGTTCCAAAGAATTTTTACTTTCTTTTCTTGTTTTTGGTGCTATCTCTAAAAGGGTGGGCTTGTTTTTTGGTGAACATGAAATCAGGAGTTTGCTCTTACTAGAGGAAGACAAAAATCCAAGGAATTCTCCTTCATTTCTGGTGACTGGTAAGGAATGGGTGTCTATTGCTACTATGAAGACCTAATTAATTTGGAACCTGCTCTTCTTTGGCCTTACATACTTATATATAGTGTTTACAAGAAACCATTGGTAAATAAACTCAACATTATGGGTACTTAGGTAATTGCAATTTTCCTCCCCATCTCCAAAAAAAATAATAACAATAAGAGATTTAAATTGCATATTTAGATTTAATATCCCTATCTATAATTATAAATAAAGTGAAATCCCTTCCTACAAATGCATTAATATTTAGGAGAATTTTACTTGCAAAGTAAAGAATTTGAAATTTAATATGGTCACCATGAAAAGAATTTTATTTAAAGACCACAAAGCTTGAATATAAAACTTAAAGCACATCAAATCAATCTATATATGTAAGAAATTCTTCAAAGGGAATTCATTATTCCAATTTAAATTCGTATTCTTATAAGGTTGTACTAGAAAATAAATATTTTATAAAATTGATATTTTATATTTAATAGAAAAATAAATATTTATTTTCTTCTCATCAATACAATTTTAAAATAATTATATCAAATCCTATCATTTGTTTATACTTATCTAAATTATTATAACTTCATTATAAAAATAAATTAACTATTATTATGTCATCGTCACAAGCAATCTTTTTCAAATTAAGAAACATTTGGCGACCAAATACTTAGCTTTAACCATGCATCTGCCTATCCCATTCTCCGGTAATTACGTAGATAAGCTCCAACTAACATTATTACGCACCAAAATAACAATTCATTTATTTATGGTGTGAAGAAGGTTATTTTGTCATTGGATATAGCTATCAGAACTCTTTAGCTCTTTGTCTCATTTGATCCAAACGGTAGAAGGAAGCCAACAATGTCATTATCCATCTTTTTAAACAACACTAATCAATTCGTGACATAAAAGAATATTTCTGCTTTATTTTCTAGGTTCTATTTTATACTATACGTTGATAGCTACAATTTGTTCTTTAAATAATAGAAGAAAAGGTTTTGCTTCACCCACAATTTATGCACTATCGTCACTACAAAATGTTTTGCCCTCCTATTTCTTATTTTTTTGAATACATAGGACGGGTATTTTAATTTGAAGTATTTGCGGATTAATTTATGCATTAATCGAAATTAAATTTTATTTTCTACGTATTATGAATTATATAAAAAGTAAGCCAATCAGGTGGTGATATAATTGGTCCTCTCACTTAGTACGAATGGAAGATCTTCAATTCGAATCCTTTTCACTATAATTGTTTTTACCAGTTTGGTGAGTTAAGGGGAGCGGTACCCCTTGTTGTGTAGCCTGCAGTATTATCACGGCCTATATAAGCCTTCAATGAATTAAAAAAGTATACAAACAAGTACAAAATTGAATAAACATTGTACTACTTTACTTTGTAGTCTAGAAAATAGGAACTATTACGCACAGTGAAAAATATAGTGTTAGGTCCAAATAGGTTTTGGTTATATGTGATTTAAAAGTGCATTGGCCATTTGCCTAAGTGACAACTTACAGTTGAGGAAAGACAATATATATGTATCTCCAGATTCAGTCACTACTGAAATCATCTGTAGAACTACAAAATAACTAGTTTCGAATTACAAATTAACTAATGGTCAAATAAATGGATAAATAATTAAAAAGATTTACTTATCTAGACAGAAACAACAAGGAGACAGGAATTAGAATATGAAACATAGGCTAAGATATAAAACTATAGTCAAAAATTATCTCTTGAAGCATCGGTTTGCAGCTAGCAGATGCTTCTTCTCCATGACAACTAGTGATGAGTACAAGTTCATTGCTTAGTTATCGTCGATGAATTAATTCTCATCGATGCAATCTATGAAACCAACAATGTACAGACACTCAATATTGCTCAATATATGTTTTTTTTTTTTTTTTTTTTAATTCTCGATTGATTAGTTGATAATTAAAGACAAAAACAGATAGCTAATTGACATGAGGAAGAACCCTATGGATAAAACCAATAGAAAAGACGGCCAACGACCTTATAATTATTATATATAGTGTTCAATGACAGACATTGATGTTTGATAAAAGAAATACAGACAATGGAATTTCTATTCTTGAAGATACAGACACATTTATGTTAGAAAAAGAAGAATAAAAACAAAAGGAAATGTTATTTCAGGTGTGTATTATTAATTGTCAAAAAAATAATGTTACCTTGCATTATTTTTCAGCATCGCATGAAACATAGTTTGCTCGGTTTTCTGATTGGTTAAGGATAATTTGCATTTACTATAGTCTTGATGTGTGCAAGAGGACTATTTGGTAATTGGAGCTAGAATACATATCCTAATTATTTTGTTCAACTTTAAATCAACCCTATTAGTAATAGTATTCGATTAATCATGTTTTCATCACTTCTAGATTATAAATAGAATAATTTTATTATTACTTTTAAAAAAAAAAAATACTTGGAAGATATTTCCAGCATTTGATATATTAAAAAAAAATTCAATTTTCACAAAAACCTAATAAAAATATTTAAAATTTTATAAGAAAAATAAATAAAACATTCATAATCACGATTAAAAAATCTTTTTAATGCATTATCATAAATTGTTAGTATAATAATATATTGGGTGTAGGTAGTTCTTACCTAAAATTATAATATAAAGCTAATTTTTGCATGTGGTGGGCTCCATATCTCATATCCTTACTTTAAGAAAAATGTTTTCCCATTTAAAAAATGAAAAGTTGTTTTCTCTAATTTTTAATTTATTTTCCTAATATTTATTTTTTAATGAAAAATAGCAGAAAATTATGGAAAATTTTTCCATAATTTTTTTGAAAACAAACGGAACCTTAACTCTTTATTTATTTATTTATTTATTTATTTATTCTAATGGGAGACCGATCAAAACATTGGCCACAGAAGAAAATAGATTTTGCTCATTAAAATTTGAAGCCTTTTATCTTACAGGTATCTCCTTGGGAAGAAGTAAGAACCCTAAGTTGTTTGTTATTAGTGTGGCTCAATGATTTTGAAATAAAATGGTAGGACCAGACGAGAAGAAAATAGAAAATCCACTTGGACTTTTTGACCCAAAGTAAAAGATGATCTTGGAAGTGACATATCATAAACTTTTATTCATTGTATTATATCATTAATCATAAACACTATCATTGGTGCTGCCAATCTTATGACATGACTATTCAAATACACTGCCTACCTCTTCTCTCCAAATCTCCAACCACAAAAAAAAAAAAAAAAAAAAAAAAAAAACATCAAAGCAAACCGACCTAAGTTGGTTTGCTCTATAAGTGCTGCGACTCAATCGATTGTTTAGAAGTAAATGCCGTCATGAACCAGAACACGAGAAGAAAAATAGAAACAACTCTTACACTCACTCGGACTTTTTCGACCCAAAGTAACAAAAGATTATCTTGAGAAGATAGACATACATCCACAATCAAAGACTAATCATTATTCATTGTACTTCATCATCATCTATCATAAAACACTATCAAATTGGTGACCATACGCCAATCATATAATAGCACATGACTATATCAAATACACTAGCCCACCATAATCTTACATACTCGAAACCAAATATCACAAACCACAAAAAAAAAAAAAAAAAATAATAATCCTTCTAATACATAACACGATTTATATTTATTGAGTACGTCATGAGGAATGTACTAGTGTACCAATATTATCTACATTCTACAAACACTTAACTTAGCAAGATTCACCAGGTGGGCACACTAAGCTTGTAATTCTATTTCTATTCATTGTTATCTATCTAACTCTTTGAGAATCATACCATCAAATAAATTTAGACCTAGCATTCTGGTATCATGTCTTAGGAAGTGAAAATGTGTAAATTTTGAGTTTAATGATAAAGGTATACATGGGCTGAGGAGGAACATTTCTCTTTCCACCATGACACGTATCAACAAGCTTCCTCCACATTATCTACCAATACATATTAATTATCATTCTCTATAAGACCAAGTGCTAGGCTTCATAGACGAAATGGAACACAAAGAACTTCTCATAGAGACATATATTACACATAATTATTATTTCATCACAGTTCTATAAAGTTACAAAAAAAGAACACGCTAATAAAAAAAAAAAAAAAAAAAAAAAAAAAATCTAAAATATAAAGATTTTATTTATTGAGTCGTAATGAAATGTAATATGCATTTGATTATATTACATTACATTACAGATTCACCAGGTGGAACTAAGCTTGTATTTTTTATATTGTTATCTATCTAACTCTTTGAGAACATACATCAAGTAAATTAGCTGCATTCTGGGTTTGTTAGGAAGGAAATGTGTTTTGAGTTTATGTAAGTTCATGTACATTTCTTTCCCTGAACGTATAAACAAGTTCCTCCTTATCTATCTTTATTTCCTTTTTAAGCCCAAGTGTAGGTTGCAATGGGACCAAAGAACTTTAAGCATATATATCTAATTATTATTTCATTAAGTTCTATAAATAAAAAAAGAAATGCTATGTCTTTTTTATTATGGAATGATATGAGCATTTACCTGTACATGATGAGGATCAACAAACTGAATCACAGTTTTATATTCCTCCATTAACTTCAAGGTTGGGGATGGGAAATCAAACAGAATCTCTCTTGCAAAGCGTCTGTCATTTATATCAGTTACTCCTAGCTGTAAATACTTGCTCTCCCAGCTTTTTCCAACTTCTGTATCATTGTCGACTAGTTTGATATTCGAATTTCCCAGCAAACATATTTGCTTGATTGCAGAAGGCATTCCTTTCTGTTTAGTCTTTTCTAATACTATTAGGAAAGCATTTGAAATTTTCTTAACTAGTAACTTGCGACAGAACATAGAGAAAAACCAAGATTATGACAAAAGTGAGATTTAGGTAACTGCACAGGTCTTCTCTCTATGCTTTAAAGCATGGAGTCATTCATTACGCAACTACCACCATGGAAACCATCCAAAAACTCAATACTTCTAGAGTCTGCTATATAATTTGCTGCAACATCCTTGGGAGTTGCTTTAACTCTGATCCTTTTACGAACTTGTCTAGAAGACCCTGATAATGAGTTACTTTCTGATATGTCTGCACCTTTTCTCTTTTTCTTTGGGCTGAAAAATCCTAATTCCAGAGCTTCCAATGCCTTCGTAGTCAATGGCCGGTTCCTTGTACTTTGCCTCCGGCTATTTGCAAGAGGCTGTTGCGCTAGATGAGGCCCAGCATCAGGGAGTTTAAATGGCTCAGGTTGTTGGCCTGTTCCAGATAGAAAGACTGATTTGTTCTCACATGAATTGTCATCATCTTGCTCCCTATCCGTCATGATAGGTTCAGTGACTGGAAAATCTGGTGATACATGAGGTATGTTCAAGTCAATCAACTTTGGGGATTGAGTGTTTTCAGGATATGCTTCTCTACCAAGGCAATTCTCACCAACAATTCCTTCATTGCTCTCAACTGGACTGTCTTTAGCCAAAGAACTGGCAGGTGACGAATTTTGCATTGGGCTCTCCTGAACAACCATGTGCTCACATGTATCATGTGATTTTGCAGTGCAGTGAGACTCGTCTTCATTTAACTGCCTCTCTGCGGACATGTTTTTATTGCTGCAGCTTGAATCTTTGGGATCACAAGCAATGTCACTTTGCTGGTTGGTAATAGGAACCAAATATTTTGAGCAACTAGACTTTACCTTCCGGCCGAATTGATACTTCATAGTCTTCTTTTCCTCCTTGGCATTAATTACACTTCTAATTTTATTTTCATTATTTTCCTCAGCTGCAATTGTCTGACAAAGGTAATTATGTCTATCAATATTTGGAAGATTATTTGCACAATCTGATGAACTGACAGTCACATCCTCTGCCGGATATGAGGTGTTAGATTCTTCTGCATTCTCTTGTGAGTTCTCAGATGTATCTTCTTGAGTTTCACTAGAAAGACTAGAGGAGGTTGACATACCAGTAGTTTCAACAGGTAAACTTCTGAGTTCTCTCACCTTGTGTTGTTCTGCTCCATGAGCCAAACTGGTATCCACTACTGTAAATTTAGGTACATCCTGACTATAATTTGACCTATGAGGCTGGAGATAACATTGGTGTTGCTTGTTTATCAAACCATCTTGGTCCAGTTTTAGGGATGGGTCCCAATTGCATTCTTCCTTATGTTTGCTACCTTTGACTTCTTCAATTTCAAGCTCAAGCAGTCCTGGGTCTGAAGCAACTTTGTTCAAGACATCACTAACAGAATCAAAGTAGTGTTTACTTTTGACAAGTCTCCTCCTTGAAAACTTTTTAACACCAGGAATGAGAAATACCAAGGAATGCTTGGAACCAGAAGAGCCATTATCCTTAGGCTGCTCGGAGTGCCATCCTCTAGCTAAAAGTCGGGGCCAAACAGCTTCCCAGAAGAGATGATTGGATCGGGCTTTGCTCAACCTAAAATCCCCAGTTAGAAACTTGATAATGTCTGAAGATGTAAGAGAGGAGCAGGCCTTGCCAATTGGTATTTCAGGACGAATAGAATTTATATGACCGGGCTTTGTTGGTTCCATGGCGATGCCAGTGAGGTCATGCTTCCCTTTGCCAATGCCTACTGCTTCTATGAACATATTGATGCCAACTGCACTTTTTAAAGTGAAAACATATTCTTCAAATGAAATCTTCCCCTCTGCAAATTTCCTAGATACCTGCAGCATACTTTTCATCAGTAATGGAGCAAGCCCAGCCGTCAGAATATAGTGAAAGCACAACAGCTACCATACCAAGGTGTTCTTTGATTCAATAAAAAATTGGAATCAATTTTGTCTTTAATTTAGATAATTAATTAAGACTGGTAATCAAAGAGACCTCCCCATTAAAGAAAAAACTAAAAGCAACTTCCAAAAGGAAAGGAAACTGCAATAATAAACAGAGACTGTTCTCTAGAGGATGCAATACAAAAAGATTAGGCAAATCAAAGTGGACATCTTTTATTGTATTTTCACAACTATTATAAGCTTGATTATGGAGAAATGAAAAAACAAAACAAAAGAAAAAATGAACAGACCAAAGAAATGGAAGGAGGGAGAATCCCGAAAAGACATTAACAGTCAATTACCACCTAGTGAAAAACTTGTTATTATTCCATAGATGAACAAGCATGACTACCATGTGTCATAGGGAAGGTAACCAGAAAGTATGGATTTATTGCAGTAAAATAATAACCAAGCTGGAAGAAATGGGATCGCTTAACAATTAAGAGGGATGTGAAACTCTGTAAGATCAATGCTAATAAGTTTGAGATGGAATTTAGTTGCTAAGAAAATTACATATCATAGGCATGTGACTAATATAGTGCCGACATCAAGTAGATACCTCGAGTAACATACTCTGACATTCCTGTGAAACATGAGAAAAAAACCGTGATAGTAGTTCCTGTTGCCTCCACCCTGTAAATATCTTTTGGCCATGGATACTCCATCTACTTCTTAGTTTCCGGCACTCTGACCATCTGCGATATCCATCAGACCTGTAAAACTTTCCATAATAGAAAGATAGTATATCCCCCATATCCTTACTTTCAACAAATTTCTTCACAGCAATAAGATTCCTCCCAAAGATGTATAGACCAAGAAGAAAACTATCATGCTCAACATCCGTCCATGATTCACCCATTGAGCCAGGCAGAGGACATGAACTTCTTTCTACCCGATTGATTTTCATTTCAAATTCCTGTGGCAAGATTGAATCAGCTTGCATCTTATTGGTTCCAGCTGCCTGTTGAATGCTTGAATGAACTCCTTTGTTTTCCCCATAGCCTGATAGACTTTCCATAGGTTCAACTTTAAGTTCTGGATATTCATTGTTGGAAGTGATCTGGCTATCTTCACTATTTTCAGATTCTGAAGTCCTAGTAATATTTTCATCTCCAGTATTTGACCACATGAGTGGGATGGGTAATCCAAGATTAAAAGATTTATCAATATGAACCATGGATTTTGAATTTCTTGTTATACTTATAAGCTGTAGCCTTTCACATTTTGCAATTAAAGGAGGAATTTCGGCTTGATACTCATCTCCAACACGAGGAAGCACCTGCTGATCTCCAAAAATATCTCCCATTGCAGAGGAAAATAGAGAAACTGATTGCTCACCAAATTCTTCTTGGGCATCTTTCATGTCACTATCCAAATAAACAGCATCATTCTGCCCATAATGCAGGAGAAATTTAAGTCAGAAATCAGAATGTGCAAGAATCTTCCTTCTTAGCAGTGCATAATATATATAGTTCAATGATAACTTGTCCATGCTTTGAGATTGTTCCCCCATTCCTTGCCCAGTATAGTGTGTGTGTTTTTTGGTTGAGGGGTTTTGCGGTTAGGAGCATGCTATGTAGCCATATTTGTGTTGGACTGAAACAACAAAGATAATATGTAGATCAGGAAGAAAAATCTTTCTAGGAAAATATTTTTGTCTTCAGTACCATTTTGAAAGGCTAACTGAAACATCTCACTATTTATGATGTAAATATGTACTAATTCTAAGTGCTAAAATTTTAGACATCTACCTCCAGCCATTTGCAGATGCCTTAGTAAGAAAAAATCCATTCACTTAAACAAAAAAGCTGGATACTCAAGATCATAGTACAGATGCTTTGCATAAATTTTTAACTTGTTAAAAAGCTGGATACTCGAGATCATAGTACAGATACTTTGCATAAATTTTTAACTTGTTAAACGGGGAAAACATTTATTGCAGAACAATGCAGGTGAGCAATGGCATTGATTCAATTCCATGTAATTCAACAAACTGAAAATACACAATTTTTATTAAATTCATAAAGGTTTTTTATTTTGTATTTTTGCTTTTTTATATGCACAACCTACTCTAAGAGGACCAGAAATTCCCTAACCATCAAGGAATGCACAAACCCATGAACCAAGATGTTTTCATCACATAAGAGGGGGGAACAAAACAAAAACATTATTCAATCAATTAAACTCGGCATGATTACTAAGTGGTCGCTGGGTTTTCTATATGATCTATAAGCAAAATTCTTAGTAAGTTCGTATAAATAATTATCCATGTAGAACATCAGAAGTGATACAGATAAGCTTTAACAATCAACACTGGTCATATACGAATTTTTGCCATATTTAATTTAGCTCAAGAAGAACCGAACTGAGGTTTGTCAGCGAGTCCACGTCCAATATAAAAAGCTAACATACAAGTTTATTCTCCGGTTAAAGTTAATAACAAAAAACATTACACAATCTCGTCTACACGATCAGCATTCAAGTGAAAAGGAAGAAAAAAAAAAAAGACTTCCCATTCCTTCGTGAAAATTCTTAAATAACCCAGTTATATTCAGGTTTTAGCGAGGTAAATAACTGTTTAAACAGTAAGAGAGGTACATTAAGGTATATCTAAATAAATACTAAATAAAGTAGAAAAGACGTAAAAGAATGGTTTGAAGTAGACATAGAACTAACCTCCATGGCAGAACTTGAACGTTAAAACCCACGTAGAAGGAAAAACCTGCGCAAATCGGTATTCTTGGTTATGCATCTATTAACCTCGATTGCCAACTTCTTGTTCTTCTTTAAAAACAATTATTAAAGCAATAAAAAATTTAAAAAAAAAAAAAGAAAAAAAAAAACGAAAAAATGAAGAAGAGACGTGTGTACCTTGTAGGAGAAAGTAGAGCTGCCATGGACACCAAGGTCGAATTGCGGAGACCACGCTAAGCCAAGAGAGGAATATACAGAAAGCCAAAAAAATAAAAAGAAAAAATTCTTTTGCGAGAGAGAAAGGATTAACGCTTGTTCGGTTGGATTTATGAGAATTGCGAAGTGAGACCACGCATTCGCTGGTGGGTTCTTCTATTTCTATTAAAAAATCAATTTACTAAAAAGTGCATGCTGTTCTTTGATTTTCTTATTTATTTTTCTGCCCTTTCTTGGAATTTATTGGCTTATTTGGTTTGTTTTCATTACATGCAATTTTACTTTTTTTCTTTACTTCTCTCTTCTTCTACCGGAAATCTTTTGCATGAATCTTCTATTTTTCTGATGAAAATAAAAATCTTACCCGCTGTTGTTTAAATAATTATATTTTAGTTTAATCTTAATTTTATCCGAATAAACATTCAATCATCCTTAAACTTTCATTATATATTTAATTAGACAAAAATTAATTTTTAATAAATTTAAGACATATGTAATTATGAGTTTAAGGTCAATATCACTCATCTAAAACCATTATCATTCAATTAACAAATTCCATTTATATGCTGTTTATTAGTCGCATAATATCAATTAATAATTAATTCAATAATTATTATCAACACATCTAGTGAATATACTAATAATATTAAGGAGAAGAAGAGAGAAAAAAAATAGTCTTAATGATTGTAATTATGTATTATTTCCAATTAATTAACGTAATTTCCTTTTGAAATGTTAATTAATTAACGTAATTTATAATGTTTGATCAATTGGTTATTTTATTTTGCATTAGGATGCTATTAAGTTGCATTTATATGCTTGACTCATTCCTCATTGACTTCTTTATTCTATTTGAGAAAGAAAAAAAAAATATTCATGCCATTAAATTAATTTCAGCGTGTACTTTTTTTTTTTGATTATTATGCTGACACGTAATATATTCTTTTGGACAGAATTAAGGGTGTTGGACTTGGACCCACTATCTTCGTGTGGGACCCATTCTTGGGAGCGTTTCCCAAAGTCTGCAACAGTTTGCATCAAATAAAATTTTATACGACTAATAACAATGTCAAGCTTTTACATTATTAAAAAAATAATTAAATGAATAAAAATATTATTATTTTCATTTATGATAATATTTTATTTTAAAAAAAATCAATTATCAAATTGAATTGAATAATATAAATAAATTAATCATAGATACAATAAATATAAAATTTAGATGGTAACTTTATTTATGCGTCGGACTTTCTTTTGTTTTTTTTTTTTTTTTTTTTTGAATAATATAAATAAATTAATCATAGATACAATCAATATAAAAATTTAAGATGGTAACTTTATTTATGCGTCCGGACTTTCTTTTGTTTTTTTTTTTTTTTTTTTTTTATGCAAATTAAGGAGTGTTTTGTTTGAATGGATCAAAATGAGAAGGAAACCTATTTGTTTTTTTTTTTTTTTTTTTTATGCAAATTAAGGAGTGTTTGTTTGATGGAATCAAAATGAGAAGGAAACCTATTGTAGAGGACTGTGCACCAAAATTATGGTCCATTGGACCTCAAAAGGCCCATTTTGGAGGCCCATATATTCTACTTTGGGTCTAATTATTTGTTAGGGTGTATGGATTAGAGATTTCTCATGTTATTGGACCACTTGGGCTCTGAAAGACTGAAACCACCCTAAATTGATGGTTGTGATCTTTTAATATTAACATTCTCCACTGTGGAGATCTGCTGTCTTCATGGGCTCTAAATACCCTTCTGTAATTCTTTCCTTGAATTTCATTTTTAGGGTATTTAATGGCTCAAGGAAAGAGGTTAATTGATTCATTAAATCTAAGTGATTTGGTCATGTCTCCACAGCTTTGGCTGAACCAATTGAACCAATCTACAATTATTTTTCAACATAATTTTTTTCATATTTTCTCTACGAGAGAGAGTCAAAATGATCTTTGATCAATAATTTATAATCTGCTAAAATAATTAAGTTTGTACAGTCTATTCGATAATTTCACTATTGAGATATTTTAGCTGTTTGTATTTTTTTTTTTTACCTTTCTATACACGCAACTCGGGACAGGAACACCGTGTAAAATGCTTTCAGCAGTAGCGACTTCAAGCGAAGATTACCAAATAGATATAAGAGAAGAAAAAAAACTTTAACCTTGAAAAGTTTGTGAACCTAACCCACGTATAAGTCATTAATTTTTGAACTAAAGGTACCAAAAATGGAACAATATATAGAGAAGAAGCATCTAATAAAGATATAGTTGAAGCGGTAGAGACAGAGAATCGACAAACATTAACTGAAAATCTATATACTTAATGCTTAAAGCACACACTAAGTAAGGTTAAACAAACAGAAACAAGACACACGGTACATAGACTTTGTAGGATTGGTACAAAAACCCACTCAAACAAAAACTTTATTAATTAATTTAATTAGATCCTCTAAATCTTTAATCAGATCAGCTAATTAAGATGCCCACTAGCTGCTTCAGGGAATCTCAACAAAAGTTGGAATATTGCCTTTTAAAAATCATTAATGTTTATTCAAGCTTTTTCTTTTTATTTAAATAAAATTTCTAGGGTTTGTTCAAGTGAATGCAGTCTCCTTCCTGTTAATAGTTCAGTTACAACTTCTACAATCTTTATTTATTTTCTTTGTTCATGATTAGTGCTCCAATCCATACCCCAAGAGCTACTTACATATGCATAATAATAATTTAAAATTAGGGTTTTATATTTGAAAGTGTGACTAATAAAATTTAATTTTTCAACTCGATTTCATATATTATGAAACAAACATTCGAACATTAATTGAAATAAAACTAACATTTATTACTTCCTATAGTATGCAAATGTTATAAAGTAACTTTAAGAAGAGGAAAGTGAGGTTATGAGACCAATGAGTATGTTTTTTTAATAATTACTTAACAACTTAATTTGTAATTATTTAGTAAAGACGGACAACAAATCATGTTCTTGAACAGTGCATTCACGCAGGAAAGTACAGGTTGATCCACAAGCTTTGGATAATTAAGTAATGGAATATAAATTTAGATATGTTAATTAATTAATACATATAGAAATGCTAATGGGATATATTCGTCAATTAATGTTGTAGAATATATGTCCACAATGGCATATACGTGAATATTTTTTTTATATTGTACGTATATGTATATGTCTATACGTATATGCATTATGTATATGTACATGCAGATATGGAGAAGGGTGTAGATTATACCTAAATTAAGGTAAATGGAGGATATGTGTCCCAATTTTATGGCATGGAGATAGGCAAGTTTACATAGCAAAAAATGTTGAAATATTAATAAAAATATATGATATGTTAGTGCACAGATTTTTAAACTTTTAACCCTCTTGATAACTCTTCTTTCTAAGGGTTTTGTTGTCGTTTACCGCACATGTTTAGTCGTTCATAGGTTCTTAGAATTAGACCTCAATCTATGTGATTTTTATCATCAAATAGCTGCTATTGTTATGCCTATTGATTAGGTTTTGTTGTCATACCACTCAACCCGTAAAACTATATCTCAAAATTGAAAACTATTCATGAGTTTTCAACAAATTTTTCATATATTAATTAAAAGAATCGAATTTCATCGTGACAATCAATTATGATATCGAATAATTTTAACAACATCTTTTAATTTTATATTATTTCTGAAATCTTTTGAGTCACGGTATTTAAATATATAATAATTGAGTTAAAACGTATGAGATTCCAATAACAACTAACATTTGTTAAGTAATTTATTTATTTATTATTAATTACAGTAACTTAAACCTTCTATTTTATGAATCATCAAATAAAATTTTAAATCGGGTCATTTTCATAGTACATGTAGGTAAGTGGGGATGGCTTAAAAAAGCATAATGATAAAGATTATGACCCATAAATGAATTTGCACCAAACAAATAAAGATTTGGCTCATCAAAAACTGGATGACTGCCACCTATAAATTGTACATTAAGATTATCGCCAAAGCAAAATGATTAGCTAGTAGTCTAAGATGGATAAGACAAAAAAACAACCCATTAATTAATTTACGGATTATAACTAAGTTAGGAACGCATGCTGTACATATTGGAAAAGCTCTTCCCATTAAATATATCTATAAAAAGAAATGAAGAGACCTTAATGCGACTAAGTTTCGAATTAAATTAAACGGTTTCTGATAACAGAGTCTAGATACCAATGGTTTATAAAAAAAATTACCATTAAATAGGTAATCCAACACTAAATTAGGGTTTCTATTTTTATAATTAATTGATTCTTTTTAGGTCTAAATTTGGTTATATGTGCACAATTAGAAGAACACGTGCACATATATCGACCACAAGTTCAAGTTCATAGAAGTATTTAAATGTTATCTATTTTCAAAGTTATTGAGAGCATTATAAACTGAATAATCAAATCGGAAGAGGAAAGGGGGACCATTAATTTTGTTTATATCTAATAAATTTCAGTTCTTTTCCTTTAATTAGGGTTTAGATTTGCTCCCACATGCCCTTTAATGGTTATGCTTTCAATTTTTTTAAATTTAAAAAGTACCTAACTCATACCAACTATAGAAGCTTACCCGTCATTGTGTTCCCCCATAAATGTTGACTAAGTCTATGTCCCGACACGTCATGTTAATTATAGTCTCACTGCCATCAGCATATTTTACATGGATATATTTTATTTCATTTTAATTTTTTCAAACTATTTCATATCTGAAACTTGCCTAATCTGACAGGTCTATAGAGAAGGGATATGAAATTTTAATTGTTAGTTAATGTTCTTAATTTCAAACTCGTTATTGAATTTCTAACTCTAATTTCAAACGGCCATATAAATGTGTTGCAGCTAAAATAATTATAAACTTATTTTAAGAAATTACAGTATCAATTATGTGAATATATCATAATCAGCCTTATAATTATACGTATATGTTTGGTATTTGGTAATATATGCTTAGGCATTTATTGAAATTAATAGATCATTATATTATATAGTTTGAAGTTCTAATATTAAAAGTTCCGCTCGTTTGAATATTTATTGAAAATTGTTAAAATTTTAGTTATTTTCCATAACATTTATACTTTAATTGCTAATTAAAATGAATATGATGTTTATAATTTACCTACTAATTATAACAAAATTATATTATATATTAACATTTATAACTTTAATTGCTAATTAAAATGGAATATGATGTTTATAATTTAACCCTACTAATTATACAAAATTAATTATATACTATATATAAATTAAATCAATTTATAATATATATGAGTATCTATATATAAGTATCTTAGAGCTACATTATAAGCGACGTGTCTATATTTAACAGGATATCAGCTTCTCTCTTTATTGAGACTTGAGAGAGATATGGTTGACAATGCAAGCAATAATTCAGACAAATCATACCAAAAGTACAACTTTGGAGGAGCTAGTAGTGGTTCAGGAGAAGATGGCATAATAAAGGAGCAAGATAGATTGCTTCCAATAGCTAATGTTGGGAGAATCATGAAGCAAATTCTTCCTCCAAATGCAAAAATCTCAAAAGAAGCTAAAGAAACAATGCAAGAATGTGTATCTGAGTTCATAAGCTTTGTAACAGGTGAAGCATCAGATAAATGTCACAAAGAGAAGCGAAAGACTGTTAATGGAGATGATATTTGTTGGGCTCTTGCTACTTTAGGGTTTGATGACTACGCAGAGCCACTCAAGAGGTATTTGCATAGATACAGAGAGCAAGAAGGAGAGAGAGCTAGCAATAAGGGGAGCAACAATGAAGAAAATGATGATTCCTCGAATTGCAGAGGCGATCAGCCATGGAAATCTGCGGTTCCTAGTGCTGCTCCATTTCAGTTTGATGCAAGCAATAACAGTTCTGTTTCCAGGCGATTTTGAGGTCTAAATATCAGGTAACGTAATCTCTTATTCTTAGATTAATTAAGATGTTGATCTTTGTAAGCTTAAATCTGGTGCCATCATTGCGAGGGAAACTAGCTTGCTTGCTTGAAGCATGTGGGACTTTAGTTGTTTCAAACTGGTGTCCGCCTGAAACTAATTTTTCTGGTTTGTCTTTTTTCTTTTTCTTTTTTTCAACAAGTATTTCCACATCCTTCTGGTGTATGTTTGATTAATTGTTGTTAAAAATATTTACTTTGCGTGGAAGAGGAAACTAATTCCCTGTATCTTAATGAGAATTTATTTATAAACTTTCACATAATTCACTCTTTTCTGTCTATTGTTGCGGCTGGATTTAAATTTAAAATTTAAAGTTCTTACTTTTACATAATTCACTCTGTTATGTCTATTGTGGTCTAGATTTAAATTTAAAATTTAAATTTAATATGTAGATTTTAAAACTGAAAGTTTCAATTTTTAAAATATGGAAAAAATATTATTTTGTACTTTTTAACTATAAATTGAGTCTTTTAGTGTAAAATTGGAATAATAGTCGAATAAAAATTGATTCTTTGAGAAATAAATGTGTAATTGAGCCTTCTTCCTTTAAAATAATTGAAAAAGGCTGAATTAGATTTTTAAAAAATATGATTTCAATTCCATGATTTTTTTCATCACTGGAACTTCAAAACTTTCATTTTAATTATTAAATCATTAAATGCTTAACTTATCTAAATGATGGATTATTATTTAATACTCTGTTTGGTATAAATGAATTTAAAATATCAAATTCATTTGTAAATGAATTTTTTTATTTAGCGCTGATTAACTTAAAGCATGTAATTCAATTAAATTCCACTTAATTATGTATGAAAAAAAATCTATAATTGCAAATTCATTTGCTTTATTTTGTAAAATATCATTGAAATAGTATTTCACAAAAATAAATAATAAATACCAATTATATTTATATTATACTGTATAATTTTTTTATATTTTTATTAAAATAAAATTTTTTTATATTTTTATTAAAATAATTATATTAAAAATTAAAAAAATATTAATAAAATTATGTATTAATTAAAAATTTACATTTAATAAAATAAAAAATATTAATAAAATTATTGTATTAATTTAGTGATAAATTTACATTAAACTTGAACCTCTGTCCTCAACAGTAAAAAATGCTAAAAAATATTAAAATAAAAGATGAAAAATACTAAAATAAAATAATAACATAATAAGAAAATTTTTTTCTCAAAAAATGAATTTTTAAATGGTTTTCGTCAAGTTTGATAAAATAAATAAGTTAAATAAGTAAAAAAATTGAAAAATTGACTTTATAGAAGGAGAATGGTAGTCTTGTCATAAAAAGTTGGATTACTTAGTTTTGTAGAATTCATTTGAAAATTCCACCTATTTTTGTAGAATTTATGGTAGTTATGTTTAATTTCATAGAATTGAATTCTTAAAATTGAAATCTACTTCTTTTCATTCCAAATACAAAAATATGAATTTCTAAATAAATTCCATAAAATTTTGCGGAATTCATTTGTCTAAAAGAGTTGAAATTCGTATATATAAATATAAAAATTAATCATTTGAAGTTGCTAATTATTTTGTTTGGAGATTTTTTTTTACTGTAGTAACAGTTCTATTCTAATTGGTCGTTATTCAAAAATTCTTGTTTAGGCAGTTTAGATCATCCATACGGCTCTTCCCTTGGTGCACAATAAGAACAATACATAACGAACTCAGCAGTGCTGGTGTTCTACAAGAAATCTATAACCAATCCTCGTACAATATAGTTAGAACGTTAGTGTAATTATACAAATGTTCTATGTCACAACCTGAACCTAAAGATCTATGACAATGGCAAGGGCAAAGATAAGCATAAGGCTTCTAGAGCCTCTAGTGAAGCATGATCTGATAAACATACACCTGCTGCAATAACACAATACATAATCCACAAAAAAATAATTATGGGTCCATCTATTAAGCAGAATTTGTAATCACATACAATAATCATAAATTATCCAGCATAATACTTATTTATAGGTCAGTCTGCGAGTTTCAATTTATAAAAAATGTAAGTAAGACCAGACGAACTTTTGAAAAATTTGATATTTTCTAAGTCCAAGCTCGTTATGTACAGTAGTTGCAACCAAGTGTTTCATAATTTGATTTTGAATGAGAATAAAAAGATTGTTTCTTTAAAATCAGAATCCTCAGCCCATTATATATATATCAGCCCATTATATATATATATATATATATATATATATATATATATATATATATATATAAGTCATATATAACATTATGTATTATTACAAAAACTGAAAATATTGTTTCATCAATTGGAATTGGATGATCTGCGCTTCATATCTTCTTCAAAAGAACTTTCTTTTCTGTTTACTTTATATATAAGTCATATATAACATTATGTATTATTACAAACTGAAATATTGTTTCATCCATTGAATTGGATGATCTGCTTCATATCTCTTCAAAAGTAATCTTCTTTCTGTTACTACAGTTATCAGACAGTTTAGTTGTAGTCACTGTATTTTACTTTCTGAGGCTGTAACAAAGTTGATCAAACCTTCCATATTACCTCAATATATACACATACACACATTATTCTAAAGCTCATAAGTCATGCCCACTTTTAGCATCCGCTTCTGAGGAATGTCAAACACCTTTTCGCTCTGTCTCAAATTTCTCTTCAAGAAATTATAAGCATAGTCTATCAAAATCTTCTTACCTATATTTGCTCCTCTGCCTGCAACAACCTCATTCTCTCCGATCAAGTGAACAACGCCACCAGACCACGCTTTGTCTATAATTTCAATCCTTTTATCCACATTTTCCTCGTGATTTACATGCATTGTGCTTCTATTTTCATCAATTTCTTGATTCTCATCTTCCAATTCTTCATCAACCTTCACAGTCTCGCCATTATTATTAGGAATTGCCTGACTCAACCAATAATCCTCTCTGATAAACTCTTTCAATTTTTCAACCAACACTCTCTCAAAAGGTTCTTGCTCATTACGGACATCCGTATAACCGTATCTTGCTACGCAGCGAAACACGTTGAGCTCCTTTGGCTCTACTCTACGGAAAAGAAACCGCTCTTCCACTGCAACTTTTCCGATTGGAAGTGATTTGATGGAGACGAAGATAAGTACTGAGTGAAGTGCAGGCACATTCGCTACGTAATGGTTGAATATTGGTGGAATACCATGAACAAGCTCGGAGTAGAACATGGCAAGTCCAGGAAGTCTATTAAAATTGGTTTCGTTGGCAATTATCTCCTTCAGCTTATCTGGCGAAATCTTGTTCTCTAGCTCATAATAGTATTTTCTTCTGTACACATCATTCCAAACATACATTATAGTCATCAGAACTGCAGCAAATGCTAATGGTAAATATCCTCCTTGATCGAATTTGTAGAGAACTGAACTTAAGTATACGAGCTCCACAACCACAATGGTTAGAACATAAGCAATTATATAAACAATGTTGGTTTTCCATATCATTAGCATGATTAATACTAGAAAGGACGATGTGAGAGTCATCACAAACACCACCGCAATTCCTGCATACAGTCATCGATTTGTTAATATATTAGCAGCTCAAACAATAATACAAAACAAGCTTTAGTTTATAAAAAATTAAATAAGTGAAGGTTGCTGCTTACCATATGCATTGCCAATACGTGCAGTACTCCTAAAACCAAGAGTAACTCCTATACAAGCAAGCATAAGAAGGTAATTGACTTCAGGAATGTACACTTGTCCTTCGTATTTAGTCGATGTGTGCACGATTTTCACACGAGGGAAGCATCCGAGAGAGAGGGATTGCTGGATAATGGAAAATGTCCCAGAAATCATAGCTTGACTTGCAATAATTGAAGCCAACACAGCCACCACAAACATTGGCCAGTACAAAGGGTCTGCATATATATATGTGTGTATCACCCTCATCAGTCATCAGAACAGTTCATAAATTGTAGAAGATTGAGAAATTAACTGACAAATTAACACAAAATTAACCTGGTATGGACTCATAAAATGTCTCTGAGACAAGATTGTTGTTCTTTCTAAGAAAGGCAGCCTGTCCAGTGTATGCGCATAATAGAGCAGGGTAGGTTACAGTGCACATGCTTATTTGTATAGATTGAACGGTGAAATGACCAACATCTGCAAATAATGCTTCAGTTCCTGCATTTTTGTCACAAGAATTGTTAATATTTTGTATTTTGGTTTAACTAGGTAAAAAAAAAAAATTAAATAAATAAATAGAATTTTTAACCTGTAATGGCAAGGACAACGCCTCCTAAGGAAATCCATGCTTTATCTTTGTTTCTCCTGAAATAATCTACTATATATTTTGGGTTTAAAGATTTGAGAACCGTTGGATCATATTTGATGAAATTGTAAACCCCAATCCCACCGATCATTGCAAACCAAACACAAATAATTGGAGCAAAAGTGTAGCCAACTTTATCAGTTCCAAACCTTTGAACCATGAACAGGCCGATCAAAATCACCACTGATATCCAAACAATCATGTCTGTATCCAGACACAAAGGTTAAGTTCCGTCAGTTGCTTCATTTAATTAAAGCATCCATGAAAAACCTCAATCTATTATTTTTAATTTGTGGATCAATATAAAAATATATATTTTTATATGTAAATTATAATAAAAAAAATAGTAAACAAAAATATTAATTGATGCATAATTGGTAAAATCATTTAGGTCCCTAAATTATACTTTAATTAATACTTTCGTCTCTTTATTTTTAGTAAATTACTATAACACCCTTAATTTTTGCTACAACTTACTATCAGTATCATTCTTTTTGATTGAGCATATTTCATTCAAAAAGTGAATTTACTTTCTAGATAGACCCAATAATTAAATTAAAGCAAAAATTAAAATTAAAAATATCGTAGTAATTTCTCAAATACTCCGAGATAAAGTTAGAATATAACGTAGAGATCCAAATATATTTTTTTTCCTGTGAAATTAAACGAGAGACATAATTTAATCTGGCTAGTTTTGTCGTTTTGTTAGGCTGGTCCACTAATTAAATAGGGAAAAAAATTTTGAAAGCCTCAATTATTAGTTATAGTAGTATTTTTCGAAAAGGTCAACTAGGCAAGTTGCATCATGCATGTACCAGCTCCATTGACCAAATGTTAATTACTCCATCTAAAATCTAACATATTATCTATCTAAGATTTTTAAATATTCTCAGATTTCAGATCTAAAACTTAGAAAGTCTATTAATTACATGAAGATTCCATTAATTCCATTCAAAAAAAAAAAAAAAGATTCCATTAATTTATGGTGCGCTATAATGATGCTGAAAGTATAAAAACGTGGTTAGAAATTTTGTTAACGTACTGTCGGTCATTTTTGTTGTGGCTTGCTTGACTCCTCCAACGGCCGACAAGACTGCAATAAGTTTGGAGTAGATGCATTTGTTAGTCATACAATGTTGGCGTAAGAGGAGAAATTCTAACACCATAGTCTTCCTCGAAGTTTCTAGGAATTCCAAAGGATATGGACAATGGAAATATCGACCATATATACAGAAAATATCAAATTTAAAGATTGATATATCATCATGGCCAGAGTCACTATGACTAGAGGCCGCTGTACCTTTTTTAAAAAAAGATTTAAATACAAATATGTAAAACTCAAATTGTAATTCTAAATTCTAATATAATCAGAATCTAATTAACCTTAATAACGAAAAGAACAGAGTTATCTTTGAGACCTGAAATGCAAGGAGTAAGAACACCATCACCGATGACCATGGAAGTGCCAAGCATGGTGGCAAAGAGCAAAAAGAACTTGGCGAATTTGCTATTCTCCAGCTTAGTTTTCACTTTCGTTGCTCTCCGTAGACGCCTGCTTGGCAACTCTAGCCGGAAATTGGAGACATCGCGGTCCTCAGCTTCTTGACTTGGGATTAAACCCACTTTAGCATATCGACATATTAGTGAATACAAAGCAAATGTTCCTCCTGTAAAATTTAATTAACACCCATCAAAATTAAAATTTATTAGTTTAGATTTTCACTCCTAACAAATTAGTCTATGGTATTTTAATTTTTTTTACAAGCAATAATTTGGTAGTTGGGATTTTTTTTGGTTTTTCATTGGGTTGTCACGTTGGTTTCTTTTTCCTCGGTTGTGACGTCAGGGTTGTATTTTATTTTCCAAGATTGATTTAATGCTTTTTGGCCACTTCTGTAGATAATTCTTTTACTGAGGTAGCCTGTATTATATTATTTATAATTGCTCATAATTCCACACCAAAACGAATTACGGCACCCTCCGGCCATAACTTTCTGAGACACTAAATTAAAATTAAAATAATGGAACATTTGAGAGCTAAAATATTAAAAAATAAAGACATTTCTGATCATTTGTTGATAAATTGAAAATAATATTTAAAAAATCTCTCTATTCTCGTCTGATTATTTATGGTAAATTTATAAATTGGATTTAAATAAGTCTAATATTTCAGTTTATGCGTTCACAAAACAAAACAAATCGATCAGGATTTTGTTTTTTCAATAAAATAGAAAATGAAATATATATCAATCTATAAAATTAAGAAAAAAGAATAACCAAAAATATAGAAACTGTCAAAATTATATTCTTTTAAATTTTCAGCAATAAAAAACTATCGCATAGGAAAATCAATGCGACCCAGGAAAAAAAAAAAAAAAAAAAAAAATTAAACGTTCGGTTTCTGACGAATAAAAAACAAAAAACAAATCAAAAATTCTTGAGATCGAACGATTTTGAGTTATTATTTTTCATAAAAATAAAGAAAATGAATTGTATATATCTAAATCTAAATAAATTAAGAAAAACACACTTAAACCAAAAATATAGAAACTGTCAAAAATTATATTCTTTTAAAATTCTCCAAAGCAAATAACAAAAGCTATACGAGCATAGGAAAATCAAAAAATGCGAACCCGTTGAACCATCATGGAAAAAAAAAAAAAAGAAAAAAAAGGCAATTTGTTTTTTTTAATAAGACGTTAACAGGTACTTTTGAACCACTCAAACACCAGGAGAAGACGACCTCATATAAAAAAAAAAAAAAAAAAAAAAAAGGCATTTGTTTTTTTAATAGACGTTAACAGGTACTCCACCAAACACAGGAGAAACGACTCATTAAAAGATGACAATTTGTCACTTCCAAAGAAATTAATATAATTACGAGGATCGTTTCCCGATTCAGCCCTAATTGCAGACCTTACTGGCGAGCAAAGCTTCTCCCTAGATAGCACATCGCTAGCTGGTTTTAAAAATACAAATACTCATATGAATCTAAACATTTTATTAGAGTAAACCATTAACCACAGTGACTTGAGTTTATCTGATAATTGCTTGAATTCAGTGAAAAAATATTCTAAATCCTTTTTTTTTTTAAATGAAGAAAAATGATCCTAAATATATCAAAAAAGCATAAAATAATTACCGTCGCCATTATCGTTGGCACGCAAGACGATCAAGACGTACTTGACGAGAGGAATGAGAGTGATGGTGTAGATAATCAAAGAAAGAACACCTAATATATCATCGTTGTGGCGAATACCATCCGTGAACGTGCTGGAGTACACGTACAACGGTGATGTACCGATATCTCCGTACACTATTCCAATACTTTGGAATGCCAAGTGCAAGATCACCGACCAACTCACCGCCTGAAAAAAATTCAAAAGAAACAGCAGTTAGATACTACCAATATTTCGAAGGACGGGGCGATAACAACAACGGCAGGACGATTTAATTGTTGTATTGGAGGTGCGAAAAAGACAGACCTTAGAGCCGTGGATTCCATGGCCGTTAAATGAACGGGATTCGATTTCCAAAGAGTCAGCTCGGCGCAGTTTTTGCCACGAAAGTTTTTTTCCATTGAGAGGCTTATCGTGTTGGTCGCCTTCATTATTATTGTTTCGTTGTATTATATTACTTTGATCAGACATTTCTGTTGTCTTCTCCTAATGAGCTAGGTTTGGTTAGGAGGAGGGGAAGAGAGGGCGATATATTTTGACCTCGCTGTTATGGGGAGTCGGGCTCCTGGAGATGGGGATGGAAATGGTTATTATATAAAAACCAAGTGTGTGAAATTTGAATGGAATATGCGAATGAAAACAACTTTTAAGAAAAAAATGTGTGTGAATGAGCTCACTAGAGTTACAACGAGGCCTCCGAGGCTAGATGTTAATGTGGCGATGTGTGGTCCCCTTTTAGGATCTTTTTACTGCATCCGGTGTTTTTATATACACCAGATTACCTCAATTTCTTTTTTAGATCAAGTTAATTCTTTCGCTCTCTCGTCACAGTACAGCATATTTTTGTTAAAAAAAAAAAAAAGTTAATTTTGTTGCCAAAAAACCACATAGTTTCAAAAAAAAAAATATTATTATTATTATTATTATTATTATCAGTGCGATTAGAAAATAATTAAAAAAAGAATTATTATCAATAAAAGTAGAGAGAGAGAAAAAAAAAGAGAGAGCAATTAAATAATATGTGAAAACAAATTGCAGGTACGATGCAATAACAAATTGGTCGTGGAATGGCTTAAGGATAGGGAGGCTCCAATGAGTGGTCATAAAATATTATTACCTCTTTATTGGTGTTACGAACACGGGACACTAGTTGAGATGTTAAATTCATCCATAATTATTATATAAAATTAATTTCATTGTTGATTAATGTGAAATCCATAATAAACAATTAATTGAGAGTGACATGATTTGCAAATTAGATTAGAATAAGAACATTTTTTAAAATTTTAGAGGGACCAAATAGGATTTTCTATATTTTAGGGGATCGAAGTGTAATTTTTATAAGAGATTTTTTTTAAAAAGGAAATTTCTTGGCAGTCGTGTCCTCTTAGGTCTTTCCATAACTGTAATGTCTGGGAGAAGTAATTAAGATACAAGGATTAAAACTAAAAATAGAAATGGAGAAATGAGATTGAAAAATGAGTCGTTCAGTAAGATTTTATCTATTACATGATCGATAATCAAAATTATTTTTTCTAACAATGTCTAAATGGCATTCAAATGAATAAATAAATTATCAATTTAAAAACATAAAATAATTTAAAAAGATTATATAATATTATTATTTTTTACGTACATAAAAAATAATAATTTCAGAAGTAATATATTAAGAAATTTAATTTCTCAAATCACTCATTCCTAATATTCAGATAATCAAATAATCAAACACAACCTCAGTTGAATTGAATGCCATTAACGAGGAAATTGCTTATGGAGTAGAATTGAAGCGTGCTTTTACACAAAAGAAATAAAAAAAAAAAAAAAACATTTAAAAATCATAATATATTTATATTTTAAAAAGAAATTATATATATAGTTTTATATAATTTTTACGTACATAAAAAAATATAAAATTATCAGAAAGTAAATATAAAAATTAGATTAATTTCTCAAATCACTCATTTTCATCATTCCTAATAATATTCAGCAAAAATCAAATAAGTCAAACACAGAGCCTTTGTCAGTTTGAATTAAGAATGCCAGTTAACGAGGAAATTGCTTATGGAGTAGAAATTATAAAGCGTGCTATTTTTTACAGCAAAAAGAAATAAAAAATAAAAAAGAAAAAACGGTCAAAAAGTCTTCACTAGCGACTGCCACAGGTGTGCAATAGCCTTTTCCAATTTGATGGCTACACAAGCCTAAATCAGCTGTACAAAAAGTCCCACATATTTACCATCTAACATTGCGCCTACATACTTGCGAAATAATGACTTGCTTAGCTTCTCGAAGTGCAAACTAGTTTCAGTAAACTAAAGAGACTGCCTCGTAATTGTCCCAGGTTATTAGAACTTACTCATGTATAGTATTTGGTGAAAAAAAAAAAAAAAAAAAACGTCAAAGATCCCTTCACTACGCTCACGTGTGCAATGCTTTTCCAATTTGATGGCTACACATGCCTAACTCAGCTGTACAAAAGTCCACATATTTACCTCTAATATTGCCGCCACTTGGAAATAATGACTTGCTAGCTTCTCGAAGTGCCACGTTTCAGTAAACTAAGAGACTGCCTCGTAATTTCCAGTTATTAGAACTTACTCCATGTATAGTATTTGGTGACTTCTTTATTTATTCCATATCACTTAAAAAAAAAGTAAAATTTATTTTATTTTATATAATTATCTTTATTAAACTTTTTCTCTTTTAATTAGATAATAATTAATATTAATAAAGTTTATCAAACAGATTCTCTAGCTTAGGTTACAGAAAAAAGAATCTTTAGTATATATATATAATATATAAATTATAAATTATATAGCATAATATAAAGCAACAAAAGTCAATCACGCTATGCGGTTATAAATTGATCAAAATATTAATTTTCAAACAAACTAAATTAATATTCGATAAAAGTTCAAAAAAAAAAATATAATGAATTAAGGCGAGAAATGAAACATCACGTGTGAGTTTGGTTACCGTCACGTGTTGCGTGTGCATGACTTCAATTCAATGCACCTTCGCAAGAAGAATGGCCGTTCAAGTCCTACAGTTTGACCAAGACAAAGGGAGGTTAGCCATGCGCATCCTCAAAAGTGTAATAATTATTTTTTTTTTTCCCATAAAATACCTGAATGAATTTATACATGTGTATATATCCGTATGTGTGCATGCAAAAAAATTACATAGACAAAATTAAAAATAAAAAGTGATGAATGCCGAGTGTCATGAATTATGGGATGATGATGGGCTAAATGATTCAGTTACATAAGATAGGGATTTGACCAAAGGCCTTTTATTGCATCTCACTATAGTAACAAGTTATAACAACCAATAATAAATTGGGATTTTCATGAAAATAATATTTTTGATAAAAATAATATACCAAAATAATGCAAGATCGGAAATAATATTTTTGAATTAATATACACCTTTGTCCACGATGTTTAAGAATTAGTGATTCTAGTAATTAATTATATCATATTTATTTATTTATGTTTTTAGTATTGGGAGACGGGAGCTGAAGAATCTATTGTCAGATCGAATATGTACTTATCACTAAATAGAAAGGTAAAAACTTGAGACTGAATTATTTTTAATAAAATAATTTTAAATTATAAGACATAATTAGATTTTAAATTTTAAAGAAAGTGTAGTTTATTTTAAAAGATAAAGAATTAAGGGGTCAAAGAAAAATAATAGATTGGCAATTATGGATTAAAGTGTAGATTCATTTTTAAAATTTTAAAACAATAATCTAAGTACATATTATAATAAATAAGAACCTTTGCAAGTTTAGAAGTTGAATTAATGAAAAAGTAAAAATTTGATTCTCACAAAAACACTTACAAAAAGATATATTTATAAAAATAATTTTCTTGAAAATACACTTTCTAATTAATAAATATATTTTTTAAAAAGTAGACTCTTTTAAACGAAATGCAGCTTTAAAATGAGATTAGTGTCATATTAAAAAATATTGCGGATATTTTGAAGAAAACTCATATAAATTTGCGGCTTGGTGTTAGCTAACTCTATAGATTTCTCCAACCAACACCTCATATTCTGTCTCATCCTATCACCACCGCCAAACATATATGTTAAATTTTGTCCTTAATTGTAGCAAAACACAACAAAAATTTTCTTATTTCATAGAATTTTAACTTAATGAAATATTATTTCTATTATTTATAACGCTCGGCGACATACCATTTATGTTAGTGTTTAAAATTTAAAGAAGCAGATTACGAGACATTAAGACATTTTTAAGTGATTATTTTGTTCAAAATATAAATTATTTTGAGTATTTTAAGAAGTAATAAATAACTTTTTTTTAACATTACTGTTATTTATATTAAATACAATAACTATATTTATAAATTACTCATAGTTTGAAGATAAAATTATATTCCTATACGTGAAGACGTGGAAAAAAGAATAAGCGAGAGGATATTCTGATTTCTGAACCGAATTAGAAGAAAAGAGTTGAGGAGTTATCATAAATAACAAACAAGTGGTACAAAAGAAAGGGTTGGAAGTTGGATTGTGTAATTAGGGTTTCATGCAATCAATCGGCCTTAATTAAATGGTTGCTTCCATACATGTACTGATAAAATTCACCATCAAGCCACGTGGTATGAGCAATGAGCTTTTTCTGATGCTAATATGCCATTATTGGATTTGGACTCACTTATTGTTAAATACTTCAATTATCATTTTTAATTTGTTACCTTCTGCAATTGATAGTATTATTGGTAACATTTTGATTTGTAGACTTAATATTTTATTGATAAGTGAAAAGAAATTCTGGTTTAGCCCATCACATCACATGCATTTATCAAATTAAATATTATTTTTTCTAAAATTATCTTTTTTTTTTTTTTTTTTTTTTTTTTTCCAAATTAAATAGTTATTTTTTCACTAAAATTATCTTTTTTTTTTTTTATTTTTTTTTTTTTATTGAGGAGGGAAGGTGAGTAAGACACTTTTTTTTTTTTTTTTTTTTTTTTTTTGAGAGGGAAGGTGAGTAGACACATGGGATGGGGAACAACTCGAATCTTAGTCATTGTGTCTTATTATATTTCTTTTTTTTTTCTCTCTTAATTTTAGTTGCAAGTTAACGAAATAAAATTATTAAAATTGAAATAATTAGAGAGATAAAGGAGAGTCAAATTAAAAATTTTATTTATAATTAAATAATTTAATTTGTTTCCTTAATGGTTGCTTAAAAATCTAACATTTTGTAGGTACAAGAGGACCCAGCTGTTGTTGTAGGCGCAAGAGGATGGCATCCTCTAACGGCTCCATTCGACTAGAGAACTAGTATACTAATTAATTGTGGTTAAACATAAAATCCTCAGTTCTGTTCTGGTGGAATAAGTTAGGTCTGACTAGTTCATTGAATCAGTAGTTTGAGTCTTCAAAGCTATGAAGCTGACTCTAGGGTTCTTTATTTTGATTCCAATTTAATTAGTTTTAGCTAGTTTCAATTGAGTAAAATACATATAAGTTAATCATGAAGGAATATAGCATTTATACACTTTTCCAAAGATGACAATTTTAATTGGAATATACGTAAGTCCAATTACTTTCTGTGGACATTTCAATAGAATTGCATACCCTTAATCCATAATACATGTCTTTTGAAGTGCATGCTCTTAGCTTTTGACGACAACACCTTGCTGAGGCAGAAAATTTGGTGTATGTACTGCAAAAGGAACTTTTCTTACAAAATTGGCCATTGTATTTTAATCATTAGTGGCCAGTCCAAAAGTACAAAACTTTCCTGTCCCAAAAATTCAACTAAGGCTTTTGCAATATCCTCAGATTTCTTTGAACCTTGTCAAATATTGGATTTTCGACCAACTCTTTAGCAGAAGGCCTCTGAACTGGATCTGGATCTACCATCACCTGATCAAATTACCAAATTATCATATTATATAAATCTAGGCAAAGAAAAAAAAAAAAAAAAAAAAAAAAAAAAAAAAAAAAAAAAAAGAAGCAATTACAGGGCAGTTGCAATTTCAGGTAAAATGCAAGTTTTAAAGGTATCCTAAACAGGCTAATTAAACACCAAATAGCTTATTCTCTTTCACTGATGATATGAAAATCCAATATTCAGAATCAAGGATAAGAAAATATAGCAAAAAGAGGACATGGTCATTGCAAACCCCTTTCCCCCTCTCATCATAAGCATTTTGCTCAACACGCAGCATTATTCAACATGATAAAGGAAAGAAGAACTCAAAAAATAGTCATTCTTTCTTTAAGATGCTGCTTTTAGATTCTAAAGAAAAGGTCTACTTCCGCAGTTCTAAAAGATCACACAAGGATGGTGAACCAAAAAAAAAAAAAAAAAAAAAAAAAAAAGAAAAAATGCAAGGTATTTACCTTCTGAGTAAGTTCTGAAATTGCAACGAAAATGGCTAGGAAAGAAGTGGCAATTTCCCCTCCCGAGGTTAAAAAATTGAGATCCTGACTGGGGCCAAAGGTGATCCCTTCAATAAAAGCTCATAAATAGTGGCTCCCAAAGAAAAGATAATCAACTTTGTCGAGATGATTAAAAAAAAAAAAAAAAAAAATGCAAGTATTTACCTTGAGTAAGTTCTGAAATTGCAACGAATGGCTAGGAAGAAGTGGCAATTTCCCCTCCCTGAGGTTAAAAAATTGAGATCCTGACTGGGGCAAAGGTGATCCTCTAATAAGCTCATAAATAGTGGCTCCCAAAGAAAAGATATCAACTTTGTCGAGATGATTGTAATTCTCATTCAATATCTCTTGAGGCATATAACGTGCGTCACCTTCTTCAATTGGCAAGTTTTGATTAAGGAGAGTTGCACATCCAAAATCACCTAGCTTGTAAATTCCATTCTTCACATAAATATTATCAGGTTTTACATCTAGGTGAGCAATTCCTCGTTCATGTATAAACCATAATGCCTTTGCAATCTGTTAAAAGTTCCAATATGAGAATATCTTTAAATAAACAGGAAACTCTGTAGAATCAAAATATTTTCAGATTGGTTTGAAGCATATCAATAGCTATCCGAAACTTTTAGATATTTTCTAACATGACTGGGGTAAACTTGATTTTAAATCATGATAAATGTGTGGGACTCTTTCATAGTTCAATTAAGCATGATCATGAAAAATATCTTTCTGTGCATCGGTGGAGTGTTGTACATCTTCAGTGAGATACGTATAGCTATATAGAAGAAATAGCTAAAAATTGAACGGATAGAAATATATACCTAAAAGCTATCCAGAGCGCCTATACAACTATGTTTCAACTAGAAATTGAATATCTTGCATGTGAATCTGAATAATTGGGCTTTTACAAGCACACAGGGTGTTGCATTAGAAGGAAAGCAATCAATTTGGGGATAATCTTTACAATCCATCATATTGTATCAAAAAGAGAATAAATTGGAAAAAGGAAATCTTATCCCTCATAATTTCTTCTTTTACTATACTTTTGAAAGAATTGCTTGCGTTCCTGTACCAGTCTATACGTGAGAATTGAATAGTCAATAATAAAGCACTCAAACTTTTATGAAAAATGCTACAAAAATGCTCACCTGCTGTAAGACTTCCAACACTTCCAACTCTGTGAATGCTTTGGAAGACTTATTGATAGATAAGCTGTGATCACAGAGTTCCATCTGAATGTAGAGTTGCTCATTTTCAAACCATGAGGAGTAATAGCCAACAATGTTTTCATGATATCCTATAGAAACATGATCATAGAACCAACTAAGAAAAATGGTTTAGTGCCGAAATGTGAAGCATAATGAAAAACTTGTATAGATATTGCATACAAACCTAAAGCTGCCAAAGCTTGAACCTCCATCAAAGCTTTCCTCCTGAAAAATGCAAACAGTCTAAGCTAGTTGATTGAACAAATGATGAAAGCATCTTAAAGAGCACAAAGAAACTACCTGTCTGCCTCTAGATGTAACTGCCTTGTGCTATGTTTCACGGCATACAAGCAACCATCTATTCTCTTCAAGACTTTGAAAACTCGGCTGAAGTTTCCAGTGCCAATATGCTACATGGAAAGGAAAGTATTACTATTTACGCAAACGCAAAAAATAATGATTCTGGTCTCTGAAATAATTGAGAATTCTTGAACCTTGATGGATACCTGGATCTCATGAAAATCTGTGTGATACCGTGAAAGGCCATCTCCACCAACAATTGTAGAAAAGAAACCTGAAGATTGCAGCATTCATTAACTAAAACAAATCTCTAAGACCTTTCAACAGGGCAACAATTTCGGCACTCCAAGAAGAAAGGAATGGAATGGAAAAGATATTCCGTTTTTACACCAAGATCTAGCTTGACAATTGACAATGATTGTACCTGCACATTTTGATCTTTGATTGCCAAAGGGATCTACATCCACTTCCGAAGCATCCATTACGTATGGGTTCTTAATGCAAGGAGGGGGCATAACCCGACAGCGCAAAGCAACTGCAGATAGTGATACATAATTTGGGCGCTTCTGAGTGTCAGTTACCATTGTTTTCTCAAATTTCACTTCATCTATACCATAATTATCTTTTGCAATCTCTATATTTTGTTCTTGATCAGACATAGTAGGGCTGATAGGATTCGCTGAGATAACATCTGAGAGCAGTATGGATGGTCAATGTGAAAAATAGGGAGGGAATAATTAGTAGCTGATAGTAAGTGTGACCAATAAATAGGTAAAAAACAATGTGCTTCAATCTAAAAAGCATTCTCGTAATCATTGAAATCAAGAGTAAAACTCAAAAAGAGAAAACAACTAATCTTACCCAATCGAAGTTTTTTGGTTTTAGTGGTGTTTAGCTTCTCTGGCGAGTTGGGGCATGATATGTTTTCCTGCCACAAACAAAGCATAGATACTCAATGATGATACTTTGCACATATCAAACTGAACATATTGCTCAATCTTCAGAAGCATTACCTTGTTGTCAAAGCTGTTGAGCAAATTTTGATCCACTGGTGTTATATAATCTGGAGTGCTGTAATCACAAAATATAACAATGAAAAAAAAAAATCTAATTACATATTAAAAATATTCACAACTTTGATTTCACTGATTGTACTGGCATATATTGGAATAAAATATCTAGCCACAAGCACGAATTTTTCTTTGGAAAAGGCAAATTAATTTCTAAATTCAAGCCTATGCAAACATGCTTATAATAATATTGCAGTATTATGTGGGAAAAAAAAAAGTTGTCTTTGATTTCAAAAACCATCAGAAGAAGCATCATGAAACAAGTTTTGCATTTGTTTGCATGTAAGTGGATCTAAACTCAATCTCAACTTCTCAAATGTTCTCTGCGATTTCGAGCAAGGATTTTTCATTTCCATTGTAGACCCAATAACATAGAATGAATCACTAAAATTAACTTAAACTTAACCAATTCTACAAATTTCTCAAGAAATACCAAAGCCCATTATTAAAAACTGGAAAATCACAAGAAATTTCCTAAATGCAAACTCTCAATAATCTTGTATAATAGCAAATTGAAGAAAAACTTACCAAAAAAAGTCCTGACTGAGAATGAAATCCTTCTCATCAATATCGACTTCTTTAATACTGGGGTTATCCAAAGAGGAACGGAACTGTAGATCGGCGTCTTCAGAATCTATAAGGTTCTTGAAACTAGAGGAAGAATTGGAAACTGAGGCTGAAGAAGAAGATTGCTGGTACTGGAGAGGAACCAAAGAGACTTGTCCTAGCTGAACCTGAAAGTGCCTTGCTAATGTGCCCTTCATTTCATTACTCTCTCTTCTCTTTTTACTGCTTCTCTTTAAGGTTTTTCTCTTCATCAATTTAGCACCAGCACCAGCACCACTCACCTCTCACCTCCTCTCTACCTCTCATTTCCCTTTTATTATCAAATAAACCATTGCCCTCTGTCTTCTCTTTTTATTTTTTTAAAAAAAATTTCTACAATTCAAAATTGCGCGGGTGAGCAATCTTCTTCGGCACGGATCAGAAGAAAGAAAGACTACCGTGCACTCTCTTTGTCATCGAATCGTCACCATAAGAGACGCGATGTGATTGATTGAACTTTGAGCCTTTCACTGTCAGCGTTAAATCGATGGTCTGATAGGCTGAATATGTAGCTTAATTTGTGTTGCGTACTACATAAGCTTTTTTCCATCTTCGAATGGTCATTAGTGGCGGACACAAAAGGCGCGACTTTTCAGTATCTTTTTGTTTTTTGTGCTAATAATACTCATTTTTTCAATTAAAGAAATTATCAATAATAAATTGGGCTGAGGCCCAATCGGAAAGCACGGCGGCCCAAAAGAATGCCTATGGGTTCGGGTTCCAACTGGCGTTTGGCTCGACCGCGTACAGTTGCAGCTATGCCAAATGTGGCGGCCGAATGCTTTTCCGGTGAAACTCTTTCTCCTGAACCTAACCACACTTTTGTATTATGCTTTTGTGCCAACACCACTTGTTAATCATTTATTTATCTTTACTTTGTTCTTAGGGGAATTCTGATTCTGATCAGAGCATTTCTGGTAATTTTAGCTGTAAATATGAATTTGCAAAGCTATGTTAGCGTTTGTTGGTTGATTTTGGTTTTGGAGATTTGTCAGATGAGGATGACTTAAATGGCGATTTGGGAAACAATTGCATTTCTTTGAATACAAATATAGAGAAAGAGGCAAGTGCTTTCCTTTTCTATTTCTCTACTCGATTATTGAATTTTTTATTCTGAGCCCAGCATTTACAGTGAAGCTATCTATATATGTAAATGTTGTTTGCTTTTTGGTATTTATTATCATAATATTTATTGACAATGGGGTATATATCTGTATGCCTATCCTTACTGTGCTTTTGTATGTCTATAGCAAGGATTGCTACTTCAATCACGACTGGAAATACTTAGAGGTATATATATAAAGTTGGTGTTTTTGTCTTCTGGTGCATTTGAATTGATCACACATTAAACTATTTTTTTGAGTATTTCTATTCTTTTCTGTTTCTTTTTTGTTTTTTAAACAATTTTCCTTTCTCCTTTTAAATCTCAATATGATATGATTTCTAAAGGGAATATGCGCACTGCTTACACTGTTCATAAATTTCATTAAGTTACATAGCATTGGAAATGCAGATGCTTTCTTTTTCTATAATTCTGAATTGAATTGTTTTTAATTCTGTTTTAACATCAGTCATAAAAAGAGTTCTAAGATGTATCTTTTATCTCAGGTAAAGGTGATGTAAGGTTTGGAAGGGAATTAGACATTTTAACAAATGAAGTATGTGCAATTGTAGGTCATTTACAATATTCGTTTTTCTTATAAATACAAATAAAGTGTGATGATGTTTTGATCAGAACCAAACAACTTGCTTTGACCAAGATGAGGTTGAAATTCCTGATTCTCCAAATGAGGTACACCTTTTTGTTTTGCTAAAGCTTTTATCCAGATATCATTCATTTTTAGTTAGATTTTCTCATTGTACCTTTTAATCGTAGGTTATTTAGTGCCAAGTGCAAGACATGCTTTCTTATGATAGTTGTTTGTACAGGATGACTATGCACTTGCAAAGTCTTCCAATACATCTAGTGCTAGGAAGCTCCATAAAGATAACAATCTTGATAGTTCTAGGAGTGAAAAACGAGATGGGGCATGCACATCATCGACAGTGAGTAAAGAAGCTGAGGTGCTTACTGATTTGTATGGGAAATCTCTGGCTTCCTGTTCTGCCTTCTCCAATTCAAGAAAATCATGTAAAGGTAGTTTCGAAGTTGATACCTGTTGCTTGATATCCACATATGCCTTTTCATTAATTAAATACTCTTGTCAAGTTGCATTTTTCTCGTATTTTGACCTAGATGGAGCATCTTCTTAATCAAATATGTGGATTCAAAAAAAAAAAATTTAATTGTTTTTTTGGCAAGAGAAATGATGAATTTTAAATTTAGACAGCACAAGCAAAATCCCAGTTACAGCCCTTACGGACTCACTCTGCTCTATCTAACTTGGGAAATCCTGAATAATTTAGTTTGTGTGATATTCAGTTGCTAAGATGGATAAGTAAAAAATGCTTGTGTTCCTGATTTAATCTGTACATATATGGTCGAAATTAAAGTTTGCTGGTTCTTTGACTACAATCAATATAATGAAGCTCATCATTTGAGTTCATTTTTTGGCACTCAGGGCGCTTAAATTCTTCACCTATTATTACCTAATGGTTTGCAGGTGTTAGAGGCAAAGTCAAGCCAAAGTTTTCTCTTTGTTTAAAATTGCACAAAGATGAACTCTCTGAAAATTGTATTCCTAAGAACAAACATGTTATGCCATCCAAGGCGAGAGCTGTGCTTGAACAATTGGAATCAGCTGGGGACGGGGCTGTAGGAAATTCAAATCTTAATTTTCCAGAAGAGTTTCACAGAGAAACTGAAAATCAGTTAAAAAATTTCCCTTATGAAATAGAAGCTCATGCGAATGAGCTTATTGAGCCTTCAATGGCCGAGCGTTTGGATGGCCTTCAGGACAGGAATGTTCCACCAAGAGGAAGTTCTGAAATGGTTTATTTTCTCTTGTCAATTAGCATAATTTTTCCTCAATGATTTATGCACCCAGTTTGATCCCAGTATTTGCTGCAGTCTAGAAGAATGAGAGGAAAAAGCACACAGTATTTTTTGAAGAAAAGTATATCGTCAGTGGGAGACAGAATCATTGATAATCAAGAACAGCCTGAGGGGGTAATTACTGAATCATCAAGTGATGATGAGGTATTACTTCATCTGATTGGATTTTATTGCTTGGCTTTGGTGCTTTTTGTTGTTTGTTCTTGTGTTGTTTGTTCTTGTTAAAATTACGCACACATTTGTACTTTTAAGGTCAACTATCAAAATCTAAATCTAGCAAACCAAGAGATGAAAGGGCAGACTATGGCAGATAGATTTCAGGAGGCTTTAGCTGCTACATCTTTCAGCAATGAAGGGGCCCTTTTCATGGCTGTTAAACTGTCAGGGTAAGTAATATAACTAGATTTTCTTGTTATCAGGAGTACTTTCCATAATTGTTTAAATGAAGTTTAGAGAATAAATAGCATAAAATCTACCTTTTTGCTTCCAAAATCTGTAGTATTGGGTTGTTTGGGAAGTTGCAGAAAGTCATGCAGAATGAAAAGGAAAGAGATGCTGATTTTCTTAAAAAGCTACAGATGGGAGATGTCCCTAATGGTAAAGCATTTACTGGTGTAATATTTTTATTCTTAAAACCATATCTTCAAACTGACTTGCATATATGAACAGGTAAAGATGATAGGCTTGTTGTACCTGCAATTCTGCAATTTTCAGCCTGCTACTCATTTTTGGCTCTTTTTTGATACAGATGAATCACAATCTATTGTCGTAAAGATCCTTTCAAGATACCTGGAAGCAAAGTTGATTGTGTGTCACTGTTCTTTTCACAAGAATTTAGAGGTTGTGCTAATTTTTACCACTTCAGGCCTAGAAATTATTAAAGCAAACGATAAGACACTATGGTATTAAATTAACATTAAGTTGTTAATTCATTATACAAATTTCAGACTCTTTAGTCGGTTTCTAGAAAAGCTAGGTCTTGGTTACTATCACTCTAGGTTATAGTTTTAAATTTATCATACTATGATTCCAAGTGGATTTTTTGGTATGGATTCCTCTATTGTGGCATGCTATTGTTGTAGTCAGGCCGTGCTCAATTTTGGAGGGTATCTACTTAAGGTTACTGTTGTTTATCCTGCATTGAGAATTAGATAAGAATGTTCTTTTAGTAGCAGGACCCTGGTTAAGTGCATTCACATGTGTGTTTATACTTCTGTAATTTGCAAAAGGTTCATATCTGCAGGACTCCCAGTTGCCAGAGGGAGCTCTAACTGTTTTAGATAGAGGAAGGAAAGGAACAGTTATATTTAGTCCAAGAGTTTGCAGTGATGTTGAACTTGAAATTGGGAACTTGATTCGTATTCATCCTCCATGGTATGTCTACCAACTCGCAAATACTAATTAGAAGAAAACTATTTCTTATTTCTTTGTCTGTGCTGTTCATTTAGAATGATATATAGCATTTTGATCAATGAAGTTTGATGGTGAACTTCTGTGGACAGGAAGGAGGTTCAAGTGATGGGCAATAATGAGGGGATTATCTTATCTACATATTTCTCCCATATTTTCATGTGATCATTTCAGGTTAGTTTGCCAGGAGATCTTATTTACGAAATTTCAATGGATAGAATTGTTTATGATTGAGCTTTATGCAGATTTCACACACTGGCCATCTTTATTCTTGGCCCAAATCTCTTTCATTGAACAGATGGTAAGAGACATGACTATACAGTTCCACATTTTTCTTGCGTTCTGCATCCATAATGTTCTGCTGAACTTGCCTCTTGAAGCTAGGAAGACTTCCATGATTGCATGGAGCTGTCGAAACATATTTGCCAGAAGAGCCAATAGAATTTTTGAGTTCATCTTTTTATTATCGTCTTCTATGGTATTATGCAATTGTAACTTGTGAGAAAGATTAACATGTGAACTGGCCAAAACAGAAAGTGGTGTAGTTTGTATTCACCCAAGAAAAGTAATTAATAGTATTTCTTCTTGGTAAAAAAAATATTTACATTGCAATAACTAAACTTTCTTTGCACTAATTATTAAAAATTGCTTCCTAACTAATGTATTGAAACTTTTCCCATTTTAATTTTATGGACTCCCTAATTAATATATGTTTTTAATTCTTATTATTTAATTTTATTGAGTCGTTATAAATACAGTTTTCAATATTATACATGTATATATAAAAAGCAAGTATATCAATTTTTGCACAATAGATATAATTTCATTTTTTTTTTAAAAGTATATATATTTAATAATTTAATCTGTATATAATCTTTAAGTTTTTCAAACTATGATGCTTTTGTCACATTGTACACTCTGTTTTGATATCCTGTTAAGAATCCTTTTTATGTTTTTCAAACTATGAATAACATTTTCCCAATCCTTAACAATAAAGGGAACATTTTTCTGTCGCATGGCAGCGACAAAGAAAAGCTTTCATGTTGTCTGTCAACAAGAGGAAAAGGAGAGAACTGAACCACCTATTTATATTGATTATTGGAAAAGAAATACATTTCTTATTTGGACCCGACTGAATCAGATTTCAAGTTCCCCAAAATCAAGAAAGACAAAATAAAATACATAAAAATGCAATTTCCCATTCAAATCAAGGAGAATAAGAATGTGCCACAACCCAAAGAGGTGATTTCCTGTGAATAACAAATGTATAAACTTCACTCATGTCCAAATCCTCTCCTCTTCCTCCATCAGGCAACTCCCAATCAAACCAATACAGCAAATTAGCCATTGCATATTCAACTTCTGCATATGCATATGACATTCCAGGGCAAACCCTTCTTCCGGTTCCAAATGAAAACAACAGCTTCTTGTGTTCTTCATCTGAACTATTAAGAAATCTCTCTGGCAGAAACTCCTCAGGCCTATCCCACAAGGCTGGGTCCCTCTGAATTGCCCATGTATTAATTAGTACTCTTGTTTTTGCTGGAATATCATAACCTTGAAGTTTAACACTTGCTGATGTTTGTCTAGGCATCATAGCGGAAGCATGACACCTTACTGTCTCTTTCATTACGCACTTCAAATATTCCATTTGACTTATGTCAGACTCGGTTATCTTTGATTTGGAGTTTCCAACTACTCTCCTTACCTCTTCTTGAGCTTTCTTCATGATTCTGGGATTCTTCACAAGCTCTGCCATCATAGACTCCATTGTTGCTGCTGTTGTGTCTGTCCCGCCAACAAACATGTCCTGTGTTAATCAAACACCAATCCTAATGTTAGTTTACCACAAATATTAATAAATCAAGAAAAAAAAAAAAAAAAAAAAAAAAAAAAAAAAAAAAAAATTTCCAACTAACTTCCTTACTCTTTCTTGAGCTTTCTCATTGATTCTGGGATTCTTCACAAGCTCTGCCATCATAGACTCCATTGTTGCTGCTGTTGTGTCTGTTCCCGGCCCAACAAACATGTCCTGTGTTAATCAAAACACCAATCCTAATGTTTAGTTTACCACAATATTAATTAAATCAAGAAAAAAAAAAAAAAAAAAAAAAAAAAAAAAAAAAAAAAAAAACTAGTTAGGAAAAAAAAAAAAAAAAAAAAAAAAAAAAAAAAAAAAAAAAAAAACTAGTAGAAGAGCAACTGGCTACCAGAAGTATTGCTTTAACGTTGTCTTTAGAGAGATCAAGCTCGAGCCCCTCCTTTCGAAGATAAAGAAGAATATCTACCAAGTACTTCTTATCTTCGGCTTTCTCACTATCATTCATTCCTGCCCCGCGTTCTTTGATCACTTGATCAAAGAACTCGTTTAATTCTTCTGTAATCATTTTTAAGTTTCTAATGAATCCAGTAAGGTGATCAATCCATCCCAAGTAGGGAAAAAAATCTTTAAAGCAGAAAGCTGATAAAACAGTCATTGTCTTTCTTGCTAGTTCACTGAAACTCTTACAATTACCATTTTGATTTTCATGCAGGGAACCAAAGGCTGCTCTTGATAATGTATTATATGCAAGACTCATAAACATATCACTTATATTAACTGGAACTCCATTCACGCTTGAAAGGCGTATCTTTTCAACTACTTTCCCTACTTCTTCTTCTCTTATGAAATGAAACTGTTGTACTCTTCTGTGGCTCAAAAGTTGAAGAACACAAAGCTTCTTTGCTTCCCTTGAGTGGTCACAATAAGGGCCAAATGCCATGTCAAGGCATCCATTGAACACAATACCTACACCAGTCAAAGAAGGTCTATCTGCAAAAATAATATCATGATTTTTGGTTATTTCTTTCGCGATTTCTACAGAAGAAACCACAAGAGTAGGAACTTGGCCTAAGCGAAGAAACATTAAAGGGCCATACTTTTCAGAAAGGGATCTGAAAGATCTGTAAGGAAGTGCACTTATCTGGTGAAGGTTTCCAATTATGGGTAATTTTGGTGGAGAGGGTGGTAGATTTAGTTTGTGAGTACTTGTTTTGGGTTTAAACAATAGCAGAAAAGAAAAGAATATAACAAAACAGAAGAAAAAGGGATTCAATAGATGTGTTTTTCCTAGTTCTTGCCACCATTGTTGAAGAAAAGTAAGCGGATCCATATCAGGTACTGATTTTTAAAAGGTAACAAAAAGATGGGTTTTGTTCTTATTCATAGCCATAGTTGTTTTAAACTAATGAAAAAAAAAAAAATTAAAATGAATTGTGTTTTTAACATTCATGGGCTTGTTGTCTGTATTATTAGTGAAAGATGCTAAACATGAAACAGAGGATCTGTAAGTTGAGACCTAACGATTTTTGTATATAGTCTCCATCTTCTAGACGAAGTACAGGACAATAAAGTGTGACATTGCAAAAAATATTATAATCCTTTTGTATTTCCAGTCCAAACTATAAAAAACGTTTTCTTCTGATGCAAACAGCGAGGAAATTTTTGCTGACGTCAAAGAAAGTTTATTTGTCATTCATTAATAATTTCCTTTTTTTCTAATTCCAATTTTCATATATCTCTCTGCTTTCTTAAGTCAACTTCATGATCTATCTCTGTATCATACTTCTATGAGGATAAAATTTTCATTCAATCAATAATCAAGATGTTTTTTTTTTTTTTTTTTTTTAACAATAAATTTTTTTTTTAAACCATAGAAAAAAAAAAAAAAAAAAACAGAAAAAAAAAAAAAAAAAAAACAGAAAAAGATACAAACTGTACCACTGATTTATATTGAAAAGACTGGATTAGCTTTCAAGTTACCCCCACCAGCAAGAAAGACAAAATATACAATATACAAATGGAAAATTTACAATTTTATCTATATATTTTCACACAATTAACTACTTATATTTTTACATTTTAAAAAATAAACTATTATATTATTATAGTACGTCTCTGTTAAATAAAATTATTCTTCCGTCCATTATTTGAGATTTAAATCATTAATGGATCCAAATTACATGAACAAAATAGTGTAATTTTTAAAGATACAAGGACAAAATAATTAATTATGTCAAAATATAGGGACAAAATCCCTATTAGTTCATACATTGATGGAGCTAGGGGTGAGGGGTGGCTCCCGCCCCTAACAAAACTTTTTTTATAAAGAATCACCCATAAAATATTGTAACTTCTTTATTTTACCCTCTAAAATAGTAATTTTTTTTAAAATTTCACCCCTTTAACACTTGAATTTTTTTTTTTTAGTTCCCTTAACTTTAATTTATGGCTTCATCACTGAGTTCGTATGTATATAGGGTTAGTCCTGTAATTTACTAATACTTAACGACTTAAATCTGAAATAAAAGGGTAATTTTTTTTAATAATCGAAACTATAAGGATAAAATAGTGTAACTTTTAAAATACGAATACAAAGTAAGTAATTATCAAAATATAGGGATAAAAATGTAATTTTCTCTATACAATATAAATGAAATTTCCACCCAAATCAAGGATAACAGGAATTTGCCACAACCCAAAGAGGTGTTTTCTTGCGAATCGCAAATGAAACAACTTCGCTCATATCCAAATCTTCTCTTCTTCCTCCATCAGGCAGCTCCCAATCAAACCAATACAGCAAATTAGCTATTGCATATTCAACTTCTGCATATGCATATGCCAATCCAGGGCAAACCCTTCTTCCACTTCCAAATGAAAATAACAGCTTTCTGTGTTCTTGATCAGAATCATCTGAAATATTAAGAAATCTATCTTGCAAAAACTCCTCAGGCCTATCCCACAATGTCGGGTCCCTTTGAATCGCCCACAAGTTAATTGGTACTCTTGTTTTTTCTGGGATGTCATAACCTTTAAGTTTAATTGCCGATGTTTGTCGAGGTATTATTGCAGATCCATGAAACCATACTGTCTCTTTCATTATGCACTTTAAATATTCCATTTGACTTATATCTTTGTCGAGGTATTATTGCAGATCCATGAAACCATACTGTCTCTTTCATTATGCACTTTAAATATTCCATTTGACTTATATCATACTCAGTTATCTTTGATTTGGAGTTTCCAACTACTCTTCTTATCTCTTCTTGAGCTTTCCTCATTATTCTTGGATTCTTCACCAGCTCCGCCATCATAAACTCCATTGTTGCTGCTGTTGAGTCTATTCCTCCTACAAACATGTCCTATACTGATTGAACACCAAACCTAATGTTACTATACCATGATGTAAATTAATACAATAATAACAACTACTACACCTTAATCACAAACTAGTTGGGTCATTACCAAAATGTAATATATTATATATATATATATATTATATTTATACTATATATAGAGAGAGAGAGAGAGAGAGAGAGAGAGAGAGAGAGAGAGAGAGAGAGAGAAGGAAAAGATAGACTAGATACAAGAAGTATTGCTTTCAGGTTGTCTTTAGAGAGATCAAGCTTGAGCGCCTCCTTCCGAAGATAAAGAAGAATGTCTACTAAGTACTTCTGATCTTCAGCTTTCTCATTACTGTTCATTAACGCCTCGCGTTCTTGGATCACTCGATCAAAGAACTCGTTTAATTCTTCTGTAATCGTTTTCAAGTTTCTAGTTAATCCAGTAAGATGATCAATCCATCCCAAGTAGGGAAACAAATCTGTAAAACAGAAAGCTGATAAAAGATCCAGTGTTTTTCTTGCTAATTCGCCGAAACTCTTATAATTACCGTTTTGATTTTCATATAGGGAACCAAAGGCTGATTTGATAATATATTATGAGAAAGACTCCTAACATGTCACTTATATTAATAGGAGCTCCATTCACACTTAAAAGGCGCATCTTTTCAACTATTTTCCCAACTTCTTCCTCTCTTATGAATTGAAACTGTCGAACTCTTTTGTGGCTCAAAAGCTGAAGAACACAGAGCTGCTTTGCATCCCTTTTGAATGGTCGCAGTAAGGACCAAATGCCATGTCAAGGCATCATTCAACACAACATACTTGCACCAGTTGAAGAAGGCCTATCTGCAAAAAGAATATCATGATTTTTGGTAATTTCTTTGGCGATTTCTACAGAAGAAACCACAAGAGCAGGAACTTGGCCTAAGCGAAGAAACATTAAATTTCTACAGAAGAAACCACAAGAGCAGGAACTTGGCCTAAGCGAAGAAACATTAAGGGGCCATACTTTTCAGAAAGTGTTCTGAAAGATCTGCAAGGGAGTGCACTTATCTGGTGAAGGTTTCCAATTATGGGTAATTTTGGTGGAGACGGTGGTAAAATTTAGTTGGTAATTATTTTTTCTGGGTTTAAATAATAGCAGAATAGAAAAGAATATAACGAAACAGAAGAAAAAGGGATTGATTAGAGATGTTTTTCCTGGTTCTTGCCACCATTAATTGTTGAAGAGAAGTAAGAGGATCCATTATTTCAGGTACCGATTTTTTAGATACTATATAACACAGGGAACAAGGACAGAAAATCACACGTATATAATATAACAACAATGTTTGACATTGCCAAAACATATTATAAAACTGCAGGATTCCAACGATGAATCACGTTATGTGAGATTTTGCTACTTTAATTAAAATTGAAGGCGCAGCCCAAAACATATTATTAATTAACTTTTCATATTCTATATTTATTGGAAGATGCTAAAGGTAAAACGGAGGTTCTGTAAGATGAGGTCTAAATTTCAGTTACATCCACATCTTCGAAGCGTAAGAAAGGGGAGAAAAAAAAAAAGTCTTCTTCATTTTCATATATATTCTACGTCTTTTAGGCAATTTTTTTTTAAAATAGATGGTGATTATAAGCAAACAAACATAATAAAAAGGGCTGAACATATCATAATACCTTAAATTTTATAGATTTTTGCAATTTCACACTCTATTTTGATATCCAATTTTGGCCTTTTCTAGGAAAACAGTACCATCAATTTCTATTAAGGGTGAAATTGCAAATAAATAAATATCACACATTGTAAATAATTTCACTGAATTATTATTTTTATGTATTTCCCCATTAATTTAAATTTCTGAATTTACCCTCTAGGTATGAGAGGACCCTAGACATGATAGGATTTAAAAATAATACACTGATCGTTTAGGGTTTAGATATTAAGAGCTCATTTGGAACAAACGAATTCCATAAAATTTTATGGAATTCTTTTGGACATCCAAAATGTTGTTTTTTCAATAAAAAAATACAGATTTAAATTCTACGAATTGAATTTCATAGAATTAGATATGTCTAACTCAAACCCTACTAAAATACAGATTTAATATTCTTAATAATTTTTTTAGTTTCCAAATTAATTACTTGAATGAAAAATTTTTTTTACATCAATTAAAAATAATTATCATGATAAATGTTACTACTTATATAATTAATTAATTAGCATGTAATATTAGTATACTTATTTATATAAAATTTATTATTTACATTTTAATAAAAAATGACAAGCTTTTATATTGTACATAATAAATATAATTGATGTTTATTATTTATTTTTATTAAATTATTATGTCAAGGGTGTTATAAGAAATAAAGACAAATGAATTTTCATGAAGAATGTATTTCAAATATAATTTTATGGAATTCAATTGAATCATTTATTTTAAATTATAGTATATCAAACATGACAAATTTATTTGTAAATGAATTTTACAACTATGATCCATTTGTTCCGAACGGACCATAAAGTTTTATGGTTTAGAACTTAAGGTGTTTTATTTAGGATTTAAAGGTTAGTGTAATTTAATTATTTTTAATTTTAATATAAAAGATATTTGCTCCTTTTTCCAAACAGTCGTTTTTTCACTTAAAGAAGATGCAATTACGCTTTTATTCTTTCCATTATAATACGTCTAATTTCAAACCCAAACGTACTATGTCTCCCTCTAATTTATAATTAGACCCCACTTCAGACTTTTCCACATTAGATTTACCATAGTGATTCAGCGCGATTCGTTCCATCTAAACTGTCCAAAAAAAAAATAATAATAATTGCCGAAGCATGAGAATGTCAAAGAAAAGTTTCCTTGTCACACATTAATGAGAAGAAAACTTTCCTTCTTTTCTAATTCCAATTTGACTCTCATCTGGCTGCTTTCTGAAGTCAAGTCAGGATCAAATCAGTATGATAATTGATAAATCTACTGGGATCAACAACTGAAATGAATATTATTATTCTTAACCACATAAAAGAAAAAAATACAGACAAACAAATTATACTGAAAATGAAACACATTCCTTATTTGGACCGGTCTGAATCCGATTTCTAGTTACCCAACATCAGGTCTGATTCCGATTTCTCTAGTTAACCAACGATTCAAAGAAAGACAAAACATAGTTACATAAAAGAATCCGATTTCTAGTTACCCAACATCAAGAAAGACAAAACATAGTACATAAAAATGAAGTTTCCCACCCAAATCAAGGACAATAGGGCTTTGCCACAACCCACAGAGGTGTTTTCAAGTGAATAACAAATGAATAGAGCTCGCTCATATCCAAATCCTCTCCTCTTGCTCCATCAGGCCGCTTCCAATCAAACCAATACAGCAAATTAGCTATTACGTATTCAAGTTCTGCATACGCAAATGTCATTCCAGGGCAAGCCCTTCTTCCAGTTCCAAATGTAAGCAACAGCTTTCTATGTTCGTCGTTAGAATCATCTGAAGTTTTAAGAAACCTCTCTGGCAAAAACTCCTCTGGCCTATCCCACAACGTCGGGTCCCTTTGAATTGCCCACATATTAACAAATACTCTTGTTTTTGCTGGAATGTCATAACCTTTGAGTTTAACATCTGCTGACGTTTGTCGAGGTAGTATTGCAGATCCATGGAACCTTATTGTCTCTTTGGTTACACACTTTAAATATTCCATTTGACTTATATCAGACTCAGTTATCTTTGACTTGGAGGCTCCAACTACTCTTCTTACCTCTTCTTGAGCTTTCTTCATTATTCTTGGATTCCTCACCAGTTCCACCATTATAAATTCCATCATTCCTGCTGTTGCTTCTATTGCTCCTACGTACATGTCCTGTATAGTTCATTGAATACCAAAAGTAGTGTTACCTTACCATAATGTAAATACAATAACATCAATAACTATCTCTTAATCCCAAACTTGCTGGGTTAGCTACGACAATGTAAATAATTTTTTTTTAGAAAAAAAAAAATTAAAGAGTAAAAGGAGAGACTAGCTACCAGAAGAATTGCTTTAAGATTGTCCTTAGACAGATCAAGCTCACGCCCCTCCTTCCGAAGATAAAGAAGAATATCTACCAAGTATTTCTGATCTTCAGCTTTCTCATTATCATTCATTAATGCCTCGCGTTCTTCGATCACTCGATCGAAGAAATCGTTTAAGTCTCGCGTAAGCATTTTCAGGTTTCTAACTAATCCAGTAAGGTGATCAATCCATCCCAAGTAGGGAAACAAATCTTTAAAGCAGAAAGCTGATAAAAGATCCAATGTCTTTCTTGCCATTATGTCGAAACTCTTATGCTTATCATTTTGATCTTCATACAGGGAACCAAAGGCTGATTTTGATAATATATTATGAGCAAGACTCATAAGCATGTCAGTCATATTAATCGGAGCTTCATTAACGCTTAAAGTGCGAATCTTTTCAACTATTTTCTCAACCTCTTCCTCTCTTACAAATTGAAACTGTCGAACTCTTTTGTTACTCAAAAGTTGAATAACACAAAGCTTCTTTGCATCCCTTGAGTGGTCACTGTAAGGGCCAAATGCCATGTCAGGGCTTCCATTCAACACGATATCTACACCGGTCAAAGTAGGCCTATCTGAAAAAATAATATCATGATTTTTGGTAATTTCTTTAAGCATTTCTAAAGAAGAAACCACAAGAGTAGGAACTTGGCCTAAGCGAAGAAACATTAATGGGCCATACTTTTCAGAAAGGGATCTGAAACATCTGTGAGGAAGTGCAGTCATCTGGTGAAGGTTTCCAATTATGGGTAATGTTGGTGGAGACGGTGGTAGATTTAGTTTGTGAGCATTTCTTTTGTGTTTAAATAAAAGCAGAAAAGAGAGGACTAGAACAAAACAGAACAAAAAGAGATTGAATAGAGATATTTTCTCTGGTTCATGCCACCACAGTTGAAGAAAGGTAAGGGAATCCATTTCAGGCACTGATTTTTAGATACTAATGTAGGGACAGAGGCAGAGTTTTTTTGGTATTGATAGCAACAGTACGAGCGCATTACAGATATATATAACAATAACGTTTCACATTCCCAAAAGTATATTTTACTCCATCGAATAAAAATGAAATATTTTTTATTCTAAATGTAAAAATTTTAAATTTTTTAGATAAATTCTAAACTTTTGAACAGAATTCATTTATTTTAAGTAATAATTTATATTTTTATATCACTGTCGACTATGCTTACGAAAAATTATTTATATTGAATATGGATCCATCAACTTGCCTAGGTCATCTTCTTCCTATTCATTCACCAAACATGGGCTAGCTTGGCAAACGCAATAAATAGTGGATCAGAGATTTTGCTAATTTAATTAAAATCGGAGGCGCAGCCATATTTTTTTAAGTATTTTCTTTACCAATTCTATTCTTATTGGAAGATTCTAAACATAAAACGGAGATCCTGTGAGACAGCTACAAAAATTATCTACATCTTCAAAGCTAAAAAGGGGTGAAAAAAAAGTCTTCGCCATTTTTATATATATTCTCGGTCTTTTAAGTAAGTTTTTCTTTTTTAAAAAAAAAAACGGAGGTTACAAGCAAACAAACAAAATAAAAAGGGTTAGATTGTGTTCACTCATGGAAAATTGAAGTAGTTTTTCAAGAAAATTGAAAAATATGGTTTTATGTTTAAATCATTCAATTTTTTATTTGGAAAACTAGAAAACAGATTTTCAGTTTTCCAAAATTTAACTAAAATTTAGAAAACAATCTTAAATTGTTTTCCACAGTTTTCCTTTACAACAAAAGACATGTTTTTAACTATTTTTCATTTTTATAAAATGACATTTTCATAACTATAAAATATTTTTATTGATTAAATAAAAATATTTAAATAACATAAAAAAAATATTATGCTTTAATATATAATTAATTTTATCATTACAAATATATTATATTCTTTATTTTCAAAAAATTTTAAATTGATATTATTATTATAAATAATCGATAATAAAAATTAAAAATTTTTTAAAAAAAATTATAAATAATCGATAATAAAAATTAAAATTTTTTAAAAAAATTTAAATTTTAAAGTTACTTTATAATATTTTATTTTAATTATGAAAGTTATGAATAATGTTTATGAAGTTTTTAAATTAAAATATAATTTTTTATTGTTACTAAGTGTCACGACCCGTTTCCATGGGCCGGACCGCATTAGGGCCCAGATAAGCTTAAGGCCCCCAACACTAGTAGTAAGCTTGAATCACTAAAATTCAACTATCTTAATATGAATTTCTGCCATTCAGTCCATATTACCATACTCAATAAACCTCATAATTATATTATATTTCTACCCCAAATTCAACATTTTACACATTTCATAGTCCGTGCCCAATTTATAATACATTAGATTTATAATATGGGCTCATAAAACCATTTCACCTATGTTAATACACAATTAGAGGTACATAAAACCTACAACTGCGGAGTTTACTAACAGATAAATACCAATAAGTCCTCGTACATATAACTAATTAATGAATTAATTTCTGAAATTAGAAAGTTCTTTCCTAGCTCTGTGGTGAAAGGAACAGAGCTTTAACCAGGATATAGAAGAATCTACTTCCTGAAAGTTTAAACAAGAGAGATGTGAGTTTATTAATGAATAATAATTATTGCATAACACATGCATTCACTTATTAATGAATAATAATTATTGCATAACACATGCATTCACACGAATATGTAAATATATCAATCTAGTCATCCGACTAGATATATGAGCATGCAGGCAATCACGCAAATGGCACAATAATAGCAATCACAATTATTAACACCTTCACATAATCACATCATGTGGAAATTGGTTTGTGGCGTCACCGAAACTCCTGATGAGCCATCCTCCCACATAACCCATCCTCTATTGACGTGTGCACCAGGGAGCCGATCCCCCATACATGGTCGACCGGTCTGATCCTCACTTGACCAGCCCTCTCATTTCTTTTATACTCTCTTTTCTTTTCCATACCAACAGGAGGCCACCCTGTAGTTTTCCAAATCATCCATATCATATAATCAAGTATCACCCATATCATATCATCAGGTGCACACGGGGGCGCCGATCTTCCCATTCCTGGCCGAAATTCCATATTTTCATCATTTCCAAGACCATCCTCATAAACTCATGGTGACCCAATTCATCCCGATTCCACCCAAACAAAGCATAGCAATGCCACAACACAAATAATCAAATATTGTAATTACATGCAAGCATATCAAGTAATTAAATATCATAATGCAGGTGCACTACACATTCATATTTCAAATACAGATAATTACAGAGTATTTAATTACAATATTAATATAGTAATTGATTTTAAGCATTAACAATATAATATAGTAATTGATTTTAAGAAAATAAATAAATAAATAATAATGATAAGAATAAATAACTAATAAAAATAAAAATAAAACTTTATATATCAAGTTAAAGAATTAATCTAAATAAACCTATTAACTTAATTATTAAATATGACTAACCTAGATTCTATCGAAATTTCGACAAAACCTTCCCTGAAAATCGGATTAATCCGCGATTTAATAGCAAATTCTCAAAGCTCATCAATAGGGCAAGTCGCAACAACTAAACCCATCTGCCATAACCATATTCATCTATCATTCATCTCACACACACATATATGCACTTAATAATTCCAAACCAATTAATTAACAAATTATATCAACCTCCGAGCATGTTCTAATGATATTATTAATTGTTTTATAACTAATTACCAAATAACTAAATAATTTATAAATAAAATAGATTTCGACGAGTTAAATACAGCTACTCTCACTTGATAATTTCTAGATTTTTAATCATTAAGAAACTTTTCATTACGCCTTTACTTCTTCATCCTTACTTCAGGTATAAACCTTATTTACTTAAAAATTCTATGCTAGCTGCCAAGAACCAATCTCATTAAAGCTTCCACCCCTTAGAAATCCTAAATACTAACTTAAACTCATAGCCTAACATATATAATATCTATATCTTACTTGTCTAAGCCGTAGATTATAACTCTCCCTAACATTATTTATTAAAATTCCTAAGTTAACTAAACATAATTATTAGCTAAGAATTCTCATTTCAACATCAATCTTCTAATTATAATTAACATTCATGAAACATATTTAGCAATATTCAAAATTAATTTGCAGCTTATAATATGCCACTAACTAAATCCCAGCAAGAATTGTATCTAACTAATTATTTATTCAAATTCAATTTAATCAACTATTAATTTTAAAATTTGAAATTTATAATAAAATTAGAAAAATAGGACTCAGGACGTACCGATCGAAATTCGGGGATGATGCCAGACTCCAAGAGAGGAAGAATCTGTCTCATGGTGCCTCACCAGAGGCTCGCGGCCGATCGCCATACTGCCGTCGCAGCCGCCGTCCACGGTGGCCGTAAAAACGTGACTGCTCAGAATCAGGAGCTCTTCACACCATCTGGCTCGGTTTTCTGTCAGGAGTCCATTTTTGGTGTTAGTTGCGCGGGATCAGCCTTCTTTCGACCGGAGCGGGCTCGACAGGAGCCAAGTGCCACTGTTGATGTCGTCGTTGACCGTCGAAAAGGGACTGTAGCTCGCCTACCTTGCAGCTCTCGCCGGAGTCGCGAGCGAGCAGAGGATCGACGTTGAGCAGTGGCTGGAGGCTGGTGGCGCAGCTGCGATTCGCTTGAATGGAAACAGAGGGAGGAGGGGCTGACTGGGGACGGCAGAGAGAAGGCGGCGCAATGAACTTCATCCCACTCGTCTCCGGTGATCGGAAAAACAAGAGAAAGAAGGAGAGGAGGAGGTTGGCGACGGGACTGTCGCTGTACCCAGAAAGAAGAAGAAAGAAAGAAGAAGAAGAGGAAAGAAAGAAAGAAAAAAAAAATCTGGGCTTCTAAACTATTCCGGTTCAATTCGAACCGGTTTAGTCCAACTCAATGATTTGATTCAATTTTTGTTTGGGTTATGAGTTTTTCTCTGGGTCTTAAAAAAATCCAAACTGGTTTACTGGTCTGGTTTAACAGTAATAAAATATTTTCCGCTGAATTTCATTAGTTGGAATAAAAATTTAGTTTTTAAATGAAAATTCTACGAAATTGAATTTTCGGGTCATTTCAATGAATTCTCGAAATTGGAAATTTTCGGGTCATTTCGTAATAAAATATTTTCCGCTGAATTTCATTAGTTGGAATAAAAATTTAGTTTTTAAATGAAAATTCTACGAAATTGAATTTTCGGGTCATTTCACTAAGTGAACGTATTTTTCATTTTCTGCTTTCTAATTTTCATTTTATAAGAAAACTGTTTTCTGTAGGTAAACACACCTTTAACATGTGATAATACCTTGAATTTTTTAGGTTTTTACAATTTTATTCTATTTTTTTACTTCAATTTCAATATTTTCTAGCAATAGCACACTCATTACAATTAATGAAATTACAATCAATTACAATTAATGAAATTACAAATAAGTAAGCATTTTCAATATTTTTAAAACAAATATAATTTCATTAGTCTTATCCAATTAATATTGCAAAGATTAAATTTTGATTTTTAAATAAAAGTGATAATTAATAATTTAGTAACGTAAATTTTTGTTACTTAACAAAAAAAATCAAAACATGCATAAAAATTAATTTAATGAAACATAATCTTTTTAATTACTTATTTGCTTTTGTATTATCTATATTTTAAGGAGAAAAAAGAAATTCTAATTATTGTAATTTTTGGATTGATAACATAATATAGTCAAATTACTAATTTATTATTTTTATGTCTTGTCCTATTAATTTAATTTTCTAAATTCGCCCTCTCACTGTGACATTGTAAAATATATTATAAAAGAAAAATATAAATGACAGAACTTTTGACATTATAGGATGTAATTAAAAATAATAAAACTGCGGTTTAGGTTTTAAATATTAAAGTTTTATGGTTCAGAATTTAAGGCATTGTATTTTAGGATCTACAAGTTTGTGTAATTTTATTATTTTTAATTTTATTCTGTTTTACAAGAGTAAAAGAAAAAAAAAAATTGTCAAAGCACGACAACGTCAAAGAACAGTTTCCTAATCTCATCTGGCTGCTTTCCAAAGTCAACTCCAGGATCAAATCAGTTTTATCATTGGCTGAATATATAAAATAATTCTTTGAATTTTTATGAAAAAGTCTTGTGATCCTCTAAAGTAGCAGATTTGTTACCATTGTACCCCTATAACAAAGTGACCCTGAAAGTAGAGGAGGTCAAAGTCCTTTCGATGAAAAAAAAGATTAAGATGATTTTATGTATTCCGCTTATTATTATTATTATTCTAACAACAATTGCGATGAATATTATTATTTTTAACCACATAAAAGAAAATAAAACTGACAAACTGATTATACTGAAAACGAAAAACATTTCTTATTTGGACCGGACTGAATCCGATTTCTAGTTACCCAACATCAAGGAAGAGAAAAACAGTACAAACAAATGCAGTTTCCCACCCAAATCAAGGACAATAGGAATTTGCCACAACCCACAGAGGTGTTTTCTTGTGAATAACAAATGAATAAAGCTCGCTCATATCCAAATCCTCTGCTCTTGCTTCATCAGGCATCTCCCAATCAAACCAATACAGCAAATTAGCTATTACATATTCAAGTTCTGCGAATGCAAATGTCATTCCAGGACAAGACCTTCTTCCAGTTCCAAATGAAAGTAACAGCTTTTTATGTTCTTCATTAGAACCATCTGAACTTTTAAGAAATCTCTCTGGCAAAAACTCCTCTGGCCTATCCCACAACGTTGGGTCCATTTGAATTGCCCACAAATTAATAAATACTCTTGTTTTTGCTGGAATGTCATAACCTTTGAGCTTAACATTTGCTGACGTTTGTCGAGGTATTATCAGAGATCCATGCAACCTTACTGTCTCTTTCATTACACACTTCAAATATTCCATTTGATTTACATCGGACTCAGTAAGCATTGATTTGGACTTTCCAACTACTCTTCTTACCTCTTCTTGAGCTTTCTTCATTATTCTTGGATTCTTCACCAGCTCCGCCATCATAAATTCCATCATTCCTGCTGTTGCTTCTATTGCTCCTACATACATGTCCTGTATAATTCATTGAACACCAAACCCAATGTTGTCTTACCATAATGTAAATACAATAACAGTAACTATCTCTTAACCCCAAACTAGTTAATGTAGTTACCAAAATGTAAATAATGAAAAAAAAAAAATGAAAAAAATAAAAATAAATAAAAAGCAAAGGAGAGACTAGCTACCAGAAGTATTGCTTTGATATTGTCTTTAGAGATATCAAGCTCGCGCCCCTCCTTCCGAAGATAAAGAAGAATATCTACTAAGTACTTCTGATCTTCAGCTTTCTCATTATCGTTCATTAATGCCTCGCGTTCTTCGATCACTCGATCAAAGAACTCGTTTAAGTCTCGTGTAAGCGTTTTCAAGTTTCTAACTAATCCAGTAAGATGATCAATCCATCCCAAGAAGGGAAACAAATCTTTAAAGCAGAAAGCTGATAAAAGATCCAATGTCTTTCTTGCCATTTTGTCGAAACTCTTATTCTTACCATTTTGATTTTCATATGCGGAACCAAAGGCTGATTTTGATAATATATTATGTGCAAGACTCATAAGCACGTCAGTCATATTAATTGGAGCTCCATTAACGCTTAAAGTGCGAATCTTTTCAACTATTTTCTCAACTTCTTCCTCTCTTATAAATTGAAACTGTCGAACTCTTTTGTTGCTCAAAAGTTGAACAACACAAAGCTTCTTTGCATCCCTTGAGTAGTCGCTGTAAGGGCCAAGTGCCATGTCAGGGCTTCCATTCAACACGATACCTACACCAGTCAAAGTAGGCCTATCTGCAAAAATAATATCATGGTTTTTGGTAATTTCTTTAACCAGTTCTAAAGAAGAAACCACAAGAGTAGGAACTTGGCCTAAGCGAAGAAACATTAAAGGACCATACTTTTCAGAAAGGGTTCTGAAAGTTCTGTGAGGAAGTGCACTCATCTGGTGAAGGTTTCCAATTATGGGTAATGTTGGTGGAGACGGTGGTAGGTTTAGTTTGTGAGTATTTCTTTTATGTTTAAATAAAAGCAGAAAAGAAAGGACTAAAACAAAACAGAATAAAAAGGGATTGAACAGAGATATCTTTCCTGGTTCTTGCGACCACAGTTGAAGAAAAGTAAGAGTATCCATTGCAGGTACTGATTTTTCAGATACTAATGTAGGGACAAACGCAGAGTTGTTTTGGTATTTATCGCAGAAGTCCGAACGCGTCACAGATATATAACAATAAAGTTTGACGCTGTCAAATCATCATAGTAAATTGTAAAACTGAAGAATTCCTCATCTGCGTGAGATTTTTCTAATTTAACTAAAATTTACAATTGGAGGCGCATCCCAAGTTTGACATTGTACGAACACATCACACACAGAGGCGATGAATATCGAGTTGTTATATGGTGAAATCGAGTTCCGTGCAAGATTACATAAAATGGAAGTCAATAGTAAATAAATAATTATAATATCTACTTTAAAAATAACTATCAATTACATATATAAATATTTTTTTTTTGAAATATGTTTTTTTGTCAGCACAATTTACTTTATTAATTAAAAAATTCAAGAAAAAATTTTACTACACGTATTACACAACATTAACTCTTTCTTAATTTGAAAAGAGATGAAGAAAAATATTAAAAAAAGAAAAACAATAAAAGAAAATAATAAGAAATTATCAAATTTATTAAAAAATTATTATTATTGAAAATTAACAATTGTTTCATCACTTAAATAATTGGGTACTTAAGAAATAGTTAAAATTTGTTAATAATTGAGGCATTTAGGTAATTTAATAAAAATGAGTCAAATTTCAACTTTCCTTCATTATTTCCAAAATAAGTGAAATATTACTGACATTTATATTTTGCTTCTAAAGCAAGAGTAATGTGAAATACTCTCGTCCAAATAAAGGGTAAAAGAAAAATATATAATGTGAAATGACGAAATTATATATATATTCTTAACGAGATTAGGATTTTCAATTATGGGTTTTACTCCTTTTTATATGTGGTAAGAATATACGTAGCGTTTTATGATAATATTACCCGCAAATATTTTTACCCATAAATATTTCCTTTTGAGTTTTGGAAAAGAGATTTAAATTTAAATTTATAACCGGGGCGTATATGCACTTATTACTGGATTGTGCTTTGGCGTGCCACAAATATTTCCTTTTGTTGTCCTTTTTTATTTTTCCACTTCCTAAAACATTAATAACTTGTTCAAGATTTATGTATAGAGATGCAATAAGAATCATTTGAAAACGAATTAGTATTTGACATTGTTAAAACATATTATAAAACCATAGATTTCAACGGATAGGATCATCTGACGTGAGATTTTGCTAGTTTATTTAAAATTTACTTGTGGCGGTCAAGTTCCGCTGTCTTCTACCTGCTATTGGAAACGCAACCCAAGTTTTCAGCTCTTCTATCTCTTTCTAGTTTTTATTTATTCTGAGAAAGTTCTTTTCGGTTCAAGCAAACGAAAAAGCTTTTCCAACAATTAATTAACAATATAAAAATTGGACTATTTGACTCTTTTTTTTTAATAACGAAGATAGGGAATAAAAAAAAATTACTTATTAATTGTATTGGTGAATAGAATGGAAGGAAAATTTTTACAAATGTATTTGGAATTTCAGAAAATACAAGTGTTGTAAGCAATAATGGAAATATGAAATTTTTGTTATCCGGAGGATCTTACCTGAATACTATCTTATCCCATACTATTTCATCCCACACATGAAAACATGTATTCAAGCCAAAAAAAAAAAAAAATCTTAAAAAGGAATCTCTTAATTAAAATAGAAATATTAATATATACTTCAACCTTTTGTATTTTTTTTTATGTACATTGTATAATTATTGCTTATGGAGTCTTTACAAGTCATACAGTACAACTTTAATTTTTAATTTATTATAAAAGCTAAAAAAAGACAAAAAAAAAAAAAAATCTTAATTAAATAGAAATATAAATATATTACTTCACCTTTTGTATTTTTTTTTATTTACATTTATAATTATGCTTATAAGTTACAAGTCATACACGTACAAATTTAATTTATTAATTATTATAAAAGCTAAAAAAAAATTTTCCATTCAGCAATAAGATGGTATTATGAATTAGTTTTCATTCACAGTTTCTCAATTAATTAGTGGAATGTCAATTAATTAATGTTTGCTTGAGAAATTATTGCAGAGCTATCTTTCATAAGGCACTTTAAATGTTCTATTTGACTTATATGTATCAGCCTCATTCACCTTTGATTTGGAGTTTCTAATCAGCTGGTTTCAATTATTCTTGGATTTTTCACTAGTTCTAGCTCTAGCTCTGGCATTTGGATTTATCCGTTTTATTTATAGATGGAATATAAAATTACAGTAAAAAACAATTGATCCGAGAGAGTTTGCTTTGCAGAAAATCAAACTCATGACCTAAATTATAGTGATCAATCTTACAAGTATTCTTTACCTTTGAACTATTTTGTTCGGATTATGAATAGGAATTTATTAACAGCTAAATATGTTAATAATTTTTAATATTTTATTTTTTATGTTGATGTTTACCGGTCAGTGTAAAACGGATTTGTGTTTACTTTTCTTCTCTTGGTCAGAATTCAAAAACTTAATGCCAAGGTGAAAGGGACACAAATCATATAAAACTAGCTATAGATATAATGTTTCTTACTTCGGTTTGAATTGCAAAAACTTGACAAAAAAGGTGAGAGGACCAGAAATGAAAGAGACAAGAATATAAATAAAAGAAAAAAAGTATGAAATATATAGAAACTGCTTAGATAATCAATTCAATTAATTTAAAAAAAAAACAACAATTTGACTGACTTCTTAACGTCTGTGATTAAGTTGATTATGTCATGGGATATAATTTAGAAATATAAAAATATTTCATTTAATTTATTTCATAATAAATCATATCCTCGCTTGTGGACCAAATCAATGAAAGTAAGAAAAGTTGTGTTCTGACTTTATCCTTTTTTTTTTTTAATATTAGTCAAAAATATTCTGATTTCAATAAAAATTCTTAACTTTATTAGTTTGGTTTATAAATGTATTATGAAATCAGTTTAAATAAAATTTTTCCTTATCTAACCGACAATGTTTTCCTCTCTATCCATCTCTCTCTTCTTTTCCCTCTTCCCTTCATTTTCTCATTAAACAAACAGCAGGTTAGGTCATTGCATGTCCACAGTAAAAACAAAAAGTTTCATCGTCGTCCATTGACGAGGAAAGTTTTGTTTCCTGTCTAATTCCAAGTTGAACTTAGCGTGTCGTCCACAATTAACTCCATCAAATTCGTTATGACAAGTTGATTAGGATAAATTTTTCATTCAGCCAATGACTAAGATGCATATTTTTAACCACAAAAAAAGAAAATAAAAAGGAAATTCTGAATCACTAATTTCTGCACAGGACGGGATCAGATTTCAAGTTCCCCAACATCAAGAAACACAACATACAGTGCCTACGAATGCAATTCCCCATCCGAATCAAGGAGAATAAGAATGTGCCACAACCCAAAGAGGTGTTTTCTTGCGAATAGCAAATGTACAAATTTCGCTCATATCCAGATCCTCTCCTCTTGCTCCATTAGGCAACTTCCAATCAAACCAATACAGCAAATTAGCTATTGCGTATTCAATTTCTGCATATGCATATGCCATTCCAGGGCAAACCCTTCTTCCAGTTCCAAATGAAAATAACAGTTTCTTGTGTTCTTCTTTAGAGTCATCTGAACTATTAAGAAATCTCTCTGGCAAAAACTCCTCAGGCCTATCCCACAAGGTCGGGTCCATATGAATTGCCCATGTATTAATTATTACTCTTGTTTTTGCTGGAATGTCATAGCCTTTAAGCTTAACATTTGCGGACGTTTGACGAAGTATTGCTGCAGAGCCATGAAACCTTACTGTCTCTTTCATTACACACTTTAAATATTCCATTTGATTTATATCAGATTCAGTTATCTTTGATTTGGTTTTTCCAACTACTCTTCTTATCTCTTCTTGAGCTTTCTTCATTATTCTTGGATTCTTCACCAGCTCTGCCATCATCCACTCCATTATTGCTGCTGTTGTATCTGATCCTCCGAGAAACATGTCCTGTATTGATTAAACACCAAAATCTAATGGTATCTTACCACAAATATAAATAAATTTATAAAACATATATACAAGGGGAAGAGAGACTAGCTACCAGAAGTATTGCTTTAAGGTTGTCTTTAGAGAGATCAAGCTTGAGCCCCTCGTTTCGAAGATAAAGAAGAATATCTACTAGGTACTTCTTATCTATAGCTTTCTCATTATCATTCATCAATGCCTCGCGTTCTTTGATCACTCCATCAAAGAACTCGTTTAATTCTTCTGTAACCATTTTCAGGTTTCTAATGGATCCAGTAAGATGATCAATCCATCCCAAGTAGGGAAACAGATCTTTAAAGAAGAAAGTTGATAGAAGATTCGTTGTCTTTCTTGCTAATTCGCCAAAACTCTTATAATTACCATTTTGATTTTCATATAGGGAACCAAAGGCTGATCTTGATAATATATTATGTGCAAGACTGGTAAACATGTCACTTAGATTAATCGGAGCTCCGATATTCACGGTTGAAAGGCGTATCTCTTCAACTATTTTCGCAACTTCTTCTTCTCTTATGAAATGAAACTGTTGAACTCTGTTTTGGCTCAAAAGTTGAAGAACACAAAGCTTCTTTGCATCCCTTGAATAGTCGCTGTATGGGCCAAGTGCCATGTCAGGGCTTCCATTCAACACGATACCTACACCAGTCAAAGTAGGCCTATCTGCAAAAATAATATCATGGTTTTTGGTAATTTCTTTAACCAGTTCTAAAGAAGAAACCACAAGGGTAGGAACTTGTCCTAAGCGAAGAAACATTAATGGGCCATACTTTTCAGAAAGGGATGTAAAAGATTTGAAAGGAAATGCATTTATCTGGTAAAGGTTTCCAATTATGGGTAGTTTTGGTGGAGATGGTGGTAGATTTAGTTTGTAATTATTTCTTTTGGGTTTAAATAAAAGCAGAAACGAAAGGAGTATGACAAAACAGAAGGAGAAGGGATTGAATAGATACGTTTTTCCTGGTTCTTGCCACCATTGTTGAAGAAAAGTTAGCGAATCCATTTTCATTTTTGTAGATATTGATGTAGAGAAAAAGATTTGTTTTTTGTAATCATAGCAAGGTTCTTTAAACCGATAACAATGTATATATATATATATTGTAACCGGCTCTACTGTCTGAATTCTTGTTGAAAGATGCTGAAAATGAAACGGAGAATCTGTCACGTATGACCTAATGTTTTAGTGCCAAAACTTGTCTACGTCTCGAAAGTGGCGAAAGAGAAAAAGACACATCTCCGTTTTTATTACTATTTCATCCCTATATTTTGATAATATTAACTGCTTCATACTTGTACTTTCTAAAATATATAATTTCATCTTTAACTTTTAACTCGTCTAACTCTTTGGTCCTTCAATCTATTTTTTTTTGAGTTTTGTCATTAATTTATATTAAAAAGACAAAAACACCATTGGTTAAGTCTCATAGCAATGGATGACTTGACACCAAAATAAAGTCATACAATTTTTTTCTGAAAAATGCTGATAAAAAAAATTATCTGAAAAATCATGATAATATAAAATACATGATGAGTAATATATATATACAATTTTTTTTCTGAAAAATGCTGATAAAAAGAAAATAATATGAAAAATTCATGATAATAAAAATAACCATGTGAGTAAATATATATATATTTATATATACTATATATATTATATATATATTATATATAATAGTAAATATAATTTTAAAAAATATAAATTAAGAGATATGGAAAGTAATCTAAATAAAATTACAAAGAAAACAGAATTAAAGGTAAGACACAAAAAGTTTACTCTCATGTCACAAATTTTGTCTAACGATATTTTTAATATATAATTTTAAAAAATATAAAATTAAGATATGAAAAGTATCTAAATAAAATTAACAAAGAAACAGAATTAAGGTAACAAAAAGTTTACTCTCATTCACAAATTTTGTCTAACGATATTTTAGTCTGTGATAGAAGTGGACATACAATATGTGAAAATTTAAAAAACAAAGACTCTCCATTAAAATTTAAAAAATATACAAGATCTAATAAGAAAAATCTAAAGCACACTAATTCATTATTAAGCGATAAATGCATATACAATCTGACAATAGATTTAATTTCGAATTCTCTTTCTAATACTTAAAAAAAAAATTTAAAAAACAATATATTCTATATTCAGAACATTAAAAAAATAAAATAAACACAACTTTATTATTATTAAAGAGAATATGAATAAGAGAAACTACATTTCTTTCAAAAAAATATTTTATTTTGAAAAATATTTTTCTGCAGTTATTTTATAAAAACAAATGAAGCCAAAATGTATTAACTTTTGCTGATAAATAAATATGAATAATTAGATATCTCTACCTCATCTTTTATTCTCTCTCACTTTTCTCTTTAAATTTTTTCTCTCTTGATCTCTGTCTTCTCCTCTTCTCTATTATTTTCCCTCTCTTTCCTTCATTTTCTCAGTAAAAAATCAGCAGGCTAGATCGTTGCATGTTTACAATACTTAACAAAAAGTTTCCCCATCATCATTTGACTAGGAAAATTTCCTTCCTGTCTAATTCCAAGTTGAACCCCATAGGACTCATTATGACAACTCCATTGGGATGAATTTTTTGTTCAGCCAACAATTGAAATGAATATTTTTAACCACACAGAAAAGAAAAGATTGAACCACCGATTTAAAATAAATTTGTATATTACACAAAGGAAAACTGAACCACTGATTTATACTAAAGAAGACTGAAATATGTTCCTTATTGTTTGGACTAGACTGGATCAGATTTCAAGTTCCTAGCATCAACAAAGACAAAATTAACTACACACAAATGCAATTTCCCACCCAAATCAAGGACAATAGGACACTGCCACAACCCAAAGAGGTGTTTTCTTGCTAATAGCAAATGTACAAATTTCGCTGATATCCAGATCCTCTCCTCTTGCTCCATTAGGGAACGCCCAATCAAGCCAATACAGCAAATTAGCTATTGCATATTCAATTTCTACATATGCATATGCCATTCCAGGGCAAACCCTTCTTCCAGTTCCAAATGAAAATAACAGTTTCTTGTGTTCTTCATTAGAATCATCTGAACTATTAAGAAATCTTTCCGGCAAAAACTCCTCAGGCCAATCCCACAACGTCGGGTCCATATGAATTGCCCATAAATTAATCAGTACTCTTGTTTTTGCTGGAATATCATAGCCTTTAAGCTTAACATTTGCTGATGTCTGTCGAGGTACTACTCCAGATCCATGAAACCTTACTGTCTCTTTCATTCCGCACTTTAAATATTCCATTTGACTTATATCAGACTCAGTTATCTTTGATTTGGAGTTTCCAACTACTCTTCTTATCTCTTCTTGAGCTTTCTTCATTATTCTTGGATTCTTCACTAGCTCTACCATCATAAACTCCATTGTTGCTGCTGATGAGTCTATTCCCGTCATGAATCCTGTATTAAGTAATCAAAAAACATAATGTTAACTTAAGTACCACGATATAAATAAATTAAAAATATATGTATACAATAGGAGAAGAGGGACTAGCAACCAGAAGTATTGCTTTAATGTTGTCTATAGAGAGATCAAGCTCGAGCCCTTCCTTTCGAAGATAAAGAAGAATATCTACTAAGTACTTCTTATCTTCAGCTTTCTCATTATCATTCATTAATGCCTCGCGTTCTTTGATCACTCGATCAAAGAACTCGTTGAGTTCTTCTCTAAGCATCTTCAAGTTTCTAATCAATCCAGTAAGATGATCAATCCAACCTAAGTGGGGAAACAAATCTTTAAGGCAGAAAGCTGATAAAAGATTCATTGTCTTTCTTGCTAATTCACGGGCTTATAGTTACCACTTTGATCTTCGTACAGGGAACCAAAGGCTGACCTTGATAATATATTATGTGCAACACTCATAATCATATCGCTCATATTAATTGGAGATCCATTCACGCTTGAATGGCGTAACTTTTCAACTATTTTCCCAACTTCTTCTCTTCTGAACTGAAACTGGTGCACTCTTTTGTGGCTCAAAAGTTGAAGGACACAAAGCTTCTTTGCTTCCCTTTAGTGGTCACAGTAAGGACCAAATCCCATGTCAAGGCATCCATTGAACACAATACCTACACCAGTGAAAGAAGGCCTATTTGCAAAAATGATATCATGATTTTTGGTAATTTCTTTAACAATTTCTATAGAAGAAACCACAAGAGTAGGAACATGGCCAAACGCAGAAGCACTTAAGGGCCATACTTACTAGAAAGGGATCTGAAGGATTTGTGAGGAAGTGAACTTATCTGGTAAAGGTTTCCAATTATGGGTAACCTTGATAGAGATGGTGGTAGATTTAGTTTGAAACTATCTCTTTTTGTGTTAAATAAAAGCAGAAAAGAAAAGAATGTAATAAAACAGAAGAAAAAGGGATTGAATAGAGATGTTTTTCCTGGTTCTTTCCACCATTGTTGAAGAAAAGTTAGCCAATCCATTTTGGTTTTTTTTTTTTTTCTTGTGCTGTTGCAGACGAGTTTGTTTTCTACATATCGCAAATGGCTATATAAAATGATGACGACAAATAATAATAATAATAATAATTTGTGCTTTTAACATTTTTGTGACCCTTTGTTGTCTGTTTTCTCATTGAAAGATGCTATCCCAACCTGAATCTGATGGATAGATTATACTTTCTTAGATTAGATCTACAGTGATCACCCATAAACTAAAAACCAAATTAATAAAAATAGAAATTTTTAAAAAATTATATCTATTTTATATTTTTTTATTATATATAATTAGAAATATTCTCGTTTTAATAAAAAAATTTTTATTTGATCCGTTGTCATGGGTGAGGCTGTAGATGCAATTGAGACAAGTGGATCCTCTGTAATCTAAATCTAAAATATTATTTTAGTGCCAAAAATCAAAAAAAAAGTTTTCCCACATAAATATTAACAGATAATTAAGATGGATTGGACCTGCAGAATGGCGCATGTGAACCGCGAAGCCAGCATATCGTTTGAAAATAACATAAAAGTATTTCCTTATCGTCAGTCGAGGAAAGGAAAATTTTCCTTCCCGTCTAATTCCAGTTGAACTCAACTCGCTCTCATCCACAATCAACTCCGTCAAACTCATTATGACAAGTCGATTAGCATTAATTTTTCATTCAGGAAACAATTGAGATAAATATTTTTAACCACACAAATGAAAAATATTAAAAACTGAACCGTTGATTTATATTGAAAGAGAAATATATGTTCTTATATATTGTTTGGACTTTGGACTGGACTGTAACAGATTCGAAATTCTCCAACACGGAGAAAGACAAACTAAAGTCCAAATCAAGGAAAATAGGAATGTGCCACAACCCAAAGAGGTGTTTTCTTGCGAATAACAATGGTAATAACTTCGCTCATATCCAAATCTTCTACTCTTGCTCCATCAGGCAACTCCCAGTCAAACCAATACAGCAAATTAGCAATTGCATATTCAACTTCTGCATATGCATATGACATTCCAGGGCAAACCCTTGTTCCAGTTCCAAATGAAAATAACGGATTTTTTTGTTCTCCATCAGAATCATCTGTACTGTCAAGAAATCTCTCTGGCAAAAACTCCTCAGGCCTATCCCACAAAGTGGGATCCATATGAATTGCCCATGTATTAATTATTACTCTTGTTTTTGCTGGAATGTCGTAGCCTTTAAGCTTAACATTTGCTGATGTTTGTCGAGCTATTGCTCCAGAGGCATGAAACCTTAGTGTCTCTTTCATTACACACTTTAAATATTCCATTTGATTTATATCAGATACAGTTATATTTGATTTGGAGTTTCCAACTACCCTTCTTATCTCTTCTTGAGCTTTCTTCATTATTCTTGGATTCTTTATCAACTCTGCCATCATAAACTCCATTGTTGCTGCTGTTGTGTCTACTCCTGCAACGAACATGTCCTGTATTGATAAACACCAAACCTAGTGTTACCTTACCACAAAAATTTAAAAAAAAAAATTGAAAAACTATGTATATATATATATATATATATATATAAGGAGAAGAGAGACTAGCTAGCTACCAAAAGCACTGCTTTAAGGTTGTCTTTAGAAAGATGAAGCTCCTGCTCCTCCTTTCGAAGATAAAGAAGGATATCTATTAAGTAATTCTTATCTTCAACTTTCTCATTATCATTCATCAATGCCTCGCGTTCTTTGATCACTCGATCCAAGAACTCATTTAATTCTTCCGCAATCATTTTCAAGTTTCTAATGAATCCAGTAAGATGGTCAATCCATCCCAAGTAGGGAAACCAATCTTTAAAGCAGAAAGCTGATAAAAGATTCATTGTCTTTCTTGCTAATTCACCAAAACTCTTATACTTACCATTTTGATCTTCATATAGGGAACCAAAGGCTGATCTTGATAATATATTATGCGCAAGACTGGTAAACATGTCACTTAGATTAATCGGAGCTCCATTCACGCGTTGTATCCTTTCAACTATTTTCTCAACTTCTTCTTCTCTTATGAAATGAAACTGTTGTACTCTTTTGTGGCTCAGAAGTTGAAGAACACAAAGCTTCTTTACTTCCCTTGAGTAATCACAGTAAGGGCCAAATGCCATGTCAAGGCATCCATTCAACACAATACCTACACCAGTCAAAGAAGGCCTATCTGCAAAAATAACATCATGATTGTTGGTAATTTCTTTAACCATTTCTACAGAAGAAACCACAAGAGTAGGAACATAGCCTAAGCGCAGAAGCATTAAAGGGCCATAAATATTAGAAAGGGATGTGAAGGATTTGTAAGGAAGTGCACTTATCTGGTGAAGGTTTCCAATTATGGGTAATTTTGGTGGAGATGGTGGTAGATTTAGTTTGTAATAATTCCTTGTTGTTTTAAATAAAAACAGAAAAGAAAACAATATAATAAAACAGAAGAAGATGGGACAGAACAGAGATGTTTTTCCTGGTTCTTGCCACCATTGTTGAAGAAGAGTAAGTGAATCCATTTTTTTTTTTTTTTTACTTTTTTTTTTTTTTTTAGATACCGTGTAGGGAAAACAATGAACTGTGTTTGTGTTCATAGAAAAAAGGGAGCGTGAATCCATTTTTTTTTTTTTTTAGATACCGATGTAGGGAAAACAATGAACTGTGTTTGTGTTCATAGAAAAAGGAGCTTTAAAATGGTGAGAAAAAAAAAAATAACGTTTTTAACTTTGTCACCTGCTCTCTGTATTTTGTTGAATTGAAGATGCTAAACATGAAACAGAGCATCTGTCATACGGGCCTAATATTTTAGTGCCAAAATTCGTCTGCATCTCATAACGGCAAAAGACAAAAGTCTCCTCCATTTTTATATAATATATTCTCCTTCTTCTAAAACAAGGCAATGATATATATAGTGTTGGACCAATCCAGGAGCGTTGAGATCATGTGTTTTGGTATTTTTTTTTAAGTGAGATCGAAAATTTGATCATCATTGATTAAGCAAATACTCACTGAAAACACTATACTATTTTGTGAACAGACCAGTGCGAGAAAGATCTAATTTTAACCTAGTCTTATACAGATACTTGTGCTCAAGAAAAAAAAAATGTTTTGACATTGCCAAAATACATTATAGAACTGTAGAATAGGATACCTACAATCATCTGATTGTAACATTTGTCCAACTAAAGTTGGCACAAGCCATAGGTTTCATCTCTTTCTACCCTCTTGCCACCATTGTTGGAGAGTTTTGTACTGGATTTATTTTTTTCAACACGTATAGTATATTTTGACTGTGGGTAATATTATTGGGGTTAAAAGATAAGATGAGTTTTTCCAATATTCTATAATAAAATACAACATTCTGTAAAAAAAAATTTAAGACATAATGATCTAAAGATAAATATTTTTAAATTTATTGTTAAAGGTAAGTGCAAATAAAATATCCTTTTATTATGATTCCACATAATACATTATTGTTTTGTAAAATGTGGATTCTTTTGTAAAGTGATAATTAAAAAATACGTACTTTTGTTAAGATTACAATTTTATTTTATGAAATGTAATTTTTTTAAAAAGTTCATTAAACTTAGTTAAAATTCGTTAAATTACAAAATAACATGTACTTTTGTTAAAAATTCATAAAAAAACGTTATTGTTTCGTAAAATGTGAAAAAACACGTTCTTTTATTTTAGGTCTGTTTTGTAAAAGTTATCATTTGTTGTATAAAAAGCACTTTTTTATATATATATAAATTTGGGCGACTTAAATAAGAAGGGCTGGGCCTGGTCCTGGGCCTGGGCTTTTAAAAAAACAGGATGTTTTAAACCTTTTATCAGCGAAATTTGCGTTAGGACGAAGCGAAAGTCACCCAAACACAGACACGATACGTGTCCTTAAATAAACGAATAAACTCTATCCTTACATATTTCCCTCTTCTGAGTTTGATTCATCAACGCTGCTTCACCCTATTATCGCAATGACAAAGCTGTCCCTGCCCTGAACTTAACACTTTCGAAAATCATTCTGTCCACATTAAGGACAATATCGTCTTTCGATCCCAATTCCAGCTTCATCTTCCTTATCAATTATCATACCTATCCCTATCGAATTCCCTGTCAACCCTAGAATCGTCGAAAATTCCATCTAGATCCTCGATCGATCAATGGCGACTCTCTCTGCTTACTCCTCGCCTGCATGGCCTAATCCAAACCCTAACGCTACTCTTCTTTCTCCTTCGCAAGAAGACACGGAGAGTCTAGACTCCCAATCCCAATCATATGATTCTCTTTCTTCAATGATGCCTCAAGATCACCTTGCGGATCAGCTTTCGCCTGCGAAACCCAACCCTAATTACCACGCTCCGGTATCTTCGCCACCACCAGACTCCACGTCTCCTCTAGTGCCTGTTTCTTTACTCCACCTCTCTTTCAACCAGGATTTTGGATGTTTCGCGGCGGGTACCGACCATGGGTTCCGCATATACAATTGCGACCCTTTCCGGGAGATCTTCCGCCGGGACTTCGATCGCGGCGGCGGTGGTATCGGAGTTGTCGAAATGCTTTTCCGTTGTAACATTTTGGCTCTCGTTGGTGGTGGTTCCGATCCTCAGTATCCGCCAAACAAAGTCATGATCTGGGACGATCACCAGAGTCGCTGCATCGGAGAGCTGTCGTTCAGGTCTGAGGTTCGATCAGTGAAGCTTAGACGGGATAGAATCATTGTGGTGCTGGAGCAGAAAATTTTTGTGTATAATTTCGCAGATTTGAAACTGTTGCATCAGATTGAGACAATTGCAAATCCCAAAGGACTCTGTGCAGTGTCGCAGGGGGCGGGTTCATTGGTAATGGTTTGTCCAGGATTGCAGAAGGGCCAAGTTAGGGTAGAGCATTATGCGTCCAAACGAACTAAATTTATTATGGCTCATGATTCGAGGATCGCTTGCTTTGCTCTCACGCAGGATGGGCAGTTGCTGGCAACCGCTAGCACGAAAGGAACTCTGGTTCGGATTTTCAACACAGCTGATGGCACCCTGCTCCAAGAGGTAGTGCTTTTTTTTAATTTTTTTTTCTCCTTAGATTTCTTGGTATATGAATTATACTGCTGAACTCAATTGAGTGCATTTAGCTGCTTGTGTTCATTATAAAGTCTTGTTGGGACAATGAAATTGGCCTCAATGGAAGTTTCTAGTAGTTAACTTCGTTGCAGATAACGTGCTGTTAAGGCTATCTAGAGCTGATTAGATAAGACAGAATTAGATATGAACATTGCTTAGAAAGATAGAGTTAGCATATATGTTAGTTTCACAACTAGTAGAGAACCTATCATCTCTGGAATTCTTTGCAACCACAAATATTCTTTGCCATTTAACTTCAATAATCTTGGCAATAGGTATTGGATTTGCATCACACTGTTTTGAATTATCTGGTCTGACATTACGAGAATTTTGCATGGCATTTGTGCCAAAGACATCTGCTAACTGTTACTTTTTAGAATTGCACAGGATTTGTTAGGTTCACTTTTGTAGACATTGATTTTGAATGGTCAGATGCTTCACTAAAATGGCTTTTGAAGGTAGGACTTGGGATAAAACAGGATTTTACTAAGTTTGGTATTATTCCAGGAGATTTAGTGTTCAAACTGGGACAGTTACATTAGAGGATATTTATGCACACAGATGGATTTCTCAGGTTATCTAGGTAGTTGATTAAACTTTGGAAATAACTTTGTGTTCTTATTTGACTGATTGCTTGCTAAATTTAACAAAATTAAATGTGTGTATGGGATCTTGTTTAGGGATTTGAATTAAGTTTTTCCTATGAATAATTTGTAGACGGTCGTGAATTCATGAAATCATTTAACAATTGATAGTCAAGGTCTCAATTTAACGAAATCTGTTATTCTTCCTGCCATCTCACTTGATATGAGTATGAAGGATTTGTTTTACGAGTGTCTTCAGTGTGTACGCCCAAAAATGCAGTTTCGGAAAGAAGAAAGGAGCAAAGTAAAGCTTTACATTGATTATAATGGGGCTTGCGTATGCTAGTTACTTTTTGAATTCACTGCTCAGTAAATCTTTGATTTGACATTGTGAGGTGAAATTTGTTGTCTTTGTTTAATCAAATAGATGAATGAAGTATAAATCTTTAAGGTTTTGGTTCTAATAACAGTTCATATTTATTATTAACTTACAAAAGTATTCTAACAAATCTTTTCATGGTTCAGTGGGTATAATTCTTTTCCTTTTTTTTGGGGGTGGGGGGTGGGGGGTGGGGGTGGGGAGGCAGGGTAGGGAAGGTAGATCCTGATTGATAATTATTAGTTCAAGAAATTTCACCAATTGAATCTAAATGGATGATTACCTACAGGTAAGAAGAGGTGCAGATAGAGCAGAAATTTATAGTTTGGCTTTCTCTTCCACCGCCCAGTGGCTGGCAGTGTCAAGCGACAAGGGCACTGTCCATGTTTTCAGCCTTAAGATTAATCCAGGATCCCCAGGGACTGATAAGTCAGGAAACACAACCGATCCCAACAATGCTGTCACATCCCCAACCTCATCTCTCTCGTTTTTTAAAGGTAAGATTACCATCTTCTACCCAGAGCATGAAATATTTGTAAGTAATGATGTTGCTTTGCACATTCTTGCAATTGAGTTTGTGTGGAATTTCTTGTAACATGCCATCCCTAGCTCCGACCCCCACAAATACAAAGACAAAGCATATTAAATGGCTTTCTGCTTGCAGGTGTTTTGCCCAAGTATTTCAGCTCAGAGTGGTCAGTGGCTCAGTTCCGATTGGTTGAGGGTTCTCATTACATTGTTGCTTTTGGTCACCAAAAGAATACAGTTGTGATTCTTGGCTTGGATGGAAGGTAAGGAAATGATGGCGTTTGTACTTGGTTGGGGGAATTGTGATTTACACTTTACAGTAACTCTCTGGTGCAGTGAATTTAAAAAAAAAAAAAAAAAAAAAAAAAAAAAAAAAAAAAAAAAAAACTTGGCTTGGATGGAAAGGTAAAGAGGAAATGATGGCGTTTGTACTTGGTTGGTGGGAATTGTGAATTTTACACTTTATAACAGTAACTCTCTGGTGCAGTGATATTTAAAAAAAAAAAAAAAAAAAAAAAAAAAAAAAAAAAAAAAAAAAAAAAAAAAAAAAAAAAAAAAAAAATCAGATGTATCAACCAAACTAGTTAGGCCTGTTTGCAAGAATTGATTATTTTCTTACCCCAGCTTTCCCTTTACTTGCTATTTAGGTTATTTTCTCCTGGAGGAAATTTATTATTTATTTGAAATTGGGTGTGATTGCAGCTTCTACCGATGTCAGTTCGACCCAGTGAATGGTGGAGAGATGACTCAACTGGAATATCACAACTTCTTGAAGCCAGAAGCTGCATTCTGAAAGGACGTTCATATTATAAATTTCTTGGGGATACGTGCATATATATATAATGTAATTTTCTGTCCGTTTTTGGTGTTTCCTGAATTAACTTGATCTAGAAATGACTGCATTATGCTGTAAATATGTAACTATCTATCTGTAAAGTACGTCAAAAAGGGAACCCAAAAAAAAGAAAAAAGAAAAAAAAAACAGAGGTGAGCGAATGAGATCATTATCTCTATTTATGTTGTAATTACATTATAATCATAATATTAGACACCCTTAGTTATTCCCATTTCCCAGAATTGAGCTCGAATTGTGTTAGGGGCACAAGGTTTTGCAGACCATCGCCTTCTTGTTTCTTTCTTTATCCTCCTCTTTTCCTTTTTTTTTTTTATATATATATTTTAACTGAGCTCTGGTGCGAACTATTGGGAATAGTAGTAGAGAGCTGTTATGGAGGATGCTGTGGAAATTTAAGAATGGTGGTAGTGCGAGGAGACATTTGGCTTCTAGACTGATTTTCCAGAACTGAAAATCAATCTCAACGACTATAGAAATGAGGAATCAATTTATTTTATGAAATTTTTGATTTAATTAAATATGTAACGACACTAGCAGTGGTCAGAATGAACGAGCAGATTTTGAAAGATGGAACATATGATATGATGTTTGTTCCGTCTTCAAGTGTTGGATATGTTGCTAATTGAAATCATTTTAGTTGTTGGCTTGTTATTATGGTCACCTGTTGTTTTCTGTTTGTTTATTTATGCCTGACATCATGGTATGGCATGGCTTACCTAACTGCTCTCAGCAAATCAGGCGAATATTGCACGTGACTTGTCACAATCGCTTTTTATTGGGTCTTGGGTCTCGGGAGGATCTTGCCGCTTGCCTTCGCTGTAGCCACTTCATCTTTTTTATTTTATTTTTCTATTAAGTATATATTTCTATAACTCTTTTTTTATTTTATTTTTCTATTAAGTATATATTTCTATTATATATAATATATATATATATATATTGTTGAAAATAAATTTAAATTTTACATCACGCAATGGCATATATTGTTGAAAATAAAATTTAAATTTCACATCCTACCAATCAAATACGACTCTGTTTAATACAAGCTCGATTGTGGACTCACTGAGAAGGGGGTTAAGGTAAACGAGTGATTCCAATTTGACGTTTTTTACTTGAAATTCTGTGTAATGTAAGAGATACAAATCTCTAGGCGATTCCATAATTTTAATATGATGCAGTGGGAATTGCAGTTTGACTGCCGCTTCTTCTTTGTTACTAAGATGAATATTTTTTAATTACTTTGACAGTTTTTTGGTTTCATCGCCCATGTGATTCAGAAGTCTAATGGTCAATTATCATCTGTGTTACATCATTTTTCCTTTCTTATTCTTCTCTATTTTATACTACTACTACTACTTAAAATTTCTATTCCACTAACTTTATGCAATCGACATCTTTGATTTCTATTTTCATAATTTTACCGCATTATCCAAACATTCATTTTAATTATAAATAATTAAATGAATGAATTATAAAGTGTTTCTCCAAAATTTTTTGAATTTGTTGGTTATTAACTTGCATTGATTACCCACAAATAATAATAATAATAATATTTTTTTAGAAATATATTACTCCCTCAGTTTCATTTTAATAATAATATTTTATTTTTTCATAAAAATTAAAAAAATAATTATAATATGTTGATTTTCTCAAATTTTATTAACATATTTTTAAAATTCAAAATAACGTGTTAAAGTGAAATAAAGTAAAAATACAACAGGAGTAGATTATAAACGAAGCATTCATTAATGTAATTAAGCGAACGGATCTTTAATTAGTTTAATAAATGAAATAAATCTATTAATGAATTCATTGCTAACAATCTAGAGCAAACACATTATAAAAAGGAGAAGAGGGCTTTCATATCTTTGCCTATACGTATATACACCTAAAACTAGGTCAAATCCATCTTCTTTGATCTCTCTCACACACTCACTCACAAACAGATGGCGCTTAAGCTATATGGAGCGGCCATGTCCACAAGCACCTCCCTCGTGCTAACCTGTCTGCACGAGAAAGAAGTAGATTTTGAGTTCATCCCTGTCGATCTTTTCGCCGGCGAACATAAACAGCCTCATTTCGGAGCCAAAAATGTACGCCTGCAAATATTTCCATTCCTATGAACATATATATAGCAGCTCAATCTTTTTTGTGCATTTAATTAATTACTTCTGTGTAATTTTCATGCAGCCCTTTGGTCAGGTTCCAGTGCTTGAGGATGGTGATCTCACTTTATTTGGTAACCTCCATTAATTTCATTTCTTTCTTATTTCAACTATAAATATTAAATTAATACCATTAATTTTTTTTTTTTTTTTTTTTTTTTAATTTTTTTTTTTTTTTTTTTTTTTTGACCAGAATCTAGAGCAATCACAGCATACATAACTGAAAAATACAAGGAACCAGGGTATGATCTAACGAGGCATAAAAAACTTGAAGAAGCAGCAATGGTGAAGGTGTGGATAGAGGTAGAATCTCAGCGATATAACCCTGCAATAGCTCCAATAGTGTACCAACTTTATGTGGGGCCACTGAAAGGCGTTGCACCTGACGAAGCAATCATAGACACAAACATAGAGAAGCTAAGAAAGGTGCTTGACATATACGAAGAAAGGCTGAGTTGCAGCAAATACCTTGCAGGAGATTTCTTCAGCTTAGCAGATCTTCATCATCTTCCTTACACTTACTATCTTATGAAGACATCTGCTGCTTCTGTCATAAATGAACGTCCACGTGTCAAGGCATGGTGGGATGATATCTCTTCTAGGCCAGCTTTCAAGAAAGTAGCAGAGGGTATGAATTTTGGTCAGAAATGAAATTTTCATGAATAATCTACAATTCATGAGCTTCTTTATAATTAAGTTTGTAGGAATGTTGATTTTGATTTACTAGTGTACTGAAATATTGAAACTACCTATTTGCTGTTTTTAGTTTTTTTTTTTTTTTTTTTTTTTTAAGTTTTTTTTTTTTTTTTTTTTTTTAACTGAAATAAATGAAATATCACCTTCCATCTTTTGATTGAAAAATATAAATTCATAAAATTAAAAGATCTATTATTAATAAAATCAACGTAATAGAGAAAATTTATATTAAAATTATTATGAAATCTATAAATTCTATAGATTATAATCAATTTTCTATCAACTAAATAAAGAAATCTATAATTACGTTAGTATTTATTTCCGGCAGGAAAACAAGTTCGAAAGTTTTTTTTTGATTGAAGATTGTTATTCTTAGTTTTTCTGTCTTTTAATAAAAAAGACGCATCATGAGTAGAACCAATTAAATGTAATTTAGCTGTGGGCCTGTGGCTCAATTATAGTATACGTTGGACTGAAAAATAAGGGCTGGAACAGTCCAATAACTTTGGGCCAAAATATCTACCAAAGCCCTGACGAATTATCTTTTTTTTTTTTTTATTTTTTTTTAAAATTACTTATTATGACAGACTTTTTTTTATAATTATCTTTTTTTTTTTTTTAATTATTATTATTAAGACTTTTTTTTATATATAACCCTGAAATGCTCAATGGTCCCTAAATCTTTATTAAATAACAACAAGTACATGTAATGGATGCATTTGCTCATTTAGATTAATTAATTAGTTATCATAATTAATCCAAACCATTAAGAAGGTGTACCTAGCTGTCCACTAATTAAATAGACATTAGTGCATTATATTAATCTTAATTTATTTTTAATATTATATTTTTGTGGGGTAAATGATCTGAAAAGCATATTCCCCTCTTTTTTCTTCTTGACTTCCACATATCGATAACCCTAGTTGGGTTGGATTGGGTTGATGATTTAGTTTTTGTCGGCCACGTCCATGTACCTAACCGTTGTGTGCATAATCAAGTAATTTTTTATTTTAAAATCAAAAATAATTTATAAAGGTAGTTATTATATATAATATAATAAAGATGATATTTAAAAAAATATCATTTATTACTCATTAAATTATTCAAGACGATTTATATTTTAAAATAAAAAAATTATTTTAAAATGATTTATATTTTTAAATTGGGGGAGTACTATTTTAATTTATTTCATTCATTATTTTTACAAATTTTAATTTTTGATTTGATAATTGAATTTACTCGTATTAAAATGATTAAAATGTTGTATTACGATTAGTAATAAATTTGTGAAAAAAATTAATATCAGTTTTAAAATTCAGATATAACTATAAAATTAAATCCCCATGAATTTTGCTTCTAAAAGGAAAGAAAAAGAAAAGAAAAAAAGAAAAAAGAAAAATCCCATTGTCTGTTTACCAACCGACATCTAGAATACTCTGTTTGATGTTTATCATTCTATTTAGCTTCTTTTTTAATCATTTATTTACATTGTTTAAGGTTTGGAGGCTTTGATGCAACTTTTGTTCCTGTATTCCTTTCCTTTTTAGCTGAAATTCAAATAACCAATAGGAAAAAAGAAAAAAAAAAAGGTTAGATTTGAAATAAATTAATTTATCTTAATCTTAATTTAAAATTAGAATATTAACCCACATTAAATAAAATTTTGTACATCACCAATAAGTCAATAAATATATATATTAGAAGCATTTGTTTCTTTTTTTTTTTTAATTTTCTAATTTTACTCTATATTTATTTACCCTTTTCATTCAAAAAAGATAAATTTGTTTTTATTTTTTTATTTGTCCAAGGTATAAGCAGTTACAAATTCATATTGAATACCTCCTTTAGTATCAATCGATCCAATTTCAAGTAAGTTTACATTATTCGCTTTATTTTAATGGATTTTTCTTTTTTAAAAATATAATTGATTTGTTAATTTTATATCCTTATTTAATATGTTTCTATCACCAATTTGAAGTGATATTTTTAAATATATATTAAAAAATATAGATAAAAATTGTTATTTAAATATAAATTAATTTTTTATTTTTGTGAAAATTGTCTTTCTGGAATTTCACTCACCGGCTTTGATGTGAGAGAAAGCATTGACTGAAGGCTTATTGAGCATTGACCAGCATATGAGTTTAGACTTTGGACTTTCTGCACCCACCGCCCCACTCACCGAACTCAAGTAAGCATTTTCTGCGTGACATTTATGACTCTTCTCCACCAATGTCTTTCTACCTTTGAAGAAGATGAAGAAAAAACAAAAAATAAATAATCTCCAGATAAAATAATCCTTTCTTTTTTTGTTTTTGTGTTAGTATTTATATTCTTATTAAATATACGAGCAGAATCTGTTTAATGTATCTCCAATCACATTGAATAAGGATAGAAATTGTCAATTTTTGAAAAAGATTTTTTAAAAACTTATTTCCATTTTATTTTTATTTTTTTATGAATATATGGTTAGAAATATTCTATTTAATTTAAAAATTATTTTAATTAATTTGATGGATGTATTTAATTAGACCACTTGTGTGGAAAGGAGAAGGCCGTCTCCACCCTTTCACCCATTAAATTCCGTCCAGGACTCAGCTTCTAGACAGAACCATCAATCAAATCCTCTTCTTTGTTGTTCAATCTTCATCATCCCACTTCAATCATGGCTGTCATCAAAGTCCATGGAAACCCTATTTCAACCGCTACACAGAGAGTTCTAGCTACCCTCTACGAGAAAGATTTAGAATTTGAGTTTGTTCATATCGATCTTGCCACGGGAGAGCACAAGAGGGAGCCTTTCATTTCCCTAAATGTAAGCAAACATGTCCTTGTTCTTCTTCTTTTTTGTAGTTTCAATAACTTTCTTAACCTCTTGTAACATAAAACATCTGTCTGGATTATGCAGCCATTTGGTCAAGTCCCAGCTCTAGAACACGGAGATCTCAAGCTCTTTGGTATTTTTTCTAATAATTTCTTATTTTTCCATTAGTATTTCTTTTATATAAATTTAATTCTGGCTGTGGTTCAACAAGCAAATTCAGAGCTGTGGAAAGCATTTTAATAGTATTGAGCTTCTTATGGCTAGCGTTTTTAATTACTTTTTGAACCACTTTGAATGATTACGGCATGCAGAATCAAGGGCAATTACCCAATACATTACCCATGAGAATCCTGACAAGGGAACCCAGCTTCTTTGCCCAGGCAAGGTCAAGATGCCAATATTAACAGTTTGGATGGAAGTGGAGGCTCAAAAATTTGAACCAGCAGCCTCAAAGCTCAACTGGGAAGTGTTTTTGAAGCCAATTTTTGGTTTGACAACGGATTCAGCTGCAGTAGAGGCGAATGAAGCTGAGCTTTCTAAGGTTCTTGATGTTTATGAGGCAAGACTAGCTCAATCTAAGTACTTGGCTTGTGATTGCTTCACTTTGGTAGATCTACACCACTTGCCTAACTTACAGCTGCTGTTATTGACACAAAGCAAGAAATTGATCGAGTCAAGACCTCATGTTAGCGCATGGGCTGCTGATATTACAGCAAGACCAGCTTGGGCTAAGGTTCTTGCTATGCAGAAGAAGTGAGAGGAGCTGGGGTTGCATGGCTATGGTCATTTCTCTTCCAATAATTAAAGCTGTGTTCTATTTCCCTTTTTTGGTGTCTTCTGCTGTGTGTGTGATATCAATCTTCACGCGGAGATTGATTATGTCGGTCTTACATTTTAAATAAAGTTTCTAGAATTTTATTAGTTTTTCTTTCCTTTTTTTTTTTTTTTTTTTTTTTTTTATTAGTTTTTTTTCCTTTTTTTTTTTTTTTTTTTTGTCATTCAAAATAATATATATGAATATTGAGAGGATTAGGTTTGGACCATGAACCTTACTCACAATTTTTTTTTTTTTTTTTTTTGTCTTCAAATATATATATAATATTGAGAGGATTAGGTTGACCATGAACCATACTCACAATAAGTTTAGAACCTATTTAGGTGAAGGTACTTAATACAGGATTGTGTCATTATAGATTCTCATGTGAGCTCTGGAAACTTCCCCCAGGTGATGAAGATAAAAATTGGTAAACATTTAAATAAAAAAAAAATTGCAAGTTATCGAATTTCTGGCGTATGCCATTTGCATTTTCATTTCTTACAAAAAAGGTATATTTTGACCAAAATTATTGTCTACTTGTTCCCAGTTCGAACAACCCCCGTCCTACGCCCAAGAAGGGGCGAAGAAGAAGAACTCTACCACAATAATTCTTAGCTTTGGTGGTTCAAATTTAATTATGATCACACTTGATATGCATATATGGTCCTATCAAACAACACAAATATCCCCACTCAACATAAGGGATAACTCGTTTAGTGCATTCAAACACAATGAAACATGTTGTACTAACAAATCATAATTGTATCCTTCAGATTGGATTCCACAGAACTAGAGCCCGAGTCCTTCTTAAGTCCCTTCTCCTTCATTAGCTCTCTTATTTCTGCAGCATCAGACCATCTTCCCATCTCTGAATACAAATTAGACAGAACTACATAATGAGCACTATTACCTGGTTCCAATTCGACAAGTTTCCTAGCAGCAAATTCACTTAATTCTAAATTTCTATGGACTCTACAGCCAGTCAACAATGATCCCCACATAGACTTTGTAGGCTCGAAAGGAATTTCTTTGATGATTTTGAAAGCATAATCAAGATGCCCAGCACGAGCAAAGAGATCAACCATACAAGCATAGTGCTTAGCATTTGGTGAAAATCCATACTTCCCAACGACCAATGAACTAAATATATGTTGGCCCGTATCAACCAAACCTGAGTGACTACAAGCACTAAGAACATTCACCAAAGTGACTTCATCTAGGTTTACACCTTCTTGCTCCATCCTTTTGAAAAACAGAACAGCCTCCTTTCCACATTTTGCAAATGCTAGTCCATTAATAACTGAATTCCATGTGAAAATGTTCTTCTCTTTCATGCTTTTGAACACATTTAAACCCTCATGGATTCTGCCACATTTCACATACATATCAATCAACGAGGTCCCTAGAATCACATCTAATTCCCATCCATTTTTCCTTATAAAATCATGTATCCAAACACCCATTTCAATGGCTCCAAGACTTGCACATGCCCCTAACACATTCACTATCGTAACACGATTAGGCACTACACCTTCATATTGCATTTGCTCAAAAGCAATCAACGCGTCAGCATAGTTCAGAGCATCCCTGTATCCCATGATTAAAACAGTCCACGAAACAACATCTCTTTCAGGCATTTCATCAAACAGTTTCCGACAAAGAGCCACTCGACCGCATGACGCATAAACATTTAACAAAGAGTTCTGAACATAAATATCATTTAACTGACCTAACTTTATAACATGGGTATGTACGCATTGGCCTTGGTTGAAATCCTTAAAGTCAGACAAGGACTTGAGAAGGAAAGGAAAGGTGTAATTATTAGGAGGAATAGAATTGTTGTTCATGTAAATATATATCGACGAAGGAATATCAGGACATTGAGAGTGAGAGAAGGCTTTTATAAGAGTGTTGCAAGTGAAAACATGGGGTTTAGTGTGGTGGGTGAAGAAGAGAGGGAGAGAAGAGTGCAAGAGGGATAAATTATGGTATTGGCAGGCAGTGATGAAATCGAGGGCAATGGTGGTGTTGAAATGGAGCTTATGGAGGATGATCTGAGCTTGTATTTGGTGGATGTGAGACTGAGAAATGCAATTGTTCAAAAGATGAATGATTCTGTTTGCTATGGCGTTGAACTGAGAATAAGGTATCATCGCTGTTTTTTCAAATTTCAAAAACAACTAAAGCGTACGCTATAGCCACGGACTGACGGACGTAAATTTTTTGCTGGCCGCCGCCATTAGCAAGTTTGCAAAAATATTCGACAACAGCATTGCGCATCCAGGGAATCGAACCCTGGTCAGTACCGTGGGAGGGTACTATGATACCACTACACCAGATGCGCAATCGATGCATTCGGTTTAGAAATGTATTTATTTAATATAAAAGATGGCGATGACGGCCCTGCAATAGGCTTCTCGCCCCCCAGTCGTCGCGATAGGTCGTTCGGTTTATAGTCGAGTTTCACTTACGTCCTTCGTGTTTGTAACCTGTACATTCGTAACAGACCAAGGAGAAAAATCCCCAAAATAGAGGGGAAAAAAAAGGTAGTAAGTAGTGAAAAGTTAGATTGAGAATGAGGATAGTGGGTTTGACGGGCGGAATAGCGTCCGGAAAGAGTACTGTCTCCAATCTTTTCAAATCCCATGGGATTCCCGTTGTTGATGCCGATCGCGTCGCTCGTGTAGGCTCTTTTTCTGCTCTGTTCATTTTCATTTTCTTAATCAACTTCTTCTACTGTCCATTTGAGCGAATTCAATTGAATGTTTTTTTTGTTTTATTTTTTGAATTTTTGCATATTCTAAGATGAGACCAAGGTTTTTGTTTGTTAATATTGAAGTTTTTAATGCTGAATCATTAGCACTAAATTCTGAATTTTTGTACCTTCGAAAATTAGAATTTGCCTTTCGATTAAAATTAATAAAATTTTCCGATTGGTGCATTTTTTTTTTCTCCGTAAGTTTTCATTGCTTGACATCTGTTATTCTGGAATTTTCCTTATACCTTTTCTCGTTGCAGGACGTTCTGAAGAAAGATACCGGTGGCTATAAGAAGGTAGCCGCAGCATTTGGAGATGATATCTTGCAAGTTAATGGGGAAGTTGATCGAGCAAAACTGGGCCAGATTGTATTCTCCGATCCTGCAAAGCGCCAACTTCTTAATCGGTAGAGATCGCTTTGCATTGAGTGTTCCATTATCAACTGAAAAATTGTATGCTTTAATACTTTTAATACTTATCAGTGTATGAAGTAAATATTGAATGAATGAGTAATAGATAGATATATTATAACTGAAAAAGTTTTGGTTCCCATCATGTAACACAGAGGTTATTAAAACTTTTCCATATGATTTCATCTGGTTTATTCAGAATTGAGAATCATGCTTGTGAATGCTGTTTTATAAAATCACCATTTTGATGTGAATCTATCTGCCTGGTTCTGCAGAACGACATGAGCTGTGTAGTTTTTGATGTTCCATTGACATTTGGTTAATTTGGTGCTTGCTGGCTTAGGATAAATGGTTTAATTTCATTTGTTGAAGCATTTCAACAAAAGAAATCAACTTGATAGTTCAATTTAGCAATCATGAATTCATGTTCACCAAGCATATCATCTACATCTACATAACCTTGAAGCAATTTCTTTTGAATGTAATGTCCTATGCTTGAAGTTCTAATACCTGAGTTTCTAATTGCGTCAGGTATATATTCTCATTATCTGGAATACCATGCTGATAAAGCAGTATTGGCTTTGCCTAAATAAGCCAAGGTATTCTTGGTAATTCGTCATAGTGTAGTTGTGTATAACAAATGTTATGGAATTGCTAGTTACGCTACTTCTTTGGACATTATGTCCTTGCAGATTATTGGCGCCCTATATATCTTCTGGCATCTTTTGCAAGATTTTGAAACTGTGGTTAAGGGGGTGTAAGGTAATTGTCCTTGACATCCCTTTGTTGTTTGAGGCCAAGATGGATAAATGGACAAAACCCATTATTGTTGTATGGGTTGATACAGAAATACAGCTTCGACGGCTCATGGCAAGAGACGGATCCAGTGAAGAGGATGCCAGAAATAGGATCAATGCTCAGATGGCTTTGGATTTAAAACGAACTAAAGCAGACATTGTTATTGATAACACTGGCTCATTAGAGGAGTTGGAAAGGCAGTTTCAGAAGGTATTATTCCAGGTTACTAGGCCCTTGACATGGACTGAATTCTGGCTTTCAAGACAGGGAGCCTTCATGGCTCTGATTTCCATTATAATTGGGGTTGTTCTTGGTAAAAAGGTTTATGGACATCATAATCAAGAATCTCAAAACTAGATAGCTTCATAATTTCAAGCATCTTGTTAATCAAAAAGAAATTTTCAGTGTATTTGAACTCAAGCTATTTGTATCTCAAGCCAATACCTGTAACATTCAATTTTTCTTGGAATGTGATATTTGATCATTGAATGCATTTGTATTTGTTTAAACAACTTCTTAAGATGTTCTTTTTATTAGAGAATCAAAGGAAAATGTATTTTTAAATTCAAATTTGCTAATCAAATGATAGATACGGAATGCAAGTTCCTGAGTATGAAAGACATTTAGTTTCATACTTATTCATAATGATTTATTAAAGTTAGAATCAATTTCTTCTGTGATGTTAAGCGGTTATTTTGGAGGTCAAGAATTATTTTCTAAGCGAACTCTGGACTCATCAAACTAATCCTGCAAGATACTGTGAAATCTTGTTGAAGATATGCAACTCAAATGTCTCTTGGTGTATGGAATTGCCGATGAAGCTCAATCTTCTAGAGCTGATTGGTTGGTTGGGATTCATTGAAAGAAATTCTATCTTAGCCTTTTACTTCTGACTGTTCCAGGTCTTCTATTGCTATGATCTTATGTAACCTATTCCAGAATTCAGTTTTCCCTTATTTACCATTATTACTTCAGTATAATGTACTTTAACTTTGAACATCTAGTACGTACATCTAGTACTTTCTGTTGACTATACTCTCATATAATTGCCATTGCTGTCAATTTCCATTAAATTGAAATTACTGTTCTTTATGTTGTTGAAAATTACAGCCATATCTCCAGCTGCTGTTTCAATTGGTCAAGCTGAATTTGAATCGCTTTTGGTGTGTGATGTCGCCTTTTCCCTTGGATGTTGAAAGATCAAGGTGTTGTCGAGTCCGAAGTGAGCCTAATCCATTTTCAACGAGGTTGTCCACTGCATTAAGATTCTTATAGACATCAGATGTTATTAATTTATTATTCAGGTTTGAATACTCATCTTTTTAATGGCACAGCATTTTCATATTGACTATTAGACAAAGAAAATAAAGCAGGAGTATTCAGTGCCAAGTGTTGTCACAAATCACACTAGCTGTAACTTGAAGACCATTGGCTTATAAAAAGTGGGAGACAAGTAGGATCGACTTTATTAACCATTTACATGCTGCTTTAAAAATTTTAATCACACTTTTTGCCCTGTAATTTACAATTATATCTTGAATGCTAAATATAATGGAAACAATAGTGGTAACTGACAATTTCTTCTGCAAAGTTGGCAAGTATGTGATGGCTATAGTTTTATATTGTACATAATGAATGCTTATCAATTCATAATTCTTTAATCTATTTAATGTTAGTAAGTGTTTATTCTCTCTTTTTTTCTCCCCTTTTCTCGTCTTTCTTAATTTTGTGCTCAGATGCTGAAAGTTGTTTAAAGAACAAGGTTACAGCGTCCGCCTTCTTAAAAATTTCTTCTCAGGTTCGTTTTGTGACCATGCATTTCAGTCTTCACTTCCCAGGTCGTTTTTGTGATAGTGATCATTCATTGCTGAAATTTTGGTTACTTCTACTCTAAAACTCATATGTTGCAATCTTAAAAAAAATTGCTAGTTGTTGATGCTGATGTATCTACAGTTCAAAATAAGAAAAGAACACTGTAGAAATGTACTACTACTGAGTTAGAGGTCATGCAAAAATTATTATTACTTTTGTGCTCTGAGACAGCATAATGTTCATGATTGAGAAAAATAATGTTTTATAATTTAAGAAATGTTTTTTTTGAAGTCCTTACCTAACTTTGCAGAAAAAAATCTGGACCCGGTCATTCAAGGAACAATATGTACTAACTACTAAGGGAATTTGAATCGAAATGACAAAATATTAGTTGTCCTGCAGTCCCCAGTGAGTCTGGTTATGGTATTGTTGGCATCAGAACTGGCTCGAGCTGAATAACCAGATTATATTTAGGGAAAACATTGGGTTTTTGGTTCCACATTAGCAACATGTTGCATCAAGTATAGAATCTGTCAGAAGTACTAGCAAGTAACACTATTTTCATGCTTTGTTAAACTTGAAATAGGAATTTGGTTATTGAGAAATTGAATTTTGAGTGGTCAAGTGATTTTATTTTCTTTTTATCTCGGACCTGACCTCAATTACAAGTTAAACACACAGTCACTAAGCTACTAACTGAATAGCAGTTGAGTTAGTTTTAAAATTAACCTCATGATTAGACTTCCATTTGAATAATATTGTTTCAAGCTTTTTGACAGTCCTTCTCCTTCCCTCATAGCCTTCACATTGTTTTCCTGTAATACTGGCAACCCACAATCTTTTTGCCAAATACAAAGAGAACCCAATGATGGTGTATCAATAATTGATGAAGCTTTTCTTTAATTTGGAGTTAAAATGAGACTCTTGTGCATTTGTGGTGTCCTGTCCTCTAAATGTCTGTCAAATCTATATATATAGCTTTTATCTTTCACGTACTGATTTTTTCTTTTTTTCTTTTTTCTTTTTTTTTTTTTTTTTTTTTTTTTTTTTTAGCTTTTATCTTTTCCAACGTAACTGATTTTTTTTTTCTTTTTTCTTTTTTTCTTTTTTTTTTTTTTTTTTTTTTTTTTTGTTTTTTTCTAATCATTGTATTTGCCTTTGCAAGCAGTCTTCTATCACCTGAAAATTTTTTTTTTTTTTTTTTTTTTTTTTTGTTTTTTTCTAATCATTGTATGTGCCTTTGAGCAGTCTTCTATCACTGAAAATTTTTTTTTCCAAGTTTTTGTTCCCCAACCAGGCAACCAACTATCCAACGAGAGACTTGTATTGGTAAGCTAATTAGAGTGAGTTGAAAAGCCAGGAAAAGACCTTTTGCTATTATGCTAGTTAGCGTCGTGGAGGTTAGCAAGGTAGCAAGAACAGGGCCTTCCAGTTTCTGGTTTACTTAAATTAAGAATTTTCATGAAGAAGACTAGGGGGCTAGCGAACCAATCATTTGGGCTGATGACTTGGAAGTAACTGCTGGTGTGAGAGAAATTGTAAAACAAGAGAGAGAGATGCTTCTATTACACGTCTAACGTTGTAACTCTTTTACCTTGGACTGAAGATACCTATCCGGTTAGTATCAATATATAAAGAATTATCTACACCATATATATGAGACCATGCATATACGCTGCACTAAATCAATTAAAAATATTTTTTTCTAAAAAATAATTATTATTGTCTATTTTTTTCTCAGTCCTGTATGCACTCATTTGAGTACAAATCTGTTTTTAATTAGTTTGAGGTGTGTATATATCTATCAAGTCTTTAATCTCAACTATGCCAAATTCTTTAAAACTGGAACTTTTTTTTGTTAAAAAAAAAAATTAAAAGGATTAATTTGAATAGCTTTCTTTTACTTACTTTTAAAGGATTAATTTTCTAATAATTTAAATAAAAAAATTCAAAGGGTAGATATGTCCAACATTTATAGTAGCATCTAATAGTAGGCAGTCCTTTTCTTAAAGATCATAAAAATTCTTTTTTATTTTTTCACCCTTTTTTATCATAAATTATCACTCAATTAATGTAATAAATATTTGTAGTGGAGATCTAAAAATGAAGTGATATATCCATAGTGCTTTTGATGGTCTTATCCCTCAGAATGGTGCTGGGAGTAAGTCTGTGACAAAACCAATTAACAATTTCCACCATACATGCTCCTGCTGCTTTCGCATTGTACAAAAGGAGCAAAGTAATTAAAGGCCAAAAGGCAGTCCAAAGCGAATTGCCCTTCCACATGAGGAGAGGATAGACTAGGTACTAGACAGTGGCCCTGGGTATTCACGTGACTCTATCACGTGACTAATTATCTAAATTCTGATAGCGCAATCATAGATTGATTCAATAGCTAATGAAGCTTCCTTCTATTAATATTTTTGGGGTGACTAGCTTCCACACACGCACACACACGATATATCTCTTTTATTCTCTCTTTTTTATTTTTCTGTTTGAGAGCTCTTTTTACTTCCATCTTACTCTATTCCCTCTTCTTTACTCCCAATTCATAAACATCGAACCTCCCCTTTCCTCTCAGCTCTCTCTCTCATCAAGATGACACCAAAACCAGCTGACGGGCCAATGGAGCAGCTGAAATACCAGGTGAATATATACATATGTGGTCTTTTTCTATGTCTATTCATTTTCTTTTCTCAACTGTTATTTAATTTCCAATCCATTAACTTCTCCACTTTTTCACAGACATGGGTCTTGAAGGTCTCAATCCACTGTGAAGGCTGCAAGAAGAAAGTCAAGAAAGTTCTTCATGGAATCGATGGTATTATTATTTTTGTTTATGTAAACCATTAACCATAGTTGATCTTTCCTTTATGTTTCTTATTCTGAATCTCCACTTTATTTAATATGTATATTCCCTGTCATTCCTTGAGCATGCAGGTGTTTATATGACAGATGTCGACTCTCGGCAGCATAAAGTTACAGTAACTGGGAATGTAGACGCGGAGACTCTTATCAAGAAACTGGCAAGATCAGGAAAACATGCAGAACTTTGGCCTGAAAAGCCAGAGAAGAAAGATAACGAGTCAGGAAAATCCAAGACCGATGGAAAACAGAAAGATCATCAGGAAGTTGGCGGCGGTGGTGATGATGGAAACAATGATAATAATAATCCACCAGAAAAGCCTGAGACTGTCACTAAAAGTGGCGGTGATCAACTTTCACGGGATAGAGAGAGCGAAGAGGCTGGTGGAGAAACCCCTGCTGCTGCTGCTGATGGTGGTGGTGGAGGTGGAAATGGAAGTAGTGGAGGTAAAAAGAAAAAAAAGAATAAGAAGAAAGCGCAAAATGGTAATTCTAACAATGTTGACGGAAATAGTGGTGATAATCCCGGTGGCGCACCACCATCGGATGCAGGATCTTCTTCATCTGCCAGTTCAGAGCCAATGCCTCCAAAACCAATAGAGCACAGCCCTCCGATACATCAATATGTATATCCATATCCACCAACATATTATGCACCTCCTCCGGCATACGGAGTAAACTACAACACAACCTACTCGGGTGCTAGTGAATCTTACTATGCACCTTCCGTACATGGTCATGTGTTTTTTTCTCAGCCTGAGTGGTACCAGCCACCAACTCCACCATCTGAACCGATGAACAAGATGGATCATCGAGATGATTATGATGGTGGATGCTCAATTATGTGATTGATGAGGGTGTATGTAACAATCTGTGTACTAGCTTTATAATAATTACTTTTGTAATTAGAAGTTTAGTGGAAAGCTGCGGGAGAAATTTGCACAAAAAAAAAAAAAAGAAAAAAAAAGTGGGGTGTTATGACTTATATAAGGGGATTTTGGAGGCGTACGTCCTTAGTTTAATAGAATGTTTGGTTATTTTTAAATTTATTCTCCTGGAAATCTTCCTTTTCCTCTCTTTAACGTGTGACTGTGAAGGATATTTTTGTTCATCTCACTGCCATGGAAAATGGCACAAGTATATGAAGGTGACTTGACGCGGCGAATAGTGCGGTAAAGGATTAACACACAATTAAAATTTCTTAAAAATAAACAAAATCTAACCTAAAATTTTCAATTCAGAATTTTAGGAAAATAAACCAATCACAGGCTTTTTGGAAAAAATTACGAATAAAAAAATTTATATAAAATATAAAGAATATAAAGATTTATATCGATCTATGGATCCTAACCTAATAAATAGGAATGAATTTAAACTTGTAACATAAAAATTGGTGGAACTTCTGAACCATTTTACCTTTGGGGAAATGCTTAAAGTTATCCTTTATGAACTTTCTCAAAAAAAAAAAAAAAAGGAAGTTTCTTTTAAGAAAGCAATCTTTTCCTCTCATCTCTGTATGTATCTTTTGCTTTCAATGCTAGCCAAAGGGAAGAGATACGATCAAATGGACTCAAACTTTTCGTAGAAAAGCTTGTTTCTGTTAGTAATTTTTAAGTTCATGGAAAAGCTTTTTTTTTTTTTTTTTTTTTAAAAAAACTTTCAATGCTCAGCAGAGGGAGATACGAAATCAAATGATCAACTTTTTCGTAGAAAAGCTTGTTTCTGTTAGTAATTTTTAAGTTCATACACCACACCCTTTTTTATTTTTTTTTTTTTAAAAAAGTATATTATTTTTGTAATTCAATCGACTGTAAAATCTTAGTTATTGTAAATAATTTAAGCAGAGGTTTAAACTTTAAAAACAGCTTTTTTTTTTTTTTTTTTTTTAAAAAAAAGCATTATCTTTTGCTAATTAATGCATGTAAATCTTAGTTATTGTAATAATTAAGCAGAGGTTTAAACTTTAAAAACAGCTTTTTTCTTTTATGACAAATCTATAGGACATGCTTCAACAATAATGATAAAATCCTATCCACAGCAGAATATTCACAGTGGATTATACTTGTTCCATGTCCTGGAAAAAGAAAAGGGAATGTAAATTATATGTATTATTTTTTAGCATTATATTATTCTTTCTAGAAAGCTCTTTCATTTTGATTCCAAGACTAGGGCTAGCCAGTCAATCACCGAGTATGGAAATACCTGATAAATCTTTTCCATCAACTTTCTGTTGCAAATATATAGAATGAATCATAATTGATTTCTGGGCCCCAACATGAATTCAATTGTATAGATTCTAGAAAACACTCCAACTCCTTTTTTTTTCTTTTTTTTTTTTTTAATAAAAAAATAAAATAACAACATCTATAAATTAATCCCCATGCAGGTGTTTTTTTTTAGGGTTCAATCAAATATTAGTAATTGCTACAAATTAAACACATTAAGATTAGAAATGAAATGAAATGGAATAATATGTATATAGCAAGTTAAATGGAAGGGACAGAACGAAGATATTGTAAGATATTTGATGTGAAAGTAATGAAATGAACAGAGACGATAAATGCTGGGTTGTTCATTTTCAACTTATGTATATATAAAGAGAATCTTACACAGTCCAAAAGCAAATTCAATTCTCCTCTTTTCTTTCTTTTCCTGATTTTATCTGTAATTTTTATTATTTACTTCATGTAATGCAATGGTAATTCAGAAATTTGATTAATTAATAGTTTAATAATTAACTATTTCCTTGTGTAAAATTAGAATTTAAAATTTGAAAATTTCATTATTTATTTTTTATATTTCATAATAAGAATAGGCGTATTTTCCTACTTCTAATTATATATCCTTTTATTTTGTAAATAATATTCTCCTATTCAATTTAATTTATTACCAACATTTTTTTCCATATTTACTGTTTAAATTATATTAATTAATTTTTCTTTAATAAGTAGAAAACAAAAGTAAATTTATTTTTATAAAACGAGGAAAATGCTAAAAAAATCATGAATAGTGATAACATAGGTGGTGGGGACATAAAAAACACGACAATAATGATGGCTGAACTACATCACCAACAACATTCATAGCCAAAGTGATTTGATAGATTTGATATTAATTGATTAAAAAAAATAAGTCTGTGTTCCTATGAAGGATGGCTCACTCACTCACGTCGATGTGACTTATTGGATCGGACCACAATTCCAGCCCACAATCCGTGATTCTGAATTCGTAAGAGTTCATATTGGCATTGGGCCAAGAAGATTCTTAACTATAAATGGGCTTAGCCCATTAACCTGCAGTAGAGGAGAAGGTAAAGGTAACATAGGTGCAACTCTTCCATATTGGCTGTACATCCCTTTTGTCACATCGCATGTGGCTTACATCACGGCATCAGCAATTGGTTGTCACAGAACAAAAGCACAGAAAATGGTGAATAATGTCGTAACATTTTTTGATATCCAAGTGTCAACATAAATAAAAAAAATTCTGATTCGAAAGTGCCATTTAACTAACAAAATTCCAAGTATATATTTGAAAAGAAGAAAGCATGTTGCATTTATTATATTCGAATATTTCATTTCTCAATTTTTTTTATCATAATATTCGAATATTTTCATTAATTGATTTTTTATTATCTAATAATTCATAATTCTAATGTCAATATTCATATTTAAAACATGAATAAACATCCTACATTTTTACTTATTAAGAAATATTTTAACTTTTATATGGATAAACCAATTAGCTATGTCTGATCAGTCTACTCATTTATATAAATAGTCAAAGATCTCAAGTTTGAGTATACGATATTCTTGTTGAGCCTCCTAATCAAAAAATTATATTGATAAATTAGAATTCTTTGAAAAAAAAAACAAACAGCACATGTATAAGCTATCAACCGGATATTGAATATAAAAAAATTGACTATTTTCTTAGAAAAATTTTATTTAGAAGCACAAATATAAATTATTATTTCAAGCAAACTTTAGGTATAATTATAGGTGTGGATAAAAAAAACAAATAAATATATATTTATGTATTAAATTTTCTAAATTTAAGCATCATAATTACCAATGAAAAACAAATAAATAACGAATAGGAAATGCTTTGTATAAAAAAAAGGATAAACATACATTTATGCCGTATTAAAATTTTTAAATTTCATCTATGAGCTGTGGTTTAGTTGGCAACACAGATTAAGTGTGTGAGAAAAACTTTTGGATTCGAGCCCCGTTAAATGCATATGTAGGAAGACATATCGGTAATGGTGTCTATAAAATCTGAATATTAGTGGTTTAAAAAAAAATCTAAATTTCAATATCACAATTAAAAACGGAAAACAAATAAATGCTGAATAGGAAATGCTTTTACATTTTTCCAGGAAAGATACCAAAAACAAAAAAATCTTATCTTCCATTATACGTTGCCAAGCATATCCAATTAAAATATAAGGCAATAAGGAAAATATAGAGCCAAGAAAACAGGTGGAAACAATTAATAATGCAAAGAAATATAATAAAATAATAAAATAGCAAGTAGACAATTATTAAGCTGATCTGTCTTCCACAACACGAAAGAAAAAGAATCTCTAAAACCCTTATCAGAATAGAATATGATAAGACACCATTTACATTATCAGTTGATGCTCTTTTTCTTTCTTTGTCTATATAAATCTCCACCATTTCTTCTTCAGCTCTGATATCTTGGCCACCAAATTAACCAACTCCTATTGCCAATTATGAAGCCTCACAGTCACAGCCTCACCCTCTCCAACGATGCTTCTTCTCTAACCCATGATCATCAGTCCAAGAGAACCTTTGGACAGAAGGTCAAGCAGGCTTACGATGCTGCAAGAAACAGCGTCGTAAAGGGAAATAATACTACAACTACTAGTCTTCGGCTTCCAAAAGAAAACGAAAGACGAAACTGGAGCTATTGTGCAGAAGATCCCATTAGAACTATGATGTTCTTGGGATCTTGGGGTCACACTTGATATCATCTTCTTCTAACCTTCCTTACAATGAACTTTCTTCAACTTGGATCCAAACAGATTCAAGAAACTGTTTCTTGAATATATATATACGGTGCTGATGCCTAATAATTTGTCAAGAAACTAAATCTTTATTGGTAAAAAATATGATGTACATGTGTATCAGCTAAAAGAAAAAACTCCTTAAGGATCTAATAATCTAGAGTGTAATTAAGCTTTGGATTGTAAAAAAATAATATAGCAGTGATTATGGTGATATCTGGCATTGTATAATTAATTTCCTGAATCTTGATTCTATATTCAGTATTTTGTTAACTGCAGCTGCTATATACATATATATGTGTGTTTTATGGATTTTTGGATATATATGTATATATATATTTTATCAATTTCAATTCAATGAACCAACGGTTCAAATTTCTCCAAACCTTGAGCTTGAATCAATTCTTCAGTTAGTGGTTCTGATTTGAGTCAAATCTGTCAGCCAATGTTATGACACATTGGCACCACACATGTTCTTTTCCCCGAAAATAATAGTCTTGGTGTTACGTGTAACCAATGGAAATTTGAATAAATGTTAATAAAATTTTAAAGATTCTATTAACCTAACAAATTAAAAAAAAAATTATAAATATTCAATCACAAAGAAATTATGATTGTTGTTTACAAAAGTTCATTGTTTATTAATGTAGAAAAGTCGCATCGTTTTTAAATTTGAGCTTGAATTAAATTAAAAATACAATTAAAATATTGAGTTTTGAATTAAATTAAATTAAATTTGTTGGTGCCATTAAAAAAACGCGATTGCATTTGGCTAAACCACAATTAATTAATTTTTCTTCTATTCAACCGAAGGTGAATTGAATAGTTGGCTTTTGAATAATAAAATTATTAAGCATCTTAGGTTTTATTTATTAATAAATGAAGACTTTGACCATTATATTTTTTGAAAATTAGTAAAAAGAGAAAAAATAAATTAATTTTTAAAATATAATTAAATTAACACATAACAATTTTTATTTGTATTTTTAAATATTAATTATAATATTTTTAATTTATATCATATATTATTATTCCAACACACTGAATTAATTAAGACTAAATTCTGCTATCGAATTTCGACCTCACTTGTATAAGTGAAGAATATCAAATCACTCGTTCAACATGTATTAGTATTTAATTTTTAAAAATAAAGATTATCATGTAGTATTAAATTAACTATGGTTTAAAAACAAATTTTAATAATTTTCAAAAAAAATTAATTTTTCTCTTAAAAAATTTACCGGGCTGAAGTCCAGAAAAGGCATCACTACCTAACAATGAAATCCACGTGTCCAACATGCGTGGGACCGACAGAAGTTGCTAAGTCACCGAAGTGAGTGCCCGTTTAGGGAGAGTTCTTTTGTGAACACAGTGAGCTCACTGTGGGCTGCGGTTCCTAATCTCTAACTTAGAAACCAACCGCTCCATCTCCATCTCTCCAAATGGCGTCACCGTCAGATCACAAAGCCGCCGTAATCGACGGTAAGGCGATCGCCCAGACCATCCGATCCGAAATCGCCGATGAAGTCCGTCAACTCTCTGAGAAATATGGCAAGGTCTTTATCGAACTTCTCGCTCTTATTCTCTGTCTAGTAACTTGAATTATCTCCTTGTTCGTATATGTTAGTATTAACCTCATTTGCTTGCTACTGAGTTCAAGCGCATGTAACCTGGAAATGAAAGAATCGAAAAGGTTCTGTTGAGTTGTTCGGAGTAGATATTTTGCAGCCAAATTTAGTGCGAAATAGAAATATTAATTTCCGATTATATGGAATTTCATTGTGGTCTAATTCGAACTTAAAATGTTGAATTTGCTTGAATTTTGTTACTTCTCTGATTTCTTTGGTCCTTGCACAGTGCTGTAGATTCTTGGCTATCCTATAGGCAGATTTGTCAATTGGATTAACCTTGTTTCTTTTGTCTTTAATCTAAGAGAACATTTGGCCTTTCAGTTCAATGCAGCTCGTGGAGCCTATTTTCAGTCCAAACGAGGTTGCATTTCAAAATTTAATTGCAAACTCTGGCTATTCTAGTTGCAAAGAATGATGTATCTTTACCTTATATAGAGACGCAGAATGAGTTAGCTAGAATGCATGTTCTTGATCTTCTGTTCTTTTGCTCTCTAACTGCTTAATTAACTATCACATGATTGGCTCTAAAGATTCCTCTTTCTGAACTATCAAACCAAATTGATTCAATTACTTGAATGAAACATGTTCCTGCTACACTGTTCTGTCACCTGTGATTGCTTAATTAAACTGCCAAGCTGAAAGGACACTTGCTTCTGAAATATGAAGCCTAATTGGTTAAACTTTAACCAACTGTCAGCATGAAATATTAGTCTGTTGTTCTCTAAGGCTTGGATTCTAATGCTTTTCATCTTTTGGTCTGTTCAGGTTCCAGGGTTGGCTGTTGTCATTGTAGGCCACAGAAAGGATTCTCAAAGCTACGTGAGTATGAAAAGGAAGGCATGTGTTGAAGTTGGGATAAAATCGTTTGGTGTAGACCTTCCAGAACAAATATCTGAAGCTGAATTGATTAGCAAGGTCCACGAGTTAAATGCAAATCCTGATGTACATGGTTGGTTTGTTGTTAATTGGAACAAATATATTTTCTCATCTAATAGCTTTTCTCTTGTTTAATGATTATTTCTATGTTGTTTTACTCATAATAAGAAGAAGCCACATACGTGCATATGCATAAACAGTAGGAAAGGTCATCATTTTCAACATTGTAATATCTAACTTAATATATGTGACTGAGAAGGACCTTTGAATTACTGTGACATCTATTTTTGAACAGCTGATGAAACTTGAGCTATTTTTTTGTTTTAACAAAAAGTTTAAATGTTAAAAGAGGAGTAAGTAGGAAACTGCCCTTACTTCTGTTTGTCACAATGTTCCTTTTAATATTGTCAAAAAATTTTGAAGCAATCTTTTGGTACATTGACAGGAATATTGGTTCAGCTGCCATTGCCAAAGCACATCAATGAAGAGAACATTTTGAGTGAAATCAGTCTTGAAAAGGATGTAGATGGTTTTCATCCTTTAAACATTGGCAAACTTGCGATGAAAGGCCGAGAACCTCTTTTTGTTCCCTGTACCCCTAAGGCAATATAGCTGGTCTCAAAATGCTTTCAATTTAATTTGTTGGAAATCTACTGTGTGATCAATCCTTCCGTCCTTCTTCCATGATATACTTACCAATGATATTAACTCAGAAATTTATACATTTCCTAAGAAGAAATTTCTTCTTTTATATATACAGGGTTGTCTGGAACTTCTATCGCGAAGTGGAATTAGTATAAAGGGGAAAAATGCAGTTGTTGTTGGTCGTAGCAACATAGTTGGATTACCAGTGTCACTGTTGCTTCTGAAAGCAGATGCCACGGTAACCATTGTCCATTCCCGCACTGATGATCCGGAAAGTATCATTCGTGAAGCTGACATCATTATTGCTGCCGCTGGGCAAGCAAAGATGGTAAGTGGACCCAATTCATTCTTGCTTAGTTGCAGTGGAATTGTTGAGTTAAAATTTTCTCTTCTTGCATACCTTTTTTCACATGTAAGTTATAATAGATTGCTGTTATTTACTCCAAATAATAGATTGATATGTAATGTTACAGGTAAATCAACAATTTGGAAGTACTTTTGGTTGGCTTTGATATATGTATAGTTCATTTTCTTAACTTTCAGGTCAAGGGCAGCTGGATTAAACCTGGTGCTGCCGTTATTGATGTTGGGACAAATGCTATTGATGACCCAAGTAGGAAGTCGGGTTATAGGCTAGTGGGAGATGTAGATTATGAAGAAGCATGTAAAGTGGCCGGATGGATTACTCCTGTTCCTGGCGGTGTGGGTCCAATGACTGTTGCAATGCTACTGAGGAACACCGTGGACGGTGCAAAGCGTGTATTTGGGCAGTAATATGCTCCATACGTACTCTCTTTTAATATGTTTTGCCAATTTTCTTCACAAGTGTTGTCCTCCGTGTTCACTCCATAATAGGCCTAGCACATCCCAACCTTTACTTATTGCTATAATCAAAGGATTTTGCATCTATTTTTATTAGCATGATGATACATTCGCATGAAGGGCCACTACAAAGTATGTTTAGAAGTCCTTCTGGAGGCAGAGTTGTGAAGAGCCACCATATAGTTTAATTCCAGGCAGGGACATGTGAACCAGCAAGATTACCCGTACCTATTTTTTGTTATCCCTTCAATTATATCGTCGTAATAACACTTTTCACAGGAAATAGTGTCCACCTAGCCCAAGTCCAAATAAAAGACCCAACTCTTTATTGGGTCTACTTTCAATCTCCTCTTATTTAAGCATGATCCTGTGTTTACATCTGAGAAAGGATAAAAATTATGAGACGGTGAGAGTAATATTTATGATATTAACATGCCCTTACATTAATATTATTATCTTGTCAAATTTGAATTTACATTCTCTAAGAAAGCCATTAAATTTGTTTAAGTTACAATAAATTATTGAGTAAATTGACTATATTACATTTAATTTAATACTAATTCTCTAAGAAAATTATTAAATTGAAGAATTCTGCTAAAGAAATTATTAATTGAAGGTTACAATAAATTATTGAGTAAATTGACTATATTACATTTAATTTAATACTAATTCTCTAAGAAAATTATTAAATTGAAGTAATAATTATTAGTCGTATATAAAAGATAAATATGGAAAAAAATATTGAAATTACGAATGTGACGATAAATGTGATAAGTATTTTAGAAGAAAATAATGTGACAATAAATATGATAAGTATTTTAAAATAAACCATTTTCTCAAACATAACAAATATTATGGACAGTAGATATTATTTTTAATAAAGAAATGAGTGAGAAAATTATTGATAACTGGCATATGAAATGGGGGGTGTATCTAGATATTAAGAAACTAATTGTACGGTTAAAACGAAAATAGCTTATAATTTGAGGTAAATGAGAGAATGTAGGAAGTCTATCTTTGTTGGACTAAGGGAGACTGCTCCAGTCGCTGTGGTTGACTATTTAGATAACCGTTAGCCAAATGGTATATAACCAATGATTCAATTACAGTTGGTCGTTTAGCGACAGCATCCGAACAAGCAATGTAACCTTAATTCATATGCTGGCTGAAGTCGTAGCCAGAGACAAACAATATCTTAGACTTAAAGAGAAAGAGTGGGAGATCCGTGAAGAATGACAAAAGTGATGAGAGTAGTAATAACAAATCTTGATTTTGATAAATACGCAATTGAAAACTTATCCATAAATTATTCTCTTTGTCAAAAATGTTGGTTGTGGAGCATTTGGAAATGGAGTCTGAATGGGCAAATCCCCTTCCAATATAATTAATGAAGTATCAAGAAAATAACAAACAACAAAGCAGCGTTATATTTCAAAGAGGCGTAACTAGAACCACAAGAAAATTGAGTGAAGCAATCAAGAAAAGGAACTTGACCCACTGCCCTTATTACTTGTGAAGTTAGGATTTAGGAAGAGGAATTATAATTATATTATATTATAATAACAATCATTCACATACTCATACAACAAACCCATTAATATTTTAATCGTAATAATTAAATTAGATATAAATAATACCAGTGCATGTATTTAGGAAATATTGAAAACAGCATATATTTTTGGTTTTACCCTGTATATACAATCATATTGTCTAACATAAATTCATTATTCTTTAAAAAGAAAAAATTAATATTCATGATTTCTTATAAAAATAATATAATTATGAGTTAATAGGAAAAAAAAATAGACATAATTAGCTGAAGATTAGGAAATTTGATAAAATTTGCATAAGCGTAAATCTACGGCATGAAATTGCTAATTAGATTGTCCTGATTAACAATTAATTAATGTAATCAAACATTAACGGATGGACCTAAATTGCCAAAGAAGGTTAAGAAGATGGCTAACTTTTCTACACTGTAATTCCACGAAAGCTTCAAATTCAGAATTCAACAGCTACGTTTTACCCAATCATGTCATTATGCTCAACATCAACTGGAAGTGGTTACTTGTACTAACTAACTCTCTGACAACTACGTAATTAACAACTGCATAGACTACCGTTAATTAGCGTACACGTGCGATCAACGTGTCTCTTATATATTCTTATATATATATATATGCTTAGTTGTTTACTCCATGCACGTAGCGGTTGAGTGTTGAACCTTTGATTTTATCAAGTGCTGTACAGGAAAAATGGGTAACAGAGAATCTTTGTTCTTCGCGCTTGTTGGTCTTGTCGTTTTGGCTCCTGCCATTGTAGTTGCAGTGGGTTCTGGTCGCTGTGAACCGATTGAGGCTAACGATAAAGATTTGGTTCAATTTGCTATGAACTTGGAATTCCTTGAAGCTGAATTCTTCTTGTTTGCTGCACTTGGTAAGGGTCTTGATGCTATTGAACCGGATTTTGCCAAGGGCGGTCCCCCTCCAATTGGAGCCCAGAAGGCTAACCTCGATCCTGTCACCTGTTCAATTATCGAGGAATTTGGCTATGAAGAAGTTGGTCACCTCAGGTTCTGAGATTTATCTTTATTTTTTGGATTCAATTTCTATTAAGTGATGAAAAAACTAATTAGATTAATATTATTACTCTCAGTTAATTTGATAAAAATCTTTGATTTGCATTCCAATGAAAAAGCTATATAAATAAGTTCAATATCCATCTCAACGGTTATTTTTTTTTTCCCTAGGGCTATTATAAAAACAGTTGGTGGAATTCCAAGGCCTCTGTATGACCTAAGCCCTGAAACATTTGCGAAAGTGTTTGATGAAGCACTTGACTGCAAATTGGACCCGCCATTTAACCCCTACCTCAGCTCGGTCAACTATCTCTTGGCATCCTATGTTATCCCTTACGTAGGACTCGTAGCATATGTTGGCACCATCCCCAATCTAGAAGACTACACTAACAAAAGAGTAAGATCACATATCTATGTATAATACTAGAAAGTTGTTTGGATTGACAGAATTTAAACAATATTTTTTTAATCTTTTTATAATTTTTCTTTATGAGTAGCTTGTTGCAGGGTTGTTAGGCGTAGAGGCAGGACAAGATGCAGTGATACGAGGATTATTGTATGAAAAAGCTTATGAGAAAGTAGAGCCTTATGATATAACAGTAGCAGAGTTCACTAATGGAATATCATTTCTAAGGAACAAGCTTGCAATGTGTGGGATTAAAGACGAAGGCCTAATTGTACCTCCAGAGCTTGGAGCTGAGAAGAGGACTGAGAGTAACGTATTATCAGCAGATGAAAATTCCCTATCTTATGACCGTACACCACCTGAGATTTTAAGGATAGTTTATGGAACCGGCAGCGAATATAAGCCCGGTGGTTTTATGCCTGACGGTGCAAATGGTAGAATTGCTCGGAGTTTTCTAGAGAGCCATTAAATAATTAATTAATTAACGAGGATGTTTGTTCGTGTGTTATAATAAAATAAAATGTATAGTAGTCAAACATCTCTAGTATTGTGTTTACGCTTAAAATTTCTTTTGTTATATAAAAATTTTATGTTTCGTTGTGTGAGGTTTACCAAAACATAATAAAAATTCGTATCAACTTGGTAGGTGGATTCTGAAGATACTTGTTGGGCCAAATGTATTGGTACTAGCAAGTTCTGATCCACGTCTGATGGCCCATGTCGCTTGTCAATATTATTTCTTACAAAATGTTTTTTCAGTTTTCTTATTTCTACAATTTCAACTGTTGTAATCAAAATGGAAGTTCAAGATATTAGTAAAAGAAAATTGAAAAATTTAAGATTTTTTTAATCATTTGGCCTAACCTTATCCTAAATTTTATTTATTTATTTATTTATTTTCTAAGATCACCAATTATGCGTGCTCAAGGGAAAGACAGTAAGGCGACCGAATCTTACCTCGTTCGTCCCAAGTTTCATTAGATCATGATTTAGTTTGGTGAGTTTAAGGATAAGAAGATGGTTAGTTGTTAATAATGCAATGCATTTCTACAATAAAAGCGATTGTAATGATTTATCCTCCATATCTAGCAATCATCAAAACGACATAATTAAGAACATAATATATATAATGATTCTATATCACATTTTTAATCCGTTGCTATAATATTATTATTTCCATACCAATTCAACTTTTAAAACTAGAATAGATCGATTTTATAGTTTTACGTTCAATAATTTAACTCATGTAATCCAATTTAGTTAATAACTAAGAGTACTACATTTAAATGAAGAAATTGATTCAGTTACTCATGTTGATGTCAAAGTGGAAATTTTAATATCCATCAGCCTTCTCACACTCACTTATGTGAAGAATAGGAGGTCTCGACCTCCTGTTGTGTAGCCGCTAGTGATTTTTAGCCTATAAAACCCTCAAATGTAAATAAAAAAAAAAAATTAAAGACAAGTAAATCCAAAATCGCACAGGCAAGGGAAGCGTGAGTGACTGATGATGAGGAAAAAAGGAAAGGAATGACCATAAGCTGCGGTGATTGATTAGAGAAATTGCATTGGAGAACCGTATTTACTTGGGCGGTTATTTTCATGCTGGTGGAATTAAAATCATGGAGAAGGCACTCTTTGTGGTGGGGAGCAAAGAAAGGAGTGAATTTGGGACATACGACTCCTTGAAATCAAAATCCATTATTAATGTATTATGATCTGATAGGCCCCTTCTTTCTGGAGATTCTTTTTTTTTTTTTTTTTTTTTTTCTTCTTTCTGGAGATTCTTTTTTTTTTTTTTTTTTTTTTCTTTTTCCTTTTTAAGCATCAGATTATGTAATCCGAATATTCCCTGATCTTTCCAAGAGGCAGAATGAAACTGACTTATAGAAATTTATTTTACACTACACAGCCTCATATACCTTTCAACCCATCAAATTATTTTATCACTAAGTTATGTCATGGGTTTGATGTTTTCTTTATATATATAGATATATTTTTCCTAAGGTTTTATTTTTCCTGTCTCATAGTAATTTTAAAAGCATTGTTTTCTCGTATTAATATTCTAAGTTCAAAAATGTAATATCGAACCCTAATTAATGTCGATAAACAAAAAATTGCCAACTTAATGAATTGGACCAATCCTTTTAATTAATGAGTAATTCTGATAAAAAAATTGTACAAGTTATTTTATTATATGATCGTTTCATTCCTCAAGTAAAATATTTCCAAAACAAAGAAAATTTGTTTTTAAAGAGATTAAAAAAAAAAAAAGATAAAAGACATGAAACTAAAAAAGAAACTAGAAAGAAAATCACAAGTAAAATGAAAAAGAAGAAAAAAAAAAAAAAAAAAGAAAAGAAGGGTTATTTGGCTTTTTCCCACATAAGCAAAATCTTAGTACTTATCAACAACATGGATAAGCAAAGTCAAAAGGAATGGACCAAAATTGTTGTGAGAATAAACAACAGCATTGAAAAGAAATGTCCTACAATTCATGCGCCGCCCGTTGAAAAAAAAAAAAAAAAAGAAAGAAGAGGTTATTGGCTTTTCCCATAAAGCAAAATCTAGTACCTTATCAAAAACATGGATAAGCAAGTCAAAGGAATGGACAAAATTGTGTGAAGAATAAAAACAGCATTGACAAAGAAATGTCCTAACAATTCATGCGCCCGTTGAATGATTTCTAGTAAAATTATGATTAGGTTAATTTATGATTATTACCAATTTTTCCTTTTTTTTTCACTGTCTAAAAAAGTTTCATGTTATTTCTATTTTTAAGTTTTGTTTTTTTCTGAATTAAAATTTTATTTTTCGAAAATCAAGCTAAGGAAATTATTTTTCATATTTTTTCCATGTTTTGAAAATTTATTTTTCTGTCTTAAAACGCTAAAATAATATTATGAATAATAAATAATAAATCTTTCAAATTGAAAAATAAAAAAAATAATAATACCAAGTCAATCCTTAAATTTTGTGTAATGTAATGTCCATATAATAGGTGAGGCTATCTATCTATCCATCCAAATTCCAAACAGTGTCGTTTCTTGATTGGATTAATTCATAATTTATTCATCCCCAAAAGCAAATATTCATGTCGTATCAAATCGTACAACAGTGGACCTAACTAATATGATGTTGGTCCGCACATCTTAGGACAGCAGAGCAGGGAATTTTGCAATTTTATTTTTGTTTTCAGCCAGTGCTGAGAGTGCAATTGACTCACATGTGCATACGTTAGTGCACTGAGATTTTTCTACCAGTTGGTAAAGTTTGACAAGGGATATAACAAATTTGTTGAAGCTCCTCCTATAAATTTTGATCCAACCAAAAGTTAGTTGCTTGAATAATAGAGATAATATTTTGATACTAATCAAAAGACATTCGTCGGCAAAACGAGATTATTGAATAGGTTAAAATTTTAGCAGACAACAGTGCAACAATGAGTGGCATATCATAGGAAGGAAGCAAATAAAATCCAAAGGCATTTTGCTTGTTTTAGCCCCTGTGTTGATGAGATGACTAAGAATCCTAGTGGGATAAAATCATTAAAAGAGACCAATCAAATGACTGAAATGTGCCATCATTTTCAGATTCTTTCATTTTTGTCTCCAAATGCTGCAATGTGTGACCTAGATTACTTCAGGTATCTCCATGCAACAATTAGTACAAGATTAAGTTTATTCTATAACTAGCTTTTTTCCCCCCCAAAACCTTCATTATAATTATCCATTACTTGCTCTATTACTTCATTTTATTGGTTTGCAATTGCTAATAAGATTAGGACATTAAAAAAAGAGAAACATTGAATTCAAAGATTCTAACTTTCCCTTAACAATAGGAATGATGGCACAGATTAAACCACCCTACATCATGGTCATGGGCATCACCCTTGAATGTCACCTAACTAGCATTAGCAGAACAGAGAGATTAACAAAGGAAAAGATCCAAATTTTTTATGGCACACTGTTAAGGAATCCAAGTAGGATCTCTTGAACTAAAGAAAGATGCCTTGACATGAGAATTAAGTAACTTGAGAGCAGCATTAGACTTGATGCACCTTGGCGTTTTATACTGATTGATTGATGCCCCTTGGCTGATGAACAAATCCATCAGCGCCTCGAATGTACCAGGCTCCACTACACGTATCTCCAGTGGTCCTATGGACTTGTCATAGGTGCGGCATCTCCTGTACACATAATCAAGTTCTTCTTCCACAGCAGCACAACATTCATGGAGCACCTTAGCGTCAAGTGGGGTCAGAGAATTGTCAATGACTGATGATAAATGATGTAGGATTTCCCAATACAATACATAGTGCCCTGGTACAGATGATGTATCTGCATAGCTAGTGTATTCCACGAGTAGCGCATTGTGGGGTTCAAGTAATTTCTTTGCAGTTGTGATGCTCTTGTGAAGATCTTCCTCGTTGGTTTTGTCATTGTCAATGCTGAGAACCACGTTTCTCCTGCAAATGAAACGGAATTGCGGGGCTCGATTGTGGAATCCAGTCACTTGAAGCACATCACCGATACGATAACGATATAATCCTGGATAATTTACAGAAAGAGTGTGAGTGGCAATATTTTAAGTCATCAAAGGAAAAAAAGATGAGAGAGAGAGAGAGAGAGAGAGAGAGAGAGAGGGAGCAGGATAACCCAGCAAATAACAGAAATTCCCCAGACGGCATTTCAGGCAAAAAGTTCTACTGAAGGATATCACACACTTAAAAGATTAAAAAGCCAATGCAAGGATATATTATTACCAGCAAAGGTAGTGACCACCAACTCATAATAACAACCTCGTCTAACATGCACCAGATCGACGAGCTTATCATTAGGCACCTCCTCTTCCTCCTCAACAGCCATTAACCATGTTCCATGTTCTCCCAGAGGTATAAACTCAAAATAACACATATTAGGCATGAGGGTAAATACCACATCTGCAGGATCAGACAAGGGTTTCAAGTTCACACCAAAGTAAGACTCCGAGGAAGCATACATGGTACACACCAAAGGCAACTTTCCCTCACTGTAGTACTCAAGGGCTGGAATATATTGTGCCATAGACCCTGTCACCACTGCTTCAATATACTTGGTCCTAGGCCAAAGACGACATAAAATACCCTGCCATGATGAGAGGCTGCAAATTTCCTCAATTTCATCTGCAAGCCAAGGATTAGGTGATGATAGTATCATTGACATGCATGAACGGCATTCAGGATCTGTGATCATAGCATCTAGTTCACCATTGCGTATATCATTGCATAGGCGAACCCAGTTGTGTTCCAGGAATGAAATGGACCGGAGCAAGGCTGATGCAAAAACAGCTCCTATTCTTAGGACTTGGTGACGGAGAATCAAGCCAGATAGCAACTGGCAATACATGCTCTGGTTGCTATCTTTGCATAAGATAGCTTGGTCCGGGCTAGTAAAATCATTGAACGAATCTCTTGTTCGACACTTAAAGTGCTTACTCTTGTAGTAACTCGTTAACACAGTTCGAGCTGGTAAGCCACAAGGAGTGGACATTTCAGCCTTGACAAAGTACAAAAACATGGCCTTACCTTCATCCAAACCAGATACATACCTGAAATTACAATGTTAAGTTCATCAATAAAGCTGGATTCTAGACCTTTGCAATAAATTGTTGCTCATAAAGAAAATAAAATAATGATGGATGGTGCTAGCTAAGTGAAATCCATGATTCCACTAACACCAGACAGCTTCAGTGCTAGCTTATCGACTTTCCATATATGCTGCCAGCAGTTAGGGCATTCCGCAAGATGTCAGATTCCCATGCTAGGCAAATGTAAAAGTAATATACCTCATCAGCATATTGCCTGCTTGTACAACAAATATGAGAAGATAATTACTTTGTTTTACTATTTCTGAAGACTATTCTATATTGACTTTTGAATGCAAGAGGGGAGTTCTAGCAACTTCTACCCACTAATGCATGGTATTAGATCCTTCCCGGTCAAGGTCAGTATGTCCACAAGCTCATCATGTCACACCTTCATTCCATAACTCATACAAGAAACATTAATTGTTTGACTAATAAAAGTGAAAGAATGAGGGAGGTCCTACATAGAATTATATATTTTCCTCGGAAGATAAACATGCATAAATTAGGACAACTGACATACTAGTTGTTAAGACACAACATGTAAATTATAATTCGCCTTTAAAATTGCATCTGCATGCAATCATATAATATATAGGACATGTAATTAACTGGTTCATAATTGGCGTGATGAGGTTATATATAAATGTGCGCCTGTCTAGATCTTCCGCTATTGATGGCATTAATTTAGGTTCTCCAGCAGAAGTCCCTGAACTGCAAATGAAGAAAGTCGAGTCAATAATGTAAATAAAAAAATAAAAGAAAAGGAAAGGAAAGATCCATATCCTAATAATATAAAACAAGCTCAGATGGTAAGGCTTGCATAACAGAGGGGAAGGGGGACAGAGAGAGAGAGACCTGCATAACATTTCAGTTATAGGATGCCCAGTAATAAGAGAAGAGTCCTCTCCATTAGCAATTCTTTGGATATAGGGATAGATATCCTTGTATGTGGTGACAGGGACACAACGCTTAAACTCTTTCACATCTTTTGATCCTTTAATATGCTTGCTCAAATACTCAGTTTTCCCATTTTGCATTAAGATCTCCTTCAATATGCTTTCCTGAATTTCACCAGCCTTCTCTGTAAGTTTCTCAATCTCTGACAATGCATCCTCACCTTTGTACTCCAACTTCTTTCCATCCATGATATCAAGGAAGGAGCAAGAGGTGTAACAAGGTATTAGTGTATCCAATACTGAGAGCCAAAGGGGTCTATATATAATATGATAGTTATGGGATGCTGCTTCTTATATATGTTCTTTACTTTTTCAACATCATTTCAAGCTGATTGCGGAAATAAAATGGTATAGATTCCATCTATAATGTGGTCCCTCACTAGCTTTATATGAACTAAGAACCGAGACTTCACCATACCATGACAATTATTTTTGTATGCAAGAAATATAGCGACTTAAAATACTTTTTTAACACCTGATCATGTCACTTAAAAAATATGAGCAGCAAATTCTGAAGTCCTGCACACAACTGTGATGCAGCATCAAGTATCATTGATCCTTATTTATTTTGAGGATAATCTCAAGCCTTAATTTCCTTAGTTGTTCCATTAGTATAAAGCAAATTTTAAGGTTCAAAATTTTAGTGGGAAAATATCATGTTTTGTGAAATCTCTCTTAGGATAAACATTTTGTAAGTAGTTTGGTTTCTAACACAGTTCCAATCAGTGTACTTCAAACTGAGATTAATAATACTATGTTGGAAAATTTTATGTGATTGTAACTTGAAAGCCTTCAGGTGTTACAACCATGACTAGGAGTACCAGCTAGAAATGCCATGTTCTGTATAATAATATAACATATTCATGTGAAGATATATATCCTTAGTATGTGACTCCTTGCCTAAGCACACCGGAATATAAAACATGATTTGAGATGATGGCAACCTATCAGAAGTCAGATTCCACTTTCCATGATTTAATTGTGATTCAATTGGAATGAACATATCTTAAAATTTCATTTTAAGACGACTGTAACCTATTTTCAATTTTTAACATTTTACAATCTAGACAAAACAAAGTTTTCAGAATCTGGTTCTATTTATTGTCCACATATTGCAGTCCTTTGCTTATGTCTAATCTCAAAAAAAGCATGAGAAAGCTAAACAAATCAAATCTTTATTTAAAGTATCAGTTCACTCCCTCTCAGTAAGAATGTGATGCATAAACACACACATGCGCGCGCATATGCACAAAAAAATAAAAGAATTACAAAAAATGAAAAGAGTCCTTTTAACGGGGGCTCCAGTGATTAACAACTGCACCAAAAAGATCCTATGCAACAATTTAAGTGTGCAGGTATATATGGTCATTCAACAGCCTCCATTAACATAAAGTTATTCCTGAGCACCATGTTAATGAAAATATATGGATTAAGCAAATTGTGGCCTCTTTTTAGAGGATGGAATTTTAGCGGAAGTCCTATAGTAACAAGGCCAAAAAAATCCCAGCCTCTCAACAAGTTTAAGATGCTTGATCGAGGGGTCTGCATGTCTGCAAAATCCTTATCCAAATGTAGATGATGCAGTGTCATGATCAACATCTTTAGCACATGTACAATTAAATAAGATTGATGCTCGCCGTATACATTGATGATCTTTCTTTTATTTCTTTTTTTTCTCAAAAGTGTGAACGACAAAGTGGATCTCTGCTGACGCCTCTGATCTCCACCATCAAAATTACATGGAGACAGCAGTGCCAATGCAAAAGAAATATTTTCCATACCTGGAAAACTTGAGATAATGCAGGAGAAAGTAAACTTTATTGAGCCTTGTTTTTTTCCACGACTAGATGGAGCACATCGCGTGCTGTCACTCAAATCATAATGTCGTCCAATACATGTTGGCAGCATTCTCCATACGAATAATGGTTCAGCACTCATCAAACGTCTCACAGTATGATCTTGGTCATTTCCGTATGTACTGCAAAATCATTAATTCATATAAATAGTTTGGATATTGCCTCTTGAATTTTATTGCCTGCTGATATTAGTCTATGGACTTGTCATCAGAAAAGTAAAAAATCTAGACAGGCTTGGAAAAAAAAAAAATGCAATAATGGCATATGGGTAGCCTCCCATGGCCAACTTTTTCTTTCCCTTTGATATGACTTGCAAAAATTTACTTGACACTGTTAATGAATAAGAATATGAGAAAAGCAATGGAATTGTAACTATATTTATTAGCAATTCATAGTTGTTCAGTAATTGAATCAGAGCCAATAAAGCAGGGTTTAGATGTAATTGAACTAAAATTTTCCGATGAAGTACTGTGGTCCAATATCCTACTGCTCCCATAGAACTTCTATGCGGATAGGGTTTTACATGGGCCCATCTAGTTAAATAGACCCTACTCAACATGATGTAAGCCACCTAAAAAGATTTAGTTGGAGTCCAGCACTCAGGACAAAAAAGAGCAAAGACACATGCTTCCTATAGAGAATGCCTGGTTTAGCATTCTTCTAGCAACCAACATATGGGAAGCAGCCTTTTGGACAGTGAGGTAAAAAAATGTGACAAATAAGATGTACAACAATCTTTCACAGAAAAAGCAGGTTGCTTGTAGGTGGTAATGTTGGAGTGACAGGCTGACCGGCATGATAGGGCTTGAGATAGGAAACATGGAAAATAGGGTGGATCTTGGACTCTGCTGGAAGGTCTAGTTTATAGGCCATGGTGCCAATGCGTTCCAGAACCCGAAAGGAATGTAATGTTACCAAACCCCTGCAAGTATATTCCCGTTATACCCATGGTCCTAAGTCCAAGTCACCAGTAATTGAGTTGCTGAATTAGTCAGCAGTAGTTGTTCTCTTTCTGTTTTAATTTTGTTTCAACATTCCTGCATTGTAGGAGGGTATTCCTCCATTTCCCTATTTTCTTGTTGTTAGTGGGAGGTTATTCCTCCATATAGAAGTAGTGCTCCTTGCAAGTTAATTGAAGTTTGGCTGAATTAGTGCAGCAGTAAGTTGTTCTCTTTCTGTTTAATTTTGTTTCAACATTCTGCCATTGTAAGGAGGGTATTCTCCCTTTCCCTATTTTCTGTTGTTAGTGGGAAGGTTTATTCCTCCATATAGAAGTAGTGCTCCTTGGGTATGTAGGGAGTAGTTATTCCTGGCACTTGTAATATATTCCAGCAAATCTGAATGGGAATAAAGGTTGACTGTTAGAACCCATTTAAGTCTCTTGACCTGAGGTTTCAGGCTCCCTTTAACGAGTCTTGACTTTTCTTGTCTTCCACCATAGGTCGCTCAAGGAAACACCCTAACCCAAACACCCAAACACCAACCCCTCCTACTACCCATCGACCCATAACTAGATCCGTTAGCCAGGACCATAACACTTTTCTTTTGGAAGTGTGATGTGATGAAATGTACTAACCCTCTATGAGTTATAGCCAATTGGACATAGTTTGCATTGTAGATTATCACCCAGTTACAGTCATCATCCTCAATCAGGAAAAGGGGTTGTGCAATAAACATATATACATTGTCTGTCAGCAAATTCAATGGCTTTACCTTCACCTTCCTGGCACTTTCATGGTTTTAATGGAATGCACGACTTATGTGCATCCTTCCATTTATCCACTTTATATGAATTTACTTTCTATTGAATTATAAGGAAAGTAAAGTAATTTAGACTTTGTTTGATTTAATTTGATAGAATTACTTTCTTTGCCTTTTCTTATTGTAAAATATCATAGCGAAAGAAACAAAAGAAAAAGCAGCATGCTTGACAATTGCAAAAGGCAAAAAGAAAGTAACTTTAACCAGCTAACCAAACATAGCCTTAATTATTATTCACTGAAACTAATTACAAAAAGTGATGGCTCACTATTCAATGAGCAGAATATTTTTGACTGAGATAGTAAATTATGCTTACAGTTACAATATTTTCAACTGATTTCTCTTAGTTTTTTGAAAGTTAAGGAGATGATCGCTGTCCACCTGCAAGATAAGAAACCAAAACTTGTTTAATCAACATTATAAGATTGACATGTGAACTTTAATTGTTCACATTTATTTACAAATCATTGATTGATGCTTGGCAGGTACAGCATTGTATAAACTCCTGCTGGTGCTCAGGCCTCATATCATTGATTCTAATGTCTACAGCCATAATTGTTCAGTTCTTATATGATAATGCTCTCTCTTACTGCAAAAGTCAACTAATGTATGAGCCTATGAGGTAATCATTACTTTTAGTCTAGAACTGTATCCAAGTGGTCAATCAACAGAAGAGAGGTACAAAGTAAGAAAAAGAAAATCTAAAAGATAAACAATAAAGACGAAGCATAGTTTCAACTAGTGTAAAAGAGACTAACACAAATGTATATACACATTGGAATACAGAGGAAGAGCACAGGGTCAGGAAATGGATGTGCAATATGTACAAATTGCTTTATTCCAAATACTAATATTATGACTACGGAAAATTGGTTCTTTGGAATAATTTGCAAATTTGCTCGTCCATGTTGCTGGGCTACAATTCCAAGAATAAAAATTATTCCTTGTTCTGGAAGGGTTAAGTCACCTAATGTGCCATTAAACCTAGCTAGGCATGTAACGATAACTCTTAACTCAGTACTAGAAAACTCATTGAAGTTTAGATATTCTCTTGGAAACCAATTCAGATTTGCGTCAAGGGCAACAACACAGAGATACAAACAATTGAGAATACCATCATCACAGAATCTTAAAAGAAAATGAACAATTTCTGATAATTGGTATTATAATATAAACTTAGAACCGACTTCCTACTTTCTGTAGCTTTGCTCTGCAGCTAAATGAGGCCATTGTCGCAGGGCAGATTGCATTTCCGGTTTGGCTTAGAGTTAGAGCCCAAACTCAGAAAGGTTATGTTTAAAGTTTAAACCCTAATGAAATGAAATCAAAAGAATTGCATGATTTTTTTCATTATCAACTGAAATCAATTAATCTAACGTAACATGCTGTGCATACGTTTATTTGTACGTATAAACATACACGTACATACACGTATAAATGCCAGAGAGAGAAAAGGAAAGAATCACGTGAATCGTAGAAGAGCTCTGGAATTTCTTTCTTTTATCCATTAAGCATATACGTATACAAATGCGAGAGGGATAAAAATCACCTGGTATCGTAGAAGAGCTCGGTAAGAAGACGTAAGGATCTTATTTTTTGGATCATTGGATGATAAGGATAGAGAACGACAGCGTTTAGGAATACACGACTTCCATAGAAATAGCGAGTATTAAAATACCAGTACTCGAGCGAGTACCCGCATCTATAACACAGATGCAGGGAACAGAGTTTTATCTGAAAAACTGTGTATTCAGCTGAGCGAGTGACGTCTAAACGCCTAATGGCTGTAGCTGCTGTGGCGCTGAACAACAGTCTGCTATGCTTCTCAAATTCAACAACCAGAGCAACAAGAAAACCGCCATGTGCATGGTTTCCTGACGAAACAAGCTTGTTGGTACCTCGAAAGAAGGCCCATTTCACTTTAACGTCTTACTCTTCTTCTTCGACTTCTCAGTCCCCTGAATCCGGTACACAGACTCCAGAATCCTGCGTCAATTTGGGTCTCTCCCTCTTTTCCAAAGGAAGGGTATCGTATATTTTCTGCTATTATTCTTTTTTTTTTTTTTCTTTTCTTCCTAGGATTCTTGAATTTACGCCCAATTTGTTACAAAATTCTAGTTTTGTATTGAAATGATTGGGGATTTTGAAGGTTATAATCTTGCTTAAATTTGTGGATAGATATTTCTTCCTTACCTACTACCAAGCAGTTGTTTTCTGAAGCATACCCTTTTTTTTTTTTTTTTTTTTTTTTTTCCTTTTTTTTTTTTTTTTTTTTTTTTGTGGAAATTTGATAATATTAATCATATCAGCAAAAAAAAAAAAAAAAAAAGTGAAAGTTGATATTTCTGTTATTAAATTTTTTCAAAAAAAAAAAAAAAAAAAAGTGAAGTTGATATTCTGTTATTAATTTTTCAGGTTAAAGATGCTTTAGTCCAGTTTGAAAAGGCTCTTAGCTTAGATCCCACACCTGTTGAGGCCCAAGCTGCACTATATAATAAAGCTTGCTGCCATGCCTACCGGTAGTTGTTATTGTTTTTTTTTTCTAACTTTTGTGTAAATTGGATTGCAATTTTCTTTCAGTTTCTGATAATTGACCGCACTAGAAATGCTTGTTTTGTTTTAATGTGATGTTATTCAACATTGAATTGATTAACGTGCTGAAGAAACTATATGACTATATGAGTGATCAATTTGCTTATCACAGCTCAAAATAGGATGCGAATTTGAGGGAGACCATCAGTTAGTTGATGCCAATTGTACCTATAAGTTCTATTCTTTATTTCGACTTTCATATCAAACCTGATAAAAATCCTTCAACTAAGAGGCTGCTGAAGGATTTTGGTTCTTGAAGTTGTTATTTCTTCTATGCAAATAGCAACTTGTAAGTGTAAATGTACCTTCAATCATTGCTCCATTTAGCTGATTAACTTTGTCTTTCATTCTTGTCTTGAGGAAGAGGGGAAGGAAAGAAAGCTGCTGACTGCCTACGTACTGCTTTGAGGGAATATAATCTTAAATTTGGTACCATATTGAATGATCCAGATTTGGCTTCCTTTAGAGCTTTGCCTGAGTTCAAGGAATTACAAGAAGAGGTTTTTCACACTATCTCGGTTTTATTTCATGTGCTAAGGATTTCCTTTTACTGCCTACCTGCCAGAATATGGAAATCATATACGTACTTTATATCCAAATCCTATATTATGTTTTCACTACTTGAGCAAGATGTGTGAGGGCACTAGTGAGATCTCGTGATATTTCAGCTATTGGCAATCGATGATTGAAATCCTTAAGCATCAAGTCTTATAATATAATGTTATGTACAGGCTAGGCTGGGAGGGGAAGATATAGGATACAGCTTTCGTAGAGATCTCAAACTTATTAGTGAGGTCCAAGCACCATTTCGTGGGGTTAGGAGATTCTTTTATGTGGCATTCTCCGCGGCTGCAGGAATTTCATTGTTCTTTACAATCCCTAGGCTCTTCCGTGCAATTAATGGTGGGGATGGTGCCCCAGATCTCGGGGAAACTGCTGGAAATGCTGCCATTAATATTGGAGGTAGACACTGGAACCTTTTTCTGTAATACAAGGAAACTAGGCTGTAATTTATGTATAAAGTCAGTGGTGAGCTAGTCTTCTTACCTTTTTATAGAATGTCATCCCCCCTGTCTTCTGACTTGCACTGAGCATTACTGCACTGAACATGATTATTCACCAGAGGACTTTTAGCTTGCTTCTTAAAATGACTAAGGTTTTGAATCAGCGATCTGCAGGCATCGTTGTTCTTGTGGGCCTATTTCTCTGGGACAATAAGAAAGAGGAAGAACAAATTGCACAGATAACCAGAGATGAAACTCTATCAAGGTTGCCTTTGCGCCTTTCCACTAATCGTGTTGTCGAGCTTGTACAGCTTCGGGACACTGTTAGGCCAGTCAGTATCGGCAACTTCCTTTTCTCCTCTCAAATTACTTGTGTTATAATTTTCTTGGACTTGAAATTCAACACTTTAACCAAACATTATAAATTGCATACGCCTACTTAGCTGAAGTAAAGTATTTTACTGAATATATGAATTCAGCAGTAAGAATTAGATATTGCTTCATGAGCAATTTTAAGTAATTATCTGTTTGTTCCTTTACACATCAATTAATATAGTGCAATAATTTTTTTGCTCTGATGAACTTACTGAAATGAACCAAGGAATTATAATAACTAAAACAGGACAGACTTTACCAGTCATCTGATTATCTTTCATCCATAAAATTTGAAGCATCTCATCATGTTGGAGCATTCAAGTCACTATCTATCAATGCCCTTATTATGGATTGGAATTAGGTAATCTTGGCAGGGAAGAAGGAGACTGTTTCCATAGCTATCCAGAAGGCAGAGAGGTTCCGAACTGAGCTGCTTAGACGAGGTGTCCTTTTAGTTCCTGTTATCTGGGGTGAAGGGAGAGAGCCAGAAGTGCAGAAGAAAGGGTTTGGTGCTCCTTCAAAGGCAGCTGCTGCTCTTCCTTCTATTGGGGTAAGATATATTATTCCTTGGGCTTCTAAGACTATGTGGGGAATCATTACAAAGTACTAGAACTATTTGTGATTATCATGTGACATCAGGGATTGTCAGAATAGAGGATTGGTTTCACTTATATAATTTTGAACTTCGTTGAATGTTGGTTTCATTCCATTTTTAACATAAAATCTGATGGCGCAATGGTAGGAAGAATTTGAGAAAAGAGCTCAGTCTGTAGTTGCAAAGTCAAAGTTGAAATCCGAAATTCGCTTTAAAGCAGAAGTTGTATCTCAGGTGGAATGGGAAAGGTCAGTTGTTACTTTATTGTTATTATTGGTCCCTTTGTTTCAAAATTCAACTTGACAGTGGAGTACTCAAAGGTACATTAGTGAGAGAATGCATATTAGCATTCATTTCTTCTGGTCTCTCACATTCATCATATTGCTATTACGCTTATTTACTTGCTTGAATGCTTGAATCCTAAACTAGTACATTGAGCCATTATAATTATGAACTTGTTTGTTAGCTTATAATAATAATCTACCTTATTAGATTTATAGTACATCCTGGTTGATAATATTTCCACACATTTTTAGGTGGTTAAGGGATCAGCAGAAGTCAGAAGGAGTTACTCCGGGTGAGGATGTGTACATAATACTGCGCCTTGATGGTCGAGTTCGAAGATCAGGAAAAGTAAGTGCACATTGTGTCAAATAATCAGCTTTTTGAGGGAATATTGAAATATATGCTATTGTTTTAACCCATTAATGCTGAGTGAGATAGTAACGATTGAAATTCTTGAATTCGTCAATATTATTTAAACCTTAGATTGATTCAAAATCTCCACCTTCTCTAATTAGTTACCCAGCAGTAGCATTTGAACTTCATATAGAAGTTAGAAAAAGACAACTGAACCCATGCATGTGCCCTCATGTTGCCAGTCATGTTGCTATAATGCTGTACAAAACAAAGTAAAAATCATTAATTTTCTTAAAAAATATTCAAAAATTAGGGTGTCAATAAGACACTGAACATTTTCTCACGTTCCAATGTTACTGCAGGGCATGCCTGACTGGCAACAAATTGTGAAGGAGCTGCCACCTATGGAAGCATTATTGAGTAAGCTAGAAAGATAAAAGCTCCTGCTCAGTTCCCAATTCTTGAAATATTTTTTGTTCTTTTTATTAGTTGTTATTGGGTAATCTTCATACCACTGTTACGATCGCTCATCATACCATCTCTTTTGATATTAGAAGAAGGAAACTTGTTCTCTTGATCCTTCTCATTGCTGAGAAATCCATTATATGTGTGTATATATATATAATATTGTAAATTTCACTTTGCAAGATTAGGTTTTATGCTTTTGATGAGAGTTTTCATATATTATAGAAAACTAAGGTCCCAAAACTCCACGCCATTTCCAATTGACCGTTTGTTTTGGATTCTTGAAAACGATGCTCTCCCTTTTTTGCAAGATTTGAGAGCACTATCTATCTACATCATAAACAATATGATCTCGTTTATCTGAACATTTATTGGTCTGTGCGAAACGGGTCAACTTCCATATTTCTTCTTATGTAAGATTTCAAATTCCAATTTAAGCAAAATGCACTCCATCTTCGTATATGAATGATCTTCCAACCCTTTTTTTTTTTTCGGGAAAAAATTACGAAATGCTTTGAGCGGCAAACTATAAATAATATCATGAATGAGGTTTATATATATTCAGTAAGACTTAAAAAATCTAGAACACATCTTATGGTGGGATAAGGAAACATCTCATATTTATAATTATAAGCAAGGGCGGAGCTCTATGGGGGCTGAAGAAGGCCCTGGCCACCCCAATAAATTTTTTCGAAAAAGTCCTATTAAAAATTACATTTTGATCCTTAAAAATATAGAAACACTATATCTAACCTTTTAAAAGCTTTAAAGATTTTATTTGGCTCCTTCAAAATAATTGTTCTAACTCCATCTCCGTTCAGAGGCTTTGACTCGAAGAAAGATTCACGTACTATGCATTAATCTTTCTGTTGTTTTCTAAGAGGCTATTTCTATGGTTCAAATTTATAAAATGCACATTTTTCTGAGCGCTTGGCATGAACTTTTAAAACGGTTTTTCATTAGAATAAGTTGTATAAATACAGCAAGTCTCCTCTTTTCAACACTTCATTTTTAATAAGATTCAAATTTAAAAATTCTCAATAGAGATTTCACAAAAAGAAGTTGTTTTCTTATTAAATTGCATCATCTTTTATGGTCATCAGAGCAATTGGCATGACCTGAACTTGATTAAAGATTTAAAGTAAAGAATTTCATGAAATTAAAATAATCCTCGTCCTTCCATTCTTGGGTTAGGTTACACTTAACTAATATTATTCTTGATTAAATCAGTATTATTATTATAATCCTCGGAATAGACAGCTAAAGGTTCTTGGACAAATCCTAGAGAATAGCTAAAACGTTAACCATATAAACAAGAGAAAGAAAAGTAAATGACAGATAAAACGTTAACAATGGCGGAATGTAATTCCTCAGTTCATTTGATCGCTTTGTGCATATTCTTCTCACTTCTGATCACCATCTTCTCATCATCCACAGTTGAAGCAACCGGAGAGAGTAAGCTGAGCTGGATTCCGACTAGAAGAGGACAATGGGAAGGGTCCATAGCGGAGTGCATAGGCGAAGAAGAATTGGACATGGACTCTGAGATACACCGGCGTATTCTCCAGACGACACGGTACATAAGCTACGCAGCGCTGCAGAGAGGATCAGTGCCATGTTCTCATAGAGGTGCAACTTACTACAATTGTCAACCAGGTGCAGAGGCTAACGCCTATACTCGCGGTTGCAATGCCATTACTCGTTGCCGTCACAGATAGATGATTTATTATTTGCAAGGGAATTTGTTGCTTCTTCTGTATTATTATGATGTTACTTTTATAAATCCTAGTAATTAATTATCGTTTTACGAATTTCAGTATGATTTGATATACGAAAATGATCACCGGATTTCTTGATCATAGACTTGCATTAATAAAAAAAAATAAGCAGCTGGCTGCTTTTGACTGTGAGGTTGATCGAGTTTTTGGATTTCCATTTCATTTTTTTTGGAGAAATTTTCTGTCTCTAACGTTTTCACGTGGAGTAGATACCACTAATTGTACATTGAAGGCGTCAACTGTAAAAGTGCCTCACCGCCGACTGTCATCTGTGTCATCTTATTTTTCAATTTTTAATTTTGTAACAAATGAATAATAATAATCGAATAGTATTGAAAAATACTAACAAATTTCAACGAAAAAATTCTTATACTTATTCAAAAAATTATAAGAAAATAAAAAATAATTTGGTTGTAGATGATTTTACAATTTTTTAAAAATAAATTCAAACAGTACTACCATAATATATGGTTTCACAATTTTTTCTTTTTCACGATTTGAATCACAGCATTTCAGCCGATTACACTACAGCTGAGGCTGGAGAAAAATTGAGGAAAAATTGCTCCAACTGTATCGGAATGAAAGTAACCTATAGTTTTTCTGTTGGTAAGTTACATATATTATGTAATCATATCGAAAAGCAAAACATTGTCTCATCGGACAACCTCAATGAAAATGTGAACAGGGATCAATGACCATGAATCAACTCAGATTTCTAAGTTTTCCTCTACAACAGCAGCGGAAGCAAATTCCCATAGAGATTCTAAGAGAAACATAAATTTTGATATTCCAGAAGCAGAATCGAAACATTGTAATCACCGATTGTGAACACAAATTTTGACATCTCAAACCATAATAGAAGAAAACAAAACTCAGGATGAAATAAACTTGTCTGCCACAAGACAAATGAACTTGGAATAATTCTAAGCTGAATCTTCCTCTTGCTTCTCTTCACCTGGCTGCTTTTGCTTAGATGGAGGCAAAGGAGATGGAGAGCCCTCCACCCCCATCTCTGCTCTCAAGTCATTTATACTCTGCTCCAAGTCGTTTATGCGACTTCCCATCTCATCGAGTGCATTGAAGTTAAGAAAACAAATAATCTTATAAATTTTAATCAATCATACTGCTATACAAAGCAAATATATTTTACTTCAAAGTTGCTCAATGACAAGCACTGACATTTTTGAAAACCCAAAAAACTAGAGACATAGCTTAAGAAAGTTCATAATCAGATTATTCCCATCAAAATACTTCTTGTAAGAATGTTGACTCAAACCCATATTATGTCAAAGATGAAGGCTGATATCAACCATTCTGTTGAAAACTTTCAACTACATGTTTAATTAATTTCCAAGATAATATGAAGCCAGAAATAGTGAAAATCTCAGGCGAGAATACTATAAAATATTTTCCTTATCATGTATGCAGGATCCATCAATTTCAATGCCGTAGCAATTTAATGCAAGCATATTCTATTATAGACTTTTTAAACAAACAGAAAGGATATTCTTTGTAACAATGGAGTCAGACATTGTTTGGAACCTGGATTGCTGCAAGCAAACTTAAAGTCAGTAACAGTAGCACAAACAAAAAACAAGATGTCTGAGTACAAATAATAACTCTACCATCTGCTGAAGAAGATTCTGCACCTGAAAAGTTGATGCAAACGAGTCAACATTACAGATATCAAAAGAAAAGCATAAACAACCTCAAGCAAAACCAAAACATGCTCAGCAGGCAATGATCTAATAAATGTTAGCATAAGATAAACAAGATGGATTTGAATAATTTAATGAAACCACGGCATCAAATGCCAAACCTCAGTTTGAGTTTGGACTGTGATCTAATTTCATCAGTAATTAGACTTAACACAGAATGTTTGCCACAGGAAGGAATCCCCAAAGACGGGTTCCTCCAAATTATTAATAGAAGAATTAAGTAATAACAGGAATCAGTCAGTATTGAAAATGTCAATAAACTCACAAACGCAGTCATATCAGCTGTGCTCTGCTTCGGATCTTCTGAATCATGTCCATCCTGCAAAAGCAAAAATAAATTAAAAAAAAAACAATTAAATCACACGCAAAACCAAGATACTAGAATGCAAGACAAGGAAACAGGGATAGACGGTTATAAAGATAATTGTATTAAAAATTTTGGTAGAATTTTAAACGACGGACTCAGAATTGCCATTAACAGCTAAATCATACGATTTTATGCCTCGAAAACAGAAAAAAAAAATCAAAATCTCAGAATGAAATTTAAACTAATACGAAGACTGAAATGATCTAAAACAAGCATGAGAATGTGCATTTCTAATTAAATTGATTCTCGAAAGTTGAAACCCTAGCGGTCCTAAGATATGGAAAACCAAACAATTTACTCAAAACGGACCACAAAAGCATTACAACAGAGTTTGATGATCGATTTTAAGTAAAACCAGCAGAAAAGATCTTCACCATTGTTTGCTAGCTGATCTCTAATTTCCGCTGCTTTGCTCGGCCGATATTGTGCAATTCCTGGGGAGCGTTTGGTGGAGGAGTAGGAAATGAATGGATCACGCATATACAAGCTTGGCCGTGGGCAATCCTTTTGTTCCCCAATCCAAAATTATGTCCCGCATTTACCAATATGCCATTGTTCGTTTTCAAATTTTGAACTTCAAAATTTAAAGTTTCCTTTCCTTTTGCGTTTTTGCTTTTTTTTTTTTTTATAAATGGAAATATGGTTAAGCTCAGCTCAAAAGCAATAATCATAGCACCGTATCAGTATCATTGCAATTTTTAATATTGAAGACTAATTCGGCAAATATGAATATAGACAAAAAAGAATACTGCCCTTTTTTTTCCTAATCCCATATAATATAATTATGAAATTTAAAATTATATAATACTTTTTGAAGAAAAAATTATATATTACAACAGCGCATTTCGTTTTAATTATACAATTATATCAATCAGATTTGCATTAATTTATTGTATGCAGACTGCAACCCTTTTTTCTTGACCTTTTTGAAAAAGAAGTTTTTTTTTTTTTTTTTTTTTAAGAAAAATTTGAAAACCGCTAAGTCGGTCCTATAAGAATATGGAAAACCAAAACAATTTACTGACCTCAAAACCCGGGAGAACCACAAAAGCATTACAACAGAGTTTTGATGAAATGCGATTTTAAAGTGAAAGACCGAAGCTAGAAAAGATCGATTCAAGCCATATTGTTTGCCTAGCTGATGAGCTCGTAAAATTTTCCGGCTGCTGCTTGGGCTCGCGGCAGGCATATTGGTGCCTGCTGAAATTCCTGGGCGAGACAGTTGTGGTGAAAGCGAGGTACCGGGAGATAATTGATGGGGAGTCGACCGAAGGCATAATTGATCAAGCCTTTGGCCCGTGGGGCAAATTCCATTTTTTGGGTTCGATTCCGAAAAAATTAATCAGATCTCCCGGAACCATTTTTACTACCATGGATTATGCCGCATGTTGTTTCGCTGGTTTTCCAAATTTTGGATCCTTCCAATTTAGATAGGATTTCTATATTGGGTCTTTTTGGGCGTGTTTTGTCTGAGTTTTTTGTTTTTTTCTGGATAAAAATGGAAAATACATGGTTTAAGCCTTGCCAAGGCGTCAAAGCCAGGATAATCCATGCACCGGTGATCCAGTAACTCATTGTGCCAAAGTTTTTAATATTGAAGACTTAAAATTTCGGCCAAAGGATTTTAATGAATTAATTAAGACCGAACTAAAAAAGAATTACTTGCCCTTTTTTTTTTCCCTAAATCCCAATAAAATAATATAATTATGATGGGAAGAAGAAACATTTAAGAAAAATTTATATTTAATGAGCTGTTTGATTTAGGAATGAAAAATTATTATAGTATTACGAATGAACAGCGGCAAGTTTCTCGTCTTTTTAAATTATACATATTTATATCAATCAAAGTAGTTATTGCAATTAATGTTATTTGTAATGCAGACTTGCAAAACCCTTTGTTTTTTCCATTGACCTTTTTTGAAAAAAGAAAGTTTTTTTATTTTTTTTTTTTTTTTTTTTTTTTTTTTTTTTTTAAGAAAAATCATCTCCTAAACTTGAAGGAGGATACTTCTGTCTTTTCGTTGCGTAGATCAAAACCCCAGGTAGCATTTGAAAAATAATCAACAAATATTTTATGCAAGGAATTGAGGCGCAATTTTTATTCAAAATTTCAAATGAAGATGTGAAACTCAATCTAAAAAATAAAAGAAAATGCAGTCGAGAATTACTCATCAGTTTCCAAAATCTATACCTTTTCTCTCTGTTTTGCTGGTCATTGATAAGTATTTTGTATATTCAGTTAAAAATTGAACAGAAGTTACATCTATTAAGTAAAAAAAAAAAAAAAAAAAAAAAATTGGAAATCAGAAATAAGTTTTGTACATCTAAATTAAGTAAAAAAAAAAAAAAGAAAAAAAGAAGCAGCCCTTATCTGGTCCTTCCTCTAGTTGAATAACTTTTATCCTGCCACATTAAGGAATCGTGTAGATGGAGCAAGATACCATTAAACCCCAAGAGGATAAGACTAATGTAGACCATAAAGAGCCCAGTAGCAGATGAAATAAATATTTATGAAGGGGGATAAACATTTCCCACCCAAAAACCTCCACCCCGTAAAAAACAGAAAAGCAAAACTGCAACCAAAGAAAAATGACAATTTTTTAAAAATCAATTAATAATCAAATAGTAAATATTAAAAAATTCAATATAATGAAATTAAGTTTATTAATAAGGAAATGTGGCAGCAAAATGCAAAAAGCTGGACCGCAGCGAGATTGTAAGGGATAAGGTGGTTTCTCCACACAAAGGATAAAGGCCAAGCCTATAAAAAAAAAAAAAAAAAAAAAAAAGAAGAGCCCTTTATCTGTCCTTCCCTCTAGTTGATAATTTATCCTCCACATAAGGATATTTAGATGGAGCAGACCATAAACCCCAGAGGATAACTAAATGTAGACATAAAAGCAGTGCAGATGAATAAATATTTGAAGGATAAACATTCCAGCAAAACTCCACTCCTAAAAACAGAAGCAAACTGCACAAGAAAAAATCAATTTTAAAAATAATAATAATCATAGTAATATAAAAAATTCATATAATGATTAATTATTATAGAATGTGCAGCAAAATGCAAAAGCTACCGCAGCATTGTAGGGTAAGGTGTTCTCCACAAAAGATAAGGCAAGCTATAGAAGTACCTGCAATAGCATAAATACAATGAAATTAAAAGAAGTCCAAGATTATCTCCAAACATAAGATTCCAATTGTCTATGTTTGTACTTCTTATTTCTCTTATTAGAATGTTATGATGTTCTTAAACTATGTTTATCAATGAATTGCCAATTTTCTAAGAAAGGAAAAAGTCCAAATTGTGAGATTCAAATTGTTTAGCCATATAATATTGGAGTCATGACCACATGATGCACATGCATATATATCATCTTTACAAGTTTTCTGTTTTCACGCTCGCAGATACAACACCAATCATAATTATCAATATACACATTTTAAAGAAAAATGCAACATGGTTGTAAGGATTCCAATGATTAATAAGAAATGAAAAATAAAATAAAAGGAAGAATCAGAATAAGGAAAAAAATCAACAATGATTAAGAATAGATTTTAGTAATAGGCAAAGCTTCAATATCATATGGAGAGGAAACAATCTAGTTGCTTAGCATAAAGAGCTAATAGCTAGAGAGAGTACATCACCATCAAAATGAAGAACAAACATTGCTCACAGATAATGTTCAATTAAGATTAGCGGCCTTGACATATTGCAACCAGTGCTTTAGACCCACAATCAGTGATCCATTTGCCAGATAATGTGGAGCAGTATTACCTGTTTTATTTCTGTTTAAAGTCCAAGAGATAGTACAGACAGCTTTCTACTTAGACATAGAAAACCGCATCCAACATGTGCAATCTAATGGTAACTAAAAGTATCTAAGCTAAGCTTTCATAAAAATTTTCCCCACACACCAACTGAATTATATTAAAGAAATAAGCACCAGACATGCCCCGCCCTTGTTGGTTGGGAACTTCATAGGCAATTGTTTCTATTTTAATTAGCCAAGGGATCCACAAATGGTTGGATTTGTACATGGAAAGATGAACGAGTGTATATGCAGTTGGATGGAAAGAAACAAGAGATGAGGGTTCCATGACAGGGACAAACAACACAAACAGACGCAGACAAGCATGAAAGCAACAAAAGATAAAAACAAGCAAAACCAAGAGTTGTGTTAGCAGACATTACCATGAGTAGAACTGATAATGCAGAGATCGGGCACATATAATGCCAATGAAATTCCCCACAAACAAAGTTGCCACAATATCTGAATTAATCTGACCAAGATCAGTATACAAGACAAAGAAAAGAGAAAGAGATAGGGAACATTAAATAGAGTAAGCAATAAAGTGAAAATATTTCAAGCTATACTCATAATTATAGTCCAGGATAATTAAAACTCACGTTCTTCATTGAGAATCTTAATGGATAAACTGCTAGAACTCATAAGAGAAGATGACTGCTTAGTAGATATGAATCTAGAATGCAAAAAACTAAAAAGTCCTCCTTCATGCCTGCAAGTGACCAAAAACAACAAATAAGCAACTTCAACTGAAGCCACTGATTTTTCTAAATTCCAGGAAGCATTTCTAAAATCACAAAGAGCAATTAGCACCATACTTTGTTATCTTCATAGCTTCTTAGAAAATTTTTTATTATCATAGGAAAATGCAACAAATCCATAACTCCACCAATGCTTTGCACATGATGAATTCCTAGTCAGAAATAAAATTGAAAGAATGGGCAACTTACTTGCACCATTTGTAGTGGGCAAAAGCTGCAAGCAATCCGAGGTGAGCAAGCAGCAGTAAGAGTGCAAATTGCTTTGATACGAAAACTGGTTCGGGGACAAACTTGAAGTTCACGGACCTGATGGAAAACATTGAAAAATGACCATCATGGAAGGGTATCATACAAAAGCCTCATATGATGACGAACATTAAAGTACCAGTATATGCTCCCACGATCTCTCTAACTGTAAAATATTGAGCTACAATACATTCTAGCAACATTATGATTGAGATGACACAACATAGATTAATCAATACAATTATGGACCACGAAGTGAAGAGGATCCCAGAGGACAGGGCAGTTGGAATGCTATGCGCTACCTATTAAATAGTATACGCTTCAGCAGCCCATGACATCAACATCTATTTATTATTAGTATGCTACAGCTCCTTAATTGATTATCACCTGAAAGAGAGGAGGTTCTAATCCTGAATTTCCTAGACTCAAGTTATACAGCAGGATTAAACAATTGTGCTCTCCATCTTTTCTCCCCAAATTTGTGATAATAAAGGACAATAAAAAGTGAACCAATCTTTTTACCATTTAAAACAACGCAGAAAAATATGCATCCTTACATGAATACCTTGCAGTCCAAATTTAACTTCTTTACAGGATTGTAGCAGATCTTGGACGTAAATGAATATATTGTAAGAGAAATACGAAGGATAAAAATAGGTCCTCGCTCATTTTCCATTGGCTGGAACTAATCTCCCTTCTAGTAACTAATTCAAGGAAAGGTCCTTGAGCACACGTTTAAAATCAAACTTCAGGAAAGATTACCTCTATTGGTCAAATGTGTGATGAAAATTGGTGAATATGAACCACATACATACACTCAAATCTCGTATTCTTTCAAAAAAACTGTCTAGTATTTATAATTTTTTAAACATTTCCATTAAAAAAAAAAAAAAGAAAAAAAAAAAAAATAGTTACTTTAACTAAAAGAGAACATAACTGTAGTGAAAGAAAATATATAGTACCAAAAGTGGGATTGAAGACAGGCCCCAAGTGAATCTTCTGATATAATCAATCGATAGATGACTAAAAAGCACCCCAATAGAATCTGGCAAACCATCACCAAGCATGTGGAAATAATGAAATGAACTATTCTATACATAACCCCTCTCCACAACATAAATTCATGCAACTCCATCTCACTCTAACAAAATTGGAAAAGAAATTAAAACATATGCTCTCTGAAATTCAGACACTATAAAGACATTTGAAGTTTAATTTTATGTTTTTATGCAAAAAATCAAAAGAATTTACATGCATTCCATGCCCATAGAAAATAAGCTTCGCAGGGGATAAAAGTTGATTGGTACCTGCACTACGCGCTCACCAGCTAAAGCCAATACCACCCGAATTACCATGCCTGTAAAAAGGTGTTTGCAGAAACAAGGAATACTAATTGAGAATCCACATACATAAACTATAATACAAAAATTAAGATATTAATAAATTGCAATGTTAAATTTACCTAACATAAGATAACAAAGTGGAGCATAAAGAAGGACATTATCTTTATTGAAACAACACCACTACACAAATAAGAATCAATATAACTATCTTAGATTTAATTAAACATCTTGCGTGAGAATATACCACCTGAAAAGATCACCCCAAACACCGTTGCAAAGTAAGCAAGGCCAATTAGCGTGGAAATTGCATTTGCCAAACACAATCATTAAAGAGATCGCCAGCACAAATTGAGTCATTCTTCTTTGAGAGCAAAGCAAGATAAGAGCCCACCATGGAAGCTGCAAAGAAAAAATTCAAGAAAAAACCTCACTTATCAAAGGTCAAGACTAAGCAACAGAAGCAAAACTGGCAAAAGATGTCCAACAACAATGAAAAAAGCAAAACCTGTCATTTACCACATCATTTCACGTAGATGGAATAAGATGATACCCATATAATATGATAACATGCCAAACCAATATCGGCAACCAAGATAACTGAGCATATGAGGTGAAATTTATAAACATACTGTTGCACACACATATAAAAGCATGTCAGGAACAACTTAACATCCGACAATTACAAAACTTAATGATGAAATAAACAGACAGGAAAATTAAACCCGAATCAATGATGTAGACTAGGCCCTAACATTTAGTCAAAGATGCATTGACCAAAACCCTCAACTAACAATCAGTCCCGTAATTCAACATTAGGCATAGAAGTCCAATAACCAGGACCAATACTCGTTCAAAATTATTTCAATGAGATTGTACAAACATCAATTTCATCCTGTGGTTAAAAATCATACCTGAGAAACATTATTAATGGTCCATTCTCAAAATGAAACAATATGATAGGCGACCTGATTACCTAGCCTGATAGACGCCCCTCCTTAACAAACTGAATGCTGCAGTATATATTATAGAACCCAGCTGGGTATTACATGCCCTGTCACCCCTTCAAATTCCTTAGTCCCTTTCTCCTTAAGAAAACCAGTAACCTGTTCATTAATCAGACATTTGTAATACTCATAATTTCCAACAAAATTTAAAGCTGACCAAAAGCAATATTAGCTAATGAAAGCGTTTGGAACACTGAAAAACTACTCGAAATCAAATAAACCAAAATAAAAATTACATTTCGGCAAAAAAACAAACAAATTCCCCAACGATAGGCAAGGGAAATCAAATTTTGATCGCATACACCTGGACATGTATGTCGTTCCCAGTCAATCTTGTATCTGAAAAGATCAATCAAATAGTGAATTTCACAAAAATCTAATTTACAGATGATAAGAATATAACGATGGAATTAGATCGTTTGATCTTACAATAACGCTAAGCAATGATAAAAAGCTGAGGAAAGCACCACGAAAATTAAAGCCAAATCGGACGGCTACCTTTCGAGATTTTTCACAAATTTGGCTGCCCCAAAAGCCTTGTCTTGAGGACGATTTCACCTTCCCCTTTGCTGATTAAATACTGCCATAATTAGCTCCGCTCTCTCTGTCGTCTTTATGATTGGAGACCAAATGAAAACCAGTATGATGAATTTGTTTCTAGTCACATGACTTAAAAGAAGAAACAACGTTATTCTCGCCTATAAGTAAGATTGCGGCGAAGAAAAAAACTCCAGCTGGTGATTAGGAAATTAGATCTCAAAAACCCTGAAAAACAGTGACGGTTATGTCAGTTCGAAAACAAGTCTTTGTTCTTAACAGCAAGCATTACTAAACACCTGCATTTCGATGTACAGACATAACTTACTATTCAAAGTTGAACGCCCGTCGTTTCTTCGTTGTCTGAACGACAGAATATTCAAGATCCGACGATCATTACTTCCTGTTATTGCTCTCAGCCAAGATCATAGAGATCTTCAACAGTAAATCAGTACACAATAGAAACCAGTCAATCCCATAAAATAGAAACACGCTGTCGTTTCTTTTGCACGAACGAAGAGTTATCGATCATGTCTATAGATACCATTTTTTCTTTTTTTTCTTTTTTTTTTTTCTTCTCTAATGTTTTGACAGGCTTCATACTTTTGAGGAAAAGCCACACTATAGAAACAAATTTTCAGAGAATTGGGATATCAGATTGAAAAAAAATTAAAATTTTAAGTTTATTAATTTTAAATAGATCATTTAAGTAAATATACTAAAATTAGACTCCTGATTCCAACAGTTTATCCAAACCCCGCCCGTCCGCCCCGCCCGCGGCAAAGCTCAGGCCTTTATCTAGCTATCGATGGAAGACTTAATCAGTGTGATACAACTGAATCCACGTGTTAACTCACTGCACATACTTTCCATTCCATTAATTAATAATCATTTAGCCACCAAAGCACAACAACAAGACCATCTTGAAACTTGAGCTATGAATTTAGAACATGCAAGTAATGTGAACCCGAATGAACAATCCCCATGTTCTCGCATTTGGCTGGCACTTCTCTCCACACACGTGTAACCCTTCCCAAGTTCATTCATTTCCACCTCCCAGACACCAAACTCAAGAAAAACACCGCTCTCTTCTAAAACACGCTACTCCCTCAAATTCCTCCCGGCAACACAGCATTCAGCTTTCTCCTCTCTCAAATATCGGTTATGCATTCTCAAACATCACCACACCCTACCAAGACGGCAGACGAACCCGGCCACCCCCACTCGCAATAGAAATATGAAAACTAGCAAGGAGCAAAAAAGCTAGGCCAAACCAATAAGTATAAGATCACTAGCCATTGCCGGTGCGCTCCTCTCTCCTTTGACACTATTTAACTTCTATTCTTCGGCCTCAGTAATGATGATGGATCGCATCAAAAACCCTACATGTTCCTCCATATGGCTCTACATTCTTTTTCCTTCTTTCGGACTTTCTGATGGTCGTCGCGTGCTCGTATTGGCTGCAAGAGTTTCAGCAAAAAACCAAGGCTATTAAACTGTCTTTACATTGCTCAGTTATTTGTTTTGGCTTGACCATTGTTTCCGGATGGGACACTTGATCGTTGGCTAGTTGCTTGACTTGCATGTTTGGAAACCATGTGTCACCCCAATTCAAAGAGTGAAATCCCATATGCTGGAGATTTGTTAAGCCATTTTGCCGGGCGCCCATAGCCATTGTAAATCTTAAGCTCGTATTCTTTGAAGGAGAGGCTCAAGGAAGGGATATGCTGTTAACTTGAACGATGTTTAAATCCATATCGCTAATTCCAACAAGAAAATAGACCTGTTAAAAGTTTCCTGTGTGTTTTTTTCTTTCTTTTTATTTTTTTTCAGTTAAAGTTAAGTTTTTCTTCATCGTTTTCTTTGTTCCTTCTTCTGGTCTTAACCCAATTACATGCTATAATGTATCTGTCAATCTGTGTTAAAAAGGGATTTTTGTTATTGTAAAAAAAAATCTTTTAGAAATGTCATAAGTATAACTTTTCTATTCATGTCAAAAGGGAAAATCATCAAGCATACAATAAAGGAAAAATGTCACAATTGCGCCAAACTAAAATCTTGCCATTCTACTAAAGAAAAAAAAAAACACACATACACCCACCGCTACTCAACCGCAAAGCTTTCTCCGATCGGTTATAGACTTCGTCTCCTTTTCTGTTAATCCTTGCCCCTCCCACATTTGAAATCCCTGCTTTGCGATTAATCTCATGCTTCCCAAGGTAGCGACCTCCCCACACCAAATAGAACAAGGTGATCCAGGGAGTCAAAGCAACAACAGAACTCTCTACATGGATCATTTCTTTTCTTCATTTCATCTCAAAAAAACCGTTCGCCAACTTTGTGTAAATTCACACGCGCCCATGAGACTCCAGGGAAACAATGTAATTCCATCTCAAAATCGCAACAGGTCAAAATGCAACAAATCCCCTGCAGAAAAAGCAAGCCATGAAAGGCAATATGCAGGAAGAAAGGCTCTACAAATTCATTCCCACACAAACTTTCCACTACATTGCAAATATTGATCTAAACAAGATAGCAAAGATGCATATCAGGAATCCCATCTCAAAATGAAAAGCCAACACAATCATGACGCAAAGCGACCATTGCTAGACATTCTGATTATGTTTAAGAACGTCAATTCTCTTGTAATATCAAGGTTTTTAAGAACTCATCTCTTGGTAAAATCAAGGATTAAAACGTTAGTTGACAAACAAAGGAAAAACATTCTGATCCAAAAGACATCTTTACAGTAAAGAAAATTAAAATTAGTCGTCCTACCTTTAGATGTCTATCAACAAAGTAAACTAGTTTGCAATTTCCTCTACACATCTACACTTGCCCTATTTCAAAAAAATACTAGAAGTTTAAGTACTACATGACTTCATTACCATTCTACCTTGATATCATATGAAGAAAATCTAAGTCCTCCATTCCATTTCCGAAAAAACTAAAATTTAGT